AATCCTGGACAAGACTCCTCAAGTATCTTCAGATCTTGGTGAATATGCGTCTTTTGGACTTCAGCGAGGCAACGTTTTCCAGTCTTTCTGCTGTTCTGGCTCGAGTACAGTCTCCCAATGGCTTGACCAAGGAGGCTCGAGAATGCGCGTGGAACCTCTGGGCCAATGGTCATCCTGCAAACGATGAAACTGCTATTGACCTCGACCGACCCAATCAAGGTGCTGCCCTGGCGTACATGCAAAGCTTCCAGCAGATATACCGCCTACACAACTCTCACCTCAGCACCGAAAATATCGAGAAAGTGCTTCAGCATCTGCGTCTATTGGTGTGGAACTCAGTGTCTCAACCGTACTCTCCGGATGTTGATCGCCCTTCTGCTCTGCAAGCCTTGATAATTGATTGTATCAAAGCCCTTTGCACGGAAAGAGAGGATTCCCAATCCGCGATCCTGTTGTGTCTTGCTGATCTGTCCGGTTCGGCTTTGACCAAATGGAGCCCTGGAAATGATTCGAGAAAGCCAGGATTTGTTGCCTTTTCGAAGTCCATCATCGATATGATCAGCTGGTATATTGCCGATTTCGGTATCAAGCAGGATATCCTCATCAACGACGCTCTGGCGTCGGCCCTTGAACGCTTCGGTGCGCTGATCCTGCAAAAGTATATGTGGGAGGGAAAGGACCACGAGCCATACATGTGGCAGAAGGCCTCTACCGCATCGTTGAATGTTCTTCAAGTTGCAGTCCCCTACGTTGAGAAGCAGTACAACAGCTCAAGCGAAGCGGATATAGCACGCTTTTGGCGTTGTGTGGTTGACATTACCCACGGCATTGTCTCCGCTCACGGATTCCAAACCCAGCAGCTGTCTAATGAGCGAATCATTGCCGACGAGGCTTTTGACATTGCCTCATTTACCCGCCTGAAGACACTCATTCTCCCCTCGCTCGGCGCCTCTGCCATCCCGGATAGTGTCCGCCAAAACTTCGCCCTCGCGCTTTTCCACTCCTCGTTCATCTACCCACCTCAGCGCCTGGACTTGCCCTCCAACTCAATCGAGAAAGCTCCTTTACAAGACTTTTATAGAATCCGCCCAGGGCGAACCTTCGACCCGCCGCCAACACTGCGCCCGAACATGGCATATGCTCTCATCGATACTCTCTTCGAGCTTGCAGAAAGTCCCGAGTCCAATCCTTCGAAGCCATGCCCTCGGACGCTCCTGGCCTGCTCGATCTCTCCCTACCTTCTTCTCCGGTGCGCTATTCCACTCAAGGGCTACATTGCCGACCAGCCCCTCCGTGGTCTTATGCCTCAACCTACGCCCGCTCGAAAAGCCTTGCTTCATCTTCTCCTACATATGGTGCAACTGCAAAGCGAGCCATCGGCGATACCGGATCCGCCATCTATCAAGACCGTCTTGTCTATAGATGGGGCTACTAAAGGGCGTCACCACCGAAAGCATCTTGAATGGATGTTCCCGCTTATCGTGAAGGCGATTCAGGTCGCGGGGAAGGAACGAGATGATGGGCAAGTTCTGCAGGCACTCGGTCAAGTGCTACAGGAAATCGGTCACCTTGATTGATTTAATCTGGACAGCCCCTCCCCCCCCCCCACCTTTTCGAGTCTTAGACGTGTATTTCATTTTCTATGTATCTAGTCCCTTGTCCATGATGCGTCACTAATAAGAGCCGTTTGTCGCTCAACGGATTCAGGAAGTGGAAGTACTTTGAATGGATGGCCTCCTCGTCTTATTGAAATGTGAAGATGGATGTAAACGGTAGACTACAGGATGGTATCGTAACATGACCGTGAGTGCAACCAATGACCTGGGCACACGAAGGTAGAAAGGTAGAAAGAGGGAGGGAGGACAAGAGGAGTAAAAAATGAGAGGAGGACTGATGTGGGTGGGTATAGGAGAAGGAAGCAAGCAAAAGAGTCTCTTCATGTCGCAGCTCCCAAGGATACAGTTGTGCAATGGCCTCTACCTGGACGTGAAGGTCATGCGGCGGGCGCCGAGACGGGTGCAGGTGTATTATTCTCTCGATTGACGGTGGGAGTCACCTCGCGTCCCGGGCCGGCAGTCGCAGATCCTGGCGGGAGGACGGCCTGCTGTTGCTGCATGAGGACCTGTTGCTGGATTTGCTGCTGTTGGGCGATCTGAGGAGTGGCGGCGATCTCGGGAGCTTGGCGGAAAAGGGCGATCTCAGATTGCTTGAAGTAACGACGAGCATCTATTAGAGTCAACGTTAGTGGACAATTTCCCAACCCAAAAATTTCAGGACCGTTGTGTGGTTCATCTGTTGCGGTGGAGGTAGTGAATTGCCAAGACCAGGTTAGTGTGGGGGTGGGCGAGACGGCAAAGTCGGGAACTGCGAAACGGCGTGGGGGAACCAGAACCGAACCGAACCGGTCGGCTTGTATCATTTGCCGACGGGTATTGGTATGATTGATATCACCCGATCTCGCCGTCCATTTCCCAAATGGTTGAAACATTCGAGATGCGCCAGTTGACGCCGATCTTGACCCACGGAAATCGATGCAGAGCAGAAGCAGGGTAAAAGCTAGGAAAGGAGAATAGGTACCCACCTTCGTCAATCAGCACCAGGCTGAGATAGTACCGTGTGGAGTACTTCTTGTTGACGTCGCGGAATGTGGGCGTGAGGTCGAATCCGCCCAGGAAAAGACGAATTGGGATTGTTTCACCTGTCGCAAGTCAGCATTGGAAAATCGATTTGTTTCCGGCTGAACAAAGCCGGGATTCGGGATCCCAGTGTAGAGTCTCGAGGGTAAACAGTCACTAACCTCTCGAAGGGGAACCGTCCATTATCTGAAAATTGCGTCAGCCCAGTTCTCCGTTGAGTGAAATCCTCCTAGAAGGGCTTTCCAACATGGGAGATAGCATGTGAACCAAGTCAAGAAACGTACCTCAAAGCGCACAAGCGTCTCGCTCTCATTATATTGGTTTGGTGGGGATCCAGTAGTCTCTCGTCGAATGATAGACAGCTCCATATGCTTGATCTTGAGTCGCACGAGCAAAAAGTAGATCCGACCCACGATCACGTCCTTGAGGTGGTACTTGGATTTGGAGTATTCAAACTCAATATGCAGGCAGTCCTCGATTCCGACATCCATCTTGATCGGGCTGTTGGTCTCTGGCGGCATGCGATACGAGTACACCCACAGGTCTTTCTCGCGGATGACGTCGGCCATGCGCCGGGAGACCGTCACGCGCACAAAGTAGCGCAGCTTCACGTTGATTCCATTGTACGATTCGTATTGTTTCTCAACGTTCTTGAAGTTGAAAGGGAAGGTTTGCGGGTGTAGCAGTTCGCCGGGGGCGGCCAATTCTTGGACGAGTGATAGGAATTCATAGTGATTGCCGCGGTCGTAGAACATCTCTGGATGTGGGCCGTTGTCAGTTTCTAGGCACTCGAACTGAGCACTCCCGGATGTGCGAGCTCACCGATTGTGCCGATGAATTGCACCTTGATGCCCGTGTGCTCCAATCGCTTGCCATCCTTTGGTCGAATCGTTACGGCGCCCTTGACCGACTCGCCGTCCATGTACAAGGGGACGCGCTCCCGGCGGCCCTTGTCAAGCTTGACATCGACAGTCTGGCGCTCATCGAGGTCCTCGAGGACGACGTCGATGTCGACGGGGGTGGAGAAGAAGAGGGAAGCCATCGTTGTATAGCTGCGAGAGGTGCGCGGAGTCGAGCTCGCGATGATGATCCCGAACGTGGCCTCGCTGCTTACGTAATGCCCCACAGGCAGCTATGAATCTCCCTCACGTTGCTGCAAAGATGAAGCAGCAAGCGTGGATTTGTAGGTCATTTCCGCCTCAATATTGGAAAACTCTGCTACATTTGACAGATGGAGAGTTACATGCCAGAAGTACTTCTGGAAAAATTGGTTGGATGAAGCTATTACCGCCATGTCATTGCAGATGTTGGAAGTATTCCGCTCATGACTATCGCAATCATGTAATTGCTAACCAACGTGAACATAGGGCCTCGTAAAGAAGGCGAATATATGCTGGATCTATCACCGAAGAGAGAAGACTAAAATTTACCTCACATTCTAGGACTTTGTGGAGCCGTTCTCCTTAAGGCAGACGGTCGCATGAAGCCTAATTTGAGCGTCGGATTCTGCTTCCCGAGCCCTCCTCCTTCAGTGGCCTTGCGGATTGACTTCCCCGGATTTCCGACAGAAGCAACGAATGATTTCCTACGATGCGGTGTGGGGTTCATAAAGTTACCATGGAGAATAATCCATTACTCCGACTCGATGCGGATATTCTCTCACGCGCAAACAGGCCAATCTATTAGGGCATAGGCTCGAGTCGGTGTGACAGTCATACAGAGCTCCCTGCTGGCGCCTTTGTAAATAATGACCAGGATGCAATCAAGGCACGTAACAAGTACTTCGGTGAGACTGACAGGTCTGCCCAGTTGTGTCCGAACTTGCCAGCACTTACGGCGAAACGTGTCCCCTAGCTATAGGTGTCGGATATGCCCAAGGTGAAGCAAACGGCAGACGGGGAAGTAAGTAGTCTGTTTCCGAATCAAGGTCAACTTGCTTTTTCCGACAACATGACCAACTCCACGAGAAGGGAAAGAATATGGAAAGTCATGTAATCCTCATTCCACTTGCAGTGCACTTGCAGTGGCATTGCATAGCAAGATCAATAGACGGAGGAGTGAATGTGCTTGATTAAGGGACCGCAAGTCCGCAGGCTAAAAAATACCAATCCACTGTATGACCGTACCCAAGACCGAATCCACGGAGCCGCCACGTTCCCGCAGCAGAGTCCCACTAGCGTGGGGGCAGCCCACAATACACGTCTTGTACCGTTTCGTATACCAGAGTGTTCAGTGACATCATGTGGTCCATCGCCTTTGCAAATGCCGTCGACACACGATTCGGAACGTGAACGCCTGCTCCAGACGGAAATGTGATACCCAACGAGAGATCCGATCTCTTCATGGACTGCCATGGCCTGTAGAGCCTCGTCGATCGAACGATATTCTGGAGAACTCAACAATCGACCATCCCACTCTCGTTTTCCCACGCCTCCACTCGGGTAATGAGGGCCCTGCAGACCCAGCGAATCATCGGCGCTTTCTCCAGGCCGCTTGCAAGTCCCCCACTCGGCTTCTGCTGCGGTCTGCTCTTCCCCCGTCCCCACCGTCATACCTGAAATACTTAAAAAGTAGCCCCGACTCGGCCCTGTCGCGCGACTCGCTGTCCTCTCTCTTCCCCCCGACCGCACTCATTCCAGACCCTGATTTATGAAAAGAGGAACGCCCCTGTCATCGTCCTCCGTGCGCATTGTGCATATTTAGCATCTTTCGTATAGAATCAATCGCCCTTCCCGAAACCCCCACCGCGATCTCCTTTCCGAATATCACCGCATCGTTTCGTCATCCATTCACCTACGGCAAATTTCCCTGAATTACACCTCTCCCAGGACCCGACGACTTGGACGTTTCCGTTCCTTACGATAAAGCCGTATCGCATCCTTTTGCCTTCAGCATCATGCTCTCCGCCGGCGATAGGCTTCAGCCTCCGCACTCATCTGCTAGAGTAGATTCGGCTTCGGTCTCCGTGGGCAAGGGGCACATCATGCCTAATTTTGATGCCAAACCCAACTCCTCCTCAAACCCGGCCAACTCGATTCAGGAGACGCGCCCCACGCCGGCTCACGTCCAACATATCTGGATTGTTACCGGTCCTGCAGGCAGCGGAAAAAGCACCGTCGGCAATGGTCTGCGCTTAGAACTAGGGGTGCCCTTCTTGGAAGGCGATGATGTACGTTGCGCCCTTCGCATTGGTCTCCTCGGAGCACAGTCTCTGAATGACTAGGGAAAATGAAAGAAAAAACAGAAGAACTAACAATCGCATTGATATAGTACCACCCCAAATCCAACAAAGAGAAAATGGGCAACGGCATCCCTCTTACCGACGAAGACCGTTGGGACTGGCTGATCTCCCTCCGCAAAGCCGCCATTGAAGCCCTCTCTCCCTCCGAAGCCAACAACTTCCACCCACCCGCCGGCGTCGTGGTCGCCTGTTCTGCACTGAAGCAGAAGTACCGCGACGTTATGCGCGTCGCCGCCTACGGCTCGCCCTCCGTCCAGATCCACTTTATCTACCTCAAGCTCAGCGAGGAAGTTCTCATGCAGCGCGTCAGCCAGCGTCAATCCCATTACATGAAGAGTGACATGGTCCGCTCTCAGATGCAGGCGCTGGAGGAGCCAGAGAAAGAGTGGGATGCCATCACAGTCAATGTCGAGGGTACCCCCGAGCAGGTGCAGCGTGAAGTGATCCACACCGTGACGAAGAAGCTCTCAGAATACCTATGAGGGATGATTTCCCTGCAATGGTTGACGATGTGCGCATGTTGTGGTTCTGCATGCGAGGACTCGCACTTCCTCCGCTCGGTGTCATTGGTGTTTTCTTTTGGTGAAATCTGGAATTAGCCGGCCCCAGACGGACTGGAAATGGTTATTACTTTTGCTGGAATTTTTGGTATGGGGATCTGTTTGCCTGGCGTTTCGTTTTCTTTCCATACGGCTTGCATTTCTTTTTTTTGTCTGTGGCATGATTGTACGACTCTGCGTGGGTTCGTGTCTTGATACCCCCATATGTCCGGGGCAGATGCATAGCAAATACAGTCTTGGTTCTCAATAGACTTGACATGATTCTTAAGACTGCATTTGGCTGAAAGTTTCAGTCACGAAGAACTTGTTTGGTGTTGCCTTCGAGTCTTACTCAGTAGACGCTTCTTCCCAGTATACATTCAGGCCTATCTATGGGGTTGTCAAGGCCAAGTATAGAGCAAAAGTGGATAGGAATCCCTAAATCAACATTGACTTCAAACTGCATCTTTTATTCCCTCTTCTATATGTTCTATTCATCTCAATTCAAGCAACATTAACTCGGGCGACTCAATCAACTCACGCACCCGATTCCCCATCCGCGCCATCGTCGCCCCATCGATAACCCGATGATCCGCACTCCAACTGAAGTTTACCAACTCCCCCCTCGTCACGTCCCCCTTATCATCAAACACGGGGACCGTCCTCATCCGCCCAACGCCCAGAATAGCAACCTCCGTCGGCACAATCACGGGTGCCACATAGGTGCCACCGATATTGCCGATATTCGAGACGGTGATGGTTCCACCGCTGAGATCGGCGGGACCTAATTTGCCTTCTTTGCCCAGGGCGCTGAGCCGTGAAATTTCGGCGGCAATGTCGGAGATGGATCTGTTGGCGACGTCTTTGATGTTGGGTACGATGAGGCCCTTTGGTGTGTCCATGGCGATGCCGATGTTGTGCTTCTCACGCATGATAATTTTGGGCTTGTTGGTGTCGGTGGTGTCAACGCGGGCGTTGAGGATGGGGTATTGGTTCAGGGCTAGGGAGACGGCTTTGACGACGAAAGGAAGGAAAGTGATCCTCTTGGGATCACGGGCGCCACTGACGAGTTTCTTCCGGATGGAAGCGATGTCGTTTACTTTGAGTTCGTCGGTGTATAGCAGATGTGGGATGCTGAGAGACTTGGTCATGGTCTTGAACATGGCAGTTTGAATCGGGGTGAGGGTGACCTCGGATTCGGACTGTCGGGTGTCCAAAGTGATAGGTCGTGTGAGTTGCGGAGTGACTGCTGCTGATACGGGAGAGTCCCGGCTCTCCACATGTTTGAGAACATCCTCTTTAAGGACCCGTCCTTCCTTGCCGGTGCCGTTGATGTCGAGGATGTCCACTTTGTGAGTTTTGAGCAGGCCTCGCACGGCTGGCGTGGCAAGGGATGCATGCTTGGACTTGAGTATCTCGACGATTTCCTCTGGTACCTGGGGCTCGATGGAAGAGCTCTCAGCTGCTTGGGCAGTGGCTAGTATATCGGCCTCTGGAGATGTCAAGGGCGGTTCTGGCTCCGGTGTTGGTTCATGAGGAGCGTGATCGTCAGGGTATTTTCCGTCTTCGACTTCAATATCGCATAGAGCCTAATTGATATGGTTAGTTTAGTAGGGGAGAGTAGAACCAGTCGAGACTCTGACAACTTACCTGTCCGGTGGGTACTGTATCGTCCGCCTCAAAGTGTAACTTCTTAATGACACCAGCATATCGTGACGTGATCTAAGCGTATATTAGCACTCTACTCCCACCAAGCCAAGAATAAGAGAGTAACTCACGTCGTCTACTGCCTTATCAGACTGATACTGGCACAGCGGCTTCCACTCCTCAATATGAGCCCCCTCCTCCACATACCATTGAATGATCTGGACCTCCGTGATACCTGCCCCAGTATTAGCGTTTCATTCCCCTCACAGAAACCATAAAGCCACAACAAAGTATTGAGACTCACCTTCGCCAACATCCTTGAGAATTTGCGACTTAATCCCCCACAACGATGGTCCGGCGTGAAAAGCGCGGCTCGCGACGGGTGGTATGGGGAAACGAGTGCGGAGTAGACTCCGGGGTCGACAAGGCCGCAGGACTCGGGGAACACTAGCCCCGGAACGCAAGATGTTCATTATGGATCACCCTGAACGAGTTGAGAGAAAGAAAATAATGCACTCAGAGTCGCAATCGAGGGGCTTTTGTTGCAGGTGAACTGCAGCATGTCCACTTATCTATGGTTCTCTCCGCGCCGAGGATAACCGACGCCAAGACCACGTGACCGCATGCGGGGGATTTTAAGGGCCATTCAATTTTGATTGATTGAATGCATTTAGACTCTATGTTTAGAAGAACTTGACTCCCTCCTCGCCCTCGGTACCAAATACGGAGGCCTTACCTCGCTTAACGAGAACGTTAAGTGCCTTCATCAATACATCGTTGTCTATGCCATGGAACTCTATAAGATGATTAGCATGTCATCTTCCTATCGCATAGATGCAGACCAGCAAGGAACTCACCTTGAGAAACCGTCGCTTCCCCTTGTACCAACTCAAACACGGTCAACACCATCCCACGCTGTCCAGTAGCATCGATCCAATCCACTAGCACATCCGCCAACTCCTCCGGCCTCCGCCACCAAATCCAAGCAACGCTCTTAGGCATCGTATTCCCACTAGCCGAAGCACTCTCAATCCACTCTGCGCGCTGTCCGCCACCCCCTTCCTCCTCTTTCTTCGTCATCCAGTCCACGACTACGCGAGCCTCGGCGAGATCTAGCCGCTTATGGAGGGCTGCATTATGGAAGAGAGGGGAGTCGACGGCATCGCCGAGAGAAAGACGGTAAGTACGGTGGTGTCGACACCAGGATTGAATTAGGGAGGACCATTTTTGGAGCTGGGAGTATCGCGTGGTGCTGTTTGGTTGCGGGGTAAAGAAGGGGGGAAAGTTGTATGTCGAGGGGAAAGTGAAGGAGGTAGTGGTTGACGTGGCCATTTTGTGTAGAGTGTATGATTCGCATATCCCAGCTTCTAGCAGCTGCGATGCGTAACCAATGTATGGACCTCGAGGACAGGAGGAAAGAGGGAGAATGTTACGCTTACACGTATGTTTTGGCGCACGTGACCAACGAAAACTTTATCTCTGATAGCTGTTCACCCAGATTTAGAAAGAATTGAACACTCTACCATATATCACTCAACAATGGTAGCAAGCCTATCTGCGAAAATTTTCGCAAAGTGATATAGGTCTTCATGCTCCCCCTTGCTTTTCCTATGGTTAAACCCAGGGTTCCACATTTTCTGTCTCTTAATACTGCGATTTGTTCGTCGTTAGTCTTATAGACTGTTACGACACGTGCCCAGGCGCACTAGCCAAACTGGCCAAAAAGACCAAATATGCTAGAACGCTATGTTTTAGCATGCCTGGGACCGATATAAGTAGCGCATCTACGTTAGGCTAAGGGGGACCAGTGTCTAAGTCCTAACATAAACCCCGTATAGGTATTATAACTAGTACACCGAACGCTATATCGTATCTACTACCTTATTCTAATTCGCCCTACATTATGACTTATATATCGCGGATCTATATCTTATCTATCTCTATGAGTTACGTTTCAACATCACCTTTCATTTCATTCTGTCAGGGGGTAAATAAATAGGAGGATATATTAATGCTGGCCACTACTCTTGAAGGGGGCTTATAGAGAACTGTTGTTTTTTCTGACAATCAGACTAAGGAATCTTTCAAACACAAATTACCTACTCAAGTATTCCAACACTGTATCCCTACACAGGATTTGGCCTACAATTATCTTAGCTAGGGAGAGCCCTGGAGGAGGGAACTTACTTTGTTTGGTGAATCTATATTCTGTAAATCATGCCTTGCTTACTCCTGTCGTTTGCAGTACTTGTGCCTTGGGAACGCCTTACAAGCTCGGTCTATAAATAATAACCTATCCTCTAGAAATTCGCGGTGATAGTGCGACGATAGGGGTAACATTGGTATGGCCCAATATTAGCTTATACATTCGTGGAGCTTCTCGAGTTACTCGCTCGTGGCAATGAAACAAGAACGGTCCCAACATCGTAAATGAGCATTTAGGCATGACCACGTTGTTTGATGAGGAGAGAATCCTAGACAAGATCATTATCGCCAACAATTCGATGGGGTTTCCTTCCTCAAGATCTAATCACTGCCCCAGAATACCTGCCAGTGACTTGCTGTTGGACTGTGCTTCACCCTGGTCATCGGTAGGGATCTTCTGCGAGGCGAAGGCCAAGAACACGGCCTCCCAGTGTCCGTCATCGAACTTGAACAGCAACGCTCCATCTTCGTAGATGCCATTGTCAAAATTGGGGAGACTACCCTGGTTCATGTGAACGTCATGAATCCCGGAGCCGTAGGATGATCCAAAGATGTAGGCAGTCGCCTTTTTGTTAATCGCGTCGGTCAGAATGGGGTCAAGTTTGTCCAGAATGTCATTGTCAGGACCAGAGACGTCATGCGGAAGGATTTGGCCCGATTCGATGTCAACAAGGTTCTTTGTACGGACGAAGTCGAGTCCTTGCAAGGTGGACTCTTGTCGGCGAACCAGACGTTCGCAGTTGCCGTGGGAATGGTGGTGACCGTGGTTCTGGTGACGAGATGAATTTTGGCTGTGATACTCTTGGGCTGAGTTGGATGAGGAGCTTGACTGGGCCAGGTGGAAGCCTTGATCGAGTTGCGAAAGCTCGTCGGTGATGGGGTGGCTGAAATTGCGATTCAGCCAAAAGACAAGCCGGGTGTCCTTATCGGTAGACTTGACATTGATCGCTGCCTCAAGGTTCTTGCTCGACGAGGAATCGTCGGTGAAGTAAAGATAAATATGGGGAGACTTGGAGTCCTGCTTGTCCGTCTGGGCGGTATAACGAGTGGGCTGACAGGCCCAGACACCGTAGTGAGAGATGGTCATTTTGGTGATGAGATAAAGGCTTTGGAAAGATTGTAGAGGGGAAAGTCGATGGCCAGCTTGTTTTCAGAAAGCACTCTAGTCTTATTTAAGTGTGTACCACGTCGCTATTGCCGCCGTAAGATCCGATCTGGCCTCTTCTGCAGGCCCATTTCGACTCACAAAGCAGAACTCACGAATCATACACGTGCCAGATGAACACCGGTATCGAGGATGCTTAATTGAGCCGATGATGTAGCTTATCATGCAGCTAACAATGGCTAAAGCTTAGCGTCACGACGATCGTCCCTCCACTGCTCAGCCCCGAACATTCACTGGCTCTCACACTCGTCGGAACTAATCAATCTCTTAGCCGCTGACGTGTGCAGTGCAACGCCCACTTTGATCCCCACTTCGTGACTGTATAGAGGGGGAGAAACATGATCCGAGGAAATGACTGATCTCATGGTGGCTGAGGCGAGCTGATTAACAAGGTAGAAGTGGGGAGCAATCGTTGACCTTAACCGAAAGGTACTTAGTTTCAGCACTAGATCAAGGCAGCCGTGACGGGCCGAAACAACCCCATTTCTCCATCCATGGCAGGTGAACTCGGAGTATGTTTGTTACTGGAATGAAAACCTAGAGCTCATTCGCTCAAATTCCTCTCTATCTAGAAGATACATTCTCACTATTTTTACTCTGAAAGATTATCCTCCAAGTCTCTTGGAGTGTCTCCCTAGATGACTTGCAATTTCTTCCTGGGCTATCTTCTGTTCTATGATTGACAAAAAACCTCGGGTATTCAGTTGGGGAAAAGTACATAAAGTAGGGCAAAAGATGTCATAATTGAGCCTAGTATGCCATACGAATAACGAGAATTCAAAAAGAGCCCTCGTCCATAGCACACATTGAAGGCAAGCCGAACATACACAATGATCATACTTCTCACTCTTGATTGAGAATGCTCATACTTGTATAACCCTCATACATCTTCTGTCCCTGGAATGGAAGAACTCGTGCCTGGCAGCCTCTGATAACCGGATTAACGTCGACGTGGGCATCGTGGTTTTATTCCTGCCAAATGCATACCCTTGTGACTGTGGGCCTTCCAGTCATGCACGAAATCTTGCTTCTTGTCAAGTGCGGCATCTTTTGCTGCACTCACCCGAGTCCGATGCTTGCGTCAGAGTCCTTGGTGATGTTCTTGTTTACCTAAAGACGCATACGAAGTGGAAATACAGTGCTGGGTGTGTATACGCTACTTCATTCATTTCAAGCCACAGTCAAGACAGCCAATTGTCTCATAGATATATATGCCAAGTGAATAACTGACTCTCCTTAGGAAGACCTTAACTCTGAACCTGAATGTTGAAGTAAAATTGAGATCGCCAAAACCCCATCGATGGAACCCTTTGACTGCCACCTGATTCTGGCAACCCAGATAACCACGTCTTGTTTCCTTCTGGTGTCTTTAATGGTTGATAAGCGATGATTTGGACGTTTAGAGCCTGTAGATTTGCTTTTGAGTCATCCCCATCATCCTTAAATACTCGTGTCCAAGGAATACGAACTCGGGCTGAACTTTGATCTTGTCACCTAATATGCAGCTGGAATTCTTCAGCTCTATAATACCATAGTCATTCGGTAAGATCGATCATTTCCTCAAGATTAAGGCCCCGTCCGTAATATCCAATGCCGTTGAAAGTAGACTTTTGATTTAGTTGTGGCGGCATGGTCTGAATAAGCACCGAAGGAATTATTCAATACTGACGCAAGACCAGATTGGGGTCCGGCTAAGAACCCGTCCCGTCAATTTTCTGAGGTCATTCTGATCTGCAGGATCTGGATAACTGTAGCTGCATTCTATATAATTCAGAAGAGAACTTTAAGCTCTAGAAAATCACGGTAATAAATCGTCTGATTTCAATACCTCGGGTAAAATCGTTCTTTCTACGATGTGGAAGTCTACTATAGAACGAAACAAGAGGCCATGGTGGTTTCATTACGAGGGAATCCGCAGAACTGTAAGTACTGAATGAAGGGAATTTCTGTTTCTCCAAGTTGTTTTGATATTAATCAACCGGCCCCTAGCGGCAATTTTCGTCGGATCGGCTTCACTGTCTTCTTCATAGCGATCACGGCTGCGATGATCTCTGAACCGGGTCTCGGGGGGAATCAACACACAGAACATCATCGAGACATGACGGTTCTATCAATAACGTGCATTCAATGGTAAGATATCGATATTAGACGACCCTGACGCGATACTTAGAATTTCTGTAGATAGGAATTCGATGTATCATACCAATCGTGTAGGGCTTGCTGCAGAGCTCAAGTTAGAGATGACCCATCATGACATATTCGTTCCAACGAAATGTCTGATGTACTTACTGTAGCATTACGTGACTATGCGAATATGTGGCAAAAGCAATATTACTAAGCTACATGCAGTGCTCTATAAAAATTCTCCAAGTAGGCTCGATGCGCGACTTGAATTATACCTGTTCCATATGATAACCCTCCAGATTCCCCGATTATACACTATGTCCAACCCTGCTGAAAGAGAAGGTGAAGACTCTTACGAAAGAGAAAATGATCCGTCACCGGTTCCCGGGTTTGAGCCAGATGATTCATGGGCACGTGAACCCAACCCAGACCTGCAGGATATAGTTCCAGTTCAAAGAGATGAACAGCCCGTCGAGGACCCTATTCAGCCACCAGACTCGAATTCTGATCAGCAACTAGGTTTGCACACTACCAACTGCGGATGATAAAGATGCTCTGTAAAGCTAACAAGTCATACAGCGCAGGATGAAAGAGAAGTGGTAGACCAGTCCAACATTCTACGTGGTGAGCGGACTCGCCACGCGAAGCCAACCACTTCCAATAGGTATAACGAGGGACCAGATGATGACGACCTTCCATCACCGGAGTAGTATGATTAAAGATCAAGGCGAATCTCTGGCTCTTGTAATATTCTGTCGATCGACCACGACGCTTATCTAGATGTGTAAACATGAAAGTTGAAATGAAAATGTCTTCAACAAATTGATCAGGTACACCTATAAAGTAGACATAGTCTCCGTCAATTTCTGACACAGCCATTGAAGGTTACATGGCGTGTTAATTATTAATGTCGTATATGATAATTTTAAAGTGAGACAAGACTCTTTTGCTTTGTACTATATGATGATTGCGATACGGGCACCTTCTGCGTACCAATAGCTATGTCATCATCGTAGAATTGGTGACAAAGTCTACCCCTTTTGACAGTTTCTCTAGAATGTTTGCTTCGTTCGTAGCCAGACTTCTCCACGGAAATCTCAAAAACTTATGGCTTAGCTAGCTAAACTTCCATCATCATCTCTTCAATGTGGACCCGATTCTCATGAACCGAGTTGCTTCCGAGTCGGAATCCCCCTGTCAAGATAAATGGGAGCGCCAGAACTAAGGTATTCCTAAGAGGCGTCAGCTAATTACTTTGCATATTACGTACCTATGAGACAATTGGCTGTCTTGATTGTGGCTTGAAATGAATAAAGTAGCGTATACACACCCAGTACTGTATTTCTACGTAGTTTGCGTCTTTGAATCAAGCGAGAGGACTGAAATTGGTAGAAAATTACCAAAATACCATGTTTACATCTAGGCAAAGTTTAGCCCAAGATTATGTAAATGCGGGCGTTGAGCGAAGTCCCGAAAGGCAAAATAAAGGGTCAACACTGATGCCGTCCAATTCGGCTCCACTACAAAGTACTTCTCCATGTCCCCCACGATCTTCCCAGCTGTGTGGAGACCCCGGATTCTGTCCTTATATTATGGAAGTTATCAGTGATGAACGTTCATATGTTCTTCAGAGACACTCGTTCTCATGCCGGGTTGCTCTTATTCCCGCAACCAAGAAAATATCATTATGTCGGAATTGACCAAGGCAGAGCTTGGCTTAGAAAAAGGAGCTGCCAGTCATCATGAAAACCTTCAAGATGATGAGCACTATCATACGCTAGGACACGTTCGACTTCGCGACGCAACGACGAATGAGATTATTTTTATCCCTGCACCGTCGCTCGATCCGAACGACCCCTTGAAATGGTTGGTTCTCAATGTCGCCGTGGATTGTTTATATGTCGTTTTTTTTGACTTTGTATAATGATCAGGAAACAATGGTACAAGACTTGCATCGCTATTCTTGTAGCCTTTGCTATGGTTATGTGCAATTTTATGGCCGCGGGTCCCACAGTGACTATGCTCACCGTGGCCGAGTCCTTCAACACAACCCCTGCGCACGCCTCGTTCTTTTTCAATAACAGTGCTCTGGCACAAGGTGTTGGAAATTTGTTTTGGGTTCCAGTCATGCTGAAGTATGGTCGGCGACCAGTTTACATTGCTAGCTTCTTGATATATTTCTTCATGATCGTCGGATCGGGTGCAGCAAAATCCTACGGTACAGAGATTGTGACTCGGCTTCTCCTCGGCTTTGCAGGAGGTGCTGGTGAATGTCTTGCGCCATTGACGATTACGGATATTTTCTTCCTCCATGAGCGCGGCTTATTCATGGCAGCTTACAATGCTGCACTATCCGGTGGCGTGGCATTTGGATCAGTTATCTCCGGATTGATTGTTATCAACTACACCTGGCGCACAATATACTGGGTTGGTGCTGCATTGGTTGGTGCCACTCTCCTGGTCGTTGTGTTTTCCTTCCCCGAGACTGCATTCGTTAGATACAACAATCCTTTGAATCAGGCAGGAAAGGCTGCCGAGAGCGAGACGGAGCAAAATCAGCATGAGGTACCTGCTATTCCGCCAAAAAAGTCTTACGGGCAAACTATCAAGCCCTGGGATGGTCGCAAATACACCGACGAGCCTTTGTGGCAGATGATGATCCGTCCACTTGGCCTGATAATCTTGCCTCCCGTTTTTTGGGCTACAATGGTCATGTCCGTTACTATTGGATTTTTGGTAGCCATTTCTTCCAATATTGGAAGCGCATTCAACTCAACCTATGGCATGGAGCCCTGGCAAATTGGACTGTGCTATATCGCCAACCTTCTTGGGTGTGCCTTGGGAATTGTGCTTGGCGGACCATTCTCTGATTGGGTTGCCGATTATTTCACTAAGAGAAATGGCGGCATCCGTGAGCCAGAAATGCGTCTCCCTGCTATAGTGCTCACGATAATCGCATCGCCCTTGTCTCTCATTCTCTACGGAGTTGGCATTCAGAACAAACTACACTGGATGGTTCCGACAGTGGGCTTGTTTTTCAGTCAGTTTCCTGATGCCTGACTCCATTTCGATTTGCTATCTGCTAACAATGCATATGTAGATGCATTTGCTGTCGTCCAAGGAACCAATGTTTCTTTCACTTATTGCATCGACGCCTACCGCCCCGTGGCAGGCGAGGTGACTGTGACCCAGCTTGCCTTCAAGTGTAAGCTCTCAATGGGATATTCTGTAGGCTGACCACCCATGCTGACCTTTGGACAAACAGCCTGCTTTGGTTTCCTGCTTTCGTTCTACACCAATGTCTGGGTCGAGGAAGGTTATGCTCTCGCTTACGGTGAAATGGCAGCCATCTCAGGTGGATGCCTTTTGCTCTCGGTTCCAATGTACATTTGGGGTAAGCAGATGAGGGTTGCTTCGATGAAGTGGAGGGTGGTGCAGTTCATCACTTGGGATGACGATCGGGAAGTCGGCGAGTAGGTAGACCATTCTAGAGAAAAAATTCACCACTATAATCAATTCGCAATATAACAATCATATCAAGCTCTGAGTGTAGTTCTATCGCGGTTGGAACGTGGCTGGGATGTGGGGGAAAGATGCCGAAAAGTGGAGTACTATCAGGCTGGTCAAGCGCTGATCAAGTCCATTGTGGGATTCATATCAAGTAGTCAGGTGGAGATAATGTCGTCAGCTTTAAACTCTGTCCTGGTTATTTCTGTGCATGTTTTTGAGATATTTATTTCATCTCCAACTGCAGCGTGCCTGGCGGACAACTCGACTTGACCGTATGGGTAGGTTTCTACGTCCGTGAGTCGAAACAACCTTAGTGATAAGCCAACTCGACCTTATATTGGTTCTAATTCTACACACAACTAATGATTCCAATATGCTCTCCAAAGTTCCGTAGTTCAAGGAATTCATACACGTTCCTCCCACGTATCATCTGCTAAAATGTTTTGGCGCCCCATAGAAATGACCTCCACTGTGGTGAGCAGTATGGATTCTGTCAGTGGACTCTCCTTTTCGGCAGCAAGACTAAGCCCTAATCTGACCGCATTCTTGATCTGTCTTCCGTTGAGTGGTTGTTCGGCAAGTCTGCGATAGTCGACATTCGGGGACCCACGAGTCGGAAGTCGTTCAATTTGACTTTTCCATATTTTCGACCTAGCATCACGGTCAAGCGCTTCGTATCGAAGAGCAACGGTGATACGACTCTCAAAGGCTGGGTCAATTGTTCGAACCCGGTTGGTTGTCAGAAACAATATTCCGGGGTGATACTCGAGAATGCGGAGCATAACGCAGACCATCGCGTTACGAATCAGGTCAGAAGTGCTTCGGGTCTCCAGAAAGACGTCCGCCTCGTCAAGAACGGCCAGTGCGTCCCACTCAGCACATAATTCAAGAACATCGGACAATCTTCGCTCCAGATCTTCCGGTGTCACTCCAAGCTCACCCATGGTGACGTAGTATAGTGGACGATGGAGAACTTCTGCAATGGCTTCAGCCGTCAGAGTCTTCCCAACTCCTGGAGGCCCGTGTAGGAGAAATATCTGCCCGCCTTGTTTTCCACCAATGACATCGGGTGTTTGAAGGGCCGTTCCATGGCGAACCACCGCGCGAATAAGGTCTTTGCGCTCCTGCTGGAGTACTAAATGATCAAACGCTTGATCCTGAAACTCAATAGGCGATAGACCGTCAACCAGAACATGGCCCCAAGCCTTAGTAGTAAAGCTGAAGCCGACAAGGGTGGGCCAGCAAAAGATGACAAAGTCTCTGGGCACAGTCTCCCATAAAATGAGCTGATCGGTCTCCAGCGTGTCGAAGCGGGACCGCTTAGAAAGCCATTGCCGATAGCGCCCTGCGAGCTGTATTATAGACAAGGTCGCCTCATCAACGCCCTGACAAGGGTAGTGCCCCAGTGACGATCCTCGGGCCACGTCAATCATAATGCGACCTGATGTCAGGGAAACTGTGCTATTAGTAGCCTGTGTCATCCCAGAAACGTCTCTTTTGGATCGACTCGTATGGACATAGAAGGTGTTGGCTCCATAGCTAAGGTATTTGGCGCCACCTAGCCCATGTTCGACAACTCGTTCACCGCGTGCTTGAAACATTTGCCGTTCACTCTCAGTTATAGGATGGTAACCGAAGTCAGCGAGACTGCGACGATGCACTCCACTCCAAGGAGGTAAAACCTCCGAGAACGTGACCACGGAGAAGTGGTCTCCTACTAGAACTACCACCTCCATCGTGACATGGAAGTGCTTTTGTGATCCAAAGAGTGTACGGCGCTCTTCATAGAAGCAATCCGAGACACGGTAAACACATGGAGCAGATGCAGGGACAGCCGTACATTTCACAGGCATATCTGGTTTGAACAGTTCGCCCAATCCATCAAAGGTAATCATTCCCCTTGCGATCGACTCTTGAGCTTCTTGGATTCTTTTCTGAAAGATCAATTCTAGTTGAGAGATAAGCTCAGGGAGCCCAACAACTTGAATTATCTCTGGTTCAGCACCCGGACGGAATCCGAAACCAGAGAGCAAGCCTAAGGTATGGTGACGCCAGTATTGGGTGAATTCGTGGGTCTGGGACAGCAAGCCAGAATTGTAACTGTCAATCGCATACCGCAGACATCTCAAGCGTCCGAGTATTTGGAAAAGCTTGTCGGCAGTCACTTTCCGAGAATGAAGAGATCCAACATATTGGGTAACCACGGCGCGAAGCGAAACACTCCCTTTACTCTCTTCCAGTCTTGGAAATTCGAATTCAGTTGTGTCCGTATTATCTCCGTTCCATGCAAAGATCGTCACATCATTGCTCTTGTAATGATTCTTTTCGGTTGCTTCGCCTGCAAAGAGATTTTCAGAACCAGCAGTCGATGTAAGAATCAAAGCAGAGGGGGAAGAAAATCGCGAAAGAGGAGGAGGGGGAGGTGGAGGAGCAGTCATGGATGGCTGCCAGGTGAAGCTCCTTTGCAGTGTTGGTATATGAATGAATGCGGTCGACCCTTGTGTAACAGTCACCTAGAATAGGGATGTTAATGGATCTTTATATATCGCCCAATACCAAGTTCTGTTCGGTCCTCTAGCAGAATAGGCTGCCTGGTCACGGTGGAGAATCAACATTGTCATCACCGCTCGCGATTAGGCTACGGCATTATGGGCTCGATTAGAATATGAATATACCCCCATTCTGTTGAAAGTGGCTCCAGGCTACCAGCATCAGTAATCCGGAGGGTCTTCTCGGTGCCGCGTCCACGTAATGCAGCAAACTGAAGGCTTGGCATTCGGAAGTGGATATCGGACCCTCTTTATCTTCCGAGTCGCCGTGTCTGATGAGGCTCAGTCTCCCTGGGGAATATCTGTCATTTGTGAATTGCATTCCATCAGAGGAATAACGTGCTGTCAGAACTCCCGGCCGTATCTTATCACTTCATGAATGAGTTTCACCTTTCTCTATACATGGAAGCGGCTTAGTGCCGAAATATGACGGTCGGCTGATTGACTACTGCCCGGGGCTAACCGCTGGGTACAGAATAAATATCCTCAGAATTGCATGGTTGAGCAATTACCCTTTTAAAATGACAGTCAAGTTGTATTCTGTCAATCTATCAAGCGCGATTTGACCAATTCTTCCTCCCATTCAGTATTCAGTGCTTCATCGTAACCCATCCGAACAGCCGATTCACGAGCGACGAATCTCGGAGATCATGATCAATCCACTTCTCGAAGTATACTTCTCCCCACTAATATCTTCCGGAAGTATATCCTTATCCCCGTTCGCAACCATTGCCTCAGCCAGCGTACACCTTCCCGCTTCCGCAAATCCTAATCCCCGATACAAGCCGACAGTTGCGTGGTTGTCTGGCTTTACCATCAACCGAACCCAGAGCTCACGGGGAGAGTCCTTATATGAGGCCAAATAACTCAGGGCCTCCTGACACAGCCTCTTGCCCAATCCGCGGCCACGGTGGTCGGGCAGAGTAAACAAGCTGAGCATCTGCCAAAGCTCCTGGTCCCTTCCCTGTGCAGGCTTCTTCTGACCGGATTCCTCAGGGAGAATGAAGTCTTCTGGGCGCAGGGGGCCTCGTAGAGTTAACTGGCCTATCCACGTCGTCTGTTCTGGGATCTGCGAATCCGATTGATTGCTTTGTCGGGGTTTCGCAGCGCATATGAAAATCTCCCTTCCGTCCTCCGAGAGTCGGTTCACCCATTCGGTATCTGGAAGGGAAGCTTCGATCTCGTGGGTAGAGGAAAAAGAGCTCGGCGCGACGGATAGGGCCTCGAGGCGCAGCTGTTTATACTTTGCAGCCGAGGAGGCGATCGCATCGTCTTTGGCGATACGGAAGAACAGATACTCGTACTCACGATTTGACATGCTGAGTATGATTGTAAATATGAAATGGTCCTAAGGCACTCTGTTGGGTGAAAGAAGGGGCTTATCAAGTGTTCAAGTGGTGGTGGCTCGATCGCATCCGTTTGGCAAGGGGAACCGAAGGAGTGGGGCTCTAAATTAATGATCACGATATCAAAAAATAGAAGGCCCCTGTAGCATTAGTGGGGGGAGCAGATTCTCGTCCTATTTTAAGAAAGTATCGCAACCTTGATGGACGATCGTGATGCTGACTTGTGATTAGCCCAGTCAGCAAATCGAACTTTCAATCATACGAAATCACATATCATTCCTTGAAAGGTCTCAAAACAGACTCGGTCCGTGTGTGTCAGAACTCTACTATGGGCCACGGTCTGCTGTGAAAGTCATTCTTAGCCAAAGCTTGATATCACAGGGTATCAACTGCCTAGTCGCTCACTATAGAAGAAGTGGCCATATGTGTTAAGAGTGGACAATGGCTAGTTTTTCGAGAACGGTCGAGTGGTTTCAAATTCATTTGGAATTTAATAATAGCCTCCCCACTTAGCAACGATTAGGCTTTGGGCCCTGGGTTAAAATTAAAACTCTTTTTTTAAATCCTGTGCTGATACCTCTAAGTTACTGGTGCAAATGGATGATAATCAGAAAGACCCACAAGCCAGCAAAACACGGTCACCATTGCTCATTCACCAACCGCTTGATTGAGAGCATTCACCCGATAGCTCTCATTGCGACCCACCAACTGCACGTGAGTTCCCTGATCAACACAGCGCCCATTTTCAATCAAGAAGATGACGTCTGCCCTGCGAATGGTATACAGCCGATGCGCGATGGCGATCACGGTCATATTCTTCGTCGCCTTCTCTAAGCCGTCTTGCAGCAATCGCTCTGACTCTGCATCAAGGGCACTCGTCGATTCATCTAGAAGCAAGAGTTTCGGCTTTCGCACGAGCGCCCTTGCAATCGCCAACCTCTGTTTTTGACCACCAGAGAGGCGATCCCCGTTAGGTCCACATTGCGAGTCATATCCATCAGGGAGCTGCATGATTGTATCGTGGATGTTGGCCAGCTTGCAGGCTTCCTCGAGATCCTCATGGGACACTGACTGACCGGGTCGCGCGCCCAGGGTCAAATTGAAGCGGACTGTGCCCTCAAACATGACACTCTGCTGTGGAACATATGCGATATCATGCCGGAATGAGTCGTCTCCGTACCCGATGTCGCGCCCTCCAATCTCGACAATGCCTGACTCAGGTCTATATAAACGCTCCACGAGCGAGATGATGGTGGACTTGCCGGCACCACTGGGTCCAACTAGCGCGGCAAATTGTCCACTCTGGATGCGCAAATCCAGCCCGTGTAAAATGCGAGTGTCTGGTCGAGCGGGATAGGAAAACGTCACTTCTTTGAAAGCAACACTGGTACCGCCACCATCCAACAACTGTGACTGCTCACTTGGCTTGGGAGTCGCTTCGATATCCCCCACTGGCGTGAGAGCCGAGGAGAGCTTCTTGAAAGATCCGAGATCGAGCACGTCCAACAAGCGACGCGTAGCCTGAAACGCGCGCGAGACGTCTGGCGCTAGTGCAAACGCCTGTCCCCATAGCTGAGAACTTACCAGGAGAGCGAGTTGGACAATGAAAAATTGAGTTTGAGTGTACTCGCCGGCAATGATGCGGGTTGAGCCCCACCAGTAGGCGAGCGCATAGAGGAAGTTGCTCAGTCCATAACCAACTGCTAGCCACAGGTTTGCCCATGCACTCTGTTTGGTGATCTGATGCATGGGAGCTTGCAAAGAGCGGCGGTATGTGCCGAGAATCTCATGCTCCAGGGACAAAGACATGACAGTTTTGATCGAGTTGACAGCCTCGACAGTGATGGCGTTCGAGTTCGCAAAAGCCTTCAGGTGCTGCTCCTCAAAGCTGGCCAGGGTACTAACGCGCATGTAACCTGCACCTAGTAGTAATGGTACCACCGAAAGACACACAATCGCGATTTTCCAGGCAATGATATGCGTCATGGTGATGGTCGCGATGAGACTGACAAAAATGGAGAGGATTGTACAGACAACAGAGCCAGTGAGACCACCCAGTGCGGTGCTATCCTTGGTAATCAAATCAAGCAGAATTGAAGCATTGCGGTCCTCTCCCTCATGCCAGGTCATACTCTGCTCTAAAATTGACCGCAGCGTGAGAACGCGCACTTTGTAGATGATCTGTTCGGCGATCCAACCGAAAAGAGACCAACTGAGGAAGTTCGCGATGAACTCGATGATGGCCAACATGAAAAATAGCAATCCGAAGAGCTCACCCGCATGACGGATTGAACTGGGTTGTTCGCAGTAGCTGAGTTTGCCAACAACATTGCCAAAGATCACTGCCGAGCCGCAGTATGTGCCACCAATGACCACCGCCCCAGCGATTGCAACGATGAGGGCAAAGGTATATGGCCGGAAAAGCGCGCCCATACACTTTACTGTTGATAACTTAGTTCGCTGACCTGCCATACGTTCCGTGGCAAAGTGCTGGGTTACGACCTGTGCTTCTGCCTTGTTTGTCGTCGGAATATCTGTTGCAGTCGAGGCATCGAAGGCTTCAGACTTTTCATGAAGCTCCTGGGCCGAGGAGTTGGAATGCATCGAGATTGAGTCCAGGGAATCTTTTCCGCCGCCATTGACGTTGAGATTCTGAAGACGAACAAGCTCGGCGTACGCGCCGTCAGCCTCGAGCAATCCTTGGTGTGTTCCTTGCTCCACCACTTTTCCCTGGCGCATGACAATGATATTATCGGCATTCTTGATCGTGGAAAGTCTGTGAGCAATTGTAACGACCGTACGTCCTATGGCCACATGCTCCAACGCCTTCTGTATACGGAGCTCTGAGGCTGAGTCGAGCGAGGCAGTGGCCTCGTCAAGGATTAGAATGCGTGGATCCTTGACCAACGCGCGAGCGAGCGAGATGCGCTGCTTCTGGCCACCACTGATGAGATGGCCTTTTGCACCGACTGATGTTCCAAAGCCTTCCGATAGATTCTGGATGAAGCCGATTGCATCTGCCAAAGAAGCAGCATCCAAAACCAGTTTGATAATCTCTTGCACTTGATCGCCATGCAATTGGGAAACCAAACTCAGATCTTGCCCACCACGAAGGGCCTCGGCCACGGTGGCAAGGACATCTGTCATAAGGATGGAATGCAGATATCTGTGTTTGGGAGAGTTCACCAGACCAAGCGCGATATTTTCGAGGATAGATCGATCAAGAAGGCACGGCTCCTGTTGCACAAGACTGATCTCGCCCCGGACTGATCGCACATTCAAGTCTTTCACATCATAGCCATCTAGAAGTACGGCACCTTCCGTTGAGTTGTAGAATCGAGTAATCAGGCCTGCTACAGTGGATTTCCCACTACCCGAAAGTCCCACAATTGCCGTTTGCCGACCAGCGGGACAAGTGAGTGAGAGATCTTGTAGTACAGGTTTCTCTGGGCGTGAAGGAAAAGTAAAAGAGACATTTCGCAGCTCAATATCTCCCACTACCTCCGACAAAATACGTCCGTCGTTCTCAGAAGTACCATCAATGCTCGATACATGGTCCATGTCGGCTTCCAGCTTGGCGAAAGCCACGGCTGCAGAGTCAAAAGTACGCAGGAAGGGAGCGGCCTGACTGAGAATAAGAGAGGCTTAATGATGGATGTGAGCGCTGGTCCCGTTCCAGGTTTGAGATGGGCGTGGCCATGTTCAACTTACCATCTACAAGGATCAGGATAACGGTAAATGTAGCTCCGACCGTGATACCACCGGTGTTCGACTCAACAGCTCTCGCAATCTGCCTGGATCCTTGCCAGAAGGCGAGACCATTTGCCGAGAAGGCGATGAAATATAGAAGCCCAGCCTGAGCAGCCATGGCAATGGACTTCCACGTACCAGCCGCGAGGCCTGGGTTCAAAACCTGGATAAACTTCTCCTCCAGTCTTGCATTGGCTGAGAACGCATGTACAACGGTAATATTTGAGAAAGCCTCCAGCGCGACCGAGGAAGCCTTTCCTATGCTCTCGAGCGAGCGCCCAAAGTACTTCTGCACAAAGTACCCACCACCCAATGCCATGAGGAGATATGCAGGAGTAAGGGAGACCAGCATACCAGCGAGCTTAGCGTCCTTGATGAATGCGACAACATAGGCAGCAATGAAGAAGGAGATGCTGTTGATCACAAGTCCCACTTTCTCATTCGTACCCTGCTGCACAATGGATATCTCTCCTGTGATGCGCGAAGACACCTCACCGGCCGGCAGGTTGTCAAAAAAAGCCGCATCTTGGCGCAAGATGGAACTCAGATACTTTTCCCGCAGACGCTGCGCAAGTCGCTCGGCACTGAGATTGAAACAGAGGGTATAGATATAGATCAGCAGAAAGTATGCGATACCGACATACACAATCAACAGAATTTTGGAATTGATTCCGTCCTGGTAGGATGCCGCGGTGTCGGGGTTGACTTCACAGGTGGCGGAGTTCAGCCCATTGACCAGCTGTCCGAAGACGATGGACATAATAGGGAACGGGATCCCAGAGGCAATTGCGGCAATAAAGCCAATGATCAGGATAATTATATCCTGAGACGAGGGATTACCGTAGAAGAGCAGACGAGCAAATGAGGTGGCCCGGCGCCAGAACTAGAGATCAACCATGTTTGTTTAGCATCGTTGGGATCGATTCGGTGATCAGGTACCAAAGGGAGACTCAGGAATAACGTCGAACTACCTACCTTCTTAGGTGGCTCTGTCCCTGCTAGCGCTTCAGTTGCAGCAGCCATAGTATCTGTTGTTGGGCCGCTGTGTCTGCTCGGGGATTAGCAGCGACACTGAAGAAGGATCTGATAAAAAGATTCCGCGGGATCAGATAACAGTGTGCATGAAAGTCAAAGGAACCACAACCGGACAGACTCTGAGCTTGTCGTCTGTCATGAGCCATCTTGGCACCTCTGTATTAAGCGTCTCCTATTGTCAGTAAATTTGACAATCGGTGGGTACTACCAGCAGAGTAGACGCTCCACCCGATGCGAGGGTCTGCTGAAAGACCGATCTCCGACATCGGGTAGGCTGTATTTCCGATTTCAGCCCAGAGCGAGGGAAAATCTTATCAGATCACGCCATGATCAGACGACAGACAGACTCCAATTGAAAGATGCCAAGAGGGATACCAATAGAGGTGCCAAGAGAGATGCGGGATCATTCCGAGCGTAAAGGAAGCACTTGTACTCCGTCAGAGTGAATGAAATCAGTGTATCAATTTTAGAGTTTCACTGTTCGGGTGGTTCCGCCACGGTACCACGGCACCACGACCCTTGTCCGTACCGTACCATATGTATGGTTGTTGTATAGTATTATGGGGGCACTGGATAGTCGCGTCTGCCGCAATAAACATACGGTACACGACAATCAATACTTTACGGAGACCATTATGGGACTATCGTATTGTGACCTCCAAAGGTGGATCCCGTGGATGTCTCGGATGCATCCCTAAGAGGTTCAGTCCACGATCTGGGCAGCAACAAAAAACGGTTCAGATGGTTACTGTTTGTCCTCTTGATCTTAGTCTTGTCACTTGCATCTCTCATGCTACGCATCCTTCTTCGCAACCGTAGCTCAGATCCTCTCTGTGCAAGTTTTGTGGATTTCCCAACTCTATCACGCCGTTGGTTCAGCACTCACAATTCAAAAATGGGCGAGACCGTGAGAATGGGTGACCGGCCAACCCCCGTCCCGCTGCCCAATGCAGAGCAATTCTTCCTAGACAGCGATCAGGGTCACAAGTACCTGATACAACTATCTTGGCCTCTACATTGGCTGGATAATCGGACGTCGGACCGCGGGCCCCTTCCCATCATGTACGCGCCCACAGATTTCTGCCCTTTTGTTTTTTTCTATCACATCACATTTCAGATGGGCACCTTGTTGTTTACTTTACTGATCCAGCCGATCTCGATTACTATAGCTACGTCGTCGACGGAAACGCATTGTTCCTAACCGCAACGGAAGTGGCTTGGCGCCGTGCAGCTTCATCCCACTTTGCCGGCGGTGGCCTCATCGTCGCCATTGGATACCCCGTGGCTGGCAAGCTGTACGATGCTAAGCGCCGAAGTCTTGACCTGACACCGCCAACCGAAAGTCCGATCCCGGGCGCTGGTGGTGCGGATGTCTTTCTCGATTTCATCGAAAAGTCCGTTCGACCCGCTGTGAAGGCCCGGTTTCCTAGGATAATCATTTCTCGTGAAGCGCTGTACGGTCACTCGTACGGGGGATTATTTGCCCTGCACGCCCTTTTCACGCGCCCCACCTCGTTCGACTGTTACATTGCTAGCAGTCCGTCGATATGGTGGAATAGGCGATGTATTTTACACTCGGCCCAAGCCTTCTTAGACAATGACAAGGCTTCGGATGAGAAGTTACCGTCGCTAGTCGTTTCTTGGGGGTCTTGTGAGCAGAATCCACCTCAGTGGAATGATGAGCCTCTGGATCATTACGAGGGGCGGAAGCAAATTGCCTCAGAGTTGCGAATGGCAGATAATGCGAGGGACCTTGTTAACATGATGGGTGGATGCAACCGACTACGCACAGTGCGGGCGAAGGAGTATGAGGGAGAAGAACACACAAGTGTCATGGCCTGCTCAATCAGCCGGGGCTTGACTACGTTCTTTGAGGATTGGCCTCTCAGCCAGTCTTGATTGAGAGGTTTTGAACATTTTATTATCTCCAATTCCAATGTCAGAGATTGAGACTAGAGTAGATAGTCAATGAGGTTGATGAGAATTATCATTCCAGACTAAGAATATGAATGTCTGCAGTGGTGTTGGAATCCGACCGGTGAACTGTACATCAGTCGGTATTACGAGGGGGCTGATTGGAAAGGAAAAAGGTGATTTTTTTTCATTCTGAGACTAGCAAAAACCTCCTGTCCGCGTGTTCTTGTCTATGGTGGTCGTTGGCAGCCACCCAACTGATGCATTCGGCGATTCGCGACATACGGCTCTTCCTTCTCCCGCCTTGCTGTCGGCAAGGATCCTTGGCAATGCTCAACAGTTCTTCCAGTAGTAGATTATTCAGTATACGTACTAACTATGTTAGTTAGGCAAGCGAACTCTTGGCCTGAGATACCAAGCTGGGCGAATCTTAGTACCCCTCAAACGTTCCAGGTTCGGCCTTTGAGACCAGTCTGGTAGATTCCAGCTGGATGGTCTCTGCAGCGTATTGGCCAGAGCCTGTGTGGCTGTCATTTAATCTCCACCTCGGGGTATCAGATGCGCCCAACTTTTGGAGTCGGGGGCGTGATGATTATCTCCGACCATCTTCGGATTGATCCTTACCCGGAAGGGCTTAACGCCACCCGTGCCAAGCCTCGGCGACAAAATCCGCCCCCAAATCTTATCTAATCTGATCACCAACGGACCCTTGTATCGTGGTGAAATACATGAAAAATACATTGGTGCATCATGTATTGAAAGTGAAAATCTTTCAACTTCCTCATTAGGACAAGGGGCTCGCAGCTGCATGCCAGCTGGATCACAAGCCAGAATTTGTTCCGTCCCCTCCCCCCCCCACCACAAAAAACTGAACTACCATGGTGGCAACCGTTCATACAGACCAATATGATTCCATCATCGGACATCGGAACGGGGCTGGTACAGGTGGAGATCCTTTCTTCCCGCGAGCACACTAGCTTGTATTGGACCTGGAGATGAATCTACAGGGTCCTAGTCGTATAGACTTCATGCGCTGGGCACCATGCCATTGCTATGAGCTGCCAAACAATGTACAGCGTGCAAATTGTAGCTTGGTAAGAGAAGGCAGCTCGGATACATTTGAGGGGATCCTTAATATAATACTTATTGATACCTTTTGGCTAGCGATCTCACCCACTAAATTTGCTGTTAGGGCAGCTCCACGGCGCGATAGAGTACTTCTCTCTCTGGTCCTGGTCCTTCCCGACCAGGAATAAGTCTGATCGGCTGAAAATGGCTTCGATATCCGCAAATCAACCTTTGACTTCTATGGAAAAGACCCCTTGTGGATATTAAGACTCTTACGCAAGCATGATACAGGCAAGATCTTCGGCGCCAAGGGCGAAGAAGGTATGAAGTTGGCTTCGTTTGTAGCGTTACACCAAGCTATCTCTCGTAGTCTTACACGTCGACATGGACGCGGAATCCTCTCAGCCGACAGAATGCGGGAATTCGGAGAATAGCCGTGTCAATCGTGCAATCGTACAGATGCCGAGACATATCGCCATATTTTCAGTGCATAACAGGACCCTAGTCAGTTGAAGCAGTGGGCAGCCCCGTAGCTTAACTCCCAGAAGTATGAGATATATAGCAGGCGTGAGAGAACACCTGCATGAATAGACTGAAGAGCTAAAAGCACACTCTTACTGTCATCACTGTCACCTTCTCTCTATTCTTCTTCTATATTTCCTTTGCATATTCAAGCCCAGAGGAACACTCCTATCATTACCTCCACCTTTCCCGCCGCATACAGCAACGAACACCTTACGAGATGGCTGCGATCGAGAAAGTCCAGCCAACGCTGCGAACGGCGCGCCTGGAACTCGTACCTCTCGGACCAGAACACCGAGAGCACACCATGAAGCTCGATATGGATCCCAAAGTGATGAAGCAGGTTGCCTTCGGCCGGCCCTTTACCGAGGATGAGGCGATTCAAGTGCACACCTGGCTGATGGGCTGTGCGAAGTCAGTGCCCGGTTTCGGAACGTGGGCAGGCTACACCAACGGGGAGTTTGTAGGCTGGTGGATCCTGGGACCGATCCCTACGAAGGAAAACCCTGAGCAGTTTTTGACCGATCGCACCGAGTACGGATTCCGGGTATCGCCGAAGTTCTGGGGGCAAGGATTTGCAAAGGAAGGGGCCCGGGAGATGATTCGACACGCTTTCGTGGACTTGGGGTTAGTGGAGGTGATTGGTGAAACGATGACCGTCAACACCGCGTCTCGCGCGGTGATGGCAAGCTGTGGGCTGAAGCATGTCGAGACCTTTTTCAATACGTACCCAACACCACCGCCGGGTATCGAGGAAGGCGAAGTGCGCTATTCAATTTCGAGGGAGGAGTGGTTCGCTGCGCAAGCAGCTGAGGCTTCACGAGAGTCGGACAAGAAAAGTTGGTCGCTTGCTATGGCCTGGTCTAAGTTGTATTGCTTTCTGCGGAAGATTTTGCGGTAGTTGGGAACTCGAGCCTTGCCCTCAGACTTTGTGTACACATTGCGAATGAATCTTGATCACGTTCCGGCAGATATCAGTTTCCTCGTATCCCCAACTATCCTCGTACACGCCGGTCCCGTTATTCCATGATGGAGTCAATACGTAGTTTATTGGCCAAGGCCATTTGCTGTACTGCGGTGTCACCGATGCTATCTGTCATCTTCACTGCCTCGCAGTCCGTCTATTTGATACTCATGCCTCCTTTTTACAATGCTATAAGTGTCGGCTTTACAAAGGTCAAGGGCGGGCAGCGTGCCTACTTTGTTCTTACAGTCCTAGATTGGAAGAAATGCTTCTCAAGTGATGTGAAGAGCTTTCCAGTCTCAGAAGTACAAAGCTGCCCGTCACTGCAATATCTCAGCAACGTTAGTCTCCGCTAGCGTCAGCCACTAGAATGACTGGGCAGAGTGGCGCCGGTACCAGGGAGGTAACGCTGGTAATTTCGAAATTCTAGCTCACTCCGATTTGGGTTTCTTAAACTTTCTCTTTTTCTTTTCTTTTTGTTTGCCGCGCAACACGCAGTCCTCCATTAACCTTACGTAAAGATTGGATCGGCCCATTGGAGCGGAATCGGATATAGATGTAGATGTAGGCAAAATGTCCGCGCTCGCTTAAATAAATATCAATCCGCGGCCTTCATGCTGCTCCTCTTTCTTCTGTTGTCCATTATTTCTACTGTGCTCCCTTCCATTCTGGCCATTTCACAATGGGGTTGATGAAGAGGTTTCATACTATAGTTTGCGACAAGTCCGCCAGCGCCGAGTCTGCCTCGGTCGACCACCCAGGAGTTTCGCAAGCGACCGCTGGCGACAAGGAAGCCGGATTCCCACCGGTCAAGGAGGTCCCAAACAATGACAACAGTGATCATGACCAGGAGAAACCTGCAGATGATGCCCAGCCGGGTGTGAAGAAGATCGAGGCAGTCACTCTCGCCTGGAGCAAGTCCTCCGCATACCTGGTGCTAGTCCTGTAAGTCTTCGCGTCCTTATGCAAGGCGTGTTGCGCTCTGCTAACTGGTTATTTCTCCTTTGAACAAAGCATCTGGTTCCTCACCTTGGTCAATGATTTCCGCGGCTCGATGACGTACAGTCTGAACGCGTACGCGACAAGCTCTTTCGCAGGGCATTCGTTGCTGACCGTCATCACTATTGTGGCCTCGGCCATGGCTGGTTCCGTCTATATCCCCATGGCTAAGGCGTTGGACCTGTGGGGTCGCGCGGAGGGTTTTCTCGTGATGATCACCCTCTGCGTGCTCGGCCTTATCTTGCTCGCTGCGTCGCAGAATCTTCCAACCTACTGTGCTGGGCAGGTAAGAAGCAACCTAGTTCAAGCAGTAACGTCGAATGTCAGTAAGAAAAACTGTCTGACGCGCGATTTGTACGACTCTAGGTTTTCTACTCCGTAGGCTTCGGCGGCTTGGCCTATACATGGGATGTTCTCGCCACCGATGTGACCAGTCTTAGAAACCGAGGACTGGCCTTTGCATTCACCTCATCTCCGGCATTGATCTCCGCATTTGGTGGATCCAAGGCTGCTGGAGAACTGCTCGTGCACTCCACCTGGCGCTGGGGCTATGGCATTTGGGCCATCCTCGTGCCCGTCTTTGCCCTGCCGATTTACTTCATGTTGGCTTACAATCTCCGCAAGGCGGAGAAGAAGGGAATCATTGTCCGTGAGAAGAAGAAGTGGGACTTCAGCCCTCGAGGTCTTTGGTGGTTCATCATTGAGTTTGATTGTAAGTGGCCCTCATTTTGACCTTGGCGGAATTGCTTCGATACTCACGCTCGTCTCTCATTCAATAGTACTCGGAGTCGTTCTCTTTGCTGGAGGCTTCATCGTTTTCCTTCTTCCCTTTACCCTTGCGGCTACCGCCCCTCACGGCTTCCAGACGGGCTATATTATTGCGATGATTGTGGTTGGCTTAGTCCTGATTATTAGCTTCTGGTTCTACGAGATGTTCCTTGCACCGGTGCCATTCCTGAACTACAAGTTCCTGACCGATCGCACCGTGCTGGGCGCTTGTCTGTTGGATATGACATATCAGGTCTCATACTACTGCTACGGCAGCTACCTCTCCTCCTTCCTGCAAGTGGTCTATGAGTTGGATGTCGCGACTGCCGGATATGTTGGCAATATTTTTAGTATCGCCTCATTTGTCTTCCTCTTCATTGCGGGTTGGCTCATCCGCGTGACTGGTCGCTTCAAGTGGATTCTCTGGATTTGTGTCCCTATGTACATCTTCGGCCTGGGTCTTATGATCCACTTCCGAACACCGGGAGGGTACATTGGCTACATTGTCATGTGCGAGATCTTCTTTTCGGTTGCGGGTAGTGTATTCATTCTCTGTGTGCAACTCGCTGTCCTCGCATCCGTCGATCATCAGCACGTCGCCGCAGTGCTCGCTTTGCTCTTCGTGATGGGCAGTATCGGTGGCTCCATCGGCAGCGCCATCTGCGGTGCCATCTGGACAAACACATTCTTGAAGAAACTCCAGCAGGTTCTCCCAGTCTCGGATCAGCCAAACCTGATGCTCATCTACGAGAGTCTTCCCACGCAGCTCAGTTATCCGGTTGGGAGTGCGACCCGTGATGCCATTGTCCAGGCATATGGCTATGCTCAGACCCGTATGCTCATTGCGGGCACGGTTTTCATGGTCCTAGGCTTCATCTGGGTTGGAATGATGAGAAACCTCAATGTCAAGAACATGACTCAGACCAAGGGTAACGTGTTCTGAGCACAGCCCGTTGGTTCAGAGTTATGGATCTTCATCGGCCTAGGTTCCGGTCCAAGCAACGTATACTAATCTAATATCGACTGGTATATATATGAGCTGATCTTCATGCATGTCTTCGAGGTTCCGTACTGAGTGGAAGGAGGAAAGATTCTAAACTATATGAGCAAAATAGCAAGAATATTATCGAGAATGGTGACATTTGCAAATCGCTGCTCTAACGCAAGACAATCCATCCATGAACTTACCTCCACCTGCAAGCGTCCTCGAGAGAGTAGCAACGGGTACTTTATAGGTACTATTGTAAGTCGCGTGCCAATCAAATGCTTGCTTTGATAAAAGTGAGTGCCGAGCTTGACGAATGTTATTGTAGTTGGCCTTCTGAAAATAAATATTCACTCCGTCTGGCGAAAGGCCCAAGCGGCGATTACCATTTTCTGGTCGTTCATCTGTGAACTCCAGCTGTGAAGTACTAAAAGGGATATTTTGCTCGCCCTCTATCCTGCTCGCCATGTAGGCCCATTCCGAGCTGGCAGGATCTCCTCCTGATATTTCCAGGATCTAAATCGTAATAACTTACTATTTCGCGAGATCAATCACAAACCACACTTCAGCTCTTCTATCAAATCTCGACCGAGGTAGAACTTAATCAGTCATTCCTAGTACATTTGATAGGATCGTGTGAAGCCGACATTGTGATTGGCCCGTGTGTGATCAAAGTGTGGATCGATCTCACTCGGATCTACCTTGGGGCAATTCCCGAAACATGTCGGCTACCCCATCTACCAAGCACACTGACCAAGACTTCCATATCTACGTGAGCGTCGAGAATGACCGAATGATTCTTCAAAAATGACTCCAACGAAGAAGGATGCGAAGCGCAAATACGTTACAACCGCCTGCGATGCATGCCGGCAGAGTAAAGTGAAGGTCGGGAATCGGTTTCCTGGACTGCCCATGGAGACTGCCGCAAGAGTAGCTGACCCGGGTTGCTAAAACAGTGTGATGGAGCCCAACCTTCATGCTCAAATTGCCAGAACAAGATGAAAAGCTGCACTTATCGAGCTGGATCTGATAAGAGAAAGTAAGTGTCTGGAATTTCCGCCCTGGCCTGTGCCATACCTGGGTGTCGATCAACGATGCATACGCATACTCAACTAAAGGACTTCAGAATATCTCTTCGATTTGTGGTCGACCTTCTTGTTATCCGGCTGGATGAGCTATCTCAATATCTCCTTGACCAGGGATTGTCTCCACCTCCCATGTTCAATGAAAATGAACTTGCATTGAAAAATGCTTTAGAAATTCTTGGACTTGGCCATGTCCAGTTGGCCTTGGAGAGAATTGAGACCAAGGATAGGCATCTAGCGCATTCTTCTCTCTCAGGAGCTACTCAGGTTTTGCTTGAAGATCCCGAGGGGGCGGATCTTGAGATCGATCTCAGCGAATTGAACTCAAATATGGATATATTGGCGCCCCCGCTGATGAACGACGGCTACGAAGAGATCTACTATCCTACATCGCAAAAGGCTTTAGCACTTCCAGAAGTTAATGAACACTCACTACCGTCCTTGTTCGAAGACGAAATTGTTGATTTGGGGGGCCTCTCGCATATGGGTCAAGAAACGAATCACAAAGACTTAACCCCACGGGGTTTGCCTGATCTTGCCCGGTCTGTTGAATTGAATCACCATCAGCCAAGTGATTTTCCAGGTCTAGAGTCTTCGGGCCGCCTTTCCAGTACTTGGGACACCGCGCCAAGTAGTGATGAACTGAAGCAAAACGCCAATGGCAGCGAAGACCTGGAAGCTATTGTGCACCGCCTCTCCGACCGCATGGGGAGTCTCCAAATTGGATCTGATAGACAAGTGCGGTATTATGGCCCGACGTCTCACTTTAACTTGTTGCGAATGCCTACCCCAGACAAGTTAACCATCCATCGAAATGTGCGAAAAGATGGACAAGACTACTTATACCGCATGGGCATCGGTAAAAGTGTGCCAGTCGATCTGGAGGCCCATCTGATTAACTTATTCTTTACCTGGCACAATCCATCCTTTGATGTGGTGGATAGGAAAATGTACGAAGCGGCAAAGCAACATTGGCAAGTCGACATGGAAGATACACCATATTATTCTGAAGCTTTAAATAACGCCATGTCAGTATGACCAGTAGGTGGAAGTGGTCTTATATCACTAACCCTGACCGATGTAGGTGTTGTCTTGGTGCTGCATTCGAGTCTCGCTATCATCCGAACTTCATCACGTATCCAAAATCCGTTTCAGACTTCTTTGCAGACCGTGCGAAGACATTGCTTGACATTGAGCTTGATTCGCCATGCTTGGCGACCGTGCAAGCAATGGTAGTGTTGAGTGGACACGATATAGGTTGCAAGCGTGACGCGAGAGGATGGCTTTACAGCGGTGAGTGTCACACTTGTCACCAGTATGAGGGGCCAAAAGCAATGCTGACTGATAACTAGGAATGGCCATGCGACTTGCCTTTGATCTTGGACTACACCTCGACATGTCCTCCCACGTATCAGATGGGTCCATCAGTGCGGCCGAAGCTGAATTGCGACGCATGGTCTTCTGGGGGGCTTACACACTAGACCAGTGAGGAAGACACGGTTCCATCCTACGAGCATCACTAATCTTACATACTATCAGGCACTGGGGATTCCTCCTCGGACGACCATTCCGCATCAATATGGAAGACGTAACAGTTGATAAGCCTGGTCGCGATTCGAACTGGGATCAGGCTCAGTGGTGGACCCCCTATGGACTCCCATTCCCCGTTTCATCCCTACCAGACTCATCGATTGTGAATCCAGTCACGGCTTTGAGCCAGTATCGTACCCTACTGTGTGAGATTATGACACCGTTAGGTCATGTATTGTATGTACTGCTCCAGATCATCTAGGTGTAATCGCTAATTTGCTTTCTTGCAGGTACGGATCTTCAAAGATATCCAAGCATGATCTGCAAAGTCTCAACGCAAAGACTACTAAAAAGCTTCTCCAGTGGAAAGCCAATCTACCCACACCCCTGCAAGTGGACCTCGACAACCCGAATATGCCATATCTACCGCACGTGTTGCTACTTCAGTAAGAGAAAAACATGTGCTGCTGTCCTCTCGATCGCGTATCTAACATGTTAAATTTAGTATGCATTATTACCAAGCGATCATCCATGCACATCGGCCGTGGATCTCCAAAAGCTCAATTCAACCCCAACCGGCTCAAGGCCCCGGTCATACCCATGCTCGCAAAATGTGTGTCGAATCCGCAACCGCAATTGCTAAACTGCTCCACCTGTACGAATTACGCTATACTTTCCGTCGCATGAACATCCAAGCAGTTGCCATAACCTGCTCAGCGGCGCTAATGTTGATATTCGCGACAATTCTCGATCGCCATTCCAATCATGACCATGAGACGGTGGCTCATCTCAGCCTTTGTTTCCGAGCGCTGGACGAGTTCGGTTTCTCATGGGAGAGTGCAAAACGAGCGCAAAGTTTCTTGCTTCATATGCAGGGCTTATGGGAAGCAAAGGTCCGCCCTTATCGCTCTGCGAAGCGTGCTATGCCTGAGATTCAGGATAAATCTCGAGGGCAATCACCTCAAATGAAAAAGTCTCGCACTTCTCTTGAAAGTGGGGACGGAACTGAGATTTCTGGAGATAGTTCAACAGCAAAGGAGTTCAGTGGGAAAGATGATGATCTCATTGATTGCGACTCGGAGGATTTTGACTGGTTATGGGCTACTAGCATGGGCGCTGTTCCTCCTCCGGAGTGAAATCTGTGGGAACTTGAATTCTGATTACATTGGTAGGCTGGGGCCTGCCAAGTATATATGCCTGATATCTTAACATTTTGCCATATTGCACGGGGGCTCTAACTGACTGGAAGTGTGAATATCACCATATCGTCGCTTTGAATCGCAAATCTACTGTGGTTGTGATTGCTTTCGAATTGGCTTTGTGTCTCGCGCAATTTGCTCTGCCCGTTTTACCTCGTTTAGCAAGGACTTGCCAGTCAAATTTTGCTATTAGATCTTGGGCTGTGTAACTTCAAGCTCATGCTTCAGTTTCTTCCAAGAGTCCATGGCTCGCAAAGCAGCATATTCCACCACTTTGCTATCCTCATCCCGCATGCGACGATCAAATATCTCCAGAGACACCCAACCCTTGTAGCCTGTCTCGACAATCCACGCCCTCGCAACTTCGGCAACCGGCATATATGCACCAAGCTCAGTCTCGTACGGAAATGGACGTGCATGCTTTGACCAGGTAAATTGAGGCGCTTCGCCTTCCACATACCACGGATGATCCTTGGAGAACGGAGGATCAAACCTCTCCCCATCGGACAATTGCACGAAGAATATCTTTTCCAGTGGACATTCACGCACAAAGCGACGGAGAGAGTCCCGCAAGATGTTGTCTGCATCAGGATACGTTCCCGATGGCGCGAAAGGATCGGCCCACAACTTCGTGATGATATGGAAGGTATCAAGACACAACCCAAAATTCTCCCGCGAGACTGATTCAACAAGCTTCACTGAAGACTCCCATGTTGAATGGCAGGTTGACCAAGACATGGGTTCATACGCGATCGAGACAAGTGGCCGTTTGGAGCTTCCCAGGTCACATAGTTGCCGTAGTTCCCTGGTAATGATATCTTCGTCGTCAATAGCATCGACCCCGTATTGAGCAGGAACTTGCAAGAATGGTGCATGTAGAATTCTGGCTATTTCGATCCATTGGGTGGCCTTCTGTAGCCTGTCGATCAATGGCGAGCGGTCTCCTTCGTAATTCTCGAAGGGGGCTAACGAGAGGATGCTGAGACCATTATCGTCACAGATCGCCCTTATTCTGCTGGCGCCTTCGAAAACAGATAGGCCATTGGTCCGGGAGAATCTTTCCAGGTCTGAAAAGACTATTTCAATACCGGCGAATCCAGCTTGGGCAGCAACCCGGACTTTGTGATCCAGAGCATGAGAAGGGTGCTGGCCTAAGGATAGGCTGCCAATAGCCAACTGGTTGGTAATCATCGCGGTATGAGAAGTGTTCAAATTTTATGATTACAGCAGATAATAGACTGTGGAGCATATTACTATCCATCTTATAAAGTTGAAATCGGCTACCTGGAATTAAGTTGCGAGTACGGCGGCTTTTGGTTTCCGATCCCCACACTTTGAGGACTTCGCCGGAGGAAGAGCGCTGTACATGGTTCAAAATCAGGTCAGAGTTAATGTACAACTCTAATCAGTAGGGTTCTAGAAGTTGGAGAGATTATAGATGGTTCTCTCAGATACATGCTGAAAGATCATTCGAGCGATAATGGGTGGTCCTGAACTATCGAGGTAGATAAATCAAGAAAGACAATCAGAAGTATCTTTCAAAAGCGCTGGAGCCGAAGAAGATCCAGCTGGATACTTGCTCCAAACTCTATCTAGCCCGGGATTTATGGACTGTCCCTGTGCCTGGTACAGGTCGGAGGATAGGTGGATTTGCTGTGAAGTATACTTCCTCATGACGGTAGAGTGGGAAGACCCCGCTTCCACATAACGAGCCCCTCCGAAGTGGAATTGCCCTGCGCCCTTCACGATCGGCATGCACAGAAGATGTCCATCACTCGGTAGAGTCAAGGCCGGAATCACAACTCTCCGTTATCCTTTGAGATCTACGAATTAGGATGGCTGGTGCCTGGCACGGGGCGATGGGGAACTTGGATTGTGGGCGTCAGCGAGTCCGGTGAGCTTCGAATCAGCTTCGACTGCCAAGAGAGAAGCTCCACGACGCGCGATCGCCCGCAGATCGCCGATGGAGGGGTCGTCCGTTGTTGCTCAGCTGCAGCCCTGTCGTCCTCTGTGAGCTTCACAATCGAAATTGGGATTCCAATTGACACTGCGCTGAGTTTGCATCGATTCAGGAGCATTGCGCCCTGCCCCCGCCATTCACCATGGTCGCCCAACTTCTCACTATCCGCAATAACACCAGCACTCCCATCGTCCTCAAGCGCATTGAGCGCTTCGAGGCTCCCAGGGAGAGCAGAGGCGATGACATCGCTACGCTGGCAAAGAACTTCACCCGTGTGCTCACCAACACTACTCGCACGGTTGAACCTGTCAAGGCCATTCACATCGACACTCGACCCTTCGAGGAGCACAATGATGTCGACATTCGGGTCGAACCCTTCACAACCAACAGAACCGACCGAAAGACATTCATCAACTCTGATAAGGAGCGCATGCGTCTGACTTTCGAGGTCGATGGCGAGCGTCACTCCATTCAAACGCCCGTCCCAACTACAGAGTCAGCCACCATGAACTCCGAGTCCGAGAATCCCAGACACCGCTTCACGGGCATCTACGTGACACCAGAGTCGCACCTAGCGATCTTCTCGTCTGCCAAGCTCAACGCATGGATGGGCGAACTGCGCGACGATACTCTGCTCTCCGCACTCTCCATCCCTGGCACCCACAACTCACCCACCTGCCACGTCGCGCCGCCCTCTGTGCGTTGTCAGGCCGTCAGCCCGCGGGAGCAGCTGAAGAACGGCGTGCGCTTCTTCGACATCCGCGTTCAGCCCCAGTACCCCGATGACCCTGCCAAGGATGAACTAGTCCTCGTCCACAGCGTCTTCCCCATCTCGCTAATGGGCAACAAGTACTTCCGCGACCTGATGAAGGAAGTCAACGAGTTCCTGGAGCAGAACCCCTCCGAGACGCTAATCATCTCCCTCAAGCGCGAGGGTCCCGGAAACGCCAAGGACGAGCAGCTCGCCAACATCCTTTCCCGCCATTATGCTCGCCCCGAGAGCCGCTGGTGGGTGCGGCCCAAGATCCCCACGCTGGGCGAAGCTCGGGGTAAGGTTGTTCTCATTCGTCGCTTCAATCTGCCCGATGAGCTCAAGGGCGAGCATGGCGGAAATGGATGGGGCATTGACGCCGCCGCGTGGGCAGATAATACTCCCAACGCGACCTGTCCCAGTGGTCATCTCTGTATTCAGGACTTCTATGAGGTCCAGGAGACCACCAACATCGAGAAGAAGATCGAATTTGTCAAGGAACAGATTGACCGGGCGAGTAAATGCCGCTATCCGTTCGGTGTGCTGCCCGGTCCAGTAGAGGCTCGCGAGTTTCCTTTCTATATCAACTTCCTGAGCGCGAGCAACTTCTGGAAGACTAATACCTGGCCGGAGAAGATTGCGGCCAAGGTGAATCCCGCCACTGTTGATTATATCTGCCGTCGTCAAACCGATGGGGACGGCGATTGCTCGACTGGTATCCTGGTGACAGACTGGGTTGGTCTAGATGGGGATTGGGATCTTGTGCGCTGCATTGTTGGCATGAACGCTAAGCTGCGCTTGAGAGAGAACTAGGAGAGGCAACTTTGATTTGGACAATCCGGTGACCCTCTCGACTACGTTAGATATTCTCGTAATGATATCCAGATCCCCACATTGGGAAGACCACGGTGTATTGGTTGTGCAGTATACATTCATCCTAGATAAAAAGAACAGCAAACCCCTGAAATCCTCTAGGATGCAAAAACCAACAGTATGAGCTATTATACAAGAATGATTGGGTATGGCCTAAGCCAACCTAAGACGACTCGGTCTTCTCCTCGACGGGCTTCTGCTCCTCCTCCAAAACGCTTCTCCGGCTCTCCAGAGTGAGATACAGGCTCTTACCGGCACCCTCCAAGGTGCTGGTGACGCTGGATCCCATGCTCTGAAGGGCCATGATAAGCTGGGCGCGCAGACCGTCCATGCCACCCTCGATGCTGCCGACCCACTTGGTCTCGGCGATATCAAAGACCTTACCATCGACACGGGCAGCGAGAAGGTTGATCTTCTGCAAACCGGTCTGGACGACGGGGTCGTGGTACTCGGGGTTGCCCTTGCGAGTGGGCGCTGCGAAACCAGATTCCTTCGGCGTCAGGATCGACAAAGCGGCCTTCATGTGTTCGGGAGAGACGGCAGGGATGGAGAGGATCGCGATGGGGCCGACGAGGATGCCGGCGAGCTCGTGGCGGCCTTTCAGGTGCTTCACAGCAGCGTGAGCAGCACGAGACAAATCGTGGGTCAGGGCTGGGTCGTCCCTGGAGCCGGAGATGGCCGGCAACTCAGCGGAGGTTTGTGTGATGGGGTTGACAGCACTAGGAGGCTGTCCAGCAGCCTGGGCGGCCTCATTGGGTCGGAAGTACTCGACGATACGGATCGCGACCTCGAAGATACTTGTCTGGATAGTCTGCAGCTTGATATAAGGAGCCAATTCCGGAGCCGTTCGGCCCTCGGAGGCAATCTTCTCGTCCACCTTCTGGAGGGCCTTGGTGAGCTCTCGTCGGATCGAGGCCCATTCCATAGACTTCAGGTTGTTGTGTTGGAAGATGACCATCAGAGGAGATGTGCGGATGAGGGAGGTATATTGCCGCAGGAGTTGTGACCGGCGGTATTCGGGATTGCGGTGCGAGGGAAGCTGGACAGGAGCAGTCTTTGAGATTGGAGCTTTTGAGTGTCTCATTTCCTCAATGGGTGCGGCTGGCGTTGTTGCTGAAGCGGCAGCGGTGCTGGCGCTCCGAGACGCGATTCGGAGTTCTTGCGGGCATCGCAAGGCTTGTGGGCGAAGCGACGTGATGCGTACCCGTGGAGGCATGGTAGATGATATGTGATTGGCGTTCAATGACACCAATTGTTCGAGGTTGAAGTGGATCAAAAGAACTTCCGGGGGACGGAAGGGCAGTTCAACAGGTGATATTTTTTGATTCCACAATGGGGATAGCGTAATAACAGGCGGTCTATAATTCTGCCGGACATGGATCTGCGCCATGAGGGGTTTGACTCATGACTGTACCATTCCTTTGACACTTTAAACTCCCATTGACCTTTTAAAGCTCTGGGAAACCCTCAATTCCGGTTGAGTATTCATTCAAATGTCGTCTCCAACGTATCAGAAGCCGGAGGTGGTCTCCATCTCTCCTCTTCTTCAACGGCTGGCCTACCCCGCTACTGCCGATATTCGAGTCAGCGCAGAAGACATTGCGTCTGCATTTGCACTGATCTTTGAGGATCGATTGTCGGACATTCAGACCGCAGCCCTCTTAACCCTACTACACTCCACGGGGAAGGACAGACAGGCTGATGTGATTGCCAAATGCTCCCACCGCATGAGAGAGGCAGCTTGCCAGATTTCGAAACCGGAATTGAAGAAGGTTGTCAAAGCTCGTGGTAGGCGCGAAGGAAACTACCAGGGTGGCCTGGTAAGCAACAATGAATACTTGATGCTATGATACAACTAACAATGTATTCTACTTAAGTGCGACATTGTCGGAACCGGCGGAGATTCTCACTCAACCTTCAACGTGTCAACCGCCTCCTCCATTATTGCCTCGCCGCTTCTAGTGACAGCCAAGCATGGCAATCGCGCCCAGACCTCATTCTCTGGGTCTGCCGACGTCTTGAATGCGATCCAGCCCATTCCTCCCAAGATCTCCGCGGTCAATGCGACCAACGTGGCCAAGGTCTACGAGAAGACCAACTACGCCTTCCTCTTCGCGCCCAACTTCCACCCCGGTATGATGTACGCCAACCCCGTCCGACGTGGTCTGGGTCTGAGGACGATCTTTAACCTTATGGGACCTCTGGCCAACCCCATCGACTGGGCTATCGAGGCACGAGTTGTCGGCGTGGCTTACCAGAGCCTGGGTCCCGTCTTTGTCGATGCTCTCAGGCAGGCCGGTGCCAAGAAGGCACTGGTTGTTTGTGGTGAGGAGGACATGGATGAGATCAGTTGCGCAGGCCCCACCAACTGCTGGAGGCTTTCAGAGTACCCCAACCCGGCGTATAAGCCGTCCGAAGCCGACGAGGGTGACTCGAGTGACGATGAGGAGGAGAACCCCAAAACGCTAGTCAAGCTCGACATATTCCAGCTTCACCCTTCAGACTTTGGTCTCCCCGTTCACCCCCTCACCGATGTTTATGGTCGTAAGATGCCCAAGGACAACGCAGCTAAGCTGATGAGCATCCTTCGAAACGAGCTTCCTCGGGATGATCCTATTCTGGAATTTGTGCTCATGAACGTCGCCGCTCTACTCGTCACCGCCGGTGTCTGCGAGGCCGAGACCTCTAACATGGGTTTTGGCGATGATGGTAAGGTCGTCACCGAGCGTGGACCCGGTGGAGGCCGCTGGAAGGAGGGATTGCGCCGCGCACGCTGGGCGATTGAAAGTGGCGAGGCTCTCAAGAATCTGGAGCAGTTCATTGAAGTCACAAATCAGCTGGAGTAAGCTTGTTGGAAAAGAGATAGCTTTCGGAGTACAGAATGTTGATGTCATGAATTTTGTGTTGATTATCATGTGTCTGGAAATCTTTTAGGTCGAGATTGAGCGGTTTTGATTATATCGTCCAGGTGATCCAGCACTCAAACGAGGGATTCGGCTTATATCTGTCTGAATTAATTGGAAGAATGTGAAAAGGCTCAAACAGGACAATATCCCCAGATCAAATTTTGATTCTCCGTAGCCAGACGAGTCCAGCCACAGGTCATAAGTCTCATGTATTTCATGAAAAACTAGTTGTGTATTTGCAACTCCAAAGCGCCATTCGATGCATCGTGTCAAAAAATCGCGCAAAAAAAAGAGGAATCATAGAATAACGCGGGCCCCCGTTTCCTTCAACTCCATAGTGTCTGGACTTCGCAAAGTCCGAGACGATCATCCTGCCAGTTTAGGCGCATGTTTAACGAGCTTCGAACTGGACCATGCTATTGAAGAGAACGATATCGAGTCAGTCCGAGTACTTGGAGATAAGAGGGTACGCCGAAAGAAGGCTGATGGGAACTCACCGCTTAGTCCGCTCCTTGTACAGCACACGGTGACCGCACTCCTTGCAGCGAATGTGCTCACTGCGACGGAGAGACACGCGCGACGCGCAGTGACCGCAAATGTAGACGACCGCGGGGCTGTCGACAGCCATACCGCTGCCGCCCTCAGCAAAGGCGTTCTGGCCACCCATGGAGGGGACCTGGTAAGCTTCGCGGGACATTTTTGAGGATTGTTTGGGTTGAAGATTGAGGTAGGGGCGTTTTCTTAGGTCGGCGGGCAACAAATGTGAGGAGCAAAGCGATCGAGGGTGATGGTGATGGATGAGGTCGGCGAGATTCTTTTTCTTTCGCCGCGGGATTTTAGGTGATTACTAAGCACATGGTGATTGCACCCACAAGACCGTGGATGAGTCAGCGGTGCCACGATCCAGGCACGGAGTTTGGTGCTCTATGATGACTATCATAGTCTAAATTCTCAACATCCATCCCCTTGATTTGAATGTAGCCTTGAGCTATCTTGTTCAAATTACCTATTACGATGCCCATAATCTTGAAGAGGGCAAAATGAACAAAGAAATCTAAGAAATTTGATTTCGATGTACATGTTCCTGGCATAAACTGCAACCGTACGATCATAGACGGCAGGTTCCACAATTTACGATCTATTTTGAGATTACAAGGATAAATTACTGTTCATAGGATGAATTGTAAATTTTCTGATATTCTATGTAATTTAAAATGCCAGAGTCGACAAAAATTTGCCATAACTCCCCGAACCATGAATGAAAGTTTGGTGTATCTCATATGCAGTCATGATCAATCAAAATACCGACGCCATGCACCCAATGGAAAAGAAGTAATGAAAAAAGGATCCGTGGTTACCATCCACCACCAATCTTACCAGCAAGCTCGACCACTTTAGTGGTGTCGTTGGCGGAGGTCTGATCTTTACCGACGTCGCTCTCCACTTTGCGATAGGTCGTATATACCAGCTTCGAAAGGGGTATACCCATATAATCAGACCAGCGGTGCAAGTCCTCATGAATCAAAGCCTCTCTCTCTCCCATTGAGAGCTGAGTGGACTTTTGGTCTGGCGCAGACTCCGTATCGGATTCCATAGAGAAGTATGCCTCATCAACCCGCGCAAGCCACGCTCGCTGCTCATTTGGAGATGGCTTTGACGCCGCACCATCCTCCAATGTTCCGGTAATTGAGATTCCAGCAGCCTCTCTAGCATCCTCAACTCGAATCTGTCCGCCACCGTTGGTACAGCCACCTGGACAAGCCATCACCTCGACATATGCGTAATCCGAGCCTGACCCACCGGACGTAGCATTTCGGGAAATTGGTTGACGCCGTCCCGCTGCCACAGGCTTTGCTCCAGGCATTCGAGATGATCGGGCGGGCTTCAGTTTCCGGACCAAATTCTGAATGTTCCGGAAGCCATAATAACGAGCCGCTTTCAGAATAGGCTGTCCATCTTGCGAGGTGAGCACATACTCAACGACATCCGCATTACGGCCGCGGTTCGTCACAATGTCGCTACCAGGATTCCGAGCTTGGAATGTCTTGAGAACATGGTAGAGGTAGCCTCCAGAAGTGCCTGTTTCGAGGGACTGCTCAACAGCGGAGCGTTTGAATGAAACAAAGGAATCCAAAGCTTTCACCGGTAGTGGGGGGGTGTAAATGGGAGAGAGTGGACGGAGAGGTAGACTGGGCAAGGAAAGACCCCGAGATGCAGCCAGAGAGAGAAGCTCGCGGGTCGTTATCACGCAATCCACGTCTCGAATAGGTGGTTCAGACTCGTTCAGGGCACCAGTGGGCTGCCAAGACACATCCGTCAATTCTTCACGACTGGCCTCCAACTTCTTGTCAAAACATGGCATGACCGCTAAATGCCAGATGCGAGACGGTGGGACCCCAAGTGATTTGCTGAGAACAGTCTTAAGGAAGGTGCCCGAAAGAGCCTGTGGAGACTTTAGTCGGGACAAATGAGGCAAGACAAATGGATGGGTCTTTTCCGCATAGCAGATCCATCCTGGGCAAGCAGATGATAGGATGGGTCGGTTAGGAAGGGTAGGCTCGGACTGATCGGCAGCGGGGGCCTTGCCCGCGATTGACTCTGAAACTTCATCGGCAGTGAGGACTAAGACGGCCTCCCGCATAAAGTTTGTGTCCACAACCCATGTAAAGCCACTGCCATGCTTTCCACCGCTGCGTAGTCCCTGTGGACCACGTAGGAACTGATCAATCATGTATCCCGCTTCTTTCTCCGACAAACCGTAGGTGGCGGCCAAGCCGGCTCTAACCTGCGGGCTCACACTAGCAACGAATATTTTGCCATCTCCCAATATCCCAGTATCTGCGATCGTGGTCCCATGCTCTTGCGCCAACGGGATTGTTGGATAGGTATCAAGGGTGTTTAGGACCTCAGCATGAGACTGCAAAGAGATCAAAACCGCTTCCGCCGAGGTTACGCAACCGGAACAGGCAAGGCAGTCTGTCAAAGATATCTGGGCCGGAGGTAGGTTTTCGGGCTGTACTTTGTCTTCTGTCGTTACTTCGTAAGGATTCTAAGATTGAAACTTAGCGAATGAGGGACCATGCAGAACCGATAAGGTGGAAGAAACATCACCAACCTCTGTGTCCTTTGTGCTTTTCTGGGGCAGTGACTCGACAGGCTTGATGCACGCGACTCCGGGGGAAATGAAATCATTCAAGTCGTCAGCCGAAAGGATCGCGCTCATGGTGGCGGGTGCCGCTATGGGCTGATTAACCCCGCTTAGAAATGAGAAACCGAGGGTTTTTTTCGTGGTGAAAGGTGGGGGGGGGAAGAGCGCTGTTTGTATTGAGCGAAAGAGGAGCCGGCACTCAAACCGCAGTTGCAGGTATTCCTACCAAGGAATATAAAGGTCCCCCTGTCAAGCGCTGAAATAGTTAAAGATCAAGAGAACCAACGAGCATTACGGGCTTTGTCATCGGGCTGTGGCGACATCGGCCCTTTTGCTGCACCGATAAGCTTCTTTGGGTTCACCGCCTGCGGGCGTCGCTTGAGCGTTCTCATTGGCTGCATACGAACTACATCTTTTATCGCTCTCTTCGCTTTCTCTTCCCCAGCTTCATTGATGATCTGGGGTCAATCATCTGCTTAAATATTTAGGAGCTCATCGGATCAATTCTAGTCTTGACTCAAACAAATAACGCGGCTTCTTGACAGAATGTTGACTCAAACCTCAGGCGATCCGCTAAAGGAAGATAACCCAAAAGACCCAAAATCTACCAAGGCAGACACTGAGAACACAACATATGACAGAACATTCTGCTAGTATTTTTGTGTTTTTCTTCTTAGCTGAATACGCAAGTATTGTATTGATTTGTATTTTAAATAGTACATTATTCTTAGGAGGGTATTTATGTATTATACCTGTAAATTTAATAATAGATGTTTTAAATACTTTAGTAGCTATAGATACTTCTATATTAGAAGAAATATTTGTTAATATCTCATCTTCTCCTTTAAATTTAGCAGTAAAAACTACTTTCTTAGTGTTTGTATTCATTTGAGTTAGAGCTTCTTTTCCTAGAATACGTTTTGATCAATTAATGTCAGTTTGTTGAACTGTATTATTACCTTTAATAATAGCATATGTAGTATTATTACCTTGTGAAGTATATGGTTTAGACGCTTTACCTACACAAATATTATTATAATATAAAAATTATAAGTAAGTACTATATAATAGTATAAAAAAATATGTGAAACATATTAAAGAAACAGTAAGTAAAAAAAAAAAAAATAAAAATATATACAATGTCTTTATTATTATTATTAATACCTTTAGTACGAATAAGTTTTGTAACGATAGAGGCAAATTATGGTTTATCTTAAGTAAATAATATTAAAATAAAATCTATAGCCTTAATTACATCAATAATAAATTTAGTTATTTCATTAATAATGTTTATATTATTCGATTTTAGTAGTAAACAATTTCAATTTATTGAAGAACATTATCAAATAAGTTATTTTGATATCTATTTAGGTGTAGATGGTTTATCCACAGAAAACTGTCAACTCCAGAGCTTGAATTAGGGAGCTCCAGCCTGTATTCTTTCCCTTCGACCTCCTATTGATCATTCAACCTTGCCGACGCCTCGGAAAAGACCGCTTGACGGAGCGCAACTGTCGGAACATAAAATGAGAACCAAAACATGGACATATGCCTAATGACGCAGGCCCCTTTTCCATTTTGACCTCGTCTCAGAAAACTACGATTCGGGTGCAAGTCACCAGTGATACCCTCGGAACGAATAAATTGCGGACAATCACAAATCCTGCTTTGGGCTCTTTCACAAATTCACTCACATGAAAAACAGAAGACTCGACGACCTGACACGCAAACCTCCTATATATTGGAATTACCCCACTAGCTAGGTCAAGGTCATCAACGAGGACTTGCTAGATGCCGCATTTGCCCTCGTCACTGCATCTAATCTCATGGGGTGGAAGAGAGTGCACCGTGTTCTCGTGGCCAACTTGCAAAAGCTTACCATCTTAGAGGATGGTTGAATAATGCCAGCAGCCAAAGACAACAGACTTGGTACCGAACTAGCTTGGTATGGCATCTCACGTAGATACTATCCCATAAAATCCGACGAGGGTATATACACTAGCAAAGTCGCACTCATGCGCGAAAATGAAGAGAAATGGTTCTCGAGAAGGTGGTCAGATGAGCCAGCACTTCTCCCACTGTTGTCCGTCATCAGCGTGGCAGCAACTCAGGGCTCAGCTGTGGATCAAACCCAGGCCAAGTTTAAGAATGAAAGTGTGTGCACCCTTCTGGAAGAGAAGATGCGCTGTACCCTTCGTGTTGCAGATGGTAATCGTCATACCAAACCTGTACTCGGAGCCTTGGGATGTGGAATCTTCCGTCATCCCCTCGGCGAATTTGCAGATTGCTGAGCCAAAAACCCCACTGAAAAGGTGTTCAAGGGGTGGTTTGAGATCATCGTGTTTGCAGTGCTTGACAAGAAAAACGGTGTCGCCAAACAGACCCTGCACGACATCTTCTTACGCGTCTACTATTTGATAGTACCTTCGTTCTCTTCTATTTTTTTTCCAATCCAGTGTTTTTTTTTATAATGATTAGAATCTCCCCCGAGAGATCGGACCTGTCTCTTGAATTCAATTTGACAAGTACGTTTCGCTTATGATCAACATGCCTTACAAGTGACTCAAACAGACGTCCGCTTTTCTAAGTCTTCCAGGTTCGTTTGGCCCCGAGATTGAAATATTAACCTATGCGTCTTTCTCACATTAGTTACAGCTTGTTATCACTCAGCCTCGAAGATCGTCGATATCCGTGTAGTTAGAGTGCAAACTCATAGCCGAGCTTCGGGCTTGAATTTGGCTTCACCGCTACAGTGGCCCAAACAATTAGGTCATGCGAGATAGGAACAGCCTTGCGACTCGGACCGCTTGCCAGGGACTTTTCGATGCCCGCATAGATGCCTTATTTTCTTGACCGCGTAGAGCGACGCCTTCCAACAGGATTTTCAACTGGTTTCTTCGTTTCCTTTTCTTCTTCATTATCCTCCTCCTTCTTGACAGTCGATTTCCTCTTCTTTGATTCAGCGACTTTCGGTTCGGGCTTTTCTTCGAGATCAGAGCCATCCTCTTGTTTCACGGTCCGCTTTCGCTTCGAGTTTGCAGGGGTATCGTCTTCATCGACCTCTTTCGCCACAGGGCCAGTTTTCTTCTGGACTGCGGGTACAACGGCGCTCGTTCTGCCGCCGACAGTAAGGAAGGTGATTTTGTCCCCATTGGGCAGAGTGGTTGGATGATTCTTCTTTCCTTTACCCCAGCGATGTTTGAAAAGCCAGTGTTCAGGGAACTTCTCCGAGTCTGCTAGGACATCCAGAGCCGTGGAACAGACGTAATGGAGTGATTTGTTGAGCTCCTTGATTTGGTCGTCGTTCAAGGTGTTGCTGTACTGCTCCGGGTGAATTTTGGCGTGGTATAGAATCTCATCACTAAAACCAGGAAAATAAGTAATCTGCTTGCTGACGGTCGGTAAACAAGACCTTACTTACCCCATCCAATTTCCAATTCCACTAATGTTTGCTTGGTCCAACAGAAGAGCCTTGATGGGAACTCTTTTGCTCTTAAGCTTCTCCCTCAGCCATGCTTCATTCACAATATCCTTGTCCGCGACAGGATCCGGTCCATTTTCCTTGAGAGGTGTGTTTTTGCGAATCTCATCAGCAGGGCAGTCCACCAGGCGAATGCGACTCAGTCTGCGGGCGTCCACAAATGCAGCCTCCGTCTTTGGCTCCTCGTTGGTCTCCAGTATGAACTTGGCGTACTTTGGCGGCCATTCCTTATCAGCAGGCTTGTCTGAGCGGTAGTAATATGTGTCTGCATCCTTGATCTTCAACCAACCAGCCATTCCAAAGTGCATCACAGCATGTGGTGGTGAAGACATTGTAATCCAGAAATATTTTCCTTGTTGGCCAGCACCAACAATCTTTTTCCCTTGCATTGCCTTTTGAAATTCGGCTGCGCTGGTCCCAACTTTGCCATAAACGATATCATCATGCTGCGCCTGTACTTTGGATAGCGTCTTTCCAACAAGGTGCTGTCGAATGAAATGCACAATGCGTGCAACCTCTGCCAACTCGGGCATTTTGACTTTGAGATGAATGATCTGATGTATTTACAAAAAGTATCAAAAATCAAGATAGGATGTATGTCGCTGGGGCTTTCCAAGGGTTGTCAGCCTGACACGAGAACCTGGACGCGCGACACGAGATCACGTGGTTCATTTTAATGGGCATTATTCAGCTCCATCGGCGCTAGTCCGAATAGGGATGGACATTCGCTCATGCGGCGAGCCAGCCAAAGTCGCCTTCCATGCTGATATCTTGAATTGTTCAGACTTGTGAACAATTTCGACTCGCTTATATACGGTTTCTCTTGCCCATAAGCTGTCTATTTCGCTGCACCGTTCCTTGGTTCTACATCCAAGTGTACCATCCTTTGCCCTTACTCGACGAGGTCTCCACCCAAGCTGGATTGGTTTTGGGCTAGCAAGACGGATTCTGGCTCTGGGGAGATAGCCAGCAAAAAGATGTCACAGCCTTCATCTACGGAGGCCCCAGTGCTGACTCCTCAATTCTGTTTCGATGAGAAGCTTCTGCGAGGTATCTCGATCGATCGAACTATCTTGATTCACTAAGGCTAACCCCAGGCTTGCGCAGACTTCCTTCGTCTGTCCCGCTCTACTATTGATGACTCGATTACACAGAACCTTAACGCGCTAGTAACTCCTTCGCGCGAGGGGTTCGATCCATCCTCGACTGCCATACGACAGACCGATTCAAGCACTCGAAAGGCGATTGACCCCTCTGCGTGTCAAGGTTTCAAAGATAATGTGCTGTTCCCGTCATGGCAGGCTCGATCAGATGTCCTCAATTATTGCGCCGGAGTTGCAACCAGCCCCGACCCGGATGACCCGGATCTGATACTGCGAGAGACCGAGTCTGCGCGAGATCGCGAACGAGTTGTCAATGAACGGTTGGATCCATACTCGGCCCGCTTCTTCCCGCGTGAAGCCCGGACTGAATCACTGGCAAACTTGATTCGCAACCAGCGTACCGTGGAGGAGATTATCCGGGCTCGAACATGGGGCATGGTGACTGAGAGGTGCGCCGGATCTTCTCCTTCATGGGAGGAAGCCCTGAATACCTGGCGGCACACTCATCAGCGATAAGGGTTTCCCTCTTGCGAGGGCAGTTCTAACAGCCATAGCATAGACATGGGGGCACATGTGCATGCATGCATGCATGGACTGATTGCTAATTTGACTCTCTCGACTCTTCACCCTCCCTGCGTCACTCCGGCCCTGGAGATGAAAATCCACAATCTGTACATTACTGTATATACATATAAAGCGTTATGTTGCATGACTATTATGTTTGGGTTTCTGAATGCTACCCCTCCCAACCCTTTGTTATGTAGAGAATTTAGATGAGAAAAGTGTACAATGTCCATCCTTTCTCCAACAAGCAGCTGATATATAAGTGCTCTCACATGGAAGACGTACAACATATCCTGCATGGTTACACTGCGCACTTGTCTTTCGCTAGTTCTAGCGATGAATGCCTGTGTCACAAATTATATCCAAGGACACGACAGGCCGTACCAGCATAATCCGGGGAGAAACCAAGAAGAAATATGGAAATTCCAATCTCCTGCTGCCATTCTGCGTTAGACCCATTGACGTCGACGGAGACTTGTATCTTATCGGCCCAGTCGTTCTGCCAAGTTCGGACTCGGAGAAGCCGCTCCCCGCACACATCGATTCCTCCCTCGCACAAGTCAATCCTTTCTCTCCCAAGCAGCGTCGCCCACCATGCCGCAACCATTGAGCTCCAAGGACCAGGCCTTGTTCCGCCAAGTGGTTCGCAACTTTGAGCAGAAGCAATACAAGAAAGGTTTGCAGCCCCCTTCCCCCCCACCTTCAAGTCCCGCCGTAAGCTAATTACGTTTTCCCTCGCGATAGGCATCAAGACGGCAGACCAGGTCCTTCGGAAGAACCCCAACCATGGCGATACGCAGGCGATGAAGGCTCTCATTATGAGCCACCTGGGTCAGCTGGAGGAGGCTTTTGTGCTGGCCAAGGATGCCCTGCGCAATGACATGAAGTCGCACATATGTTGGCACGTGTACGGATTGCTATACCGACAGGAAAAGAATTATGAGGAGGCTATCAAGGCCTACCGCTTCGCTCTGCGACTGGAACCCGAGTCTCAGCCTATCCAACGTGATCTCGCCCTTCTTCAAATGCAAATGCGAGATTTCCAGGGATACATCCAGAGTCGCAGTGCCATGCTGCAGGCGCGCCCCGGTTTCCGCCAGAATTGGACTGCTTTGGCGATTGCTCACCATTTGTCGGGCGATTTGGAGGAGGCCGAGAAGGTTCTTACGACATATGAGGATACCTTGAAGGGCACACCACCTGTTTCAGATATGGAACACTCGGAGGCCTGTCTGTACAAGAACACAATCATTGCCGAGTCAGGGAACCTGGAGAGAGCTCTTGAGCACCTTGAGAAGGTTGGTTATCGGTGTACCGACGTTCTTGCTGTCATGGAGATGAAGGCGGACTATCTTCTTCGACTGGGCCGTAAGTCCGAGGCCGAAGAGGCATACTCCGCTCTCCTGGATCGTAACCCAGAGAACTCGGTCTACTACAATGGCTTGATCCAGGCCAAAGGTATCTCGGAAGATGACCACAAGGCATTGAAGTCATTGTACGATGAGTGGGTAGAGAAGAATCCGCGCGGCGATGCGGCACGTCGCATCCCTCTGGATTTCTTGGAGGGCGAGGATTTCAAGCAGGCTGCGGATTCTTATCTGCAGCGTATGCTCAAGAAAGGCGTTCCGTCTCTGTTCGCGAACATCAAGATCCTATACACAAATCCTGCCAAGCGGGACGTAATCCAGGACTTGGTTGAAGGATATGTCTCTGGCAAATCGGCCTCCCAGCAGAACGGATCGGCTGAAAGCAAGGACGAGTTCCTGGCCTCATCCTACTATTTCCTGGCTCAACATTACAACTATCACCTCAGCCGCGATCTCACCAAGGCCATGGAGAATGTGGATAAGGCTATCGAAATGTCGCCCAAAGCTGTGGAATACCAGATGACCAAGGCCCGTATCTGGAAGCACCACGGTAACACTGTGAAGGCAGCGGAAGAGATGGAGAAGGCGCGTTTGCTGGATGAAAAGGATCGGTACATCAACTCAAAGGCTGCGAAATACCAGCTCCGCAACAACGAGAACGACAAGGCTCTGGATAACGTGAGCAAGTTCACCCGTAATGAGACTGTTGGCGGTGCGATGGGCGATCTACATGAGATGCAGTGCACATGGTACTTGACGGAGGATGGTGAGGCATATCTGCGACAGAAGAAGCTGGCCCTCGCCCTCAAGCGCTTCCACGGCGTCTACAACATCTTCGACACGTGGCACGAGGATCAGTTCGACTTCCACAGCTTCTCCCTGAGGAAGGGTATGATTCGGGCGTATGTTGATATGGTTCGTTGGGAAGACCGCTTGCGCGAGCACCCCTTCTACACCCGGATGGCGATCTCTGCCGTCAAGGCCTACGTGCTCCTCCACGACGAGCCGGATCTGGCTCATGGCCCCATGGGCCTTGGCGCCAATGGCGACATTCAGGATGAAGCTGAGCGCAAGAAGGCCCTCAAGAAGGCCAAGAAGGAGCAACAGCGCCTGGAGAAGATCGAGGCCGACAAGCGCGAAGCCCGAAAGGCGGCTGCTGCCAACGCTAAGAGTGCCGATGGCGAGGCCAAGAAGGAGGATACCGACCCTCTCGGTAACACTTTGGTCCAGACGAACGATCCCTTGAACGATGCGATGAAGTTTTTGACCCCGTTGCTCTCCCTCAACCCGCAAAAGATCGAGGCTCAGTGCATTGGCTTCGAGGTTTATATCAGGAGAAGTAAGTTATATCTCGATAGAAAGAGGAAGAGCCTGACAGCTGACGTTTTGCCATGACAGACAAGCACCTGCTGGCTTTGAAGTGCCTGTCGGCTGCATATGCCATCGACCCCTCCAACCCCACCCTTCATCTCCAGCTCCTTCAATTCCGCAAGAACCTTGACAGCCTTTCCGAGCCCCTGCCCGCTCCTATTGCCGAGGTTGTCAATGCGGAATTCGAGAAGATGCTTCCAAAGACCCAGAAGCTTGAGGAGTGGAACGAATCTTTCCTCACCGCTAACAAGGAGAGTATCCCCCATGTGCACGCCGCCCTTTCCGGCCGTTATCTTCTCAACCCCGATTCCAAGGCCCAGTGTGAGGCTGACCTTCTGGCCACCGTCGACTCGCCCAAGATTACTATTGACGAAGCCGCTGCTGCTCTCGATCTGCTGAACAAGTGGGGCAGCGAGACCTCTGCCTACGCCCAGAAGGCAAACAAGAAGTGGCCAGAGTCCTCTGTGTTCCAGCAAAACTAGGTATATGGAATGATTGAAAAAATAACCTGTTGATACCCTATTCCCCGGGCGAGTGGAGTTGAGTGGCTACTCCTCCTCGGTAGATGGGGATGTCTGTGAGAGATCTGATGTAGGGGGTGAAAATAGAGAGGTGTGTGGTCGATTATACCTGTTGACGGCGGTTATCCTCAAACTTCAAAAATATACAACACAATTCACATCCACTGTACAAGTCGCTGTTTTTGCTCGGTCTTCCTCGTAGCCTCCATCGAAGGGAGTAGAACAAATCTGTCCAACTATACCTACATAATTAAGTAACCTCATAATGAAGGAGATCAAAATATCGTCAATATTGTATTTTTTTTCCATGTACATCCCGTTGAAAAGATAGTTGCGCCTCTAATACTAATATACAAGCCGAAGAGGGAGATGGTTATGCAAATTATAAAAAAACAAGATAAACCCCACGCCCGAGGCATCAGAAAAAACCACAACGCTTCTATGATATGGAGCACTCTCTCAATTAAAGAATGCAGTGCTTGCGCACTATTCCTCGTCATCGACAATAGGAAGAATAGGCTTTTTCCTCAAGGTCTCCTCGTCCTCGCCGTAGCCGTACTGGATCCACATGCGCTGCCAAAAAGCAACGGGAGGCGGTCGTTCCTGACCGAGAATATATTCCTCCTCCGAGGCAATGCGCTGAGCGCGAGCCTCGTCTTCGGGCGAGAGCGTGGCGCGCTGCATGCGCGAAGCGATGCGCTGATCAAGCACGATATCATCTAGCCATTCACGTTCCTTATCTTTGTTTTCCTCGTCACGCTTGTGAACGGATTTATGCCACTCCTTCTCTTCATGCTCGAGAAGAGTTTGCTGCTCGTATGTGCTGGATGGGGTAGTGTCGGCGCTCGCTGCGCTCACTTCGGAGTCGGAGCCGAAGGACTCGTCGCGGTAGGGTCTAGCATCGGCTGCGAGAACGAGGGCTGCCACTTGGCTACCGATGCTCTCAGCAAGGTGTCGTTGGGTAAGGTAGCGGTACAGGCGAATCGGGGTATTGAAGAAACCAAGGATATGGGGGAATTCAATGGGCGCGGAGCTGTCGAAGGACTGAGGAATTGAGGAGGGGAGGTGGGCGGAGGGATAATCGGTAGGAAGGATGTAAGCCTCAGCAGGACCGGCAGGCTTCGAGGGCTTCTCTTCCTTCTTCTCCTCAGGCTCAGCCTTCTGCTCGGGGCTAGCCTGGGCGGCATCGGAGGGTTGGTCACCGGCTGCGAGGTCCTTCAGTGTCTCCTCTATCGGCTCAGCTGCAACGACCTCTGCAACGGCTTCTGCAACGGCTTCTGCAACGAGCGGAGGGCTCAATGGTCCAAGCCAGCCCTCGTGCAGGCCCCGAACGTATTCCTTCCAGGTATGCCGCCCAATTACCAGATCACCCTTGGCACCGGGTTCGTCCCGGATACCCATGCGCTCGCGCATGTCCAAGACAGCGGACTCCACGCTAGGCTCCTCAATAACCGAGCTCTGCTCACCAGCCTTCCGCCTCAACTTCCGAATGCTCTCTGCAGTGCTGGCACGGACATCGCCCTCATGACGTCCTTCAATGACGGTGTAATCCAGCGCCGCAGCGGTCAGGATGGGCTTGACGTATTCTTTGAAATGGTCCCTCGCCACGCGGAGACCATCACCCGGCGGCGCAGCCAGGTAAACGGTCAACTTGCGGCGCATCTGGTCGACGCTCAGCGGCTCGTTCGCGATATGAGCCACGAGGTCGCACCACTTCTGTTGTGAACGGCGCTTCTCCCGGCGGTCGTAGATGATAGCGCCGGCAAAAGAACCGGTGATGGTGAAAAAGATCATCCAGTTACGAGAGGGCAGCTTGAAGCGAATGTTCGGCAAACCTATTGCATTGCATTGCATTAGTCGGGGAATCGATATTAATCACGGAGAGGAAGGTTAGGAAGGCTCGAGAGGCATACCCATCATCTTGAAGACCGGGTTAGGTGGCTTTGGAGCCGCCTTGGGCTGACCGGTACCGCTGGTACCAGCAGCGGCGCCTGAACTGGAAGAATCGGCCATTGTGACTTGATATAGACGCAGCAAACGCGACTGTTGCGGCGAGAGTTCGGAAAAAAGTCGAGCGGCGCTAGGATGATCCGCGTCACGTGCCGAAGAAGTATACATCGGCAATGGGACATTTCCACATCGAATTGGCCAAATTGAAAAGGGTCTCGTAGTCCCGCGCCCGCACCCACCCTCCCATCAGCATTGTAGCCGATCGGTCAAGCTCAATTTGACTTGGTCCATATTTTACTCTTCCTCTAATCATATCTCTCTGAATCTATACATCAATTTCACATCGGGTAAGGCTGCTGCCACCCCCTAGATTTCCCGCACGCACCCCCTGGGGCCTTAGATCTCTGCCTGGCGGGCTAAATCTTGCTGAGACAAGTACAATCTTTCCGGATGGTCGTTTCAAGATATCTTTGCGGACACTCTCGAACCAAGTAGTGACTTCTTTCAAAGTATGACTAGTAAGATGATTTTGGAGTCGAGAGTGAAGATTCTGAACTCACCATCAAAGTCTCCTATATAACGTGTAATGTACTCCGTACAAGTTAGATGGTGGTGGCTACCAGATAGAGGCAAGTGGATTGCCTCCTGAGCCACCGCTTCTTTCAAACCACCTCCCCGCCTTCTCCTTTCCCTTCCACTTTCCCTTCTCTTCACCACCTCCTCTTCCCTCCCGTCTCTCGTTTGTTCTCCCCTCACTCATACCAGGGAGCAGGGGCTAAGGTCAAGATGGATCCCAACAACAATAACAACCGCATGAACATGAATTACGGGTACAATGACCGCAACTACAACGCGGCCAACAACCGCGCCTATCCCACTACCCCCTCCGCTTTCCCCCAACCCATCTATCAGACTCAGGGGGCCCAGGACTATGTCGATCCCTCCAATCCTGCCTACGCACCCGGATACTTCATGGCCAATCCATACCCCGCGCAGGCCCAGTATGCCCAGCAACAGCAACAGCAACAGCAGTACGCGCAGCAGCAGGCCCTTCAATCCCCCCAACCCGCCTATCAGACCCGCCCAGGCTACGCCAACGATGGAACGAACGGCTTGATCCAGCAGTTCTCCAACCAGGACCTCAACGCCAACCGCGGAGGATTCTTCAACCGGGCGGCCTCCCCCGCTTCTCGCCCTCGGACTGCTGGAGGATCCCCCGCTGGTCAGGCGCAGGCCGCGCACTTGGCCCCCCCAGTGCCTCGCAGTCCTCGCCCGCCGGCGGAGAATGAGGAGCTGCAGCGATTCCCTGATCGCTACTCGGAGAATGTGCACAAGCGCGGCAAGGCCGCAAAGGAGTTGGTGACGGTCTTCTTCCACGAGAACATTGAACGGGCCCGTGATCGCAATATGCGGTAAGTGTTTTATCTTGGACACCGTTTTTATGTCTTTCTTCCACCGGTTCTTTTTTTTTTTAACATGATCTCTATTGCTCTACCAGCTCCGTCGACCTCGACAAGACTCTCCAAGACCCGAGTATTCCTTCCACCAAGAAGCGTCAAGAAGCCGAAGGCATCTCCAAGAGAGAGTCGGACTTCCTTCGATTCCTCCGTACCAAAGAAACTCCTCAGAACTTCCAGACCATTAAGATCATTGGCAAGGGTGCATTCGGTGAAGTGAAGTTGGTGCAGCGCAAGACGGATGGCAAGATCTACGCCCTCAAGTCTCTTATCAAATCGGAGATGTTCAAGAAGGACCAGTTGGCACACGTTCGTGCCGAGCGTGACATTCTGGCGGACTCGAAGGACAACCCTTGGCTGGTGAAGCTGCACGCCTCGTTCCAGGATGCGGCGTACCTTTACTTGCTTATGGAGTTCTTGCCTGGTGGTGATTTGATGACCATGCTCATCAAATATGAAATTTTCTCCGAGGACATTACCCGGTTTTACATGGCCGAGGTGGTCATGGCTATCGAGGCCGTTCACAAGCTCGGCTTCCTTCATCGGTATGTGAACACCCTCCACGCATCTTTGTAATGGTGCATTGGGTGAAATATAGGCTAACGCAACTCGGCAGTGACATCAAACCCGACAACATTCTTCTTGACCGCGGTGGCCATGTCAAGCTCACTGATTTTGGTCTTTCAACTGGTGGCAAGAAGACTCACGACAATGCGTATTATCAGAACCTCCTCAAGAACTCCACGTCAAAGGACCGGAACCGTAACTCTGGTTACTTCAACGATGCCATCAACTTGACTGTCTCCAACCGTGGCCAGATCAACACCTGGCGAAAGTCTCGTCGTGCAATGGCGTACTCCACCGTTGGAACTCCCGACTACATTGCGCCCGAGATCTTCAATGGTCAAGGATACACCTACTTGTGCGATTGGTGGTCTGTGGGTGCCATCATGTTCGAGTGTCTCGTTGGCTGGCCTCCATTCTGCGCTGAGGATACCACCGATACTTATCGCAAGATTGTGAACTGGCGCGAGTGTCTGTACTTCCCCGATGAGCTGGTTCTCTCCCGTGAGTCTGAGTCGTTGATCCGAAGGTAAGACCCATTCATAGCTGAAGCTGGGAAATCTGAATACTGACTATGCTTTTAGCTTCTTGTGTGACCCTGAGCACCGTATCGGTGGCGAGGGTGGTCAGCATGGTGGTGCGACCCAAATCAAGAACCACCCATTCTTCCGAGGTGTTGTGTGGGACCAGTTGCGCAGCATTCGCGCCCCCTTCGAGCCCAGACTCAGCTCGAACATTGACGTGTCGTACTTTCCGATCGACGAGATTCCTCAGGAGGACACTAGCGCCATTCATCGTGCTCAGGCTCGGGCTATGCCAGATTCCCAGGAGGCTGAGATGAGCTTGCCCTTCATCGGCTACACATACAAGGCCTTCAACGCCTTCCAAAGTAGTTAAATGCCGCCTGTTAGTCGTCGAAAAATCTCAGCCAGTGGGGTGCTTTGCCAGGAAAGACCGAGAGAAGCAGCGGGGCTTGCACGCTCGTCTTTTTTATTAGTGACGCCCTAGCCCGGCTGAGGTTTTGGAATGTTTTCACTTCTTCGCCACGAATCTTCATTCAGCATATCAAGCGCGATGTTTTCCGAATCATGACCCCGAGCGCCGTCTTTTGGTTTTAGTTGTCGATATCGAAAGCCCAGCTGGGGCTACATTTGTTGTGATACACATCCTCATGTCGTCACCTGATGTGAGGAAAGAGGCCAGCCGAGGACCAGATATTTCTTGCATTTCAAGCTGTGATTTGCATATTCATAGTTTCCAAAAGAATAACAAAATCCTCTGCTACGACACGTGTGAAAATAGAGCATGATGGCCCGGACGTCGTACGCATGGAGCACACATTTAGATTTGAAACGGTCGACTGTATTGCATCTACTCGGCAATCTACTTGGGAAGTTCTCACGTCCCTGTTCAGCTGGATGCTATAACTAAACCTAAGCTTTAGACGTTGAGAATAGCTGACAGGAAGCGAATAGAGCTGCGGTGTGCAAACACCAGGGTCTCATTTCTATGAGTAAAAGCCATCGCTTGTGTTTCGTAAGAAAAGAAAAAATAAATGTGCAAAGCCCATGCCCCAAACGCCGTAGCTCCGATCCTAACGTTGACAGAGCCATAATCTTTTGTCGCAAACGACAAATTAAGAACCAAAATTGCCAATAAGGCTAAATGACCTCTCAAGTCCGCATAGGCGCAAGACCGGGCACGCCGCTGAAGCGTTCCTCACGCTCCGTCTTGAACATGATCTGTACCCAGAACTCCTTGCTATCCTCGTCAAACCAGTTCCAGTATCTCCCTTCCCGACGATCAATCTCCTTGGCCTGAAGCTTGAAACTGCAAGTCTGATACGGCTCGGCCGCAACAACCAGATACTGGAAGTTTTTATCCGGATCTTCAATCTTCTGCTCAAACGCGGACATGAACCGCACGCGCGGGACCACACCGGGCGTGATCTCCTGGAACTGCATCTGGAAAAGCAGACCCATCTGGCGCGTCAAGGGATCCCGGATCTTGGTGATTTTGTAACCGGGACGACCGATCTTGATCGTTTGCTTCTTGACCTGCACACCCATTGCTCCGGGGAGGGAGGAGGGATCTTGATTTTTGCCTTCGCGCTGTTCGCGGGCAGCGCGACGGGCGAGGTTCGTTTGGTGCTTTTTGCCCTGCGTGTGGGCCAGGTAGGAGCCGTCATTTTGGTGGACTGTGAGACAGAGACGGCACTCGAAGCTGCCGACATGGTTCTTGAAAAAGTAGGGATCTTTGTCGAGGTCGATCGACTCCAGCGCGAGCTTGCGCAGGCGCTCGCGACGGTCGGCGTTGGTTGCGGAGTGAGAGGCGACACCTCCACCGCCAAATTTGGAGCCTGCTCGGTTCTGAGAAAGGTTAGAATGGAGTTGGAAATGGTATTAATGGATATTAACAGCAGCAGACAGAGGGCAGACTCACCTGGTAATCCATCTTGTCGCTGTCGCTGGAGAGGGTTGGAGAAGGCAAATCTGCGGGTATCAGATAGGTATGGTTATGTAAGCACCACGGGAGTCGGGGTTTGTTTCTGAAGTACACAGTTGATGCGGGAGATATTCCCACGATAAGAAAAAGCTGGCGTTTCAAAATTCAGCTTAAGCGATGAGTGAATCACTGATCGGCCAGCGCCGGCTGTACAACGGTCAGACATGCACCATTCGCTATGTGGGCAGTGTCGAGGGTACTACGGGTGACTGGTTCGGTGTTGAATGGGACGACCCCACGAGAGGCAAGCATTCGGGAGAGCATAAGGGAGTACGGTATTTCACATGTATACATATCTCTCATCACCAACTATCCTTGACATGGCACACTGACACAGTCCCTAGGTAAGAGCAAACACCCCACGGCGGGGTCTTTTGTCCGTCCCTCCAGGCCAACCTATGGACCGCTCAGCTTCGTGGAAGCGTTGCGTAACAAATACGCATCCGAAAACGACTCGGAGCTAGTCTGGACCTCCAAGCCCACTGGAAAGGCCAGTCAAGAAGTCATTGAGATCAGCGGCAAGGTCGTCGAAGAGGTTGGCTTCGATAAGATCCGCAAGCAACTTGCAGAATTGCAGGAGTTACGAATCGTTTTACTTGATGGATTGCGCATTGCTGGAGTACTATCTTCCTATGAGCAACCTGAAGCTGAAGTTCGAGAAGCCGCCAAGGAAATTGCAACAACGTGTCCTAAGATTGAAGAGCTCGATCTCAGTCGCAGTCTGTTGAGTAGTTGGCGTCATGTTTGGGATATTTGCAACCAGCTCAAGGCGCTGAAGAAGCTGAAGGTCAAGTAAGTTCAAATGATTCTAGTATCTGCTTTCTTATCCCTGTGGCTATGAAGGGAGCTGACTTGAATGAAAGTGGCAACCGTTTCCGACCCTTGGAAGACGGGTTGATCTTTGAGGGTGTCACCGAGCTGCATCTCGAAGAGACCTTGCTAACTTGGGATGAGGTATGTCAAGCCTCGAAATATCAAATGATCATTCCAGGCACTAACGGGGGATTTAGATCGTCGAGGTGACTTCTCGCTTCCCAGCGTTAACATCGCTCACTGCATCTGGCAATCAACTTCGCGCGATATCTCGTCCACTCCCCGGAGCCATCACGACATTGACGCTGGAGAACAACGAAATCACATCTCTATCAGCGTTACGCCCGCTATCAGAAATCAAAACTCTCGAATACCTCTCTTTACGAGGAAACAACGTCCATGCTATCACCGACAGCACCAAAGACACATCCCTAGACTTTGCATTCCCACCAACCGTCTTCTCCGTCGACCTCTCTCGTAACAATGTCTCATCATGGGCATTCGTCAACCACCTCCCCATCCTGTTCCCGGGTCTAACAACCCTTCGATTCTCTGGGAACCCCCTCTACGACCAACCACCGCTCCCACCCGCCATCGCCGCAGCAACTTCATCCATAAGCGCTTCAAAGCCAATGACACTTGACGAATCCTTCATGCTCACACTATCCCGCTTCCCCGCCTCTTTAAAAATCCTCAATTTCAGCACCATCTCGCCGCAGGACCGCTCCAATGCTGAAATGTACTATCTCTCCCTCATCGGCAAAGAACTCTCCGCTACCTCCGAGGCCGAAGAACCCGCCATTCTAGCCAGACACCCTCGCTACCAAGAACTCTGTGAAGCATATGGAGAGCCAACGATAACAAGGGCCATTGAGGATGATGGTTCTGGCAAAAAAGCGATTCACCCACGGTCCGTGGCAGCGCGCCTGGTTAAGCTGGCATTTCGTCTATCCGAGTCACAAAGCTGTGTCAAAGAAATCCCGACTTCGTTCGATACTTATCAAGTGAAAGCTCTCGTGTCACGGCTTTTCGATCTCGCTCCGTATTCATTCAGACTTGTCTGGGAGACAGATGAGTGGGATCCGGTAGAGAAGAAGACTGGTGATGAGGGAGCAGTGGGTTGGGATGAAGATTGCGATGATGAAATACAGGCGCAGGTTCCTGTATCTTCGGCGGATACTAGCCGGTTTGTGCGGCGAGAGGTTGAATTGGTAGATTCAACGCGGGATATTGGGTTTTTGTTCCAGGGTGAGACCGGTGAGATGAAAATCCGGGTTGAAGTAGCCACTGTATAGCCAGTCATCAGAAGAAGGAATAATAATTGTTGACTCTACGGTGTCTTGCCTATTGAAGCTCAATCTAAATGAGATGGAAAGAAGCCAGAACTTAATCAAAAGAGTGGTTGTGTTCAACTGTTGATTGATAAATGTAGAATTGTCTAACCGCTTGTTGGACTCGTAGGGTATGAATCCCGTAGGAAGAGTGACCGAGTTATACACAGAAAAAGAAACAAAGAAGACTCGTCCGGGGGACGAAGAGGCCAGAAACGCCGTGGTACTTTACTCGCTCGCTGCCCAGTCCCCAGAGGCCCCATGGAAAGCCACATAAGAAAGTCAATAAATCATCCGCAAAATCGTAACGCCTAGCCATGATGCTTTTTGAATCACGAGCAGATACACAACCGCTGTGCATTCATAAATATGTGAGAACAACCCTCCCGCCATGCTCGTGGCAGGCTAGAGGGAAATGGAAAAAAGAGAAGAAGGAATCACCAGGTCCGAAAGTGGAGGGCGAGGTGTCTACTCGCGGGCAACCCACCAAGAGCGAACAGCCATACAGCAGATGCGCTTGTAGATTTGCGTCGTGCCCTTGCCCTCAGCCTCCTCTTCGATGAACTTCTGCGCGACGAATAGCTTGGTGCCAGACTCCTTCTCAGCAGTGTATCCGACTTTAGGAAGGCTGTTGGGGAAGTCGGCCCAGCGTTGGCCAAGGTGCCGTGCAATGGCGACGGAGTAAATAATGTCGCGGTTTTCATAGGTGTCAAGCAATTGGCGGCATCGCCCTAGTGTATCGTCAATCTGCTTGGCTGAGCTGGCTTCATTGTCGTGAAGGGTGAGGAAGTCGCCGAGTTCGCTCCAGAAGTCCAATTGCCGCTGCATGAACTGATCTGGTTGATGGGGCGGGGTTGCAGCCTCCGTTCTCAGCGTGCGCGACAAGGCATTCTGATCGAGGTGGGTCCAGGTGAGAAGGGCTTCGATAGCATTGAGACGCGCAGTTGCTGCAATCAAATTCCAGTCTTGACCGTGTTGCCCATTCTCTGAATTTTGCACCTGCCGACACAGGGTCATGCTTCTCCAAATAATTGAAGCTTCAAAACTCTCCAAGCGTGCGACCGTATTTCCGTCATTGAGATTCCAATCGTTGAAAGCATTGATCAAGGCCGAGTAGTCCGCCATTAGCTGCGCATCCGCCATGAGAGACGACAGCGCCTTGTCTGTGTACCATCGAACTTCCAACAACTTGTCAATTGCGGGGGCATATGTGGCCAGGAACACCGCTTGGATCTCTTCGAGGCGACCAGGAGGAAGGGAACCGATAGGATGAGGAGCCGGTGGAGGGATGCCCCGCAGAGCGATCAAGTCATTGATATTCAGGTTCTTGGCTATTCATAGTACCATAGTCAGCGCCCGTTGAAAGCTTTATGGGTGTAGGCGAGAGAGGATTCATTTTAAGACCCCGTCACCGAAAGCCCCGCGGGGTGTTCCACATACCTTTGTAGACCATATCCGAGGTCTGGGTCCGGAAATCGTTGGCAGACTGCATATTTGAAGGGTGTGATGCGGTACTGTTCGCGAGAGAATGGTCAAGACCAGCTCCGTTGTCGTGATGGTCGGTCGAGGCGCTGGGAGATTCGGAGTGAAGGGACGGCGCAAAAGGTTGTGAGGAAGCAGGCATGTACCCAGGTGGCGCAGAAGGATATGATGGCGCAGACGGCACAGGAGGGCCTTGGGGGTTGACAACGAGTGACGGAGCCTGAGGGTTTGGAGCTGGCTGGATCGCCGACGGAGCAGACGCTTGAGGGCGAAACACCGGGTCGTAGCCTAGACACTCGCGCTTGCTCTTGACACAATTTCTGCAGACCGGATGTCCTTCGTCGCACTGTACAAATTAGTACTGCCCAAAAAGTAAGAGGCGCAGAAAGGGGGGGTGTGAGGTCGTGGGTTTAAGCGGGAGATAAAATAAACGATGGCGGGGTCTGCGGCAACAAGCGAGGTCCAAAGCGCCCCGTCGAAGCGCAACGTGCAAAACCTCAACGCAGGGAACCAACATACCTTAATTCGTCGTTTGCGACAAGTCAAACATCCCGTTTTTGTACGTCGCTTAACTTCTTTTTTATGTCGACCACCCGAAAGCATCTTATTGGGATCTCCCGGGAGTGAGTACGGCATCTGTGGATTCGAATTCATGCCCGAAGGAGACACATTGGATGGATAGCCGGTCATGTACTGCCCCATAGACGCCATAGAAGGCATGTTGGATGGCATGGGAGATCCAATCGGTGCTTGAGGGACTTGACTGGGTTGTCCCTGGCCATTGTTGTTGGAGTTTGCGTTGACACTGGCGAAACCCCCACTTGTACTGTGGTACATGTCGGAGGTCTGCTGTTGGTAACTCTGCTGAGGTTGAGACTGGTACTGATGTTGAGGCGAACCCTGTGATTGCTGTCGTCCATCGTGCTGTGAGTTTGGCGTGTATTGATAGTTGCCATTTGATGTGTGGTAGTTGTCATTAGATGACGCCGGGTAATGCGTAGAGCCATTGATGGATCCATGATGAGTCGCGTCGTGGCCTGGATCTAGCGCGTTTACAGATCCGTCGTGCGGATCGTGGTGCCCAAAGTGGCTATCGTCACCGAATGGGTGATCCATGGTCGGAATATCCGTTCCAATTGCTGGCAGGGACGAGTCCAGAGAAGGAAGAGTTGTGTCAATCGCTGGAAGCGACAGATCTGGCCCTGCGGAAGAGCTTACAGCCCGAAGCGCTGCGTCAAATGAAGGGAGCTCATTATCATCCAACGAGTGAGAAGAATCGATAGGCGGCAGAGATGTGTCCATTGCTGGGAGTGAGGAGATCAAGGAGGACGTGGTCATACTGGGTGCAGGTAGCGAGTGGTTGCTTTCCTCCGTAGACTGGAGGACGATTTCTTGTTGGGTGGCATTTGAATTTGTGGTTGGCAGCGCTGAAGTCGCTGGAGGTGATGGGGGTTCTGACGGCGCTGGCGGAGCTGGCGGCGCTGGGGAAGGTTCCGGTTGAGGCTCAGTCGTTGGCGCAGGAACCTGGGTTGATTCTGGCGGGGGCGCGTTTGCTTCGTCCGAAGGTTGCTCAGTCCGCTCAGACGGCTCACTTGTCACCGGCGCTGGCGCTGGCGCATTCGTTTCAGCCGGCGGGTTGGCCGACTCGCCAGGATTGGGTTCTGTCGGTTCTGACATGTCTAGTAGCCAGCCTTCCAGACAGTCCGCTGGGTTCGATCGGTCGATATAAGCCGAAAGTCTTTGTCCGCGGTCCTATTCAATATGCGCAGTAGAAGGACGATGCTCGAGGTCAAAGGTTCGGCAGCTTGCGGCTGAGCGAAGGCACAACACCAGGTTGAACGGGCTGGAACTTGTAAATCATTTATCGCCTTTGGTCTAGTGAGATCGCGATCTGTTAGCAAAAAGTCTCCATTCTGGCAGCACCGGCCCAGTCGCGCCCAGATTCCCAGTTCAGAGCATTTTATAGAGAAAAAAAAAATACACCGTGCTTTGAAACCGAATGAATAGGACATGTGAAGCGGATTTCCCCAGTGAAGAGCCCCAGGGAAGACCCGTTCCTTCTCAATCCATTCGCCGCGGATAGATTGAGATGCAACCCACTACCCAGCGAGAAGCCATGTCCCAGAAGACGATTTTGAGCGCATCAAGAGTCTCGTGCGAGTATCTTTCGAGAGGCAATCGACTTCTGCGAGAGCAGACCCGGTTTTCACTCGTGATTCTGTCGGCCGTTCAAAGTTTGTATCGCATTCTCAGTGCTGAGAGCCGCGAAGTCTCCTCCCCGCCCGCGATCCCTCATCCTGACGGGTAGTACTTGGTGTCGCGACGACGGCCAGGAAGACTTAAGGGCCTCTCAGCGGTAGACGATCCATCGTGAAGGCGTTGAGGAGGAGATTCCGAGGCTCTTTGCGGGCGGGAGAAGATAATGCGCCATGGGCAGGACAAGGCGGGCTGACTGGGCTGGAGAATTCGCGATTGCATGTAACGAGACACACTCACCGGGTCAGGACACCATGTGTCTGTTAATTATAGTGGAACGGCGCGAGTTGCTGGTGAACTCGGCAAGTCTGTGGTCTGGTGGGCAGTCGGAGGGAGATGCGCGAAGTTGGAGAGCGAACTAAAGGAGCTTTCTTTTCCGGCGATCCAAAGTCTCCGCTTCGACGCCGAGAAAAAAATTGGAGTGGCAACTCTATATCTATACTATCAGAATTTAACCTTCTCTTTGTCTGTCGAATCAAACAACTATCGATTAATCTAGTATATTTGTTTGGACTCAAAAACTAATCTAGTATAATAAAAGTTCATTCTCATCGAAAACCTCATAGGCTGCGCAGCAACTCTAGAGTAAAGGCACTATTTTGCCTGTTGGATTCAGCGGAGCGGAAAAAAGGATAACCCCACCGCATACATAGTTCCCTACTTATGTATCCCTAACTGCCTCACCCGTCGGTTTCGGATAGTAATCGACGGGGAATCTCCGATAATTTGCCAGATAGTAAGCAGGCAAGTAGTACTTGGCCACGGACCGGCAATGGCTGTGCGAGCGGCCAGTGTGTCTAAGACAACAATGGCAATGCGGCTCTGAAGGCGGCTGAGGTTTCGTTCAAGGTTCAGACCAGTCGTGTATCCAACACATCGTGGAGTCGTTATGATGGGCAAGCTATAAGGCCTGAACGCGATGTGTATCGGGTAGTCTCATCTTTCCATGTATGATATGAGTAAATTGTGTGGTTTGAGAAAAGCCTCGTCGTGTCTTGCTTTGGCTTATTTCCTCATGACCTTGGCCTTGCGCTTTTTGAAGATAGGCCCTGGTGCATCTTGAATTTGAGACTTCTCCTCAGCCGACGGAAGAGTGAGATTGCCAGGTTCCTCCATCTTCACTTGTGAAGAGCTGTCGGTCTCCCGGTGTTTAGACTCCGCGACCTCTTCCTCTTTCGGCACAGAAGAAGCAGGCTCAGGCTTCTTTTCTTCGACTAATTTTGACTCTTCCGAGTCGAGATCTGGGACTTGGGGTTTGGACCTTTTCAAGTCCTTCGTAGTCGCAAGTAGAGCATCCAGGTCCCCGTCGTCGTCGTTCTCCGCTCCGGGGTACGTCCTCATCCTTGAACCCCACCCTCTGCTCACAAGTCGCTCGGAGGGATTCCCACCATCATCATTTTCCTCATCCTCTTCTTCTTCACCGTCGTGCTTGCGCTTACGGACTCCGATAGATTTCGCAGCGCCTTCGAGATCCTCAACCTTGGTCTCCGAGAGCGTCTGCCATTCACCGGCCAAGGCCATATCGCCGCGATACTCATCCGGAATCGCTACCCCCATTTCAGCCAACTGCGCCATTTGTTTCTTTCGGTCCTCCATGCTGACCGGGCGATCGGCGGGCTTGGGTGCAGGCGCAGCGGTCTTCTTCCAAGGCGCAGAGCCATTGGGATCGCTATTCGAGGGACCGCCTGCAACGGCCTGTCGTAACCGTTCGACCTCACTTTTCGCTCGCTGTGTCTCTCTTTGTTGCTGTTCATTGTTCCGGTGAATATCACGGAGGAATCGCTTAAGGCTGCCTTGGTGTTTTGGACTGGCTTCGTGTTGGGTCTTCTCGAAAGGCGTGTCGCGAATGAAGATCTTGCATTGTTTGCACCAAATGCGAGGCTGTAAGACAGGTAATATTAGTGACCATAGTTGGGGGGAGTACTATGAGATTGCTTACTGCTGATTTCCAGTATTCCGCCATGTCGAAGTTGTTGGATCCGGAGTTGAAGTTGCAAGAGCTCGAGCGGCGATAAGATGGCAAACTCCCGCCGCAAGCAGACTAGTCCCAAACGAGACAGGTGCAGGTATGTATGGAGTGAAAAATTCCAATTTCTCGCATTTCCACTCAATTCGAGCCCTATTTTCTTTGTATTTGATGTCAGAGCATACCTCAAAATGCTACTCTTGTTTATGAGAATTGATCTATCCAACTATGTACAATATATACACTTTCAGCTCTGATCCGCCACTTTATATATCCAGAGGCACAAACATCCACCGAGCATCTACGCGCATTTAGCGTATTTAGGCATGGACAACCTATTATTGCAGATCGCGCTGCTCTGGCACAGGACTCTTCAGTTTGCCCGTGGTGACAGTCAGTTTCACATTCTCAATGGCCCACTCTTCCATCGCCTTGAGGGTCTAGCGTTCTGTCAGTCACCCAAACTTCTTCCATAGAATCTCTGGACGACTCACCTCGATAGTCCAAGTACCCATGTGAGGCACGAGAATTACATTTTGGTTGTCGATCAAACCAGGATGAATCTTGGGTTCTTCTTCGAATACATCAAGACCAGCTGAGAACACTTTACCGCTGTTCAGAGCATCCACAAGGGCAGCTTCATCCATGACAGCACCACGAGCAGTGTTGACCACAACGACTCCATCCTTCATCTTGGCGAACTCTGCCTTGCTAATGATATGGCGGGTGTATTTCTGCACTCGAATCAGCATGTGATGGATACAAAGCCCGGGAAATCTTCCCTATCTCAGCAGACCTCACTTACATTCAACGGAAGGTTCAGGCTGAGCACATCACTAGTCGCCAGAAGCTCATCAAAGGTGACATACTGCGCACCCCCAGAAAGCTCCTCGCTAAGTTGTCGACGGTTATGATAAATAACCTTCATTCCAAAAGCCTCGGCCTTCTTCTTCAAGTTACGTCCAATACCGCCCATTCCCAGAATTCCCAAAGTCTTGCCTTGGGGGTCGTGGCCAAGCCGTGTTGCTGGGGAACCTCGCCACCTGCCTTGTCGCAGACTATGCATACCAGCATTGAAGTTTCGAAGCGCTCCCAGAATAAGGAACATGTTCACATCCGCGGTAGCGTCGTCCACCGCGGTAGGCACGTTCGAGACAAGGAGCGGGGGGTTACGGGCACTGCATGCGTCGATATCTACTTTATCATAGCCGGCACCTATTTGAGGCATATCAGTAACAGCATATCGCATGATATGGCCATATCAAGGTAAGACAAACTGGCATAAGCAATGAATCTTAGGGAGCTGGGCAATGCATTCACCAATTCTTGGTCGACTTGGCCAGTGATGCCAAGCGAGTAGAATGTGCAATAGGCCGTGATGACTCCTTCAAACTTTCCACTTCGGCATTCCTTCAGGAAGTCTTCACGGTTGGTTGAAGCTGGTTTGACGACCTCGCTAATTTGGTTCAGCGCATCCCAGGCATCTTGCGCACTGTGGTCCATTCATTAGCATTTGATCACGGATGAGCAGCGCAATAGGATAACAGACAAGTCGACTCTTCCAAGAAGGAGAATCTTGGGCTTGACTTCGTGAGAGCCCATAGTGACGGAGTGGGTTCTAGATGACCTGGACAGAAAATGCTTAGTTCAATGCCTTGTTCAAAGCGCTTGGGTTTGTATGCTAGCGCAAGTAGTTCCAGATGCTCCGCCTAGGAACTAATAGAACCATGCAGAGTACTGATTCAATGCCGCGCTTCACGCAACTAAATCCATTGGACACTTTGCAGTGGAACTCAGGAGATGTCAATCGAAGGCGCAAACTTACTGATAAGGATGCGGGGCAGATCAGGCCTATCTGTTTGTAATTATGAGGGTAATTGGAGGTTCCGAAGCACCTGAGAAAGGATACGCCTAGGGAGAGGGTTGAGTGTAGGAACCTAGCAACGAACAGAATGCGACAGGAAAGTTTTGAGAGACAACAGCAGCCATAGGAGTCATAAAGGATCCGAACCGTCGGCCGAGAACCGACGAGCCCCACGCCAGACATTACAAAGTTTGGTTTATCTCGGCGAGTTCCCCGCAGGCCCGCGATGCCGCCATTAGGCGTGATCCTTACGAATGGGTTGCTAAGATATCAAGACATTGATAGGTCTTTCTAGCAACTATCTTGTGTCAATTTAATTTCAATAAAAGCGAGCGCATACAGTCTAGGGTTCAGAAACCAGTCCAAACCTATAAAGGTCTTCCATACAGCTCAGCTTTCGAGGAATCAGCCAGAAGAGCACCGATCTAGACCAGGAAATGTTGATTCTGCTAATAATAACAATAATGATAAAGGGAGGTGAGGCTTGACTGAAAAGAGAGTAGGCTTCTGAGATCCCTCCTATTACAGTGAATCCGTAAATTCCTGATTTTGAAATCCAGCTGTACCCACAACATAGGACTAGTTACGCTAGTTGAGGCCCTATCCTTCGACTAGGATACGAGTCCAGTCGAACTTTCGCCATCGTTTCTTGAACCCATCCACCCTTCGATCCCCACCACGATTCCACCGGCCCTGTCGTTTAATAACATCAGGAGCAACGTCGAGCATGCCGCCGATGACCTCGCGCGCGAAGAGGTCACCGCGAGGCCAGCGGTGCTCTTCCTCAACGATATGGCCCAGACCTCCGTCAAGCTCAAACCAGACATGGAAGTAAGGCATTTCTTTCACTAGAGTCCGGCGGAATGCATTTCTGCCAAGTCCTTGCTTGGATTTGGCTAGAGTGTCGATGAGCTTGCGATGCTGGGACCACTCCGACTCGGCACTTAGAATTGCTTCCTTGAAGAACGCAGGTGCTGTCTCTCCAAGACTGTAAGGCAGAGGGACCACTTCCATAGATGCATGGCGCTTGCGTTGTGGTTGAGCGGCGTTCTCGTAGAAGATCACATCACGGCCCTGGTCATGGTACATGCGCGTTAAGCTCTTCATGAAGTTGCGAATTTCCTCCCATTCATCGTCATCGCATTCCACCAAATTAGTTCTGTGCTGGATGGGAACGATGGTTGCTCCTCCCTCGCTGATTTCAGGCTCAGTAGGAAGTGTGAGGTAGACTCGGGTCGCGAGGGAGACGATGGGCGCGACTGGCGGAGAATTTGTATCTTCGTGATGGCAGAGCTGACAATTATCCAAGATGCGATTCATCTTGCGGAAATCATTGATTGTGGCGCTCTTAATGTCGATCTCAGATCGATGTACTCGTTTGGCCAATTTGGAAGCCTGGTCGTCCATATACTCCAAGTCATTCTAGATGATTGTTAGCTTCGGAATTCCACCAATTCATTAGGCAAGAATAGAATGATTCTTACCTCAAACTTGCCATCTTTCGCGATGCGCTCAGCAAGCCGTGCACCTTCACCACCGGCCTGCCCCCGGGTTTTGCGTTCTTCTCGAACCATATCCTCAATGCTCATATCCTCGTTGTCCTCCACTAAGCCTCTTTCACGGCCACGTTTCGTGTCAACCGGCTTGACCTCATTCCTTGAGCCAGCCAGCATGCGGTTCTGTTGGACACCGAGCACGACGACGTCCGATTCTTTGCGGTTGGCCATGGCCGCAGCCGCGGCATTGTTGTATTGTTCTTCAAGCTCAGCTGCATTGGCGGCTCCTTTTAATTTTGCCTTCATCAGTTGGGCTTTGAGACGGTTCAATGCTGTCTGGTCGAGCGGCTTCGTCGTGTTAGACGGAGCCTCCGTATCCATGACCTTGCCTTGACCCTCTGCCCTAAGCTCCTCTGCAGGGTCACGAACGTGCTCGTGCGGGTCTCGGTGAACCGCATTCTTGAGCTTTCTCTCCTGGAATAACTCTCCGCTCGGCTTCTCCTTGCCCACGTATGACTGGCCATACGTCTTGCGGCGATCCAGCTCAGTTTCCTCTTCTCGAGCATCGTCAAACGAGCGGAGGTCGCCAAATCTCTCTACGGCAACCTCCTCCACGGATTTGCCGCTTTCTTTAGCCTCTCTGTACACGCCTTTGAGCTTGGTCATTCTCCATTGAGATCCTGAGTCCCCAAATGTGTAATCCACCTCATGCTGCGCGGGCTCTTCCTCAATATCATCGAGTACTTTCCCGTCTTTGAGGTCACGAAGGTGGTTGTTGAGCTCCTTTTCGTGAATCTTGAGCTCAAAGTCAGCTTGGAGCATCTTTGGCTTTGTAGATTCTTCCACGCGCTGGGAGTCTGGGCGATGTACGTAGTCGATATCGATGGCGGAGGGTGCTTCCATCCAGGAGTCCCGCTTTAGAGCACTTGGCTCCTCCTGGGCGATAATCTTGGGTGCCGATGGTTCATCCTCTTTATCGTGTCGGTGCCGGCGCTTGTGCGAGTGGTCATGGTTGTCTTCATGGCGTGAACGCTTGTGTCTGTGGCCGTCGTCATCGCGGTGTCGAGATTCATGGTCACGTCTAACGTCACGTTCGCGGGATCGAGAAGATTGCCGTCGGTGGTGGTGGCTGGAACGATGGTGATGACGGCTTGAACGGTCTTTGCTACGATCGCGATCACGATCGCGATCTCGATGGCGCCGGTCCTTGTCGCTTCTTTCCCGACGTCGGTCCTGGCCTTCTGCTAGTGACTTCTCAAAATCTTCTAAGGTCATTGTGCCTCTTCTTGGTTGTGGTGGTTCTGGAAAGAGTTGAGGAACAAAAAGCTGCGGCGGAATGACGTGTGGCGCGCTAGGCGGTCCATCGTCAGTCCCCCGCGCCCAAAGAATTTTTGGAGAAAAAAAGAGCTCCCCGCCACTATCCGTCTACAACCTATGCGACGAGATCTCCTTCGGCCTAACTAGTTATTCTAAACACCACAAACCTGCATACTTGACGATTTAATTTGTCACTCCAGCGGACTTCACTTCATCATGGCATCTCCGGCGGTGTCCGTGGTCTGCGTGGGCATGGCAGGTAAGGATCAGCTTTCTTGAGTCGTGCATGCTGTGATAAAGACTTACACTATTTTTTAACAGGCTCCGGAAAGACAACATTCATGCAGAGAATCAACTCTCACCTTCACTCGAAGAAAACTGTCCCCTACGTGATGAACCTCGACCCAGCTGTGCACTCCGTTCCCTTCGAAAGCAACATCGATATTCGAGACTCGATCAACTACAAGGAAGTGATGAAGCAGTATAACTTGGGTCCCAATGGAGGTATTCTGACATCTCTCAACTTATTCGCGACCAAAGTCGACCAAATCATTGCCCTCCTTGAAAAGCGTACCGCACCGAACCCCGAGACCCCCTCTGCAAAGCCGATCGAACACATTCTAGTCGACACCCCCGGCCAGATCGAGGTTTTCGTTTGGAGCGCATCTGGTAGTATCTTCTTGGAGACTCTGGCATCGTCATTCCCCACTGTCATCGCTTATATTATCGATACCCCTCGCGCCAGCTCAACCAGCACGTTCATGAGCAACATGCTCTATGCCTGCAGTATCCTTTACAAGACCAAGCTTCCGATGATCCTGGTCTTCAACAAAACGGATGTCAAGGATGCCGATTTCGCCAAGGAATGGATGACCGACTTTGACAAGTTCCAAGCTGCCCTGCGCGAGGAGGAGGAAGCCGGTGCCTTTGGCGGCGAGGGCGGTGCCGGTGGATTCGGCGCTGGCAGCGGATATATGGGTTCTCTTCTGAACAGTATGAGTCTGATGTTGGAAGAATTCTATCGGCACTTGAGCGTCGTTGGTGTGAGCTCAATGACCGGTGATGGTGTCGACGAGTTCTTCGAGGCCGTTGAGACGAAGCGTCAGGAATTTGAGCGTGACTACAAGCCCGAGCTTGAGCGAAAGAGGAAGGAGCGTGAAGAGCAAAAGTCTTCTCAGCGAGAATTGGAGCTGGGTAAGCTTATGAAGGACATGAGTGTGTCGGGATCAGCCAGCAAAGAGCGCAAGGGCCCCGAGGGCCCCGAGACTGTCAGCGAGGCCGAAGATGAGGAGGAGGATGAGATCATCAAACGAGGCCTGGCTGATGGAGAGGACTTCAGTGATGGCGATTATGACTATGATTACAGACCCAGTGCAGGCGATGAGGAAGGCCTGTCCGAGCGGTACAAGCAGGCTCTGTCAGGCTCTCAGAGTGCTCCCTCCGAGGCAGACAGTAGCTTTACCCGGTACCTACGGGCCAGCAATATTAATCAATGATCATGGGTATTTGTACAAGGAGTTGATGTTTTGGGCTTCCTGGGTTTCGTGGTGTTCGCGGCTATTGGACGCCAATTCCATACTATTTCATTGGCAATCAAATCACGTATTGTTTTTATCTGAAAATAACAACGGAAAGAATTTCCGAAAGAATTGTTAAGAGTGTATCAAACAGACGGCGAGCATGGCACCCCAGAGTACAGAAAGACGTCCTTGAAGAGGACAAAGTTCCCCTCAGTGGAAAGGAAGCGGACGAGCCCCGAAAGATAGTCGTCCTAGCTTGACCAGAGATCGTTTAATGCATATATCCATACAAGAGTGTCTAAGGTACAGCCTGAATATGTAAGTCATCATAGTTCTTGTTCGTTCCTCAATATAACGATGCATCTGCTTCTGGAGCGAATATCGATTCCATTGAAACGTGACAAATCGAGTGACGTCACATGTCGATAGCTTCTAGGCTACCAGCTAAGCTCTCCGATTTTTTGACACCTTCAAGGCTCAGAAATCAGACATTTCCAACTACCTTGTCGAAAGCAGAACAACTGTATTGCTCAAACCTTGTAAACCAGTGAATATGGACGTGAGTTGCGGACACTCATCCTCGCTGCGAAGAGGGTCATATCAATTTAGGACATGGCAAGCTGACACCGACGGGAAAGGTCTTCCAAGCCTACACATACTCGACGGCAGGATGGCTTTCGTTACAGAGTCTGGCTTTGATCACAAGCCCCAGCATGATTGTAGCCTTGTTGTTGGATGAGACTCGACCTGCGTCATGTACGTTTCGAACCGCCCTCTGTTGTTCTACGTGTCATGCTTGAGGAAAATGCTAACCGCAATGAACAGCCATCGAGATCTACCTTGCCCGGTGCTTAGGCTTCAGTCTCCTCACCATTGCCATCTTGACCGTGATGCTGACCGGTTCCATTCCGCTCACTTCCTCGATTTCAGAGCCCGTCACAACCGAGGACTCGGATCCGAAAGCGCCCTATGCCCTTCCAACTCTCATGGTGACTTCAATTTTCCATTCAGCCTCTGCCTTCTACGCGTACACCAGATATGTCACTACAGGGCAGGGGTCTTTTGCGATTGCAGTGGCCGGAGGCTCTCTTTTTGCATCTATCGGTCTTTGGTGTGTGCTTTTCGCAAGCAGCAACGGCAAGATTAGCCGCAGAACGGGCGCCGACAAGAGGACTACCGGGTTTCCTTTTGCTAACTCGGAGGCTGCTAAGAAGCACGCCGGCAAAAAAACTCTTTAAGATACAATCTGTTTACTGTCTCGATATCTACTTGCAAGGATTGTTGCATGGAATGGGTGTTGCCAGCTCCAGTAGTGCACGCGCGAATGAATGGGTAATTGGCTGATCGACAAAAGCTTGCTTCTTGATCCTGTAATCACAAAACTTGTGATACTATAGCTGGACGCTCCGTAGATATTGTTTCCATATTATGCAGTTTTGCGAGCATGATAAGCCTAATTTCTTCTCAAGCCATGCATGTTGCAGACGGGAATGTTGTGTCATGAATGGCAGGGTGCATTCCGTAAGAAGTGGGTACTTTCCCTCGCCGCTTCAACCTCCGCTTCTGTTCTTCTCCGCACCGCAAAAGCAGCGTCCCCTTCCACCTTCAATGGATTCGCATCAAAGCAGAAGCAGTAGAAGGGCCATAGCTACATCGATGCCGATCGTCGAAGAAGCATCAATTTCCATTCCAGCCTCACAGGCCAACCAATTCAGCACAGCGAACCCCTTCGCAAGTTTCCGGTCAATTGAAAACATTCCTCCAGCTTCTCAGCCGCAACAAGCTATAGCTTCTTCTTCACAACATGTTGCACAGCATCAGCAGAAATCTTGTTCCTCGATGCAGAGGTCCATTCAGCTACCAGGATCACAATTCGATGGATCACCGCATGATGCTCAGATGATTGGTATGACGAACAATGCACCCGAGTCATCGAATGTACAATTGGCCCTTGGGCTACAACCGCCGTCACATACAACATTTCCAGAACATGATTATGCGGCGCTTATAGCGGATGCACCAGATATAACAAACTTTCTAGACAGCTTTCCTGGACATCTGCAAGGTATGAAGCTTGTCAGAGACCCGCCTGACTTGGATACATGGAGAAACATACTGTTTCATGTCGATGAGATGATTACACTGAGCGAAGAACAGTATGGAGTTTCCCAAGCCCACCTGGATTAAGGCTTAATGGCTGATGAGCACAACTCTGTAGGTTTCAAATATACTTCCCCCACATCGACAATGTTTATTCCCATCGCTCTACTCAGCGATACAAGCGCAAGCCATTTGCCTCTCATTACTGGGATTGCCGGCTGATAGGCCGGGCATCAGGGACACCCAAGTCTGACGACCCAAACAAGAAAAAGCGCAAGCGTGTAGCACGGGAAAGAGATCTTTGTGATGTCAAGATCAAAATAACCGAATACTTCCCTACAGCCGGTGTGTTGGAGGATGTGACCATCCCAGAGGACATGTTGCCTGACATGCATTCTATGTTCCCACTTCAGGGTAGCAATGCATTCAGTGTGCTTTCTGCACCCAGTTCCAATCTACCGGGGGATCATCCCGGGGCAACTGGCAAGAGATACTTTACAATTCAACGGGTGAATGGTACCGGGGCTCAAGGTCAGGGACTGGGATGTGGCCATCAACACACGATAGAGGACAGTGATCGAGTCAAGAAGAATAGTGTTCAGCGCATTCTCCTAAAAGAAGATAAGCAGAGAAAAAAGAATACGGTATGTTTCTTTTTGCTTTCATCATTGCGCATCTCGCATGTACAAAGGCCGCGTTGGCTTGGCATCCCCGGAGGACTTGCCCTTACGTCACAGTCAAGATCGGTCGTCACCCGCGTGTTACACTGGTAACTGCAACAAATCGCAGAGATCCTCAATCTAATTTGCATGCTTCCGAATTACTCTAACGGCTTCCAGCAGAACAGAAACATGTCCGACCAGAAGTCATATCACACTAAAGCGACAGGCCTGGCCGCTGTGACGGCAGCTCAACATACGGCGGAGTCGAGGTTAAAGCTCTATGGAAGCTGTTTTTGGTGAGAATAACCCTATCCATGGCTGAATCGTGTTGGAACGAAGCCTTGCTGACTTTTCTGCACAAAGTCCCTTTGTGCAACGAGTATGGATAGCACTGGAAATGAAGAAGATACCCTACCAGTACATCGAGGTCGACCCATACCAGAAGCCTCAATCGCTGCTTGAAGTGAACCCACGGGGGTTGGTTCCAGCTTTGCGACACGATGACTGGGGTTGCTATGAAAGCACAGTGCTTATGGAATATGTAAGAGAAATAGCCACATGCTAGGGTAGTACCCTCATTTTTCATTGATTCTGACAAGCCTTTGCCTCTAGCTGGAAGACTTGAACCTGGGCACAGCACTTCTTCCGGAAGATGCAAGAATGCGTGCCCATTGCCGAGTGTGGGCAGACCATGTGAGCAAATCCGCGCAGCCGGTTTCATGCTCATTGCTGACAACATCACGCAGATTAATAGAAGCATTGTGCCCGGCTTCTACCGAGTACTGCAAGAGCAGAACCCAGAAAAGCAACTTGAGAATGCAAAGGAGCTTCGGGGTGCTTTTGATAAGCTGCTCGCCGCTGCACATCCCCAAGGACCCTTTTTCATGGGATCGCATATGTCTTTTGTAGACGTGCAGGTTGCCCCATGGGTCATTCGACTTAGGCGGGTCTTGAAGCCGTACCGAGGCTGGCCAGATACCGAGGAGGGAACGCGATGGGCCTCCTGGGTGAACGCCATCGATTCAAATGAGCATGTCCGAGTAACGACGAGCTCAGACGAACTATACTTGGATAGTTATGCGCGATACGCCGGTAAGTCTCGTGGCCGCTTTGTGATCTGGATAGAGGCCTTGGATATTGACCCAAACCGTAGAAAACCGGCCCAACACGTCCCAAGTTGCGAATGCAATCAATTCGGGACGGGGGCTTCCTTAGGTTCTCATCAAAGTCTCTGCTTGACCGTCGGGGTGGGTGCTGATGAGATATGGGTCGGTCGGGCGGGCAGACGCCCCGAACGATGGCCGATGAAGAAAACGGGACAAGTCGTCATATTAGCCTCCGCGAGCGCCTCTATTGGCAAATCCAAACCCACCCCTTCCACTTCCATCGGGACCTCGAGGAGTTCGCAATGGCTGCTGAGGAGCATTCTGCTTTTCGGCATCGTCTCGATCTCCTTGTGGACGATCTCGCCTCTGTAGGGTTGATCCGACCCTGTTTGAACTTGCCGGATCGTAGAGCTGCTGTCTGGACTTGCTTGAGGCGGTCGAAGAATCTCTCTTCTCCCTGTAATCCCGCTGGCCGCCTCGGCCCTTCCCTTTCCCACGTCCCTCACCAGGTTGATTCTGGCGAGGTGGGGTTGTACTCCCCGGAGAAGAATTGCCAGAATTCGTTGCAGAAGGGCTTCCGAAGAGCCTTTCTCGTGCCTCCTCGTATTTACGCTGTCTCTCTTCGCGATTCTTGAGAGCTATCGCTTGCCTTTCTTCAAAGGTTAGTTCGCGAGGCTGATTGGGGTCTTCGTCCGTGTCGCCTTCATCGTCAAGTCCAAGTTGTCCGATGCGGGCTGTTGCCCCGTCTATTCCACCGGAAGATGACGACTGGCGTGGTGTGATTTGAGGCCTCCGGCTGAGGAGCGTGACGGTCGGTTTAAAGTCTTGTTTCAGAGGTACCTCGGATCGGGCTTCGACATAGTGGAATGTCTGCGGGGATTCACTGCGGCGGGAACCTTGCTTAGAAATTGTAGCCTCTTGTGGGATATGTAGTATGAGGACATACGCTTCTGCCCAGAGCTGCCGGTTGAACTCTGCCTGCTGCGCTCTGCGCTGAGCTTTGGTGACTTTGGAGGAGACTTTCTTCTCAGAAGGCGGGGTCGGCTGATTCGCTAGTTTCTGTGTATCTTAGTGTTAGTATAATGGCGACTGAATTGGGCATTATGGCCCCTATCCACAAGAAATACGCCTCGGCAGCACTTGTTTCTCACTCGACCGAGAGACTTTACTCGTACTTACATCAGCTTGGGATTCCCAGTCCGCATCCCATGCATCGGGGACTTCAGGCTTTGCACTCATGGCCCACGAACGACAGAAACAAACCAGCAGAATGGGCCGGTCAATGGAGGGAAAAAAGAAAATGAAATTGCTGAAAGCGACAAGTAAGAGGTGATATATCCAAGGAGTATACAAATGGTGGGGAAGACAAGTAAGAAAAGAAAATTCGCGGGTCTCCAAAGCTGAGGCGCCCACCGCCCCCAGCCCGCTTGATCTCCGCTCTCCTCCTCAGCTCCGCCCTTGGATTACTTCGATCTGCACGGCTAACATCTCCAATCTGCCTTTTCTTCACTTGCCGCCAAGATGGCTGTCGGTAAGCTTTGAATCTTTCCTTTTTTTTTTTTTTTTCTTTCGAAATATCCAAGCTCTGGACAGGGTTTCGACCAGCTGCCCCCAAATTTCCAGCTTCCGTTATTTACGCATCTCCGCATACCAAAGCATCAACGTCTCGACTCATTCTCCTCAACTGACGATCTTTACATAGGATCTCGAGACCCCGACGGTGATTCTGAGATGGCCTCCTCTGTCGGCTCTCCTTATTCAGACTCCGATGCGGTCGACACCGGTGCCCGCACTCCAACTCACAACGCCCATGCCGCCGCCCCCACGTCCGAACTCTCCCCTCCCGGGTCACAGCCACAGCAAATACCGGATATATCTACCACGGCCGATCAGAGGCCTCGTACAGAAGCAGAGGCTTCACTCCTTGGCAAAGGCCCTGAGCCACCCGTTGCCTCATGGCAGACCAAGCGTGCCCAGGATGAGTACCAGCGAGCCTTGGAGCAGGTGGTCGATAAAGACTTCAACTTGAGTATGTTGTTGGCGGTGAGATTCTTATGTCCCAGTGTCTCCTGACTGACTTGTCGATTCACAGACGAATTCGGAGATCCATTTGATGAGCGTGACCTGGAGGAGAAACTGCTATGATACACCAACCGCCGCGATAGCCTCTCGCGGCTGACTTTGCTACTTTAGACATGGTAGATGACATGATTAATGAAGACATGACGTGAACTCTCCTATATGATGGCTTTGCCCCTTTTCGATCTGATGAACTTGGGTAAATTATGGCAAGCCCCCGCTGATTTTGAGCAGGGCCGCTGCCCACATCCACTCATTGGCATGCTACCGGATATGGTTACTGCCAGGGTTATCGGTCTAGCCTTGCTCGTTGGACCCAAGGTCAATTGGCGAGGCCAAATCGGAGGCAGGGATATCTGATAGCGGATATTGATGCTTGTACTTGTTTCAACCCTCTAACAAAGTTGAGTGCAAATCTGTGGATGAATTACGCGCATGCATTGTGGATGGCCATTCAAGCCATACAACTGTTATCCTAGCATCTCTTCTGAGCATTGAGCCTTATGATCTCGCATCCCTTCCCTCTTTCGGCTGACAATTGAGGTTGCATGTTTTTCCATTCTGGAACGTCTCCCAATGTTCAAGTACTCGGACAGCATCCCATACCAATGATACGCCTGTCCGCATCGTCTCCTCGATCGAGGATGAATTTCAAATCCGATTCTCTTATTCAAGTTTCTTCAAGCTCTCCCGCTTAGCACGCAGCAGCTCTTCCAGCAACTCGATTTCAATCTCAACTCGTCGCTTGTCATTCAAAACATCGACCAGTACTCCGTCCGGTCCACCACCCGCGGCTTCTGATGAACTTGTCTCTGTCTTCTTCTCATCCCCGGACTTCAGCCGAGTCCATCCCATCCAATTCACGATATGTTCCACAGCCAAGATGACGGCGAGAATCGCACCGAAGACGATAACAGCGGCAATCATAGCTGGAAGCATGACTTTAAAGAGTGCGCCGGACAATGACGAAGTCAGAAACCAGGTTGTGCCGCAAAAGGTACTGATGGCGGTCCACACAGTGCCGAAGAGATGGCCAAAGAGAGAGCCATGAGGTTCCGAGGTGATAGGCATGTTAAAAATTGTACTAAAGTGAGGCCTGAAGGATTGAGGTCTGGTTCGCGAGGGTATAAACTGGGAAGGAAAATGAAACTGGGCAGGTGTAGGAAGATAAGTTTGGTCTTTGGAGCCTCAATTTCTCGCACGATCCGGCGCAGCCACGTCGGCCGCTAGACGGTTCCTAGCCAGATATCAAAGGCTAAGCTCATCCTCGTTACCGGGAAGTACCTAAGTGGGGGCTGCCTGCTTTGTACGCGTCATGCTATAACTGTAGGGCTACAATTGTCCATTTCTGAGGGTACATCGAGGTCCCTCCGTCCGCTTTGAAAAACATGGTACAAGCACCTTTCTAGAAGCATGTCGAAAATGAGTAGAAGGAAGAGAAGAAATGGAAACAATATCTTAGAGTTGATGAAGCAGATCGTGGACATGTTGAGGATCTTGTTCATCAAGTTGCTGGCACACTAGTCTAAGCCTAATTCGGTTGGTATTCTCCCGGTCTTGAAGCATGAACCAAGTGACCAGAGAACAAGTCTAGCCGGGCATTTTGCCAGAGGGCAACCTATTTTTGATATCTGGAGCTGAGAGCGAAAATACCCAACCGTATTCCTATCTTGCTGATTTCCCATTTGTAGAGGAAGTTCTGGGAATTTGGCCACATGTGTTCAATTCTGAGACAGGCAAGAACTTTTGACACGGAAAAATAGAAAAATGGAGAAGCCAGATGCAGATTCCACGATATGTACTACGAGAATACCATGTGGAGAGAAATTCCCTTCGACTGGTTAGGGCAAGTCCGTTTAGGACATCCATCTAAGCTCTTGCCACTGGAAGAGCCAAAAGGCAACAAGCTTCGAGAGTGCCGCCTTGTGGATTACCCGATCGGATAGTCAGGTTCTCACTTCAATGACTGTTTCTAGATCCGAACTCATGTGTGGTACTGACTGAGCCAAAAGGGCCAAACAAGGGGGGTTACCAGCCTCGCTGGGCTCGTATACCAGTGTCTCATAGCTGGGATATATTCCCGTCCTCGTACATATATACTTGTACAGGTGTTATTTTGTGTATTACAAAATTCCCAAAGAATAAGCCTGAAGCATTCTATCATTTGTCTCCATTCCATTACCACGTGATTTCCGGCCAATCACAGAGAATTATCGATGGTCAACGTTTATTATCCTCCGCGAAATATAGTTGACGTCAGGGGGCAAAGTTGCTTCCCATATGTATGTGATGATGTAAGTTGATTTTATTGCTCCTACCCTCACACTATCTTCCATGTGGTATATATCAAATCCGCCTCCGCCACTAGTCACACAAATGAATACAAAGCGGAAAGTCGATAATGGGACTGTCAGTGGCATTTATCAAATTTTACAGAACGCAGTGGCTTATTCCTCATCTCTAGGGTGTTTCGGACAGTGTCGCCGAATCAAACGGTCAGGATAACCTAAGTGACGATTATCTCTCTCCGGAAATGCAACTTGAGGAGTCTGACGAGGGAAACCAATCTCCCATGCCCGACCACAAACAGAGGAAACCTGAACGCCGACAAGCTCGCACACACAGTGCAAGTCAGTCGCAGACAGTCTTGAATACCTCTGGTCGAGATTGGCATTTAGCACGAGCTAGAAGCCATGAGATTAAGCGATCGAGACGGACACCTTCACATGAATCCGATGTCATTACAGGTGACGTTACAGAGACACCTGAAAAGCCAGAAAAGAGCGACAATACGCTAAGGCTCCGGCTGGATCTAGACCTTGACATTGAAATTGAATTAAAGGCCAAGATCCAAGGCGATATAACTCTTTCACTGCTGTAAGCAACAGATTATGCCCCTCGATTCTCCAGAATGGCTCATAACGATAACTGTATAGGCAATGAATTGGTTAAGTCTGATTGTGCTCGTTGGCGCGATGCGAATACGGATGAACTTAGCTTCCGTCAGCTGTTATTGTACAAAGTTCATTATTTCATGATTTCCTCCATGTCCTGGAAGGAATATGTAAAAACTATCAATATTTGGTTATCTATACTTGATCAGAAGATGTATCCATCATTCAGGCCACTAATGAACGGGGAATAGCAATTTCCCATAGTGCTGGCCTCGCAGATTGGTTTAAAGGAGAATCTTCGCCGAACTGATGTTGTCACGATTTCAATCATAATCCAAATTTTCACAGAGTACCATCCCCTCCTGGTTTACCTCTGATCAGCAACACCTGACAACTCTTCTCTCGACCGCACCACCAATTTCTGATATGCGCCAGGCAATACGGCGAGATATATTGCATACACCTGGAATTGATAACTGATGTATGGTCAGCTCTCCCGAAGCAGTCAAGGAAATACTTGACAAGCAATCCGTCCTGACTCCGTCGCGGCCCCCAATGCATGTTGTATCCGATGCTTGATCGGTTGGAATGCAGAGAGGGGAGCAGGAGCTTTAATCATTAGGTCTTGGTTGTCGTGCCTGAAATTTACGGGCAAACTCTCTGGGGCGTGGCAGTGTCGACGTCTGTTAAGTGTGACAACTTTGCGGCATGCGGTCTACGGCTGCCATTAAGCGTATTTTTGAATTTATCTTATTAAAAGTTGGCATTCTCACAGCAAGTACTGTATTGCCTCTAATCGTTGGCCAGGCCGACAGGCTCTTTGGTTCACTTTTGAGACGTCGGTACATCGGCATAACCGAGCTTGCGGGGTAGCTCTCTGCTTGTCACACCGAGGGGGGGGGAACTTGGCCAAATAATTAGGCGCTCATCCTCCCACTGATCAAATGATTCCATAAGTCCTCGTCCTCTCTTTAGCATTAGCGTGATTTTAAACATGCCATATAACCTTCGTGGTCGGAATGTTCTCATTGTTGGTGGGTCAAGGTACGTTCTGTGTTGTTCTAATACTTCCATATTCGAGATCTCTCTAATGGAACCTATTCAGGGGGCTTGGGGCAGTTGTGGCAGAGAAATTCGCCGTCGAAGGCTGCAACTTAGCAATCAACTATCTCTTCAGTCAAGAGCAGGCTGATAATCTCGCCTCGGAGTTGGCGAAGAAGTACAGCATCAAAGCAGTCACTATCCAAGGAGTACGTGTTGCTCTGATCTCCAACTCCAAGTGACCATCAGTACACAATATTGGATGGTCGGCCTCTAATACAAATCGTTAAATAGGATGCCGGCCTCGCGCAGGATTGTGTGCGACTAGTCCAGAGCACCATCGAGAAGTTGAACGGGTTGGACATCATCATTTCGAATGCAGTAAGTCACTTTGATCTGTTCTCCGATCGGCATCTAATTGTCACAGGGCTGGACAAAGTTCACCAGTTTTGGCGATCTCGATGCGTTGACTGATGAAGAATGGGATAAAGTAAGATTGTAACATCTTTCCAAAAAAGTGCAACGAAAATTGGCTGATCATATAGTGCTGGGCAACCAATGTCAAAAGCAACCTCGTCTTGTTCAAGGAAGCTGCTCCGACCTTCAACGCGAATAGTGAGGGCGGTGTCTTCATTGCCACTTCATCAATTGCTGTACAACCTCCTAGGCTTGGCCGATATACGTATTTCCACTGATGATGATATGCAGGGCATAACCGCCGCGGGGAGCAGCATGGCTTACTCTGTGACTAAATCTGCAGGTATTTTATACATCATCCCGGGAGAAAAGTGTGTGTCGCTAATTTGTAATAGGGCTTCACCTCTTGCAATGCTTAAAAGCATCCCAGGGACCAAAGGTCCGGATAAATGCCATACTTCCTGGCTTGCTGCTGACCGAATGGGTAATGAGTTCATAGAACCTGGTAAAAACAGAATGATCTGACTAATAAATCCTTCAGGGTGTGAGATACTCTTCAGAGCAAATTGCTGCTTGGAAGGATAAGTCTACATTGAAGCACGAAGTCAGTCATACAGCCGGACGGTCTTTATCATCTACTAATAAAGATATATCTAGGTCTTTCTCGATGACTGTGCCGACATGTATGTATCGCTTTCCAAAAATACCTCAATGACGGGTCAGCAAATCGTGATCGGTAAGACTTCAGCTATCCATGATCTTTGAAACTTATCAACCTGACCTTTTAGACTGCGGATACGTATCTTGATGAGAACCCGTATATAGAGGTTCATACCCACGACACGCAAGAGCCGTTTGTGGAAATATGGTGCCAAGTCTGTTTCGAATGCACCTCTCTTTGGAATAAAAAAGGTACATAGAAATGGTACAATGATACTTAGATTACTATCCTCGAGCAGCGGTCACATGGAGGCATGTTCATGGAGTTCCACAAGTCTGAAATCCTCGACGTTGCTTCTAAATTATCTTGTTTCTTATGCTTCAATAGATGAACCGACCTAACTTTAAAGAACTCCCTGAAATAACCAGAACGATGTCCTGGAAAATCTTTAGAAATAGAGAAGGTTGAAGCGTATTACCTAGGCCCTTTTTTCAAGCTCCATTTTCAAAGGCTTTAACCATCACTGTACATATATATCAGGGCAAGGTATCGCATGTACTATGTGCTACTCGTAAGTTAAGTTTCTAATTAAGCTTAGCGTCGTAGTGTCACGATAATTCCCTGTAGTGGTATGAGTTTGATACTATATAGGTTAGATAACAGTGCCTGGAGACTCTTCCCGGTGGTCGTGTTTCAGATGAAGATACTCAACCGATTAATAGTGTTGGCTTGAATATGGATCAAAGGCTTTATCATCCGAACTGATGCCACTGAAAAATTTCCTTAGGTGACCACCGTGATTACAACATGACCTAGTCCTTGTGATGAGCTATGTGCTTGGTTTATTTCAAGTATACTCTGGATGCTTTTATGCCAAAGATACGCTTTCAGATCTTTTCAGTACATATCCTTGGTTCAAGCGTGAGCAGTCTAGATCTCGCGCTACCAAAACTCCCAAGGCAACACCACAGACACGGCCTAATAATGACTCAAAGTAGCGGCCATGGTAAAGAGTTCAACACGATAGGTGGAGGGATGAAAGACAGACGCCAGAAACATTTCCCCTTACACTACCGCTTATGCCAAAGTGCCTCGGAGTCAAACTCTCCAAGTCGTGCTAGGCTGTGAAACTAAGATTTTGAGCGATGAAAAGATAATTGAGGACAAACTATCTATAGTAGAATTCTATTTTCTTCAATCAGAATGAAGTTCACAAGTGAAGTTCCCTTGGGGGGAAACAATATAACGATAAGGACAGACAAGGAGTCGCCCCAGTCACATCAAGCAACTAAGGAACGATCCTAAAAACAAGATACACGAAAATTCCTAACCAATCCTGATTGGTGTCCCATCAAGGGCTATAAAGAATGAATGTTTTCAGGAGCAGTACGGGCTGGAACCGCCCTTGCAGCTGGTACCAGCAGCGCATGTAGAGCGGGGGGTCCAGGCAGAGCCGATGCACTGCTCCAGGACATCGCCATTGCACTGCCATGCGTTGTCCGAGCAGGAAGTAGATGATGATGCAGTAGCCTGCGCAGCTGCTGACGCACTGGTTGCCATCGTTGTTGGGGTCGCAGACTGAGAGCCAGAGGAGCTAGAACCGCTAGATCCAGAGGACGAGGTAAATCCTGAAGAGCTGCCATCAATGTTGTAGATGGTCTCGTCAAGGATCTCCCAGGAGATCTCGACGTGGCCGTCGTTACAGGCGCTGCCTCCGGACAACTGGTCGAGGACGGAGTAGCTGAAGTCAAGGCCAGGAGCACCCTGTGCGTTCCACGTATCACTGGTGGAGGAACCGGTGCCACAGCGCTGGCAGCCGTCTCCGATGAAGAGTGGCAGGTCCGACTTCTGTCCATTGACGGTGACAACAACCTTCTTGCCGCAGTACTTGGACGGATCGGCTCCCAGTTGAGTGTTGTTCATGGCAACGACGTAGTTGGTGTCCATGGCGTCAAGAGAGAGGAGAGTCTCAGAGCTGCACATGATTCCACCTTGGTTCTGGTACTCGAATGTGGTACCGCAGGCATCAACCTGGTCGATATCGTAGTAGTATGTACCAAAGCCTTGGCCACTGGAGACGACCGACTGGGCAGAGGCGCCAAGGGTGAAGAGCAGACCGGCTGCGGCGGCGGATTGGAACATCATGATGTTTAAAGATAGAAGTAGAGAAGAGAGATTGACTAGGGTATTGGACCTTGGGTTTCAAAGAGTGTTGAAGCAGGTCAGAAGGAATGACTGGTCAAGAAGAAGCTTGAAAAGAATGACTTCTTAAGGAATGAATGTGGTCTTTGGATACGAACGAGGATCCAGGAGGGACAGTGAACGATTTAAATATTCAACATCGCAATCTTCCTGACTTAAGCAAAAGGACGAGTTCCGTGGTCTGGACGAAGCCACTGAATGTTGAAACATGGAACACACTGCATCAGTATGAAAGATTTTCTCTCCCCCGCCACCATTTCCACCACGTCTCCATATGGTTCCAATCCTCTCTTCTTCCATTCGGTCTCCACCATCTCTTTAGACTCTTCTACGTCTTGAGCCGAGGGAAGGAGTCTCGACTATCAGTTGGCATCTATAAACGGAAGCATGGTGAGCTGAATTATATCGTAAATTTGTTGGCCGCTCCACGTTTCTGAAGAGCGGATTTCTTTACCGCAAGCCTGGCACGTAAATTGTATTTTCATTTGCCATATATGCTCCACCGTGAAGGGCTTTCAGGCACACCTCCTGTTTATGACATCAATCCCAAACTCGGATTAGCAGAGGCAGTCTTTTCCGCGCCTTGAAGCAGGGGAAAAACGGTCAATGCCAGGGGCGATAGTTTGGTGCCTGGTTCCTGGTCGTAGCGAAGAAAACTTAACTGTCGCGGTCCCTGAGGATTCCAAGGAAAACTCCACTTTTTGGCCTATTCCGGCGATCCGATTAACCGACAGTCGCGAAAGAATATGGGGTATTGGATGAACCGAATATTAGATCAAATCTATCCCATGGTTCACGGAAGAATTTGTTCTGGAAGGTTTGTCGAAGAAGGGGCCAGTAACGTCATTGGCCGAATTAAGGTTCCTGACATGTGCTGCCCCTTTGCCATCGCCACGCGGATTCCGATGTGGCGTTAGCGGAAAACCACCGCCGCCGATGAATGGCGGTCCCTGAGTAGAGGCTGGAGGCTCGAAGGGGAAGGAGGGGACCGGATAGACGGACCGTCATAGTAGATTTGGCAGACAGTGTGAAGGGGACGAGAACCCTTCCTTGCCTGACATTGGACAACGAAGAACAACGGCCTTGGTCGTACAATTCATCCAAGTGTTGTCCTATTGGTCAACGAGAGAAGAGACAAAGGATGCCTCCCCCCATTTTTCAGGCTTCTTTGTGCGATTACACTTTTTCCTTTGATTCTTTCGGCATTTCTCCCATGACGCTGCGGCATTTATCTCGGGCAAGTCGTCCCGAATGAACCAATTTCTGTGGCTAGCACCAACCCCGCACTTCTAGATTTCGAGCATAGAGAGGGTATAGTCTTCCACTCTCAATCTCTCACAAATGAGACATGTACAAGCATTGTGGCCGCCTGTAAGATGGGAAGAGTCATTCGGCTTAATTCAATAGCACTAAGTATGCGCAATACTTCAATTCAAATTCGACTATTAGGCGAGTATTCAGGTCCCTCATTCTGGTGGTTATCATACTTGTCGGGCTCCTTACGTTGGTCCCCCGCTTAGCCACATACAATCATCTTATGGATCAAGTTGTCATGCCAGCCTATGGCTGCAAAGAAAGGTCGTTTAGAAACATCTAGATCATGGCATTACAAGGCTCTACTGTACGATGTGTTTGCAGGGTATCTTGTGCTTGAAATCAGTGCCACAGACAAATGTGCTGCAAAGACAACGTGAACGGAATAAAAAAAATGCCAACTACGTACTGAATGTAAGGATTGATTGACAAATGCACATTTGACAGGCTTCTTGTTTTCAGCATCTTGGATCCATGCCATTGTAATACCAGGCGCGAGGGGGGCCTCAACATTGTTAGAAATCAAATGCCCAGCTGATACCCGAGTTTTGGCACACAATATAAAGAGATAGGAAATTCCTCTTGATGCCCTGCCTTTCATATTCTTACTTCATACTAGAAAAGTTCTGTCTCTCGAGGACTACACTGTCCCCCACCACTGGACACGATATTCGGAGTGCGATGAGGGGGTTGGCAGGGCAACGCGCGGGTCCCATCGAAACTGTCTGCCCAAGCAAAACTAACCAAAACTAACCAAAACTAACCGCTTCACCAACACATCGCCTTCGACAATTCTTACAACATATACATTACCGACTGGCTTCCCACGGATCGACCGTCTCGGAGTCTTTTTACAGCTGCCTATCCCACTACCTCTTTCGTATACTGCGTGACGACTTGTACCACCAGAGCCCGAATACCGGCGGGCTTTTGACACATTCCACGCGCGTCAACACCAACAATGAGCACTGATCCTGCCCTTTCGCAGGCGCAGCCATGGTGGGTCATATTTCTTCTTCGTCTAGCTAGCTTCTTACTCTCTGTCTTCTTTCATCGATCTCGTCTGTCCTACTGGAGTGTTAGTTTACACTCCTGGTCCAGGGGCTATCCCGCTTTGTTTTCGATTCCCTGAACGCTCCCCCACCTCGCGAAAACCTGCGCACATTCAGATTAATGTCCACGCATATTGCCTTGAACTTGCTAACATAACGCGCGTGGGCGCAATTGGCCTTAGCGATCCCTCTCAGCCTCCGTCCGACGAGAATTCGTTCCGATTCACACCAATCAAGGCGCTCCGCGCGATACCCCGTCTGTGGGAGCGCAAACCGGCAACCCCATTCAAGGCCGGTCTCAAGCGAAAGTTGTGGAAGCGCTTCCAGTCATCTTTCTCCAACATGCAGACTCTCGAGTCGTCGACCGCCCTGGACCATGACGCTTTGCAGACCGCTATCAACACATCCAAGGATTCGGCTTACGTGCGCGGTGTAAAGCGTCTTTGTGTTGGCCCGGGGGAATCTGCCGAAATCGCGAATGTGGAAGTGCCACAGCCTGGCCGTCCATTCCTGGAGACAAAGTGGGAGTCGGAAATGTCTCGCAAACGACGTGAGTGCCGAGGGCCCGATGCATTTCTACAGGTGGATTGCTAATAGTGGCTTTTAGGAAAATTGCCGGATGCGCCATTTGACGTTTATGATGAAAGTTTAAACGCCACGTCAGATCGTACAACTAGTCGGCGATCGGACGGTCATTACGATTTGGATGCGGATGGGGATCTTGCAATGGGTACTGCATCACCTATCCTCTTCAAATCACTGAGAACCCCGCCCAAAACAGCCATTTTCCAGGATAACATGCCTACGAAGGACTCAAACCTCACGACCTCTGATACAAAGTCCGTTGAGCAAATTGAGTCTGGCTCGTCCGACCAAGAACAGGGCGCGGTCAGCGGCAGTGTAGTGCAGAGAGGAAATGGCGATGTGACAGCCACCCCTACAAAGCTTGTCCGCAGCCTGACCCAGGCACAAGAGGGAACTCTTGTGCGATCGGCGCTCCGCAGTTCGCTAGATGGAGATGACGCGATGGTGTTGAGTGACTTCTTATCCAAGGCCATGGCGAAGCGTGCAGTCAAGGCCGCCCAGGTCAGCTCACAAGAATCTGACTCTGCCGATAAGTCGTCAAGCCCGGAGACATCGCCAGATTCGGAGTGCGCAACACCGCCATCCCGGAGGGCTCTTGGGGACCGGGACGCTAATTCACCTTCACCCGTCAAAGCCCAAATCGCACCATCCAAGGGAAAGTTCATTCCCGGCGACGAAACACGCGAGGATGTCGTCATCAAGGAAACCCAGGACGAAGAAGTGACAGCACCTGCCAGCCCGGCATGCCGACGGAGCACCCGCGTCAAAGCACCACCAGCCAACGCTCCCCCCGTGCGCAGCACCATCTCTCTGCGTCGGGCGAAAGGTAACGAGTTCATTTTTATGCAACGCACCGATTCACAGGAGCTAGCCCTCGCTACACGACGCAACACCAGGAACAACCGAGGCAACTCTATGATGCCCAAATACGTTCTCCAGGCCATGGCACAGGAGGACTCATCTGCGACAGACAGCGACATTCAGAGTCAACCCCGAGCAGACCACAAGAATTTGGGCAGTCGCAAAGTCACGTCCAAGTCGCGCAAGACAGTCACCTGGAATGAGGCACGGATGGCCGAATACGAAGGCGATACGCCCACCCCAGCTTCCTCGGACGCGGGCGCAGACACTGATGCAGGCGCTACATTGGAGAGGGATGAGAGCAGGAAGCATGACGTTGACGGCGGCTCTTCGCGGGCACGCTCCGGGGCCAGGCGATCGGAGAAGAACGCATCGTCCAGCTCCCGCAGCTCCCGCAAGCAATTGTCGCAGAAGGCAGAACTTGAGAGTGGTCCGACCGTCCCAGCGAGCACAGCAGAGCCGGTGTCTACAACTTCGAAACCCCGACGTGTACGGCGGCTGGGTGATTCCGTGATGGCCTCGGGGACGCCTGTCAAGACGGGCACCGGGCGTATCAGCAAGACCACTACCCTCTCGGCGAGCGATGGAGCTCCTGCCACCGCTACAACAGGCCCATCAACGCCGACTAAGCCTCGCCGAAAGCTGGTTCCCAAGTCTCCAAGTTCGTCACTACTTTCAGTCCCAGCCTCCAAGGCCAGCAGCAGTAATGGGGGTGAGCAGCATTTTGTCAGTGGCATTCCAACAAGGAGTACGACTAGCTCCGAGGGAGTGAAGCGGAAGAGTATGGCGGAGGCTAATGCAGGGTGCACGCCGATGCCTCGGCGGGTGCGAGCGCGGTCATGAACGTCACCTTGTTGACTCTTTTTGTTGTTGTTTTTTTGGCTCCGCAGCGAATTGTTCCCTGGAGTTTTTTGCATTTGCGTGATTTCCAAGATACCACTTACGCTGCATTTGTTTTGTTTTGTTTTTTTTTTGTTTTCTCTCTGCGTCCATTGCATTAGTTTCTTATTGTTAAACTCTGGTTGTCTTCTTGATGCAGCTTCCAATGTTAAGTGCTCAAATTTCCTCCCATGTCGCGTTGATCTTCTGTCGTGTTGCAACTGTAACGTGCAGACCCGCAGCAGCCACGCTGCAGGATGACGTCTGTGCCGCTGTTCATGCATGCCGGCCCTAGATATCGCATCTCTGATCATCAGTTTTGATGGTGGTCTGGCTCATGGGGTGAGGCGATCAATGCTGCACCTGCTCTCTGTGAGCTGGGCAAGTAAATCGACTAGTCCCCGTGGGGTAATCCCGAGTTTCGTCAAGGGCTCGAGGGTAGTCCGTCTAACTGGAGCAGGCTATCCGGGGTCAGTGTTGATGGTTGCTTGCATGGGAAAGCGCTAAAGGTCTAGTTCCTCGCAATGGATGACTATGTAGGTCCTATTTACACTTGTGCTTACACAATATCCCTCGCCATGAACTATATATTACAAATTATACCTAGTACCTCTCGTCGAGCTTAGTCTCCGGCCCTAACAAATGCCTAGTAATGGAAGCCACAGAGAAATACAATACATCCCTGCCGCCCCCCTAAACCCTGCCATTCGGCTCAGCTTCGGTTTCTGCACTCGGCCTCCAACAGTCTGTAACCCGAAACCTACGCAGCCACCCCCGATCCGACTATCCCTGCCCTCCGACCTCTATAGCGCCACTAAAATCATGTTGCTGATAACGTGAGGTAGATATATTCCCACCCTAAATTTAGGGCTGTAGGTTACTGGGTACAGTAATCACGCATCGCGCAACGTGGGGAATGGCTTTTGACGCTCGGGGGTGGCTGCACGATACTCGAAACGGCCGACTAAGTGGGTTCCTTATTTCTTGGACCCGAACGAAGGACTGAGGGGTTTACAGAGAGGACTATGTGAACGGTCAGTATGTGGTGTCAACTGTACCCTTGATTGCAAGGCGTGAGGCAGTCTTACGATGTACAATCCGGGTTTTCTACTTCTTCGTTGATCTGATAATATTCATAAACAGTAAGTGTATCCTCAGCAGGGGATTCAATCTTAGGGTTAACGAACCAGTTAAAACGAAAGCATAGAATGTAGAATTATCGAATGCGGCACCCGAAACAGCCACCAGCCATATATACTGTACTCTAAACTGTATCTGTATGGGGCCAATCCACATGTCAATTTCCATCTCTTCGTTCCATAATGTTCGTAATACGAACGAGAGTATACAGACTGTATCTAATGTAATTTGGCCCTCACGTCTGATCCCATCTCCCCTCGGTCCGCACAGTTCCACCATACCTCATTAGGCGACTCGGTGTTGCATACTGAAATATTCCCGGATCTAGCCACCGGACGCGCCGGGAGATTCCGGCTTTGCCCGGCGAGGACCAGTCAGAGTGAAGAAGTGATTGCTAGAGGATTATCGTTATATTTACCGTTTGGTTAATACTTTGCAAATGTACGTATATGGATACTCCGTACAGTATATGCTGTAATCTGTACACACATGCTGTAGCACAGTCAGTATCCGCCCCCGACACTAAGGCTAGGTGGAGCCGTGCTGGTAGTGGCGCAGGGGCTCCGAGCCCTACGCAGGATGACATCGGTCCTTGCAGATGTCGGAGCAGAGTGCTCCTGGGGCCGTGCAATAGTGTATGGAGGAAAGGAGTGTATCATTGTAGAAATGGTTGGTCTGATCATGGTGTGATAAGAGCTTTCTCTAAAAATTAAGAACGTAGTAAGAAAGACGCACTTCGGTCGCCGGTTTACGAGCTCTGAAAGTAGTTAGTAGAAGTGCTAATTACATTGCTGATAGCATATCCGGTAGTGCGAATACATACTCCGTACTAACAATTTACTGTACATATCGTATGGACGGAATACATATGGCCTAATCGCAGGAATAGACAGGGAGTCTGCTAGCAAGTAGCTACATGTCTCCACTCTCAACAAGCAGTACACATGCAACACCTCAATAAAGCAGACAACGAGAACACCGCTAGACGCCCGAATGACCAGAGATAGCAATCTTGGGAGATTTTTCACACAATTTTCCTCTCCTCCTCGCCTCCCCCTGTCCTGAATCCGATCCTTGTCAAAGCTCAGTGCTTAGATATTCTCCGAGAGCCGTCGGCAGAACTAATTGCCAGTGGCCCGTGTAAGCCCGTGGCACGGAGTATGGACGGAGAAGAGAGGCTGTGCATCGGAGAAAGAATGCTTAGTGTTCCTTATTGGCTGAGGCCTGCTTTGTAGCGCGGGACTTCTTTTCTTTTAATATCATTCCCTATTATGAAACGTTACATACAGCGGATGACGCTGGGTTGGGTTTTGCAAATTTGGGATCCTTTTGGATCTATAGAAAAAGGCTAGTTTGTATGCGGGTTTCACAGGGGGAACGTTGCCATATGGTCGAAGGCGCGTTTTTGGGGCAGCTGGGGCCACTCTAAATAGGAATTGGAGCTTGGCGGGTAAAGGCAAGTGCAATTTTGAGATTTGTATAATTGAGATGGGACCTATCAAAGACGGAACACGGGTATGATTTTGTAAAAAGGATTCAGGTATGGTGCAGGATACTATATCCAATTCATCTATTTCGTATCTGAGATTCGTTACACGTTGTTTCGTGCCTGCCAACAGGATTACCATCCCGGTCTCGGGTATATCGCCTCCTACTCCTTCAAAACAACTTTTGAAACTTAAGCAGAGATGTTCTTGGCGGTCTCCTCGGGCCAAACATCGTGACCAAAGGTATCCTTCATGTTGACGAAGCGGAAGTGTCGGCCCTCGGCCACCTTGTTAACAGCCGCAAAGTCCTCATCGCTCAGCTCGATGCTCTTAAAGTTGGATTCGATACGCTTGGGGTTGGAGCTCTTGGGGAGAACGACGTAGCCGCGACGGATACCCCAGGCGATCAGCACTTGAGCCAGGGTGTTACCGCCCTTCTCGGCTATCTCGTTCAGGGTCTTGTTCTCGGAGACGCGCTCGCCGGTGGTGGGCACTTGGTTCTGCGAGCCCAGGGGCGAGTAGGCCTCGGGCAGGATGTTGTGGGCGAAGCAGTACTGCACCAGCTCCTCGTTGGGCAGGAAGGGGTGGATCTCGATTTGGTTGACGTGCGGCTGCACCTTGGCGAACTTGGCCATCTGCTCCAGCTGGGGGATGGTCCAGTTGGAGACACCGATGGCCTTGGCCTTGCCCTCGGCGTAGAGCTGCTCCATGGCGCGCCATGTCTCCTCGTGGTTCTCGGTCAGGTCCTTGAGGATCACGTACTGTGTAGTGTTAAGTTAGCTATGATTGTCCTATATCTCATTTCTCCTAGTCGAGCTCGGGCGCTGGTCGACGGGGAAAATGCGGGGGGTAGCGTGATGCTTTTTCTCTCACCTTTCCATCAGGGCCAATCTTGGGTTTCTCCTGGTCTTCCTTCTCGGCAGCAATGGGCCAGTGAACCAGGAACAGATCAACATAGTCGAGCTGGAGGCGCTTGAGGGAGTTGTTGAGGGACCAGAGGACGTCATCGTAGCGGTGAAGGTGGTTCCAGACCTTGGTGCACACGAAAATGTCGGAGCGCTTGACAGAGGGGTTCTCCTTGAGGAAGTCGCGAATAGCCTCACCAACCTCGTCCTCGTTAAGGTAGAACCAGGCACAGTCGAGGTGGCGGTAGCCAGTGCGCAGAGCAGTGGTGACGGCAGCATAGGTCTCGCCCTTGGAGCCCTCACTGGCGAAGGTGCCGAAGCCGACGGCGGGGATCTTGACCCCGTTGCTCAATGTGAAAGTCTTTCCGTTGGACATGGTGATAGTTTTCAATTGGTGTGTGAGAGAAGAAAAAGGTTCGAGAGGAAGCAGGGGCTAAGAAGTAGTCGCCGGTGGGGTGGTGGTTACTGGTCGGGATAGGCGATGACGCTGTTGACGCCGAAGAAGTGGGGTGGAGGGGTAGTCGCTTTGGGTCCTGCTGTACGAAGTATAATTGCGGTAATCAAACGGTGGTCGACTATATAAAATTTACCAGGCGGAAATTGTACAGAGTAAACCATTACATTCATACATTCGAATTGAATCTCGACTGTCAATTGCGATAAGAATAGAGGTCTATCTACGCTAGTCGCGGTGTTCACGCGTATCTTCTCTACGTTAGCTGCACGCATCATCACTAGCCAGATAGCTCTAGATACTGGTCAATGTAATATTTAGTCTCAATACTGGAGTACTAACGTTATCCGTATTTCGTACGGTATAGTCGTAATTGCGTGCAAATGGACAAGCCGTGCTTTGCAACTTCCAAACTTTCGGTAATTTTCAGAACGAAAGAAACCCGGATGACATCACCGACCGAAAAAGAATAAAAGGAAAAGCGTTTGACCCGCCAGATCGTCATCGGCTCCACCGATCCTTTGCCGTTCCACGGGTGAACCGTCCGCTTCGCCAATTGACTCTCTTCGGCCGACCTGCCTCTGCCTCTTCCGACCCACTCGGTGGGCTGCGCTGCTCATGCCGGGGCCTCCCAATCCCCCGTGGATCCAATCATCATCGGTCTTTATTCACTCCGCCGGAGGCAGTATTGGCCTACACATGCTGAGACGAGTATCCTGAGGCATTCCGTCAGGACCAGGATTAAGTACGGAGTACGGGATGAAACATGGTGGACGCCACCACGATGCAGGTACCCTGTACTCCGTCCGCTCCCCTGGCTCACATCCATACTTTCACAGACCGTCTCCCATAGATCCACCCAAATGCAACGACATTCTGTTGCCAAATGATGACGAGAATTCTTAGGAATGAGGTACCCGAGTGGAGTCTCTTCCCCCCCGTACTCTGGCGATGGGCCCTCGTTTATTTATTTATTATTCTTTTCAATTTTCATACTTTTTTCCTGAGGATTGAGCCCCTCGTCCAATCGAGATTGGTATCAAATAGCCTTCTCGTGTATATATACGTCCTTCTCGTCTCCAGAATCTCCTCTTATCTCTACTCCACTCCCTGATCATCTTCCTTCTTCTGATCCTTCTATCGTCTCATTCAGTCCTGGTCATCTCCTTGCCAGTGGCTTCTGTTGTACCCTGACGATCAGAACATCCGTATCCTCTCCGGAATCTCCACCCCCTCCTTCTTCTCCACTTTCTCTATCTCCATATTGATCGACCCCGTCATGCCTCGCTTTGAGGACTCCGACTTTGGTGTTGAGCCTACCGCTCCTCACGCCCCTGCTCCTCCTCGCAGCACTCGCCCCGGCTTCTCTCGCTCTGGCTCTGGCCTGCCCATCCCCAGCAATGCCGACAATACCGTGGAGATTCCCGCCACCCGCAGCTCCATCAGCGATGCCGCCTCCCTGATGCACAATCTGAGCTTATACCCTTCCATGAAGGAGCGACGGGGCTCACGCAACTCCTTTGGTACTTCTCTTCCCATCCCGCGCTCGCCACGCCGGTCTCGCCTGTCGTCGCAGCGCGGTGCGCCCTCCGTGTCTCGGGATATTCTGGCCTCGCAGGTCCAGGACATGTCCAAGGAGAAGGTCGCCAATGCCAAGAACATGGCTTTTGCCTTTGACATTGACGGTGTGCTGGCTCATGGCAATGAGCCCATTGAGGAAGCCAAGGAGGCTTTGAGAATGCTCAATGGCGATAACGAGCTAGGAATCAAGATCCCCTATATCCTGCTCACCAACGGTGGTGGTAAGACTGAGATCGCCCGCTGTGAGCAGCTTTCTCAGATTCTGGAGGCACCCATCTCCACCGATCAGTTTATCCAGTCGCACACTCCCATGCAGGCCTTGGCAGAGTACTACGAGACTGTTCTGGTGTGCGGTGGCGAGGACTTCAAGGTCCGTGAAGTTGCCGAGAGCTACGGCTTCAAGAATGTCGTTCACCCTAAGGATATCCTGGCTTGGGATCCCACCGTTTCTCCTTGGCGTGTCTTCTCGGAGAAGGACCGCGCCGACGCAAAGCCTCGTGACTTCTCCAAGATGAAGTTCGACGCCATCTTGGTCTTTGCCGACTCCCGCGACTACGCCACTGACATGCAGCTCATCATCGACCTGCTTCTGGCCGAGGACGGCAAGCTGCTGACCCGCGCCAAAGACCCCGTTGCCAGCCGCATCCCTATTTACTTCTCACAGGGTGACCTGGTCTTCCCTACCGACCACAAGGGCCCACCCCGTCTGACCCAGGGTGCCTTCCGTATCGCCATCGAAGCCCAGTACAAGGCTCTGACCGGCGTAGAGTTGGAGCGTATCGTCTACGGCAAACCCGAGCGTGCCACTTACACTTATGCCGATGAGGTTCTCAAGTCCTGGATGGAGCAGATTCACAATGAGAACAGGTTGCCTCAGAACATTTACATGGTCGGCGATAACCCCCAGTCTGATATCATTGGTGGCAACATGTATGGCTGGAACACCTGCCTGGTCCGTACCGGTGTCTTCCAGGGCAAGGAAGGCGAGAACGACGCAAACAACCCTGCCAACTTTGGTGTCTTTGACAATGTCTTGGAGGCTGTCAAGGCTGCTGTCCGCAAAGAGCTTGGCCATGAGTTCAAACTGAAGTGGAATCCCAAGGTCAATCCCATCCTCAGCGGTGACGGAACCTCGGCCGTTGAGTAAACGAGTCCCTTGATTATGAGAAACCCAAACAAGTACAATACGAACGCGACCACGAACTACCAAATTGGGATTCTGGCTTTGTCATCTGAACTGTCACCCTTTACGAATCGGGAAACCCCTGGCAACGCAAAAGCGTGACGGCTAGGATGGGCCTTTCCTTATGGCGTTTTGGAAATTGGATTCTGATTCTCTCTAGAGACTTTTAGACTGTTTTCCTTTTTGCAGATTTGCGTATTTTGCATGTTACTCCCTTAGATTTCTTTGATAGAGTCCGGGAATTTGTTTGAAGAACTTTAGATATCCATTGTCATGTCATCTGCTCAAGACCCGCGATTGACATGAAAGCCACTTGGTTTTTTCTGGGGAACCGTTTGAGTTCATCTTTGCTTCTTCCTCATACCTTTGCTTAATCAAGACTGGATCTTTTCCTTCTCTACAAATCGACTCTTGTCTTCTGCTTGCTTTCTTAGACACGAATGTGCCATGCCGCGGCTTGTGAACTATGTCTATAGTTCATTAAGATAGACTCGTTGACTGTTCGATCTAATGACCATTTCATTTAATTACAACATCCCTGGGTATGTGATCTATCTATTTTAACCTACCTTCCAGACTAGTTTCCATGTGGTAGGCTCTGAAAATTGGCTAGAACCCCATAGTTCAAAAAACTCATCGAATCAAAGTGTTCAAGGTACTCTGCCAAATCAACGTCTCTGAATCCAGGTCCTAGAATCTAGAACCCGTGTATGTCTCGCTCAACGGAAAGAAAAGAAGAGACCTCGAAGCGTCTAGATCTCCTCACCCAAGACATATCTCTACCCGAGAAACCGTAAGCGCGAGATGTGTAAAACTGAGACGAAAAACAAGAAAAATTAAAAAGTCAAGGAAAAAAGCAAAAAAAGTGAATTCTTCTCCCTCGTAGTCTGACCGCCGGTAGCAAACGACTGCCTTCCTCCCGGCCGGATATGATGTGACAGACATTCTTGAGGTACCTTACTATACTTGATCAAGTAGAACGGGTAGCCACAGTTAGAGCATTACATTGACTGATCAGGGTACGTCCTTGATAACAGAGTCTCTATCCTGGAGCTTTACTCGACAGGTCTAGATCACGCGGCATACTCTGTACAGGGGGCACGGCTATGCATAACCCTTTCGATCCGGAGACGCGGCACCGGGTAGAAAAGTCTACTGCAAGCTGCACGTTGCCGACTCGCCCGGGGCCCCGGTTTCTGGGATGTGTTAGATCTAAGATGTGAGGTGTCGCGGCAAAAGGTGTTGTTTTTGCGGGCGGGTCTCGGAATGGAGGGATTAGTGTATCTTTTACTTTCGAAAGGTTGCTAATGCAGGGGTCAATGGCGTAAAGAGGGTAGATGTGTAAAATTGTGGTGTGGTATTTTTCACAAAGTGGGTTCGGCGATTGTTTGGTTTTTGTGGGTGTATGAGGTATGGAAATTCATACGTTGGTACCTAATGAGATGTAAAAAGGTGTTTTGGCCTATATTAGTTGTCGTAGGGCTGATTGATAAGATGGTGATTTGGCATGTGACTCAGCCCTATCTATGCTGTGGGGAGTGATGGGGTAACCTACGTTCGAGAAGGGAGAGGATTGCCGCTTTAGGGTCGTCAATCCTTCGGATGGGTTTTCCATCTAGGTATTAAGCTGGATGAATTCAATTCCATGATACCCAACGAATATATTCTGTTATTCTGCAATCTTTTATTCGGCCTTTCAATACGTTCAGTGTGTTCGGCGAGGGATCACATGAGCAAGTGAATCTTGTAACCTGTGGATCAGATTATGAGAAAGTTGGCGAACCCTAGCAATTGTAAGTGCAGCTTGGAAAATATTTAGTCCTGGGTATAATGTATAGATCTCCCACTTCATAGCAGAAGACAGTTAGTTCCGTCGAGGACGTGGTCAGACCATGACAATGAATAGTCAGATATAGCCACCTCGCACTCCGTAGATGGTATCCCTAACATTCCTCGCCTCTACCATGGACTGCACCGAACTAGCGGTAGCCAAGGCTCAATCCTGTAATTGAACGAGTCATGTGGGACCATTCGATAGTTCCAATACATGGGTCGTCTTTACCCTTAATCGAGAAGCGCCCCAATAAAGGTCTCATGATGCTCACTACTGCGGAGAGTGGAGCCAGAGCAGAGCCTCGCTAGAGGTCAGCTCTTGCACCACCCCCGCAAACTAAAGTCTTGTCTTGTTTGGTCTACGGCAATAGTGATCTGACCAAAGACCAGCTCTACAGCAGGTGAAATGATTAGCGCAAGGAGTGAAGGAGATCGACATCATCCTAACTGCATCGCCCTGGCTTGGTTAAATCCGCCGTCCTTGGCAATTCGGCTTGCCTGGACATCGAATATGAAAGATGAAGCCTTGCAGGTTGAATGCTGGCGGGGCCTGTGTGCCAAGCTCGACCTACAGTGGGATATGGTATGTTATTGCTAAGAAGCGAGGCTGGCTCCTCGGAGATACGAAAGCCCCGAATTTTCCACAATGAAGTACTAATAACGTCATCTAGCATCGCAATCCCGACTTTTGTGGCCTGTCTAGGCCAGGGTTGTATAGAAGTAAGCCTTTGCCAATCCTGTCGGTACAGTAACACACGCCGGTAGTGCTAGTCTGGATCGTTATGAAAGGACCACACCGTGTGTTCTCCGTCGGAGGAACAGAAACAACTCGCGTGCAGGAATGCAGGGAGGCTGGGCAGATGCCGAGAGATTCCGGGGTCAATTCTGGGTGTCTGAGTGTAGACTTGGCAGCGTCTGGGCCAACAGGAGAGTGCGCATAATAGAGCAGAGAGGATGGGGTGACCAAAGATCGAGACGGTGTACTCCGCAGTCGAGAGATCAGGGTAGGTGCGGGGAAGGATCCGCAGCCCGAGCAGGATGACTGGACTTGGTGGGCTTTAATTTGCTGGAGGGAAGTTGAACCAAAGAACCAAAGAGTTAATCCAGAATAGTGGCCTAAACAAGCATGGCAAAGCTGGTTATTGTCGGAAAGGACAGCAACTCCTCAAGGAGTGCCAACTTGATGGTCATGGGGACAGGTCAGGTGATTCTTATTAGGTAATGGGTCGCCTCTGGCCCCGCATGATCGGCCGCTTCGGCGAATGGCGCGTGCAGGGATGGTCGTAGCGGTTACCTAACAACAACCCCAAACCCGGTCTGGGGTATCCGTCCTTTTGTTCGTTTCAATATGGGAGCATGCTGATTATAGCTACGGGGATGTACTCTGCTGGAGGATAGAGCTCGTCAGCACCTCCCTCCTTCGGTTGGATTGGTTCTTGCACTCGAAGGCTTGTCTGGCGTGCTCCAGCTGACCAGCGCATGGTTCAGTTGTGTCTCTGGTTATTCGTTAGTACTTACTGTATGACAGCCTCCTCTTCGCCCCCCCCCTCGGAGGCAGCTTCTGGAACCAGGAGATCGGGGCTCGTACTGGGGTGAGCTGGCAGTTGAGATGAAAGAGATGGGCAGACTAGTCCCGAGTGGGCGAAGAGGTGGCTAGCGACGGAGTCGTTAGTGGGTACACTAGTAATTAGTCCCAATAACTATGACTATCGTATATGAGTACTCCAGTGCTGTAGACTATACTCCGTAAACTTAGACTATAGAATAAAATAGTAACAACAGAACTACTAGCTAGAGTAGGCGACTAGTCGTTATACCGACCAATGCACTCACTAGTCCGAATCCGTCCTTAGAGATGGTGTAGTCGGGGTGCAAATGGCGGCTATTTTAGTTATGTCATAGAATGAACGGGAAAGGCAATTCGGCGTCGGTCGGTTGGAGAGCAGAGTCAAATTTCCCCGATCATTTCCTGCCTCCTAGTTACTTGACCGTTGAGAACTGCAAATTCGTGCTCCTGCGAGCTTGTCATCATTCATGCCTCCTATCAAATATCATAACTATGAACCTGGATTTGCCCCTGCCTCGAAACAATGCGATGGTCCCCAATGACGCCATGGATTTCCGCTTGCATAACTTAAAAAGTAAAAAAAATAAAACCCGTTCGATCAAAAAAGGAAATAGAAATAGACAAAAGCAACGCAAATCGGAGTGCTGCAGGGGTAGCTTAGGATCGGAATCAACTCTCCACGGTCGCTCATTCGTTCTTAATGGTTCTTCGAGGTCCCCGTTTCCTTTCAACGCTCATGGTGAAAAGCCGATCTCCGCCACTATGAATTTTCTTTTTTCCCTTTTTTTTTTTTCGCCATCCTGAGGAGTCATCGCCCCCAGCAAACCGTAGAAACTTAACTCTACCTGCTGCCACCTGCTCTTATACATTCCATGCTTTGCCAGACTTTCCATACTTCTTCTCTCCGAGTCACTACTACCCACGACCACCCATCTCCCTCTCTCCCTCTCCCTCTTCTTCTTCCCCCCACCGCACTACTTCCACGAGCCGAATCCAATCGGCGGAAACTATTAGTCTTCTAAATTACCTTGGTCCACTCGACTGCGACGACCACCCCAACTGGGCGTGTGCAACGCCGGGTCGCCCTTTTCCGTGACTAACAGCTTTGCCATTTTTTTCCTTTTTTTCCCCGCCGCCCCCCATTTACTTCGACAAACTATAGCCCTAAACCGCCTCAATCCTCTCTGTCCTGCCCCTATCTCGTCTTTGTCGCTTGACCGGAAACTCTTTTTCGCTCGAAATCCGGGGAAGCTGTTACTCGTCTAATTTTCACACCCTTTTTTTTCATCCTTTTTTTTATTCCGTGTTCCCACTTCGACTCTGAAGGTACCTCCCGACCAGTCCGCGCGCACTACTGGAGCCTCTTTTATAGAGGGCCCGCTCACTTTCTCTTTCACCATGGCCTCTCTTTCAACTCTTTCGGCCACTCCTCCACCCATCAAGCCGATCAATCCTCGACTTTCGACCTCCGCCTGCGTTGACCAACACTCGCGTGACTCGTCTCCCTCATCCTGCTGCGACACCCCCGACGGATCTCGCTCGAGCAGCAGCCGGCGCCCGTCTTTCGGCTCCATCAAAGAAGACGTCGACGGTACGTGAAAACAAAACAGTAAAAAAAATAAAAATAGAGGATGGCTTCATCGGCACCGGCAAGTGATTGTATAGTATTTCCTGGATATCATTGCTGACGTGAATTTACCCCCTCTGCAGGCATTGCGCAATCGTTCGTGGACACTCACCACGTTCCATCACCCAAGGAGTCCCCAAAGCCGCAGGTTTCGGAGATGCAACAGACTCCGGATTTCTGCTGCCCGTGCGGTGGATTTCTGGGGTGGAAGCAAATTCGTTTGGGTGGAAAGAGCCTGAGTCGCAGCTATGGCGATCTTCGCAACCTGGGGAGTATGCAGGCCAAGGGTTGGGCATGGGAGACTACCCAATCGGGACGGGAGCTGGTGCCACCCAAGGTGCCGGTCGTAGTCGAACGGGCATCGCCGCCGCCGGGCACTTCCTCGCTGGAGAAGCTCGCGCCAGAAGTCCTGGGTAAGAGAAACCCCAGAAAAAGAGCCGCGAAGCTTTTCAACTAATCCGTTCGCTAGATCAAATCATCTCCTACCTTGCCATTGATCTGCCGCCCAATGGCTACACCCCGCGCAATGTGGACCTCGTGTCGTGCCTTCTGACCTCTCGCACGTTGCACGCAGCGACCCTGAGCGTGTTGTACCGGAACATGACCTTCCCGCACTCGATTATCTTCTCCAAAGCCCTCAATCATATGTCGTCCTATCCTGCTCTGGGAACATTGGTGCGCCGTTTGGACTTCTCCCACTTTACCTCAGTCGGTCTGGGTCGCACCAAGCAGATGAACGCCGAGATTCAGAACTTAACTTCGCGCACGTTGCTCAAGTGCCTGGATCTGCTACCCAACCTGAAGGAATGCTTGCTGCAGGAACACCTCGAGGGTGATTTGAGTGTGGATGTGGTGCGGAAGCTTTTCATGGGTCTTCCCAATCTCCGTGCGGTGGACTTCTGCGGCTGCTCCACTCAGTCTTTCTCCCAGGTTTTCACAGAGGCCCTGACGGCGGGACCTGCGTTGGCTATGAGTTTGCCGAACTTGAAGCGGCTGTCGCTTCACGAGTGCAGCACTATTCAGGCCCCGATTTTCGACCTCCTACTCTCCCGGCTGACCAACCTGACGCACCTGGATCTCACCCACACCCAAGTAAACGACTCGGCTCTTTTGGCAATTCCCGAAACGGCTCGCATCACCCACCTGAGTCTGTCACGGTGCATCCGCCTGCGCAGCTCCGCTTTGGTGGAGTTCCTTACCACGCACCCCGCCGTCTGCGAGTCCTTGGTGTACTTGAACCTCTTGACCGACCCTACCCGTTTCCGCCTCCTGGAAGAGGACGATGTTACCGCACTGCTACCCAAGCTTCCCGATACCCTGCGCTCTTTGAATCTAGGCGGTGCCAAGATCACATCTGAGCATGTTCCGCTGCTGATCCCTCTGACCAAACACCTGGAGGAGCTGGGCCTGAGCTCGGCCGACCTGTCAGTCAAGGATGTGAACTCGCTCTTTACCCGACCCCGTGAGAACGGTGCGGAGCCAAATGCGGCTCCCAGCACTCTGTGCTACCTCGACCTTGCCAAGGTGCCACAGATGACCATTGGCGCGATCTTTAACACGAGCACATGCCTGCTGCTGTCGGACCACAGCTATCCATTGCAGGTGGTCGAGTTCAGCGATAAGATTATCACGCCCTTGCGTGAGCGTGCCAAGACCCAGCGCGCCTCGGTAGGCTGGACTGTCCGTGACCTTGGCCGCCGAGGCTGGTACGTCCGGGATCCTGCATCCATGCCCAACGAGCCTATCGATGACGGCTCACGCTCCTGGAAACTGGGCGCTCGTTGGTGGGGCATGCGTAAGATCCCTATGGCCGTGGGCGATGTCGGTGGCATCTACGGCCACTACATGTTCAAGAAATGATTGTGGCTCGGAGTTGCTGCTTCATCTCTTTTTCTTTTCGATGCGTTGCTCGGACAAAAGCATACTGGCTCCTCCTTTATCTTTTTGTTCTTGCTGGTCTCAATACCCTTGTTGATTTTTGCTTCCATTTGTTCTTTTCGGGATTGTCTTTTTGTATCCTCATTTCACACTTAGCTTTTTGGGTGGGATTTTTTTGTGTTTTTCTTGACGATTACGAATGACGATATCCGGTCTATGCATGGCGGCGCGCAATATGGCTTACGAATTTCGGCATTCTGGCTCCTGGCTTCGGGTTCGTGCTCTCGATCTGCGTCTGTTCTCTGGTTTTGCATAGCATTCAGGATCTCTTCAGCGCTTCATTTTGCTTCTCGTACTTGCTCATGTTTCCACGGCGCATGTGATTATCATCTGGCGTACCCGCATCACTCTACTCATACAATGTTCATATCTTTCTCAAAATAGTTCATTCAGTCTTTAGTTGATTTACACTACTTGGAGTAGTTTATAGAAAGCTAGCTAGCTGTTTAGTTGGTTAATTGTCACGTAATTAACAAAGTCTTAGGCGTACCTCGACTCTACCTCTTCTCTCATGCATTAGGGTATGGCGATCCAGGTGGTTTCATCACGTGATGATTAGATCAAAGAGCTGCGGCTCTCAGCTGTTACATTCGACTCATCTTCCTGTCTCTGCGCTTTCCGAGGCTCTAGACTTTGCTTCACCGAAATCTCACTTTGGGGGGCTTTCTCATCCCGATGGGTGGTTTCATTGCCGCTGCTCAGGACAGTGGAAGCTGTCGAGACTCGCGATGATGGCACCTCCGAGCGGCGCGGCCTCATACAAGAAAAAGGACGGCACTCTAACACTGACCCAAGATGAGCAGACACTCACTTGGAATCCGGCAGCCGCTGGGCCCGCCGTCCTCAACATAGCAGTATCTACCATTACCAGTGAGCACTGAGCAGTCTCTGTTTTTTTGCCGCTTGAAGGTGTTGGAGGGCATTTCGCTAACATAGCGATCAGATCTGCAACAGACCCCGGCAACGAATCCCAAGGTCATGCTCAAGGTCTTCGCCCTCGCCCCGAACGCCCCACCAAATACCACGCCAGACCAATATGTCTTCTTGTTTACGGCTGGGCCGGACGCTGCTCGCCCTCAGGCCGACGCCATCAAGAACGCACTCAGTGCCCGAATGAACGCTGGGAAGACTGGGACGCCCGTGCAAACGCCAACCCCTGGTGCGGCTGGTGGAGCGGGTATGTCAGCAGCGATGGCCATCGCCAATGCTGTCTCGTCGGCAGGGTCATCGAAGAACCCGTGGGATGATGATAATAAGCTCAAGGGCGATGTGGAATTGCAGCAGTCACTGCTGAAGGCTGATCCTACCCTGCAGCGGATGTTCATGGAATCGATTCATACGAAACCCGATAGCTTGACTTCGGCACAGTTCATGTCACAGTTCTGGTCGACCCGGTTACATCTACTGCGGGCCCATGCGATTGAGCGAGCGCAGATTCGTGGCTCATACAACGTTTTGTCGTCGCTGAAGCCGCGCGTGGAGGAAAATGTGACCAGGTTGAATATCAGCAAGGAACAGATTTCGCTGATTTTCTCACAACATCCCCTTGTTAAGCGGGTGTATGATGAGAATGTCCCCAAGCTGAGCGAGCAGCAGTTCTGGTCACGATTCTTCCAGAGTCGATTGTTCAAGAAGCTGCGTGGAGAACGCATCTCTGAATCGGATGCTACGGATGCTATCCTAGACAAGTATCTACGTGAAGAGCATACCGACACCAGTCGGGAGGCATTCGTCCCACACTTTATGGACTTAGCTGGAAACGAAGTCCATCACAGCCAGCGCCGTGGAAACAGGCCGGATCTGGATATGCGGCCATCCGGTGCGGACAAAGTGCCCATTATCCGGACACTCAACAGTCTCAGTGAGAAGATCATGGCCAACGTTGCTCCGGCGGATGGCGATGTCACTGACCCCATTGGCATGGATGAGGAGACTTGGCAGAAGATGCAGTTACGAGATCTTCAAGGTGATGAGGAGCAGGCCCGTGTCACGCTTAATATCCGCGACCAGAACCGTTTCTTCTCACAGACTCAGGAGGACGAGCAGACCCGGGCATTTGCCAAGCAAGATCCAGATCAGATCTTGAAAGCTCTCCAATCCGAGATCGCAGAAAGTTTGCCACTTGGCGGCACTGCTCCACTCCAGAAGCTTGTAGATCCAGGCGATGACGAAGATGAAGAGATGGAAGATGCACCGGCCAGCAAGCGTCCCGTCGGGTCCTCAGCGGCACTCCACGATGCATTCGCACAGATTCTGGGCGCGGTCCGCGAGCAGCGTGATCAAATGAACGAGGGTACCGCATCCGACACCTACGGTCTTTCTGCGGGTCTCTATGATCGTTTGACCCTGACACACGCAACGTCAACCGAGTTCCTGAACCAATTCTGGCAAGCCTTCCTCTCGGGCAATCCCGAGCGGGCTAGCGAAGTTCAGTCTCTATCCGAATCACTCGCTCGTGCCATCGAGCGCATCAAGGCCGTCGCCAACGACGCAGAAGCAGAACGGCAGGTTGAGGTTGACCGGCGCAAAGTTGCAGCCCGCGAGTACTTTGAAAGAACCAAGCGCAAGCCCCGACTCAATCTGGATGATATTGAAGGTGGTCAGAAAGTGGTCAATCAGCTGCTTGGGCCGACTATGCATGCATTGCAGCTAGCGCTAGCCCGCTACCAAACTACGCTAGCAGCGGAGAAGGCGGAGGCGGCTACAGAGGCAGCCTTGCTAGCAGTCTAGAAAATGATTGGCGCGAGGGCGCATCCAAACGGGATACAAAAGGGGGTCGAGACTTCAAGGCGTTATTTTGAGACCGGAGCGAGGGTGATTTTTGCATTGTATTATATCCAATAACATTTTTGCTCGACTATAGCTTGGACAATGTAGTTCAAAGTAGAAACGGCAAAGTAAAGACAGTGAGGGGCTCGGCATGCCGAGGGTACCCCGGACTCCGTATTCCGTTCGCCGACTGCCAATGTGGCCTCCTTTGAGCTCCTTCCGAACTTCCCCCACACCTCAAACCTCCAACGTCAACAACCACCTACCTCATTCAACCCCCTTCAACCCGTAAACAGTTCGAATGATTCGACAAATTACCGACCCTCTCTAACAAACCCGCGCCACACACACAACTCTCCCAATACCCACAAAATGCTCACATCGGGGCTAACCAACACCCCACTCACCAAAACCCTCCTCGTCTATACAATAGCCTCCTCAATCGCCCTTTCCATCCTCGACATCAAATACCTCGCCTCAATCCATGTCTCCCCACACTTCTGGCCATACGCGCAATTCTGGCGCGCCATCGTCTGGCACGTCGCAGGGTTCACAAACTCCACGGAAGTCCTGTTCGCTGCGATGCTAGTGTATCATTTACGGGTTGTTGAGCGTGCCTGGGGGAAGAGGAAAATGGCCGTACGTTGAGAGACCTCCAAAGTGTTACTATTAGTGGTGCCGGGATTCGGAATTAACTCAGTTAACAGACATTCCTCCTCACGACGTTACCATACACAACGCTCCTCCCACCGCTTCTCTTATCCCTGCTGGTCCGGCCACTCTCCCTCAACACACTGAATTATCTCCCCTCCGGCCCAACGGCAATGATCTTCGCCCTATTGGCGCAGTACTACGCCATGATCCCGCATACATTCCGCTTTCGCATCGGCACTACATCCTCCTCGTCCTCGCCGTCGTCCGCCACCACTACCGCCGGCAATGACGAAACCACCGCCACAAACAACAGCACCACGACCACGAACCCAAACTCAAACTCAAAACCAACACCTCCAAGTCTAACCCTCCTCCTCTCCGATAAGACAACGACTTACCTTGTCGCCGCCCAACTCGCCCTCTCCCAATTCCCCGCCATGCTCCTCCCCTCCGCACTCGGCTGGATAGTGGGGATGGCCTGGCGCGCAGAGTTACTGCCGGGTTTATCACCATCTAGTCATGGCTTCCGCGTTCCGGCCTGGATATTCGGGGAGCGGGAGCGGAGGGGTGGGGTCACCGGTGGTGCCGGTGGGAGTGGAAGTGGGAGTGCGGCGGAGAGAGAGCGGTTCGAGGATTTGAGGAGAAGGTTGGAGGGGGAGGTTGCCGCTTCGACATCTGTGGAGAATGGGGGTGGGCAGAGGAGGAGGGGTGGTGGGAGTGGGATTATGGAGAGGTTGAGGGGAGCTTGGTGAATTTTTGATTAGGATTATTGTCTGGTTACTTTTGTGAAGCACTCGGGGTATGGTACGGGGTCATGAATCTTGCTACGATAGAAGGGCTTTTTCTGTTGAAGGTCGGCATAGAGATGCCATCTTGTAGTTTTAAGTACTGTCTTGGGCCATAAATGGACAACAGATGACCATACTACCAGGTTATTCTGCACTTTCGTTCAGAAGGGAGGGAAGATGGGTGTTAGGGTATCATCTTGCAAGGGGCATCCGGGCATCCATATATCAATAATCAAGATCGATCCAAGACGAACAAGCAGTAAAACCACAACCAATGCCAAAAATATTCACATTCATAAGCCATGTCTATTCAAGTCCAAACCCGGTGACCTGACACGCCAATTCCACATATCTACCGCCCATTGCGACCACGCCGCAAATTCTCCTTGCATTCGTTACAATACCATTTAACTGTCACATAGTCAGTGTGTATGTCTAAAACGCAATAAACACTTGCAGAGCAAAGAAAAGACGTACCATTCTTTCCGGGTGGTTTCGTCATACCCACACATGACAGATGGAACCACTCGCGCGGACAAGCATCATTGTCGCATGCCACCATCTCACCGAAGCTGACCTCATTGCAGTAGCAGTATCTCGGCTCCTGGTCCTCGTCCTCATCGTCGCCTTCGTGGATAGACTCTTCGTCCGAGGGGATTGCAGGCTGCACAGGCGGTTTCTTGGCCGTCCGCTTAGGCGCAGGGTCATTGCCTCGTGTTGGCCGTGAGCGAGATTGGGTGGGCTCGGCGAGTGTAGAGAGGAGGGGGGTAGACGTCTTCGAATTGCGGCCTTTGCTGGCGGGCTCGGGCTCGACTGCGTCTGCCGGACGGTCCTCTTCGCGATTGGCTCCTGCTAGCGCGGATCTGGTGCCAGGTTCTTCCACATCGCGGGCTGCTGGAACGGTGACTTCGGTTTTGACCGGCTCGCGGGGAGTAGCTCTGGGCTCTGCCGGTTTGGCTGGAACGAGGTTTGGTCAGGAAAAAAAAAAAAAAAAAAAAAATAGAAAACAGAGCGACCTAGGGCAAGGGAACATACAAGAGTTTGCTTGGCCAACGCGATTGGACGCGGAGGAAGAGGGTCGTTGTCGAGCATTGCTCGTCTGCCCGGCGTTCTGTTGGGCTCGCGAGGATTGTGGACGGGAAGTGTTCGGGCCTGGGCTAGCAGCACCACGCGGGGTATTGTTAAAGGTGCCGATAAGAGGCGAGGGGGCCAGTACGGGCGATCCAGCGTTCGAAGCGGCGGTGGTCCTGAAGATGAAATGGTCAGAGGCAAGCCATGGAATGGGAAATGGATAAACATACTTCTTGCGAGCTGCAGCTGCGTTCGGATTAGGCGCACGGGATCGCTTCTTCTCCGCACCATCCTTGTTGGCACCACGCTGCCCACCAGTTCCACTAGCAGAGCGCTCCATCGGCGCCCCCGTATCCAACGTCACAGGACGTTCCAATTTGCGCCGCTTGGGCGCCGCATTCTCGCCCGTCGCATTTTCACCACGAGACTTTCCAGGGTTTGTCTTACGCGGCGCACGACCTTCCTCATAGTCTGCATCTTGATTTGGTCGTCGAGCCCGAGCCCGAACGGCTTCGCGCCGCGCTTCACTACGGCTGGCAACTTCAGCCTCGTGGAGCACATGCGTGAGATCCTGTCGCTGGGCCACAGCCTCACGGCGCGGTCGCTCGTTGGTCGCAGCCTTGGCAGCAGCACTCTTGTTAGAGTATGCCCAATGTGTCAGACTACCCAGACGAGCCTCGTCGCTGATCTCGCCCGCGATGTACGGGAACACAGTCTCCAGCCGAACGATTTGACGGTCCAATTCCTCATTTGCGTTGGAAATCACATGGTTCTTCTCATCGGCCGTCATCATCAGATCGGTAAGGCTTTGACGTACGCGATCGAAGAGGAGACGACGGTCCTTGCTCTCGGGCGACTCTGGGGATTGGGAGAGTTCCTAGTAAAGGAGAGGCAATTCGTCAGTCCGCTATTCACAAAAGCAGCCAATCCCGTTCTCCAATCACTTACCTTGGGCAAGACATCCTCCCGCACCACACCACCGACGATAGGCGCCGGGTGAGGCGGGTGCGGCACAGGTTGCGACTCGGACGAAATCTGCAAGAGCTGCAGCAGATTTTCCTCGAGCGCCCACGCCTTGGCATCAACCTCCTTCAACAGCGAGTTGTGTCTGCGGAACTCCCGCGGCAGCGCTGTAATCGCGTCGGTGAAATGCGTAAGCGCAGGGTAAAAGCCATGAGGAACAGGGGGGGTTGCGGGAATCTCGGCTATCGAGCCCCGGCTGACACCGAATGAAGTGCGGCTGACGGTCTTGGAGGTTCGAGAAGGATTAGTTCGTGTCTGTCGGGCTGATTGACGGATCCCCTGACCCTGGGGGTTCAGGGTGGACGTTGAGACGGCGGACATGGTATGCAAGAGATCAGGTTGGGGGATGCACCGCAAAAGAGGGGGTTCTGGGTGCACCTGGCCCGGCTCAGTGGGAGAAACGAAGGGCTGGAATATCCAATAAAGATGTCGAGGGATTCCGCTCGTAGACAAGTTTAGCGGGAGCTCTGCGGGCAGATGGTGAGTGGGCGAAGTAGCAACAGCACTCGGGAAGTTTGCGTGCGGAGAAGAGCAATCGGATCAGGTGAGTGTCGGCCTGTGGTATCAGGCGCCAATGTGATTAGTCAGTGGTCATTTTCAACGACGTCATACCCATACCCGACACAGCGCGAGCTGCTTCAAAAGCCATGGTCCAAGCATGGGCCGACTGTGTGATATTTTACAGTCTACAGTGTTTAGTTTCAAAAGACTACTTTACAAAGAAAACCTGAATGCAACAAACAAAGTGTATTTTACAAAGCCATAGATTCTAGGTATAAACGGGCCCGAGTCCAGCGACGGCATAGACAGGTCGTATACACCATGGTCGAGAACAAGAGAGAACTCATGCAAAGAAAAAAGAGATAGTACAAAAGTAAACTCAAAAAATATCGGACGCTAGCTCCCAGCAGGACCCATGAACATAGGAAAGCAACCCAATCAAACAGTCAAATGCGGTTCATGCCGATCTATAGGAATGACAAGAACACATTTACTCGCCCTTCAGGCGGTCCTGGTGAACGGAGAAAGCATCCTCCAGGAACTCCTGCTCCTCCTTCAAGTGAACAGCCTTGAGACCGGTGGCCACGGAGGCGCTAGGAGCACGACCAGCGTACAGGACGTGGCGGCGGTTGTGGTGCTCGGTAGAGTTGAGCATAGTCTCGATACGAGGCTGGACGAACGACCAGGCACCGGCGTTCAGGGGCTCCTCCTGGCACCAGACGATGTCCTTGGCGTTGGGGTAGCTGTCCAGGTTCTCCTTCAGCTGCTCCCAGGGGAAGGGGTGGAGCTGCTCAACACGGGTGATGGCAGTGTTGCGGATGCCATTGGCCTCACGGTGCTTGACGAGGGCGGCGTAGACCTGGCCAGAGCACATAATGACACGCTCAATCTTCTCGGGAGCCTCGATGGCCTCGGTCTTGTGAGCGGGGTCACGGATGATCCACTGGAAGTGGGAGTCACCAGTGAAGGCCTCCAGGTCAGAGCGGGCAATGGGGTGACGCAGGAGCGACTTGGAGAAGAAGATCACAAGGGCTAGGAAAAAGGCCGGAGTTAGTAAGTGATTTCCTGATGATAGACTAGATTGGGGGCCGAAACATACGCTTGCGGAACTGGCGGTGCATCTGGCGACGAAGAACGTGGAAGATGTTGGAGGGCTCAGTCATGTAGACAATCTGCATGTTGCAATCCTGGTGCTGGCGGTCCAGCTTGTCAGCAGAGGGGAAGACGCGAGGCTCCTCGTTGCAAAGCTGCAGCCAGCGCTCCATACGGCCGGAAGAGTGCTCAGGACCCTGGCCGTCGTAACCGTGGGGCAGAGAGACGACCAGACCGGAACGCTGCAGCCACTTGGATTCACCAGCAGCGATGAACTGATCAATGATGCACTGAGCGTTGTTGGCGAAGTCACCGAACTGAGCCTCCCACATGACGAGAGCCTCGGGGGAGGTCAGAGAGTAACCATACTCGAAGCCGAGACTATAAGAAGGACGGATTAGCAACGCGAGATCTACATATAATTTCATAGTGGCAGGGTGTAAACTTACGTGCCGAACTCGCTCAGGGAGGAGTTGGAAATGACGAAGCTGCCCTGCTTGTCACTGATGTGCTGCAGAGGAGTATAGGTGGCCTCGGTCTCCTGGTCGTGGAGAACGGCGTGACGCTGAGAGAAGGTACCACGCTCGACGTCCTGTCCGGAGATGCGGACGTGGTAGCCCTCATCAACGAGCGAACCGAAAGCAAGAGCCTCGGCAGTAGCCCAGTCAATGTTCTTGCCCTCATCGACGCTCTTCTTGCGGTTGGCAAGAATACGCTTCAAGTTGCGGTGGAGAGTGAAGCCCTCCGGAGCACTGCTGCCACTGACCTTATCGGCAACGTGCTGGAGGGACTTGGTCTCGACAGCGGTCTCAAGGTGGGGAAGAACCTCGGTGGCCAGCTCCTTGGGAGTCTTGAAGTTGTTCCAGGCGGAGGTCAGCCACTCCTTTCCGGTGGGCTGGTAGTCCTTACTACGGTCGAAGCTGTCGTTCAGCATTCCCCAGACCCACTTCTTGTGCTCGTCAATGTCCTCCTTGGTGAAAGAACCCTCGTTGATCAGCTTCTCAATATACTTGTCGAGCTGAGCCTTCTGCGAGGCAATGCGCTTGTACATCAGAGGCTGGGTGAAAGAGGGCTGGTCAGTCTCGTTGTGACCCTGCTTACGGTAGCAGACAATGTCAATGACAACGTCAGACTTGAACTCGGCACGCCAGTCAGCGGCGATCTGGCAGACGTAGTTGACGGCCTCGACATCGTCAGCATTGACGTGGAAGACGGGAGCATCAATAGACTTGGCAATGTCCGAGCAGTAAGGGGTGGAGCGGGCAAAGCGGGGGTCAGTGGTGAAACCGATCTGGTTGTTCACAACAATGTGGATGGTACCACCGGTGGAGTAGGCGGGCAGGGAGTGGAAGCCCATCGTCTCGTAGACAACACCCTGAGCAGCGAAAGCAGCGTCACCGTGGAGCAGAACACCCATGGCGCTGTCGAACTTGGTCTCATCGTTGTTGTAGTGCTGGATAGCACGGGTCTTACCCAGAACGACGGGGTCCTCGGCCTCCAGGTGAGAGGGGTTGGCAACCAGAGACAGCTGGACACGCTTGCCCGAGGGGGTAGGGCGCTCGAAGTTCATACCCAAGTGGTACTTGACATCACCAGAACCCTCGTCGGAAGGCTCGGTGGAACCGGCGAACTCGCTGAAGATGGACTCGTTCGGCTTGCGAACGACGTTGGACAGGACGTTCAGACGGCCACGGTGAGGCATACCAATAACGATGTCCTTGATACCGTAGTCGACACTGCGGTCAATCAGGGCCTTCATACCAGGTACAAGGGTCTCGCAACCCTCCAGACCGAAACGCTTGTCGTTGGGGAATTTGGTAGCCAGGAAGGACTCAAAGCTGGACGACCAGATGAGACGGTCGAGGATGCGGCGCTTTTCGTCAACCGAGTAGTTGTAGGGCTCGGGGATCTCGAAGCGGTCACGGATCCACTCGCAAGGCTTGCGGTCCGGAATGTGAATGTACTCAACACCGTAGGAGCCACAGTAAATCTTCTCACAGGCGGCGATAATCTCGCGCAGAGTCATCTTCTTGCGGGTCTCGGTCAGGAAACGGGGCAGGATACCGGGGCCAAGAGCAAACTCCTGGTCCAGATCACGCTCGGTGAAACCGTAGTGGTCGAGCTCGAGCTCCTTGGGCTTACTGTAGCCGAAGGCCTCGGCGTCGCCGCGGATACCGAGAGGATCGATCTTAGCCTTATGGTGACCACGAGCCTGGTAGGCACGGCAGAGCAGCTGCACCTTCAGGTGGTTCGTCACATCGGCGCCGGCAGCCAGGCCAGTGCCGGGCATGTCCTGAGGAACACCACCGGTAGGGGTGGGGACGAGGGTAGGGGGAGGAGTGAAGGCCTGGGAGATGGGCATGTTGCCCTCCTCCATGTTCTTGAAGTAGGTCTGCCACGAGATGTGGACGCTGGAAGGATCCCGCTTCCAGGCGAGGTACATCTCGTCAATGTAGTTGGCGGTGCTGCCCTGCAGGAAAGAATCGTTGGGGTCCTATTCAAAGGAAAAGTTCGCGCCGTCGCGTTAGTCGAATGGCCGTGTGAGATATGATCTTCGCGATTTCGCGCAAAATGATCATCTTTTCGATCGCAAAAACGATCAAGAGATTTGTGATGTTGCTTACCACTCCAGGAGCGTTGCCCTCCGCAGACGAAGCATAGAGGCGAGCGCCATTGAAGGCACGGTCGACGACGGCGAGGGGACGGCGAGAGGTCAGACCGAAGGTGGAGGTCTTGGAGGCACTGCGAGCAGTAGAGGTGAGGTGGAAAGCCCTCCGGGAGGTCGAGTTGGCGACACCACGCAGCATGTTGCTGTGGGTGGCCTTCAAGGCGGTGTTTCTGAACATTGCGGGATTTTTCCGTCGATTCAAGGGAACAGTCCCAAGTCGTTGAGGTCAAGTAAAAGGGGGGAAGATTAGGTATGCGAAAGCTATTCAGCTTTGGAAAGCGTCACTGTTCAGCGATCTACACATAAGTCCGCAATTCATGCGACAGTCAGTTTTCAAGTTGCCAGGTTGTTATTTCTCCTGCCGAGGGTACCGAGACACGGAGGAAAGGAAGGGCCAGCACGAACAGGTGTGTTTTTTTCTTGTTGAAAAAAGAACTCGCGTAAGAAAACAGGTGTCGACTAGAATTGCCGTAGCACCTGTATAGAAACGGAACTCATCAGAGAGCAGAAACTCTGCTGATCACAAAATTGACGGGAGGATATGGGGGAAAGGAAGAAAAGAGTGGAGAGTCGAGAGTCGAGAGGAACCAGATCCTGGAAAGCTGAGCCTGCACGGCAGTGACGGTGATTCAGGCGGCAAGGCATCCGGGCCTTACTGGGCATGGGATTCCACCGGCCAATAGGCAGGGCTGGAACCCTCCGGCGAAGCTGAGTCATCCCGAGGGATAGCCGAGTGTGTCCAGTTTTACGTAGTTTTAGGAGTAGTGGACCACCCCGACGGAATCGCGGCTAAGCATTTCGGTGTTTTGCGGGTGATTTCGGCCCAATTGGACCGCCCATCGATTGCTCTTACACGGTCTATATACATCCCATCCTCGCCCATCCTAGCCCATAGTATGCCCGATGACAGATCATTCATGCAGCAGGTCATGAGCTCAATTTTCCCCAGACTGTCAAAGCGCGGGAATGATGACCGAATAGAAATAGAATAAAAACAGCAGCAGCAGCAAGTTGAACACAGATATCCGACCAGGACACCCCATACTAACACGTCAAATCACACGCTCGGAGATTCATTAAATCGTAATATAAATGTCCCTGTCAACAACCATATTCAAAAGACGAAAATGGCCCAGAACCAGAATGATTATACCCAGTAAAGAGAATGTCGAAAAAGAAAACCCCCCAAAAGGGCACATGGTTTATTTACAAAACGTTGGCATGTTGAAGGTGTGGCGGTTGTGAATGGTTTTGCGGCGCGCCGATACTCGGCTCTTCGTGGTGGTGGTCGGTGCTGCTGATCGGACCGTCCGTTCCGCCAAGCGGAAGGTCGCCAGGAAATCCGCGGCGGCTGTCTCGAGGCGGTGAGGTAGGATAAACATGCCCATCGTCATGGTGATAGCCAATATTTGCCAAACTCTCGTCCGCAGAGGGTCGTGCCTCGGGCGGGCTCGCCTCCGAGGCAGCAATGAAGCTGCCACGGTTGGAGGACGAGAGTGCATGGGGTGGCGGGCTACCTGCACTGCTGCGCAAGCTACCATTGCTGCCACCCCAGGCACCACGGCGCAGCTTTAGCAGGGCACTCAATGACATTTCGTCGTCTAAGTTGCCCAGATCGACGAGCTGCGCCAAGCCGGGACTGGCCAAGGAGGGATTCGAATGGGTGCCACCATGCGCTTTCAAGGAGATTACAGAGTTGCGAGTGCTCCACTCACTACGCTCGGTGATCGGAGTCAGGCTGGGTTCCTGGAACTTACCGCGACTGCTGTGATGGCGAGTAATGCCTTCGACGCCGCGGGGGCCAAAGTATCCACCATTGGTCATCTCGCCGCTACAAGTGCCATGTGCTTGAGCATAGAAGCCAAACTCTTGCCCGTAGAAGCCCTCGTCGTCATTCTCAAGAGCTTCGGCATTGGCCGCAGCAATGATGGGATCGTCGTAATACGCATCGTCGTCGTAGATTTGATCGTCGAGGGACTCATCAAAGCCGACCATATCTGCCCCTTGGTTGAGGCGACTGTCATCCGACATGAGTCCGGGCTGGGACTCAGCCGTGTGTGCCGCCTGAGAAATACTCTCCTGTTCGACTGATCGGTCGCTCGTACTAAAAGTACGTTCGAACCGGCCTTGAGTAGCGGCTTCGTTGGCGGCAAATGCTAGTGCATTATGCAGCACCTCCAAGTTTCGCTCAGTAAGTACCGCTCCATGAGCGCGAGCAGGACCCATGTTGGGTATTGGCTCACCAAGTGGGCCACGCTTGACGGGGCCAATTCCGAATTCACTAGCAACGCTGGGCATATGCTTGAGCCCCTGGCTGGCGGCCTCGTCCAGGAGAAATTCTCTTTCTAGAGCATCCCCGCTGCGGACTGTGCTCTGAGAAGCTTGTCGTGCCGGTGGTGGGGCTACTGACTTCCGTTCATAGAGATGACTAGTCTCATCATCAAAGACAGACTCGTCGAAGCCTGCATCCTGATCGGCAAGAGTCAGGTCCCCGAATTCTCCATCATCAAAGTATAAGTCGTCATCATCATCATCATCATCGTCATCATCTAGTACTGGAGGGCTTATGTGCATGGTCGGTATTGTATGAGAATTGGCCGCTGGGTTATGAACGCTCAGTGGAAGAGGTCGTTGCACCTCTTGCGGCTCGTCAATGGACTCCAATTCCTCGTCGAGTATCTCGTCTTGGTTGGATGGATCAAATTCTTTCTCCAAAGCGTCAGGAGCAGTAGCCATTAGACTCTCTAGGATCTCAGGCGGAGCAGGGGTGATTGGACTCGCAACCACAGGTGACAGTCCGGGTACCGCCCAAGACTGGCCCATTGACGGTGCCAGGTAATCGTCTTCGTCGGCATCGGCATTAACGCCAGGAATCTTTTCCTCAAGACCGTCATAGTCATCCATGAGATCATGGTCGAACTCGTCATCAAAGTCGTCAAAGTAGCCATCTTCCAGCTTGCGCTGCGCTTCCTTCGCCTTGTGTTTCTCTTCAAGCAGCTTCTCCTGGGTGGATGATTCCACGCCACCCATATCAAAGCTGAATCGAGAGGCATTACTTTTGAGATGTCGAGGCAAGCCCGAGCTCGGTTGAGGCGCATGCGTAATCGTGTCTTGATCCTGCTGGTGAGTTGGAGCGTTCTCTTGCGATAGATTTGACGAAACTTTAGTTGGCAGTTCCACTGGCACCTCTGTCGGTAGCTCTAGCGGTGGAGATACGTTCTCCTCAACGGTCTCGGTGGTATCGTCAGATAGGTAGGATGGCAATTTCCGAGCAAACACAGGTATCGACCTCTCATAACCATGTTGAGTGGGGTTAGTCAACAAGCTTGACTGCAGATAGCCCTTGTTTTCCACCTGTAGCACTTTTTGGTCGTCCTCAAAATGTTCCTTGAACACCGGCGAATGATCGCTATGTCTTTTGGTCTGATCATTCCATCTGCTCTCCTGTGTATGTAAGCTGCCGCTCCCATCGGGTGGAATAGCCGAGTGGAATGATACATTGCGACGCGGTCGCGGAGCGGAAAAGTCATGTACAATATTTCCACGAATTCTCGGATCATAGTCATCAGGAATAGCGGGTATCAAATCGGGAGTGCTGATTTTCGCATCATCCACACGTGAGCTACCTATCTGTGAGGACCGCCTGCGAGCGAGAAGTGACATTGGGTTCAAGAGATGGAGCATCGCCTTGCCCGACTTGTGATGGGTATTCTCGGATGATACATCACGTTCCATCACTCGCCTGGTGCTCGGCGCTTCCGTCCGTAACTCTCTACCCGGTATAAACGTCTTCTCGGCTGGTGAATCATCGGGCGAGGTCTTTAATCGAAATTGACTCGGCCCGGGCCCAGTGCTAGGTGGACGTCTCTGGGGCTCAGCTGTTGGCGCCTGCAGGTTCCGCAATCCCTTGCCAAATGATAATCGAAATGGTGAACTCGGCTTGATATTTGACTCTCCATCATCCTGTTCAGGCCGGAAACCGGGCGCTGAATATTGCGATATGTTCGCATGTGGTGTAAGGCCAGCCTCCGGCTCGTGCTCTCCAGGACTCGAATGCGGGCGGTTATCTCTCTCGGTCAACGGGGACGGGACAGCCAAGCTGGCAGAGGAAGATAACGGAGCGACGGAGCTGTTGACGTGGAGCTTCAACGCGTCATTCTCAGCCGGTGAATCGCTCCACGGGGGTGCATCGAGTGTCCGTGACTCGCCAAATGAGGAGGTGAGGGTCGGGGTATCAGGGATCTCGGGAAGCTGAGGAGGACTGATCGGGCTGTTCGTCGTACTCTTAGGTCCTGAATTCGGTGCGGACAAGGACACTGGTGGCGCGATCGAGCGGCGATGATCTCTGCGCCAGTATGCGAAGACGGTCGAGGGAGGCATGTTGACCGTTGGGGTCGAGACCCGGGTAGGGGGCAAATATACGAGTAGTGGACGCTCAAGGAACGTGAGGCTCCATGGCGATTGCTCTGAAAAGGTGGCGGGCTTGGTATTGGAGCGCCGCAATGACTGAGGGTCCAGTCTCACATACCAGACGCCAGTGGGGCTTGCAGGAGGCAGTGGAGTTTGATTGGAAGTTTCAAGAGCCGCAAGTAGTCTCCAGAAGTCGAATCAATGGTCGCTTGAGCATTTGCCAGGGCCTATATGAACGGAAGGGTAAGGACTCAAGCTGATAGAGAATGTACGCTAAAAATAAAAGCGGGAGTGAATCCAGATAGGAGACGTAATCAGGTGCAGTCCCACACGGTAGCCAGTGAACTAACCTAACCAACTTAGTGAGCCGCAGTACCACGGACTGCGCCCGTGCCATCCCGCAGCCTCCAGCGAATACCTTCATGTGCGGTCACCTGACCGTATAACATCTAGGTTCTCTATTGATTCAGCTCTCCAATCCACTTCTCTCTTCTTTTCTCTCCTCTCCCCGCCCTTCAGTCCCTTTACCCTCAACAGCCCGCTTTCCCACATCCAACGACTGCTTCGAAGGCCTCCAAGCTTACAGCTAACTACATATTCCATACGTCATCAACTTTTTACATTTACGCTCGTTTCGCTGTCAGCATGCCTCCCTGGTTTAGGAAAGGCGTTGACCCTGGCACAGTTATCAGCCTCGACCAGCCCGTCCCTTCAAGATGGAAAATTGTCGAGAAGCTGAGTGAGAACAACGGGCAACTTACCGAAGCTGAGTATCGCCATGGTGACCGCCTTTCTCTCGCTGTCATCAAGCTCCTATGTTGTGACCAAAAGCACCCCAAACACCTTGCCTTTATGCGAATCTATCTCTAGCTTCCTTACAGTGGTACTGAGATGGATGATGCGGATACGAGAGCTAAATAGGCTATCACACACATCCCGAGAGAGCTACTCGCCTACTAGGACCTTACTGCCTAAGACTTAGGTTTTACCCCGAAGCTCCTCGGATACAAAATCTCAACACAGGATAAGTCGGGGTTCGTTCCGGGAGGATTCGCGGTCTGGTTAGTATGGGAGAAAGTGCCAGGAGTACGCCTCGGTGATATAGATAGGTCGAACGAGTTCTGGGCCTTACAATGTCCCGAGAGAGAGGAAATCCGGCAATGCTTCGTGAAAAACATCCAGTAAGTCGCCATCTTTCCTTTATTACATTCATAACTAATACTAATACTAATACTAGGGCGATCTACGCGATCGGTTATTTACCTGATACCTCCTGGCTTACTAGCCTAGTATAGAATAAGGATTCAAGAACTCTATATGTTGAAGCTTTACCTATTACTTATCGAAGAAGAGCTATATATCCTAGGGAATACTTATACAGGCTAGTACCGGTACTGATAATCTTTAGTTACTTTATCGGATTTCGCCTCCGCTGCACCATAAGTAAGACCCAAACCCCACCTCCAGCTCTTGATATAACCAAACAAATGGCATTTTCGGGCTCGTCGAGCCGAACTCTCGCGCATGGCTCAAAGATGGATGGGACCGGGATACCACACAATGGAAATGGTAAACGAATATACGACTTAGATTGGAAGATAGCTCTCGAAGTGGGCGGAAAGATACTAAGTGTTAAAGGCAGGCATCTAGTGTTAATTTTGGAAAAGACAGATTATTATTAGTAGGACTAGCATCTTGTCCTAGCAGCTTTAAAGATATAATATGAAGGGAATTTTCCACGTCGACACTTCACACTTCTCTATGATGCTACACAGACTTAGGTTCAGATCAGATACCTGGTAACTCACTCTGTTCGTAGGAGAACCAGGATTAACAAATTCACGATTTGAGGTGACTCTTGTAGAACTGAGTGAATAGTCATTTACAATCTATATAGATAGCTGATCTTAATTTCATTTCAAAATCGCAAGTGGCCAGAGTTATTGGCTGGACTCCTCCTGCCTAAGGTATATGCACAAGGACAGTTCAATGAAGATCAGAATCGGACCGACCTTCTAGACAAGTCCAACTTTCCTTTCGTCTAGATTGGAGGATCTGTGAACTATGAATCAAAATCCTCTTTATTGATGGCTCACCTTGGGCATAGAGATTTCGAAGTACATAATCCATCGGGGGAAGGGTTCACCCACATGTGGTTCGCCCAATTACACATATATTCCTCCTGCCATCCTTGATCCATTGTAGTCAGAACGCCTCCACTGGTTAGGTACCAAGCTTTGATTCAAGCTCTAGTCCAGAATATTTGGCTGCTGGCTACATACTCAAGCATTCAAAAGAGTTGGAAACTTGGCCTATGAGTTGCAAGACTCAGCGGTGGCATTATGTATTGATTAGGCTACCAACTGGAAGACAAAAAGAGGCCATACTCATACACAGTACAAAAACTCGAAACGGTTTGCAAAAGGGGGAAATCATAACAAAATCACAAAAATCGCAAAGACCAAGCAAAAGACTCAAGATAAAACATCGAGCAACCTTGTTTACCGAGCATCTACGATAAGTCTGCTCGGTAGAGAAAACTTGTCGCGTGAAGGGATATCATCAACATAGTATCGTCTCTGATGTCGAAATTACGGAGGCAGCATTCCCAAACTTAAACCACCGCGGCCGAACCGTTGGTGACGTGGGGGCTAGCGTGAGTACCATTGGTACTGTTGGAAGTGGGCTTAATACCCGCACCCAGGCCATTGGTCTTGTCATTGACAAAGGCATTGTCGACTTCGTCAGAGAAGCCCCGGGAAGGGTAGCCATCCACCCTGGTAGAGCCGTTAATGCCATGGAGACCGGTACTGCCAGAGGCCGTAGCAGCGCCAGTAGTAGCAATACCACCAGTGGCACCGGCAGCAGTACCTGAGCCAGTAGCGTCGCCGGCTCGGTCTGCGGCGGTGGTGTGAGGCTTGCGAGTAACATCGCCAGCGCTGGGAATGTTCTTGGAGGCGGAGGCATTACCGATGCTGAAGATGGGCGACTCCCACTTTTCGCCCTTAGCGGCCAGTTCGGCGTACTCGGTGGCCTTGCTAGAGATGCCGCCGGGTAACTTAATATCTGGGAACATAGAGTCGTGCAGGGTCATGACAGTCTGAACCTTGGTGCGGCTAACGACCTCCTCAGCCTTCTTGGCCTTGGCCTGTGCGCGGGCACGCATAGCATCGGCGTAGCGTGAGAAGATGCTAGGAGCATTCTCCGGGTCCTCGCGAGCGGCCTCCTGAGCGCGCAGAGCTTCCTTGTGGATCTCGTGAGCGTAGGCATCACCCTCGTTGAATGCCTGGCGAATCTGGGCCTCGATGACCTTCTCCAGCGCGGGACGTACGACGCGGAAGAGCAGGGGCTTGAAAGTGGCGAACAGAACTTTGTGCTTAGACTTCTTGAGCTTGATGTCCATGTTCTTGATGTTCACGGAGATCTTATCCAGCTTAACGAAGTGCTGCTTGTCCCCATTTTGTGCGGTCGATGCGGCGATCTTGAAGCCGAAGCCCTCACCACCCAGGATGATGTCCATGACACCAATGTCGGTGATAGAGGGGAAACCCTGCTTCTTCTTGATATAGTAACTGACATCGCGAAGATCAGCCTGAATACCGGACGCAGCGATCATGATCTTATTGTCACGCTTGTTGCTGATCTTCTTACGGCCCCAGCGGAAGTAGTTGTCGCTACCAAACTCGACGACGTTGGGCATCAGGTTATCACTCTCAACGGTGAGGTTCTCGACAACCACATCGACGTTGGGATCCGAAACCTCGATACGAGGGATAGGGATGTAGCGGACGTTCTCAATGATGCCAGGGAGAATCACATCGCGAATATCCTTGAGCAGATGCTTCTTGAAGACAACCTTGCCGCCGGCATCGCGACCGAGGTCCAAGAACAGCTTCTGAATGGACTCTGCGAAAGCCTTGTTTTGAGGGTCCTGGTCAAACTGATCCGCGATGAACTTCGTCTCGTCCACAATACGGTCAGTGTGAGTGCGGTAGCGCTCACGAAGGAGGTAGCGGCCCCTGTCATAAAGCTCATTCCACTGGCGGTTAGCCTCATCCTGCATGATGAAGCCCTGCTCACGCAAACATTTGCGGATGTAGGTGTCGATGTCCGTGAACCACCGACGCAGTTCAGGGTCCTTGTCTGCATCTCGGTAGATGTTGTCCAGCGAATCAAAGAAGTCGGACAGGGAAGTGTTATTGGCGAAACGCTCAATAAGGGTGCGCAGGTTGTGCTCAACAGTCTTCACGCTGTCGTTCGACCGAACGTCACGGACAGCACTCCCACTCTGGGCGGTGGCAGTCTTGGTGTGGCCGGCATACTTCTCGGCCATGCTCAGCAGAGTCTCGATAGCTTGCTGGTCTATACTGAGGGTCAGCAGATAAACTTCGCGAGAAAGGTTCGTCATTCTTACAGTCAGCGTGGCCTTGAATCTCAATGACCATCTTCTTCAGACGCCAAATGGCCTGCTCGCGGCGCTCCTTGGGGATCTTCTCGGACAGGTACTCTCGAGCTTGCTGGCCATACTTCTCTCGGCGACTCCGCTCCGAAGGAGTCTCAGAGGCACCATCTCCCCTAATATCGACAGTCTCAGCGATCGGGGGTGAGGTAGCGCTATCCTTTTCCTATGGGGGATATGAGCCTAGATCTTGTTTATATGTCGGGGCCTTGGTAACTTACACCCTTGCTCTTCTTGACGCGCTGCTTGATATCCTCCTTGGAAATGTTTGGCTTCTCGTGCCAGGTGTTCTCCTCGGCCGGCTCGTCAATTTGCGCCAACTGCTCCTCAGGAGGGCGGACCACGTTGGCAGCCTTCTGGGAGGCATCGGCTGCCATATCGCGGATCAGAACGAAAGCATCGCTCACTATCGATAGTTGTCAGAATACGTATTCGGCTAATAACGACTTGGTATCTATACTCACAGATCTTACGGAACTCTCCGTTGGTGATCAGAAGTGTGCCGAGAGTCTTCAGACCCTCTAAAGCCTTGTTCGCATCCTGCTGGCCATCCTCTTTGGACACAGGCACGCCGGGGGCCTTCACATCACCGGCGTTGATCTGCTGAGCTTGCCAAATGAAGTCTTGCAACAGCTCACCCTCGTTCTTGGTGAGCAGCAGGAGCTTAGCCTGTTCAATGACGTTGCGCAGGTCCTTGATCAGAACCTTGCCCTCGCTGGAAAGCTCATTGGATGGCGAGGAGAGGGCCTTTGAGGAGAGAGCACTGTTCAGTGCGACATCACACTGCTTGTTCTGTTGAACGAATGAGGATCACGTTCAGTATCAGGCCAACACAGCAACATGCAACAACAAGAGGGGCTTTGTCAAGTACTAACCGAGGGGAGCTTGCTGTTCTTGAAGGCATGGTAGATTCCGAAGAGCTGGAGCTTCGTGTTGATATCCTAGACCGGCGCCAATTGGGTCAGTATTGAGGTCTCTATTCGATATGATCTCGGACAGTAAATCCGCGTACCTTCTCCTTCTGCTTCACGTCGGTAGGGACGTTCACAGGAGCCTTGGAGGACATGATGAAGACCGTGACACTTGTATCAAGGACTGGACCCCGGGAGAAGTTGACAGAGTAATATTCACTGGTGGATCCAGGTTAGTATGCCGGTAGCCAAGCCAAGCTGGGGGTTTGCAATTGCGGCAAACAAGGAGAGCGGAAAGGTCATACACACAGGTACAAAAAGGGGGGGTGTTGATTTTGATAATTGGGGTATTAACAATAGCGATTAATTCGTAGGAGACGTTGCTTAGGGAATCAAGGGGGGGGGGGGGGGTATCACTGGAATGAAGGAAGGTAGGAGAGGAAGCAAAGACAAAATATGTGGAAGATGTTTCCAAGGGAGGAGGGAGCAGGAAGTAGGAAAGGAACCGGGAAAAAGGCAGGAAGAAGGGATGACGACTATTAAACCATTGAAGCGTCAGATCATCCAGCAATCTACTGGAAAGAGGAAAGAGAATTGCAGCTAGCTCCCTTGGCCAGGATGACCCAGTTCTGGGCTAACGCCTCCTGCTCATCTTGCAACTACGGAGGATTAGAGCATGGCGTACCATTACTTTTCGTTGTAAGGTCCAGAGTCCAGAGTCAAAGTTAATCATGACTATGATCACCTTTCTCAACTCTAGCTCGCACCGAGGTAGGTTGGTACCTCCTCGGGTCCTCCTATCATCTTCCTGTAGGTTCAATGATTCGATAACCAGGGCAACAAAGCTCAACAGCACCTGGCTGACGCAACCACCTCCCTTGACGTCATGTTGATGTGTCGCGGAACTGCTTTTCCCCCAGTGCTTTTCCGCCATTTTGCAACGAACTCGCGGCTGGAATTGCAATTGCTGCGTTCGCCATCCTTGCCTCCACTTGGTCTAGGCCCCTTTCAGAGTTCTGACGATGATTATTATGGGGGTGGAGGTCAGCCAATGCTGCATCAAAACATCAAGCTCTCCCCATAAGGCTGGGTATTTTTTTCCCAGGCTCACGGAACCTCCAGATCGGCGCCCCCTCTACGTTAAACTGCATCGAGCGCCCTGATCGGCCAAAACTTGCTCCTGGCTCCAGTCTTGCTCTTGGCACACGCGCCGCACTCTCCAATGGTCCACGCTGGCCACTGGGGACCCATAAGGACTGAGCCAAGCAAAAAAGCTCCCCCGTTTTCGAGAGCAATTACATAAGGTGATCTCCACCACATCAGCCCTGACGTCAATCATACGAGATTCTTCGATGACATGGCACCACTCCTAGCTACTGATAATTGTGAAGGCGAAAAGCTATTGCGCCGCAGATGCAATGATACGGCAAGAAGCGCGACAATTGAACTAGATTTCCGACCGGAAAGAAAAAGGCAATACAACTTGTTTCTTCTGCTAGTCCACTAGAGTTACCTGGGGATTCTGCGTAGTAATTGATCTCCCAGTGCTTGGACCTGGAACTTCTCCGAGCGATCAGCAGCATCATCAGATCAGAATTCTTGTCTTCTTATGGAAGACGCAGGCATTTGGTAGTCGTTTGCACAGCCACTGGCCAGGATGAGTGGGGACCCTTCCAGGAGCTCAATTTAGGGAGAAGATTGGGCTCTCGTCTCAATATGCCGTGGCTGCTGGGGCTGTGCACGGCAACAGCGGCCATCTCCGCTGGTTGGAGCTCACATTGACACCATTGCATCGTGAACGAGCCAAGCACTACACAACGTAGGAACTAACCTCTCGAGGAACAAATTTCTTTACACGCCTATCCAAGGTCCCATGTGGTCGATCTCAGGAGAAAGGTTCGCTTATGATCCACGGTGGAGTGCTCCATACCGAGACGCAGATTCAATTGAGCTTGTATTTCTGCTGTTTGAAGAGGGCATTCGTCGCTCCAATGAGCATTGGCTCCCCTTTCCGCCGATCCTCTTGAACTTCGCTTCGGATCATCTACTTCGATACGAATCGGTCGATGCTGCTTGCAGTGTTTTAGGCAGCAATGAGGTCGCTACTACGTATATCCACTGGCAATCGGGAAGAGAATAATGATGCAATGGGCCCCTTTGCCCCAATTTGGCCCTCGTACGGCGGGTCTGATCTGATTTAGTCCATAATAATGTCTACGGGTGAACTAACATATACTATTTGAAACAGGGGAACCTGCACCACCGGTCTTTTTGCTAGTGGGCAGAGGTACCGTGTCCCACATACTCATGAACGACCACTATAGGTTTCTTGTTGTATTCTCCATTCTCCAATCCATACTATGCGACAACCTAGTATCCTTGAACAAGAAATCTCATATCCCCCCACTCATACCTGCCTGTGCGTCGACCAATATCGCAGGGCATCCTCAACCACCTTTCCTTCCCACCCCTCGTCCACCAACGGACCAACAACCTCGACATGAGTCTGTCCCGCCGCAAACACCTGATGGCAAGGTAAATCAAGCGTAAGATTCTCCGTATTCCCCTCCCCCGTCAACGTATGTAAGGTCTTCTCGGACGCCAGATATATCAATCGCCCGATATGCGCCCAGTAGAGAGTCCCCGCACACATGGCACAGGGTTCCCAGGTTGAAACCATGGTACAGCCCGCGAGATATTCCCAGGAGTAGTTGTCAGCTGCATTGCGAGCGAGTTCGCACTCGGCATGGCGGACGTGGGATAGGGATAGGGAGGACATTAATTGGGTTTCATTGTCGGGGCCAAGGAGGAGAGCTGCGAAGGGCCTCTTGCCGTGGATGTCTTGGCCGGAGGCTTGGAGAGCGAGGCATTTGGCGGCTGCGTCGTTGAGTTGTGCGGGTGTGAGCGGGGAGAGCGTCATGTTGAGATAGTTGAGAAACTTTGTGGACTGCAGTGTACGATTTTGGACAGCAATTGAGGATTCTCTTTTGTGTTCTTACACTCTAAAATTTACTCCACAGTGGGTGGATTGGCAGTCGAGATATGGTCGCCCCATTCACAGCTCCACGGCGGAGTCCGACGATAAGACAAGCGGGGGAGCCCAGGCAATCTCCCCCGATCATTTCAGACACGCGATTTTCGAGACTGTCAAAAAGGTAATATACATTGTATAAAGTATAGGCAAAGTTATATTCTAATTCTATGTTCTAAAACACGATATGTATTAAAGTATGTACAATCATTCTATCATCATCATCACGCTATTTCGTTACTTGAACTGCCGGCGGCCGATATATCGGATATCCTCGGATCATGAGAGGATTCCTTCGACGACGCTCGCGCTCGCGCGTCAAAATTCAAGTCCGGCGTGCCAAGGAAGCGTGCCTGGCTGTCGCTATCTGCCGGTCGTTGGTGGTTCTGGTGGAAGGAGAGGTCCACAAAGTCCGATAGATCGGTAGGCGCCGAGTTGGTGCTGTGGCTCATTTCGGTAAAGTGAACGAGCTTGCCGAGGACGGCGTATTCTAGTTTGAGCTTGATGCTATATGCCAGGGCTTTGAGGGTGACATGGATGTCGAAGAATCCTGAGTACTGAACGCCGATAATGGCCGCGTCCATGAGGATCATGCCCAGATTGACGATCAGCAGCTGCAGTAGAGTACCTCGGTAGTGGCCGCGTGGGCGAAGGTTCAATAATCGCACGGCTTCCCATGAGTATATAGCGGAGAGGATTGCCTCTTGCAACGAGAAGGCGATCAGTTGGATGCGCTCGAAAATATTAAAGGCCGGTGTAAAGAGCGCCGACTTGTTGGAGTGACTGCCGAGCTCGAGAACGGAACCCGGAATGTGGAAGATAATGGCATCGATGACAATCATGGCGAGACAAGCACGGAGAACACGGGGGCTGTGTACGACGAGATGTAGTCGCGACCAGAGGACTAGGGACTGGCCCGTCACCATGCCCACCCAGGCGATGAGTTCCATGGCGACGGGGAATAGGTTCGTATAGATGTCGTATATGATGAGGAGGTATCCCAGACCAAAGGGGATGATGCTGAAGGAAGCGATGAGCAGACACCAGAAGTAGCAACCGCCGTAGCGCTTGAAGGTAGTGAAGCAAAGGACGATCAGTTCGAAGGCGTTGTACCAGGCTATGGCGATGAGGCAGGCCAGAGTGGTTTTCTCAGCAAACTGATTGACCGACCGCTCGGCGAAGCCGAAGGTGCTGCCAGAGACTCCGAAGCTGGACATAAGGGCATATTCTCTGCTGCAGGGTCGAGCGTCGAGGGTCGGAAGTGGTCGTGTGAGGGGGTTTTTTTTACGAGGCACACATCAAGAAAGCGCTCGTTGAGCAGGGTGGACGGTGGGCATAAGATAGCGTGAAGTAGACCAGAGCGAGAATATAACTTAAAGATACGAGAAAGAGGGTTCTATATGCATATACAGGCAGTGATAGAACCCTTAGGTGTATGTATACGAGGAGAAGAAATCGAATCTCATCCCGGAACGAAGCGTGCGGAGAAAGATATGAGGCGAAAAAAGGTACAGGAGGTGGCGGAGAACAAGAGATACGGAGAGACCCCTTGGCGACAATAAGCCGAGTACTCATTGGCCTATCCAGCACACATTGTGGAGACGAGACATGGCGAAGACCCGAGAGACGTAAGCCCATTTGCGCGCTGCACGAGACCTAATCCTAAATTTGGGCCCCGATAGCGGCCTTTCCATGGAAATTCTCACAGATAAGCGCCAGTCCGTTTGCCCGGCTTACCCAGTGGCTGGCCAAAGAAGGGTCGTCTGGAAGCTGGAAACGTGGTTCTTCAGATAGTAGCCATGTGCTCATGAGATCATTGACTCTGCCAGTTATCTTTTCGGTCAGCCGTCTGAGACCTGTCGGTGCCCAGCGAACGCCTTTTCTGCGTTGAATGTGACAGCGGCTGAACGGGGCGCAACGATAAGCCGGGGATTATTCGCATAATTTACTAATGAAAGTTTGCCGACCAACCCGACCAACCAGGTTCCACTTCTCTGCGCTTCAACTTTACTAGTCCGTATAGACTTTGGGGTTATACTTTCTCAACCCCGTCTACTTCTGACGGTAGAGGTCGTGGTTTAAGCCCAAGTTGACCCTGACGCGTACCCCTTTCCTAAGGTTGGAACAACGCCCCGCCTTCCAGAACAAAACTTGGCTTTTTTCTCGAACCGAGATTCAAAGTTTCTTTCCAGTGCGCCCGTCGACGTTAAGGTACACCGAATGAGCCTTGACTTTCTAGTCGTGAGCGATTTGTTAAGAAAACCTAAACTGAAACCTACGCTCGAGATCGTCCTATCGTGAGGAGGGGGTAGATCATGACCTCTTGCTGACGATTCTAGAACGTGCGACCGGGCATGTTTGATGACGAGAATCTCTGTGGTAGCGATGAACAACCCTTACCAGAGTATCGACTTCAAGTCCGGGGACCAAACCCAATCCTCAGGGAAAATGTAAACTGGCGCAAATGTAAGTGGACTTGGTTCGCTATTTCCAATTTGCCATTTCACGAGCATCACATAGGTATCAATGGTCGAACAACGTATGTACCAAGCCTGAATATATATCCACATTCAAGGGTGCAATTTACAGCCAACACAAGGAGCCGGTGGTTCAGTTCCCTCGTAGATATCGGGCTGCGGTACTCCTGAAACGTTCAAGTATCCAACAGCGCCCTTTTCCAGACGAAAGATTGCATGGTCCACCAGCGTATATGTTCCCGGTACGAGCATTTCCATGTCAACTATGGTAGTAGCCCCCGGTGGAACACCAACGGTTTGCACACATTGGCCCGGCGGGCTCAGCACATCACTATCCCGATATACCTTCTTAAAGGTACTCCCAATAACATGGAAGGAGCTTGTCAGATTAGGTCCTGCATTGCCGAAAAAGATCCGGACGGATTCTCCCACCCCGGCTTTGAGTGGTTTCTCCGTCGTCAACGCACTCTCGTGTCCGTTGAATACCACCACACTTGGCTCTTCGCGCAATGCATTCGGGTATGAGAACTCCACGGTTGAAGAGGGTCTTCCATTGTCTTCCACTCCTGGTGGCTCGTGGTAGAATTCACTCTGCATTACGTAGTACTCGTGGTCCACCGAGGGGAGGTCACCCTCGGCGGGCTGCACGTACATGAGACCGTACATGCCGTTGGCAATGTGGACGGGCACGGGCGCGGCGGCGCAGTGATATATATAAAGCCCCGGAAATTGAAGACGGAACCTCCCGGGTTTTGTTTGGCCTTCTTCGACCGTGGCCAGGGCGGATCCTCCTCCAGGACCCAAGAAGGCATGGCAATCAATGTTATAGGGGTTGCCGGACTCGTCGCGATTTGTCAATGATAATTCCACGACATCACCGACTCTTGCGCGAATAAACGGCCCGGGAATCGAGCCATTGAAATTCCATTTTTCGTATTTGTATTGGCTATTCAATTTCTCCATCTTTGTAGATGTAACCAGATTCACTTGAAGCAGGACTGGGTGGTCTCTCGTTATTCGCGGAGGGACATCGGGCGCAGTTGTGAGTACTGCTTCTTCCTTGGGAAGAGTGTTGGCGTCGACGAAATCTTTATGTTTCTCACGAGAGGCAGATGGCGGCTGCTCTGACTTCAGATCGTGGTGTGTCGGCTTTTGGTCTAGAATGCCATTGCTTTCCTTCTTGGTGTCCATATATAGTGGGTTTTGGATTCGCGCATACACCATAACCGATGTGATGATGGGTACTGCAAACAGAATAGCCCGAACGAGGTTGGCCCGTTGCTCCCATACCTGACTTCTTCTCGGACTTTGTCTCGATTGAAATCTTGCTCCTGGGTTCTTTAATACAACGCTCGACGAAGGGTAGTTCTGCTGCAACCGAGTGGGAAACGTATGATTCCTAGTCCAGGCCCTGGCTGTCAACCTAGAAAATATGCTTGATATCATCATCCGTTGCTAGGACATGTAGTGAGTATAGATATTAAATGATAAGAACGGATTTTATTCTTCTTCGGATCTTAGAATGACCATTGTAATAACCTTGGGGAGTCTCCTACGTCATGGGGATGGCAACGGTCGCCGGATATATCAGATGACCCCCAGGTCCGCGGAGTTGTTACAAATATACCACAACTGTAATCAGGAAAGCGTGCATGCTAAATTGAGTGTATCTCTAAAGTCCGTGTGCTGGTTGTAGCTGGTCGCGCCGGCCCAATAGAGTTTCGATGCTCATCCTGGTTGCACAGCCCGACTTTTGACACACCTGTTCTTCCATGCCCGCATACACCAACTACAATCAGGTGATACGAAAGAGCTTAGTATTCAATGCAACAGTAATATCACTTGTCGGAGCTTCTTCTGCTATTTTTACGTTGCCCTCCTCTGCTATATATTTCTAGGACATTTCGACCATCTACAGAGAGCCCTAATCGCAAAGCGCGGCGAGCATGACGACAAGCCTCACCCCAATATTCCAAATTTCCTCCCTCAAGAGTATAACATAGCATATGTAGACATAGCTCTGTAGTATAATTTTGTCAACCCCGATTAGCCAGTCGCCCCATTTACCAATGAGGGATCGGATGAAATACTTTTTCCATAATGCAGGTCCTCCACGGTCCGACATCAAAAATTTGTAGGAATCCAGGTTTGCTGAAAGGTGAGGCATTGTTGCTTACCATATTGGGGAACTAGGCTCTGAGTTTTCCTGCATTCCTGTATGCCCTCTTGCTTAGGATAAAGTCAAATTCCCCGGACTGTTCTAACCAAGTAAAGAGTAATCTGACTCTTGACTAGCCGACATCACGTAAATTGAGAATTCGGATGTTGCCGAGTCTAATGTATATCCCATCATTGGCTTGGGCCTGACTAGCTGTGTGAGTGTAATGAGCTTCTCACTCGATAAATGGGCGGCGATGGACTTCACAAGCTATGCTCGGATGATGGTTACGTGCAGCCTATAGACCTTTTCGACGGCATTGATATTTCTCAGTGACGCTCTCTCAAACATGAATGTGTTGATCCGTAGACATAAAACATACACGGGCTCTAACCTTCTTCCATGTCCCGAGTGTGGTCGTGCATTTGTCGCTCCCGTCTATAGCGTAGTCAAAAAAAAAACAACATATCTGGAGGCCTACTTCTCGGAGCCTTTTGTTGAGGAGATTGGACCGACAAGGGTTTGGCCTCCAAGAACAGATCGTAAGATACGGAGGAAGCCCTAGGGGATGGCCGAGCTGCCGAGCGTCTGGTACTCCCCAAGGAGTATAAAGTAGAGAGTAATCGATCGTGGCGATTGCCCGTGAGTACTTGATGAGATCTGCCCTCGAAGGCCGGCCGGCGTGGACGGGAAAACGAGATAACTAGACGAGGAGCATTGCAGCCGAAGGAAAGTGAGTCAAGTGGTGTTCCATAAGCCTGATCTACATCCCATCAGACTTGAATATAATTTAGCAGTCATTCCCTGAAAGGATCAATTGAGGAATCTCGCTTAGACCATTGAGTAAAAATTGCCCTGGAAGACATTCGAATGCATTTCTGAGGGCCGGGAGCTGAATTGTACTGAGCTAGACCTTCTCTCTGATTTTTGGATTCAGGAAAGTCAATTTACAAGCCCCTAGCAGAAATACGACGCAGAAATACCTATGTCGAATAGTCTGTACAGTATGCTTGATGGTCCATCATAGAATCGACAGCATACCGTAGTCGGCTAATGTATGCATGATTTATAGGCCTGGAAGCACCGCAAGAACTACTACTCGGACAGGAAACGAGCGCAGAAATCTCGCACTCATGTCACTCTGGAGCCGTGTAAGGAGAAGGGGTAGCGGCTAACTCATTTACCGTCAAGCTGGTCCAAGAAATTTCTTGACCCAGCGATCTGGGTCGATTTCGAATCTTAATCCCGTCGATTGCCGGTGTTCACTCGTCCCAAGAGGATTCCCCTTGGACAGCACACACCATCTGTTTCGTATGCTCTAGTCGAACACGTGAAGATCGAGTAAGCCATACGCTTCTTCTCCGGAGCAGCCAAGACACCATTTCTGACTCGGCACGCCGTGGATCGACAAAAGGAAGCGATCGGATGAGTCGGGACACTGGCTCTACGGGCAGATAGGGTCTCTCAACCCAGAAGGTTCTGATGGAGGTAGGTCGGCGTACGGGATAAGTGCCCTAGGCCTGGATTGATAGACACTGCCACCTTCCTAGACCCGTGGTACATTTGGCCGATCCCATGCTCTATTAATCATCCAAGAACGCCACTGGGACGCTTGCAACACACGGGTGTCACAGAGATTACCGCTGTATTATGTGTTATCTGGGCTGTCCGTGATACTATGATATAGATGAGAGTCAATTTCCGTTATTGATCATCATACGATACCCATGGCAGGACGCCAGGTCGACAAAAGTCCTAGATTCGAAATCTTGCCTGACAATTACTTGTGTATCGAGAGCTATTTTAGGACTCAGTGACGCATCTCGGGTAAAAGAGAGGGATACGAAACAAGCACCTGATGGTAAAGGCATCGTATGTAACAGCAATAATGGTTCGTTCCTGACCCAGAAAATCATTCATCTCGGACCGCGAACCCGCGGAAAAATGAGTAGATGTGTGGAACCCTCCCGATCCAGCGTGAGCCGATAGAGCGTCCTCAATGGAACTGAAAACTCAGCTGAATGGGAGCATTAGTGAAACTCAATCTGTGATGATGACCTATGCGCGTGGTTGAGGTAAGTAAGTAGTGGGAATAATGGACCCTTCCAAGCGGGCCGGCTAAGATTGGGATTGTCGGGCGGGTTTGGTGACCCACGATGTCGATCTGGCGTGGATGGGGAATTTCCAGGGGCTTGTTGGGTACTCAGGGACTACTGTAAGCACTTGTATGGCAACGGAGAAGGAGAAGAAGAAAGAAAGAAAATGGAACATTCCATGCATGATGGAAGGAAGCGTTTAGGGGGATTTTTGGCTACAGATGACAACGTTATTGTGTAACTATAATCATAGTGCATGCATAGCTCCATGTGTGTGTAAAGCACTCCGTAGCGTTAGTTAGTTAAATCGAAACTATTGACTAAACGTTCATCATACAGTGATAATGTCAACAAACAAACTCTGGTGGCGTCGAATCGAATCAATGATGCAGGTGGCTCTCCAAACTTTATTCCACGAGGAAATCGATCTGAGAAGTGCCGATGGGCTCGAGCCCCTAAACTGGAGAATTTGAGAAGAGCCAGGAACCAGAAGAACCCTAGGCGGGCCACTCCGCCGCTCGGGGTGAGTTCTCCCTGAGAGCTTAGGAGATGAGCCTGGTTCATCAGCCGCGATCTGCAAGCCAATAAGAATACGGACTGTGCCGGTCCCTGAGCACGGCGTCCACCACGTTCGGCGGGATGGTGGAGGAGCTAGGAATCCGGAGGATCAAATTATTTGGGAAGACCCTATGTATCTAATGTTTCGTAGCGCTTGACCAGAGTCGGCGGGCATATTGGAGCTACCACTCCGAGGTCTTTTGGAGATTCCTAGCAATGCCCTTCACGGGGTCAGGTCCCTCAATGGCTGTTGACTATTTGCAGGGTCGTCGGCTGTGTGTGGAGTCACGGGACGGCACCCGGCTCCTCATTGGACTCAGAGCACGCTCTCGATGCCACCATCCTCTTTAGCATCAACCTTAAACGGGAATCTGTCGGCAATCTGCCTGGAGTGGCGATATTATGAGTCGATCACTTTGTTCGTGCTGTGGTTTTTGATCGTATCTCGCAAAAGGACCTCCGTTTGGATTCCTCTCTCCTGACTGACCTTGACGTGGGGAGCTGTCCAACACAGCAGACGCTAGGTGCAACAATACAATATGACGGGAGCAGATCATGCCAATCCTGACTCAGTCTTGTGTCTGTTTACTTGCCTACGATACACTATAATCCTATAGACTCACTCTTTGCCGGCCGAGCGGAATACAGCGGACTCCCCACAACTCCAGGCCCAAGCTCAGGATCGACAGGATTATTGACTGCGGTGGCGGAGATATTCGGTCGTGCCAGACCCATATAAGCTCCCGCTAGCCAGCCACAGTGCGGCATCCAAGTACCTGGCTCCATATTCTCGAATTTCTAATCCTATGGGGTTCCAACTCGAGACTGTGCCTGCAGATCATAATTTGGAGATATCTTTTCAGTCTATATCGCGGTCATCATATGGCGCAAATCCGGTGATCTCCGGTTCGATCATGATGACGGCAATTACTAGGTATCGAATACCTGTTTTGAATTTGGCGATTAGCTTTGGATCGTTCCATTGGAGTATCTCCATCCACTGACAATCGTGTTGATAGGGCTGCTTTGGATCGCCTCAAGCACTTGACAATATCTTTCATGCGGCATACACGGAAACTCTCAGGGTTCAGGGACCCAAAACGTGGACTCCATGCACACTATAGGACCCATATCTCGTATGGACTCCTCCGAGCCCACTAGGGTCCTTCCTCTGGATCATTTGGGGGCTCTCCATTCTGGCGGGTTAGGTTCGACCAGCACTAGCAGTCCCACCCTTCGATACTGAGCTGAAAAGCCCCATCACCAGGATCCATCTCGAGGCTGGCCATACGGACCTGACCCGCTATGTCGATGGAGCAATTGGTCAGAGGCAAAAAACTGGACAAGTCGGTCATCAAAAGGGTAAAGGAGAGAGGGTTCAGGTTCAGTATAAAGATCGCTACATCTCGTGTCCACCTTCGATTTCTTCTCTTCTATCTCCAGTCACTCTCTTGGATTCATTCCCACCACAGTCATTCTTTTTGATAATCCACACTCTTTTAATACCGACATCATGAAGGTTTCCATTGCTACTCTCCTCACCCTGGCCGCTGCTGCCTCCGCCGCTCCCGCTGGCCTCACCTCTCTCGCCGGTCTGACTGGCCTTACCTCCTCCATCACCAACCTGGGTGGTCTCGATGGACTCACCAAGACCCTCAGCCTTGGTGATGTTACCAAGCAGCTGGAGATCAGCAACCTCCCCGTCGTCTCCAAGCTTGGTGACCTGACCTCCCTCCTCCACCTGGGCAACGTTGCTACCTCCCAGAACGCCAACTCCCCCATTGCCCAGAATGGCCACATCCTCCAGGACCTGGCTCCTGAGCTCAACAACGTCCTGACCATCACCGGTCCCAACGTTCAGACTCTCCTCATCGAGCTGAGCCCCGAGGTCACTGCCCTCGTCTCTGGCCTTGGCCTCCCCGGCCTGGGCGTCCCCCTCGGCTCCATCGTTGCCTCCGCTAGCTCCCTCGGTGAGCTCGTCACCGGTCTCGGCCCTACCGTCGACGGCCTCGTCACCGTCGTTGGTGCTGATGTCGGTGCCCTCCTCATCTCTCTCTCCCCCGAGGTTGCCGGCCTTGTCTCTGGCCTCGGCCTCCCCTCTGTCGGTATCCCCGTCGGCACCGTCGTTGCTACCCTTGGTTCCTCTCTCAAGCGCGATGCTGCCCCCGGCGAGATTGTCCAGAACCTTGTCCCCACCGTCGGCCAGATCCTCACCGTCACCGGCCCCAACGCTAAGCAGCTCCTGATCAAGCTCTCCCCCGAGGTTGCCGCTCTCGTTAACGGTCTCGGCCTGACCTCCATTGGTGGCTCCGTTGGCTCCGTCATCAAGACCGCCGGCAACGTCGGTGACCTCGTCTCTGACCTCTCCGGCCCCGTCAAGGGTCTCCTCACCGTCACCAGCGACAACGGCCAGGCCCTCCTCATCCAGCTCTCTCCTGAGGTTGCTGCCCTTGTCTCTGGTCTTGGCCTCCCCACCGTCGGTGTCCCCGTTGGCACTGTCGTTGCCACCCTCGGCAAGAACCTGTAAATGATGGAATAAGCTTCTGATTTTTTTCTTTTCGTTGTTTGGAGCTCTTTCTGTTTCCATTGAACCAGAAAACCTCCCTTTTTTACGCAGCTATGCAAAGCACTTTGGCAGCCTTGTGAATACCCCCGCGGATTATTCTTGTGCATATTTACCCATTTTGGAAGGGAGATTTTGTACGACTTCCTGAAGACAAAAGTATTGTCTTCCCATACTACTTACACATTATATTTCTCTTTCAAGTCAATGACATTATATCATTTTAATGTTTCCAATTCTGCGCAGCTCATTTGTCCCCTAAAAAGTAAATCTGGTAGAGTACTGAAGCCCCCATATACTTCCCTCCAATATCTCAACTTTAGCCTCAATTACCTATGATTGTTAATCCTTATAGATTGTTAGTGTTACTGTGTGACCTATGAAGTAACAAAGTTGCGGCTGTTAACTAGCTAATCGTCAAATAAAATCTCACAGAGCTCGAAACTAGAGATCGGTACGTGCTCACTTTACTTACGAAAAGCAACTCATGATATCGAGAGTATAAATAGGGAGTTTGCCATGATTATGAATTTGGGCCAGTTATATATAACAAAAACGTAGCTGAAGCTGACGCCTCATTCAATTAATTCAGATGTATAAGAGTGATTTGGCAGAAGCCTTTACCAGAATCTGATATCTTAGGGGCCTAAAAGGTGCTACATATAGTGAGTGAGGTATAAGGTCAATAGCAAGTCAAGAAGTACGTGAGGACACGAGGTAGAAATTGAGGTTGGAAGTGAGAGGCGATTGCAATGAGACGTGAGCACATAAAGTATAGTAGTAATTCCATGACTAAATTCAGCGAATGAGATAAGTGGTCTATGTACGCCGTTTTCGACTATCTCTCTTTTGTCTTATTATATCTCTCTCACCCTCGACAGGTCAGCCCAGATCGCTCGATCCAATCTCATAAAACATAAGTAATAAGACAATTTTGAAATTGAGAAGTAGTCAAAGTCAAAATCCATTATTCGATTCATGAAAAATACAAAACTTATCCTAAATGATAGCCTGAATACCCATTGCCCGCCAGCGGTGCCCGTGAGTACGCTTGACTCTGATTATTCCCATAACTCGCCGGCCCCTCGCGAAGCATCTTCCCCAACGGCGCGGACTCCCTCTCAAATTCATCCAGCGGCCGTCGAAGATCCCACTTCCGGGCCGAGTACTGAAGCAAATCACGCACGTACGTGAGACAGCGCAGCGCACGGGATCGACAGTTGATTCTATCTTCTTCGGCGAGGATGGGCGGGTCGGGTGTTCCTGTCGGGACGGGAGGGGGGTTGGGCACGACGGGACTGAGGAGGAAGTCAAAGTCCTCGATGAGGACTTGGACAAAGAGGAGGCCGACTTGTTGGACGCGGGTGATATCTAAGAAGGTGAGAAAGGGGAGAATGCTGGGGTTCTCTAGCACTTGGTGGATTTGGCTGATAAAATCCATGCAGCGGTCGAAGAGGAGGGCTTTGTTGTAGTCGCAGAGGACGGGGTATCGGTTGGAGGGGGAAAGGAGGACGATGTTTGTGTAGAGGAGCTCGAGGCGGTAGAGGAGGGAGAAGTGGTTGGGGGCGTTTTTGGGACAGTCGTGGAACCATTGGCGAGCCTGGGAGCAGAGAGACCATATTTGGATGAGTGGCTGAGGGGATGGTTCTCGTGAGCCGTAGTACATGTCTTGATATCCGTTTGATAGGATCTTTCGGATCTTGACAATATGTAGGGCTGGAGCGGGGCTTCGTAAGAAGACGGATGTTTGCTCTGGGCTAGAGGCCGATGAGTTGGTCTCCGGCAGCGCGACGTTCACCGATGCGTCGGAGAATGAAAAGGTGTGATGAAGTGCAGTGCTCATCCCTCTGTTGTGCAGCTGTCAGCATGGATTTCGAATTCCAAGGTTTGATGATCATGACTGGACACAACCTACCGATCTAGACAATACAGGCAGTGGAATACCCGCCGTCGAATATTTAGTCGGTCTGGATTCAACAGCACTTCTGCAGGAGGATCTTGATGTAGACCTAGGTCGACCGCCACCCTCACTGCCATTCCTACCAGGTACCAACTTCGGAACCGGCCTGGATCTGCCAGCGCATACTGGGCCAGAAGCAGGATTGCTTGGATGCACGTGATAGACCCGGGGCGGAAGACTTCCTCTGCATAGATCAACGCCTCCGACACCAATGCCAAGGCTCGCTGGTGACTTTTATCGTTACTCCGATATGAAATCGATGCCGAGGCAATGGCGAGAACCATCCTGACCGTCCAATGGTCAAAGGGTTTGGCAAATCGACCACCCGATTGATAGACCGCATCGACCGACGTCCAGAAGCTGGTTTCCACGAAAAACGGTAATTGAACAAAGACATTATCAAAATAATATTGTAAGAGAGGGGTCGCCTCGTGTCGCGCGGGTAGCGGGTTGTGCGTGCGGGGTGGTGGGTATCCCACCGTGGCGACCGAAAGGAGCAGATTCGCAAATGTGGTCTTGGAGGTGATGCCTTGGAAGTCGCGTGAGGTCGCATTGACCGACAGGAACCCAAAGTCGCCGACGAGATCATCGATATCGGAGACCTCACGGCGGTGGGCCGAGCCGACCGGTCCATCGGAGGAGTTCGAGGTGATGGACATCTCCCGCACCACGCCATTGCCTTCGAGGGGGAGAGAGTTCTGGCGATTTCGCAACAAGGAAATTTTCTTTTCGAGTTTCTCACAGTATCCCTCGAGTGAAGCGACGTAGCTTCGCTCCTTGCCCTTGGCGAATTCGTCGCTCGCTCCCGAGCAAGAGCTGGCCTTGCCGACCTTCTCGCAAGCCGAACAGGCGGGGAGCTTGCCATCGCATTTGATTTTGGCGGTGCGGCATCGCGAGCAGGCAGCGACCGGCCGACTAACTTTGAGCAGCGGGTTGTCCAGGAAGGTGGTAGCCATCGCGGGCATCCTGGCAGCTCATGGTCCCTTGGGGAACCTGGGGCGGATTCGGAAAGGGAGAGGAGGGGGGAAAGGTGGGCGAGACCGAGGCTCTGCTTGCCAGCGTGCGTTTCGAGGTATATTTCGCGTGTCTAAGCCAGGGAGAGTGAGGTTAGAAATTGACGGGATGGGCTTGCGAATTGAGGATGATGTGACCCTTGCGCGGAGCCCAACGCCCAGTCGTTTTGGGCGCGGCGCCGCATTGCTGATTTGCACGAGGGACCCCCACCGGATCGGCGCGCATCGACCACCGACTAACCGGCCCAAAAAAAAGAGACCGAGTGGACAAGAGGGAGACCCAAAAAAACTCACATGATCGAGGCCCGATAATTGGAGCTGGCTTCTGGAGGGGGGCGAAGACGTTGAAACTAACTTAGTTTCTGCCAAACGGCCAGACTCACCTGCATGAGCCGAAGGATCGTTTTAAATTATCGAACGACTGCCCCCATCCGCATCCGACTCAGCCTTACCCGAGAGGAAGAGCAAGGGGGAAATCGACAGGAACGGACGAGCAAGAACCTGATCAGAAAGCGAGACCGGCCAATTTTGCCTCGAAAGGGCGAGACGATTCTAGTTGGAGAGGATTGGACAGTTGCGAAAACTAGGAGTGTACTCGGCAGTTCATTGGTTGAGATTCAAAGGGGACTAAAATCACGACTGGAAGGGCCAGTCACCAACTGAGCCGTTCTGAGTGTCCGTGAAACCGCACGGACGGCGCAACCCGTAGGATCTCCGAGATTCCGACGGGGTTGGGATAGAGATGGAAAAAAAGAAATGAACGAGAATACCCGATGAGGATACCTGCCGTAATTGCAAGAACCACCTGAAGAGTCCTATCGTCCTCATCTTCCTATACTCGGTACGTACAGTCCCCTACTTGACCCGCTTCGTGGTCCTATGGGTGAAGAGTACGGAGTAACTACGGTCCAGCAAAGTTAGTATCAACTCCATCGGGCAGGAGATAGTATGATGTACACTAGACTAATGCACTCGGCAAATCGGAGTGTCGTGTCAGAGAGTGTTTGAAACGGGTTTCTGTCGGCAGCACAAGCCCCGTGGATTCTAGCCCGATCTGCGAGTCCATCTTTTGGCTGTACGCCGTATACTCCCGTACGGTTTGCACAAAACTATACACCATGGCACTATACGGCAGTACAGTACACCAACTCGAGGACCTTCAACTCGCATTCGACATTTGACATTTGACATTTGATCGTACCCTATCGTTCGAGCAGATCATCAGAGTCATAGATTACAACATCTTTCCGTGCTAATCTCTCGTGCTATCGTCCCTCTACCGTGGTTGATTCCTTGACATTCCCCCCTCCTTTTTCTTTCTCCTCCACACCAAAAACCGGCCAATCAACCAATGATCGCGTTCACATTCCGCCCCCGTCCACTCCGTCCTACAGGACGACGACTCAGTCGTCGGTTCCGTTCCCTTTTCCCTTTTCCTCCCTTTCCCACCCTTTCCCACCCCCCCACATCGGCGGAAGACCGTCCGTCGCTTCTAAAACCCCAAGCTCTAATTTCCCGTCGATCCAGATCTGGACCGAGGAATGCTCGACTTGGAATCACTTGGGTTCTTTCTTACTCAGTTCTGACAAGTAACTATTGTCTACACTACCTTCTGTACTCCGTACGCTCAGTACCCCCGAGGCCCAAGGCAACTCCCATCATCACTGCCCACCACCACCATTACTACCACCACCACCGACCCGTGCGACCAAACTCGCACTAGTCCCCACCATCCACGGCCACTGCCACACCCGCTTCGAGTCCCGGCCGTAACCTGTGCGGTATCAGCCTGACTGCACTTTGATACGCCTCTTTTCATTTCTCTTGACCTCTCACCACCCCCTTGCCTTTTTGGATCCTTTTCTCACTGGAAGACTCCAAACCCTCGGCGAATCTTCGACCGTCGCGATTGCTCCCTACCGCTTCACCGTCCACTCAACCGAACCGCAACCCCGAGAGAGCCGCATGACGGGACCATGTCGATAGTGCCAAAGACACCTGGTGGACCGATCAAACGTGCTTTGAATGGCATCCTCTTGCAACACCGACGCATGTGATTTTTCCTTCCTTCTTACATCTTGCTCCGAGCTTGGGGGTCTCCCAACGAGCCATGACCCAGAGCGCGCAACCCTACACAGGGCAGCCATCGCCGGAATCCTTTGCATTCGATCTCCCCGACGGTCGCATCGCACACACATTGACGGCTTGTACGAGATGTCGACAGGTATGATGCAATTAGTTACAATACCCCTCAATCCTTCTTGCCTCTGTCTTGCCCCCCCCCCCCCGGTCCTTCAAACCCTGCCGGGGAGAAGATGCCCCGAGAAAGAAAGAAGACCCTCCCCGTCGCGACTGCGGAATGTTAAAAACTAACGGCCGGATCGTGTGTGTAGCGGAAATCTAGATGTGACCCCGGAATCCCTCGATGCGCGCCCTGCGAACGAAGCAATGCCAAATGCGTATACTACGACTCGGCTCGCGATGCCACCATCCCGCGAACATACATCGTATCGTTACGGGACAAAGCTCGCGCACTCGAGCAAGAACTAGCCAAGGCCGAACAGGAAGTTCAACACACGGCCGATGCGGAATTGATGGTGCGGGGCGCTGGACGTATCCGCTTCTCAGATAACGACGAGCCCCGGTACCTAGGCGCCTCGAGTGGCATTGCCATGACTCGCCTCGTCATGGAGATTGCCAAGCAAAACACCGACTCGAAAAGCATCAAGGATGTCGTCCCCGAGTTGACCGCCCAAGAAATCAAGGCGGCCTTTGCCCAAGAGGACTCCAAACCTACCTCCAAAGTTTATCCGATGATTAGCTCGATTCCACAGGACAACCTACCTCCGCGGAGTTTGACATACAAACTGATTGATCTCTTTGTTGCAAAAGGTATATGGAAGTTGCTACTCCATTGGCCCAGCCGGGGCTCTCTCGCGCAGTGTGTCTTTTTGGAACTAACTCGTGATACCTGAAATAGCCCAGGCATTGCTTCCCACGTTACACGTACCAAGCTTCCGGCAAGAAGCCGAGGAGGTCTTCAATGGCTCTACCGATCCCTGCCACAATTTCCAACTACGAATGGTCATTGCAATCAGCATGCAGAAATTGAGCCCAGACTATGCCGGTCTAGCCGACAGCTATTACCTCGCTGCCTTGCCGTTCTTGGAGCCGACCCTGAAACAGATGGACCTCCGTGCTTTGCAATGCCTGGTTATGATTGCTCAATATTCAATGTTGACGCCAACAAGGACGGCGTCATTTTGGGTGGTTGGCACAGCAGTGAGGATGTGCCAGGAGTTGGGATTCTGTGAAGAAGCCACCATCGCCCAATCGTCCAACGGGAAACCGCTCAATCCATTGGAGCTCGACATGCGCAGACGACTCTTCTGGATCGTTGCATCCATGGAATTCGGTCTATCCCATAGTTTGGGCCGTACCAGCGCCTTGAGCGTCACTCACGACAATGTTAACGTTAAGTTTTTTGAGCTGGTGGATGATCGGTATATCACAGCCGAGGGAATCAATCCGCACGCGAAACCCGTTCTTGCCAAGTGCATCGCCATTCACTTTTTCAAGATGCGACTCCTTCAATTGGAGGTACGCCGTGCACTTTACCTGAATCGATGCGAGACCCCTACCCATGATCAAGATCCCTGGTTTGGCCAAATGCTGGCAAAGATCGATCATTGGGTTGACACTTGCCCGAAGAATGACGATGGCAGTGGTCTCAACGTGAAGTGGTGCGTCCTCGATTTCCATGTACCGTTGAGATGACTTATTTTTCTAACCACTTGCTCCAATGTCATAGGTTCCAAGGCCGACGAAATACTATTGTCATTCTGATGTATCGCCCATCACCTCAGATCCCCGAGCCTTCGGTTCAGGCGGCCAAGATCTGCTATGAATCAGCGACCTTTAACATCGCCATGCACCAGGAACAGACCATCACCGGGTCCGTGGACTTGACCTGGATTTTCACCCAATCGCTCTTCATGGTATTCAATACCGTTCTTTGGACTCTTTCATACCCCGAGATTCGAAAAGAGCATCCCATAGAGGAAGTCCAAGGTTATCTGGATATGGCACTGGAAGTCATAGTATATGCAGCCGAACGATGGCCCGGCGTGCAGTCCGCATTGATCCTTTACAAGCGCCTTGTCGCGGCCTGTTTGAAGGCGTACAGCACCGAGGAATCCTTCGTGGTTCAATCACCATCCAATCACCCTACTCCAACCTCATCACAAGACGTCACCACTCCTCCTGCCATGTCGAGTCCATCAACGAGCACGACTGCCTCTTACTACTCGCATAATCATCGCGGTGCCAATCACTCGATTGGTGATAGCGCTTCAGCCGGTACTTTCTCCAGAGGTCCCTCCGCCGACCCAACAGGCCCCTATTCCCATGTCACTCAAGATTCCACCCCTCCAGCATTCGCTCCAGACCATCCGAAACCGATTGGCGTTTCTCCTATGACTCCGGTATATGGTATACAATCCGTCATCACAACTCCTGGCACCGCATCCCAGTATACTTCACCTGCTTACTGCGCACCATCCGGACCTTTCTCCGATGTCTCTATTGATCCTAATACCCCATACAACACGATGCCATCCGTAGTTCCGGGTCTCCAAGGATGGGATCCCAATTTCTCGCTTGCCTCTACGACTGCCAGCCATCTGGCCTACATTGACGCCACCGTGGATCCGATGCATTGGGAATCCTCCATCGGAGACCAATACTCAAATTACTTTAACGAACCCTTCCCCATACCTCCCTGGCGAGAGCGCACCCTCAGCCAACAAGAACAGATTGAGCTCATGGCGTCACTCGAGCACAACATTCCCGACGTATCTGCTCAGCTGGTCCGCGAATCTCACGCGTTCTACCAGTCTTGAAAGTATCCAGGCGGATGTCGCTACAGGACCGAATTAGGCTCTTCCGCAAACACAACAGCACCCTGGCAGTTTGGAGCATTGGCAAAATGGGGCTTGTGTGTGCATTTGCGCAAGGGAATATAGTGACAGACTTGTTTCATCATTTTTGACTGCGTTTGGGACTTTTTTACCGTCTGGACTGCAAAGCTTGGATCCTCCGGTCTCCTTTGACATATACCTCTTTTGAATGCTCGTGCTACGGTGGGTGAACAATAATCTAGCCTTTGTCATACATAACAATAAAGAATCTACTGGTAGATCAATAAGAGGTTTTAAATTTGTGTGTTGTAATCGAGTAGAATTACCGAGTAGAAGTTTTCATCTCTTTGTCTTGATCAATAGGACCACGGCCATGTGGCATTCGAGACTCATTACTTACTCTGCATGATTACGTATCTTCTGGCGAGGATTGCCAGATTGCTCATAGAGTAGATTTGAAGTCGTTTGCAGCGAAATCTGAATCTTTTGTTAGCTCTCGGGGGTAACTTCTCTATGGAGTGCCCGCCTAATGCCGCTCATGCAACGGGTTGTATCGCCGAAACAGTTGAGGCCGAGTACCGCGTCATGTGACCGGGCTCGTTTCGCCTCTCCATCTCAGCGCCATCGTCAAGCGGCATCTTCCCTCAAACCACCCGACCCTTCTCCCCCACCACCCTCATCCCCTGTACCATCCCGATTCTTCGCACGAATATCGTCTCGGTCTCACTGGAATGCGAAGGAATTAGGCCGGCCGTGGAACGACCTGCTCGCCAGCCCGAGAGCGACCGTCGACCCATTCGAACCGGGATCCCCCTCTCCACACGCTGAGCGCTTGTACTCAAGAATCTGCGATTCGGGACCCAAAGCGATTCAGTCGAGCTGCTCTCTTGTGGTGCTGCTTAACACCCTGAATCGCTTTTCATTTCTCTGCGAGGGACAATCTGATGTCTGATCGCACCCCTTCCACAACCTTCCCAGCCGGACCTCTTTCACCCTCTTCACCCGCTGCCGGGTCTGCTCTTAAAGAGAGCCGACAGCTCCCAGTCTCCTCGGACCATATCCCTCAAACTCCGACATCGCCTCCGTTGATGTCGGTCAGCGACCAGAACAATGTCTCCAACTTTACATCCTCCCAAACATCACCGAATCAGGCGACGATCCACCACCACCCTCCGCACACCTCCTCTCCTCCCTCTTCCACGCCCATGTCAACTCAAGTTTCTCAGCAGCCGACTGTGAGCACGACAAATTCTTTTCCTACCCCCGCCAGCAGCGTGAGTGGCCACCAAGCGAATGCGACGTCGGCGGAAGATACAGATTTTAAAGCGTTGCACGGGGGAACACAGGACTCTACGAGAAATATGGGCGACGGATCAGACTACCAAACGACAGAACACAGACGAACCGATCACGACCGGCAGGCTTTGACGACCTCTTCGGCAGCAGCCGGAGTACGCGACTTTGCCACTGGGTTCAATTCTGACCCGGACGTGATTGACCTGGACAAGGAGCCTGCGTCCCGTGGCGATACTCGAAATCTCGGCTTAGACTCCCTTCAGAAGGAGTTCACTTCGGCCTTTCACCTATGCAAGAGCTGTAAGAATTCCCTAAGTTTGATCGTGGTTGCTGCCATGGCAGTGGTGTGATTGCACTTGCTTTCTTTTTTTGCTGTGAGAAATGAATCCTGTTAACACAGTGCTTCTTGACTGCTTCACAGCGCCTATTGCGACTGGTCCGGATCCATCGTGGGATCTCATTTCCCTCTACGGCCTTGGCTCGGTTGCACAATCGGTTGCACGAATTCACCCCGTTACTGGCGAAAAGATCAACAGGCTACGAAAGTCCTACGAAGGCAAACTGAAGCCTATGGGTTTAGCGGGCAAGAACAAGCCGATCAAGCAGGACTCGAGCAAGGAAGGCAGCTTGAGGTATCTTACGTTGTGGCCGGAAGAAGAATGGCAGAATCAAAAGGTCTTTGGAAAGCAGATCAAGACCACGGATATGGACTCTGCGCTCCTCAGTCTTCAAACCAATGCCATGCAGCTGCAGCCTGGGATGGCACCGAACAATGAGTTCTGGGAAGACGTTTTGGGACTGGAGAAGCCGGTAAAGGCTCAGAGTCCTAGCGATGCTGGCAAGAAGGCCGTGCCAACTCCAAGTGGCCGGTTCGCTACTCAAGCAAATGTGGCTAGTGGCACGGGAGCTCAAGATATGGGCGATAGGGCACGCCCCAGTCGCGGTCGCAAGCGACATTATGATGACAACAGCTTCGTCGGGTATGGCGAAGGCTACGCGGATGACGATGATGAGACCGGTTTCTACTCCAATGGAGAAGGAGCCGGCAAAAAGAAACGGAAGAAGGTTAGCCTCGCAGTCCAATATCCATAGCACGTGGACTGCTCGAAACTAATCCTTGTCCTCATTAGGATCATGTTTCCAAAGTCTCGACACCAATGTCCGAGCGAGGCGGCAGCTACGGAGTCGGCATGTTTGGCATCGGTGCCAGATGAGACCGATTTTCCATGGATCAAAAAGCAGTCTTTTCTGTCTTTTTGTTTAATTGTTCTCAAATTTTTTTTTCTCACAGTACATGTTGCATCACGGTGCTGGATATACCCGGCTTTCATCTATCGGACGGCGTTCAATGGCGGATGGTGGGAAATAAGTATCTCAACATGGATACGAATTGATTTGTGTTGTTTCCCTCTTATTACTCGCCAGGTATTGTTTTTTTTTTTTCATTCATTTCTGCTTCGTATTTCTCGTCGACATTGATTTTCTCCGAGGTTTCCACTGCTGTATTGGCTGGCTTCGGTCTTTTTTTTTGGTTCTCTTTCCTGCAAAGGGTGTTCTTATGCTGCTTTTCAAGCACATCGTGGCCAGTTCAGTTCCAAGCTGGAGATTGTGTAGTTTCCTATTTTTCCTCCGAAATTTTTGATTCTCTCTATGGGTGGTCGGCTCGACGAGCCTTCGTTGATGGGTTGCTTTTTGCGTTCCAATTTTCGCGGACGCTCGGCTTTAATTCTGTTAAGGCTGCTTGGGGAGTTGAGGAAGTTGACTATGAAATGATTAAATAGATAAAAAATGTGCAGACTGGTCGGAGTCTTTGTAGACGTAGGTCGCTTTCTCTAGATGAATCAGTAGATGTGCATGCTCTTCAAAAGGGCCGTCGTCGGGCTCTGATGCTGGTAGCGCATGGATACTGCCTGATGACGAGCCTCAAACGTGACAGTTGACGTTTGCTCAGCGATGCCCACGTCAGAGATATGCCCGTGCTAGACTGGGAATGGTAAATGGTACCAGATCAAATCAATGAAACTAGCAGCGTGAGCTTCAGCGACGTGCTAAAGGGTCCAGTCAATGTGTTCAAGCGAAGCGTCAATCCCATCATCACGGATGACGAGAGATCAGCAACACCACCCCCCCTTCCCCCCCCGGCGGCTCGAGCAGCGAACAATATAGGCTTACATTCCTCAAGCTCGTACCGATCAAATCTATATCTCTTGGCCATACCTATCTGATGCTCGCTTAGCACACCTAATATTTAATTTTCAATTTCAGCTAAGCCCTACGTCCCCATCCAACACACGAAACGCTTGGTCCCGCTTTAGCTCGATTGTATGAGAGGTACTAGTAAGCCGCGCATGGCTTGCAGAAAGCCAAAAGCCCAAAACCCAAAGCCCGAATCTCGGCGACGCCGATCTCGGTGGCTTAAATGCGACGCTTTAGAGGCGTCTGACATCAATGTTCAGCTGGTCCACTAATCGTACAGTGTCAGTATTCTTTACCTCGCCTTGGCCCCGCAAGCTCTATGGCGAGAAATGATTCAGCAAACCAGGAAGGAAGCGGCAACTCTCAGACAAAGAACCCGACGAACTTTTGGAACGCTACTGACGGGCAGCTCCACACCCGAAACTTATAATAAATCACAGGTCTAGACTGTAATCTAAGCGACTCTTTGTTCTTTCCGCCAATGATAGGGAGTTCTTTAAAATTCCGTCAGTCGAGTGCTTCTACTCCTTCTAATGTCCGAAACGTTCCCGATGATCTTGACGCACTGGGCGTTAGACACCTCTTAATTGGCGCTAGGACCTCCATTGATTGGCTCTTATCGGTGACGTTGTAATTAGTGGATGGGTATGTAAGAGATGAATACGAACGCTCAGACGGAAGCATAGCTAGATGTTAAGCGCTTTGTTGTTTAAGGAGTGAGATGTCAGCTGCAGGTACGGAGGAACTTCTAGTTGTGGCTATATCACCCCCCCCCCAACTACGGCCACAATGAGAGGAGTTAAAACCGCGGTGATTGTAGTGTCTATGCTGATCTATCTGCCGGATCAATGAGCGATCATTAATCGCATAGGGTTGACTAGTGCGACTTTTGCATGTAGCAAATTAGCAGCACTATGACCAACTCAATCGGGAACGGTTTTACTAGTTTATACAGCGGTATTTCATGGGTTTGGGTCTGAAGACCTAGTGAACAGTGCAACTAGATCTGATTCATCTCCCTCGTTTTTCGTACAGACAATCTTCCTCTAAGTGTCTAAAGCGTCTTGATCGCTAGATCTCGAGTGGCCTTACTTGGTCTCTCATTCCAATATAGTATTTTCTAGTCCCAAACGGGCATCCAGTACAGAAGATGTCGGCTAATCTTCGGAGGAGGTAGGAAAGCCCTTGTACATAAGCGTTAGCTTAGGCTTTCAAAAAGTTGAATCTGACCTTTTTGAAATTTCACGAGACTCACGCATTCATCTTTGTTTAAATTTACAATTGGAAGTCTGAGCGTAAGCGGACTTGACTCCGTCTCTCTTCAATTCTTACACAATAATAGGCATTGAAAGAAGTGTCAAAAGGAAGATCCTTAGCAGCAGTAATTGACCCTCTTTACTCGCAGTGTATAAGAATAATCTTCATGAACTGAACTCAAAACTGTATCAAATAATATAGAGTAATAAATAAATCAATAACCTCTAACCTCTCTGGTCTTTTGCGGGCTCAGAGGCGGTGGAAAGGCCCTACAAGATCCCTACCCTGCACCAGCTTTTTGGACAAGACTTGAAATAACCTAATCATATCAATCGGCCTTCACTGGCAAAATGAGGCTCGAAGCTGACTCGCATCATGGCGGGGGTCATGGCTCATCATAGGTCGAAAGTCCCGAGACTAAGGCGCACCGCTACCGGCCACGGCATTGACGTCGGAAACCCTAAGTCAGAACAATCGGTCCTAATGGCTTTCTCTAATCGATTTACTGCATTCTGGCTGCTCTACCTCGGTCATTGTATCACACTAGTAGTCTCCAGGGTCGGGGTTCTCCGATCACACACTCCCGCTTTATGCCTGATCGATCATATTAGGCAAGTGGTGGTTGGGCCCATTACAGGAGAAGCTCAGTATGAGTATTTACTTGAGTCTAACCATCCTATTTGGGGAATTGGTACACGGGAGTGAAGTTGGGTTCCTAGCATTCGAGTCGGGATGTGGAATGAGAGGCACGCCTGACGCTGCTCGTTGCTAAATGGAGTGAGATGGTGTGCCTAGTGATACCATTTTCCAGAAGTGTCATGGAAAGGTGGCTTGCTTGAAGACCTTACCTTGTAACACTTTATGTAGATGTTTTTATTTGATCCAATGTATAAGGAGATATTCTGTGCGAATTGTCTTGCTTGGATGGAATATATAAAGCTGCGAATATCCGTCGTAAGGCTGAACGGGTTAGGTTTTTCGAGGCCATCCCTTCCTCTTCATTTAATTCCTGAATCATCCGGGAGGAAAAGTTCATAAGAGACAAGATTTTATATGGTTATAATGTCTGATCAGAGGAAAGAAGATGAGTCGACAGAAGCGTGGAAACCTAACTGGCAGCTCAAGTGTATATTCGCCATTGTGGGTTTGCTGAACTTTGTCGCCGCTCTTGATGCGACATCTTTATCAGTTGCTTTACCGGTATACTTCCTTCCACATCCTCCCTCTTTGTTAGTTCAGAGTCGTTATCTTACTTCTTTCTTCCTATCGTTGGATAGACTATCTCCGATGACCTGAACGGCACAGCAACTCAGGCCTTTTGGGCTGGCACATCTTTTCTAGTCGCTTCATGCGTCTTCCAACCCGTGTTCCATCTCGCATCTGAAATTTTCGGCCGCAAATATATTCTTTTTCTAGCAGTGGTTGCCTTTACGCTAGGTTCGATTCTTGCTGCCGTCTCACATGCCTTCACTCTACTACTCGTCGGCCGTTCAGTTCAAGGTGTAGGTGGAGGAGGCATTATGGTACTCACAGAGGTACTCATTGCCGATCTAATTCCACTGAAGGAAAGGGGGAAATGGTTCAGCATTCGATCTGGGACATGGGCATTGGGCACGGTTACTGGTCCTTTGATCGGCGGTGCTCTCACACAATCAGCTGCGTCCTGGAGATGGATCTTTTGGATCAACCTGCCCTTCTGCGGACTAGGACTGGTCTTGGTTCCTATTTCCCTGAAATTGAATAGAACACCTCCACCGTTGCGGGAGAGTCTCGTTAAGGTCGACTTTGTGGGAATATTCTTGTTCGTGGCCTCTTTGTCGTCTTTCTTGATCCCGCTTACTTGGGGCGGTATCATGTACGCTTGGGATTCATGGCATACGCTGGTTCCTCTACTTCTCGGCGTGGCTGGCCTGATTGGCTTCGTTGTCTACGAGAAGCTAGGCGCTGCCCAACCTCAGGTACCACTCGTGATCTTTAACAATCTCACCCAGTCCCTCTGCTACGCGGGTACTTTTCCTTCACGGCGTGATTTTGTGGGGGATTCTCTACTACCTGCCACTCTACTACGAAGGTGCCTTGGGATACAGCCCTGTGGTTGCCGGTCTGGCCCTATTCCCCGAGACTTTTACAGTGGCGCCCATCTCAGTCATCACCGGTATCGTCGTCGCCAGAATAGGGAATTACCGGTGGGCCATATGGTCTGGATGGCCAATCACTGCCCTGGGCATCGGGCTCATCTGTTATCTCGATGATGAATCTACAATCCCGCAATGGGTATGCATCAATTTGGTAGCCGGCATCGGCCTGGGCATTCTATATCCCGCCGTTATGCTGGCTGTTCAAGCCGCCGCAAACCCGGAATACCTGACAATATCTGTCACAATGTCACCGTTCTTCAGAGTCCTCGGGCAGGCAGTTGGCGTCGCGATTGGGGGAGTAGTCTTTCAAAACCGCATCAAGCATGAGTTCAAAAGCTACCCCGAGCTAGGACGCTCGGCAGAGGCCTTTGCACAGGATGCGTCCAGCTTGGTGCAGTATATCAAACCCCTGCCGAAGGGGGGCGCAGAGCGTGAGTTGATCCAAAGATTGTATGTAAAATCCTTGACTATTGTGATGGCTGTGATGTGTGGAATCGCGGGATTGGGTATCCTGACGGCGATTTTCATTAAGGGGTATACTTTGAATCAGGCGTTTAGCTCCAAGCAAGGGCTCAGGGAGCCGACTTCTACTGATGTTGAGTCAAGCCCGTCTATGGCCGTGGAAAAGCATGACGCAGAAGATTCGGAATGATGATACAGTGGACTTTAACTTGATATTTGGAGGTAAACTCAAGGGCAGTCGAATTTGGTGTTTGGTTTAGGCACATTCATAATTTGGTTGTCTCATTGATAGCATGGCAGGAAGAACGGGCGCACTCATGGGGCCTGTGGCACGAAGTAATTGATCACACAATATGTATTTCATATTAGTTACCTACGAATTTGATGAATTATGAAAATAAATATGGGGTTACGAGTGCTACAAGTACCCAAGCTCCCAAGCACCGTCCTTGATCCTGGAACACTGGCCTTTGCATTGATCTGCTTGAATAGTGTTCCATGATCGACGAAGTCAGGGTTGCGACGAACTTGGTACAGTCGAGAGAGATTTTAGTGGAGTCCCCTCTAATTTGAAGCGTCTTAGTCAAGCAGTCAGAATGAAAGCGAGTGCGCAGGTCTACACTTAGGGACATGGAAGCCTATATGAATTTGGCCGGAAATGATCGTATTCTGGAATCCAGATTCACACCCAGTGAAATATGTAAATCCATAATAAGATCCAAGTTGCACACAGCCCATTGAGTATCCGGAGGAGGTGCGAAAGGAAGTTATTCCCAGGATATTTGGCTGGTGGAGGGGGCGAATGTTCAGCCCCATGGCCTATCAGGTGACTCCACGGCGCTTAATGGTGCAATGGCGGAAAAGCTCTTACTTGTTGCCCAATTTACTAAACTTATGATAATGAAAGCCTCTTAGAGGGCTGAAGTGGCGTCGCTGTTCTATTCTGTATCATGTTTGGGGAGTTTGCTGATTTAGGGAGGAACAAGCTGTGTATAGGAATCTAGATCAGTACACGAAGATTATGATGAGCAAGTAACCACTTCCAAAGGCCGAGACTGTAGATTTCAATTCAGAAACTCCATATTCACACCACGGATTCTAATGATCACTAAGACAAGAAACACAAGTATGGAGAAATGCAAGAGTAGATCTGGGAGCTCTAGGTTGGCCACCAATCAGCAGCGAGGAGATAGCCGTTACGAGCAGCCCCCCACCGAGCTTATCGGTGTCAGTATCAACCTTCTTTTCTTATTCAACCCCTCCTTATATTCCCTCTATACCCGGCCTCAAAAGTCTCATCAAACAATTACAGACCTCACCTAGCCTGCTCACCATCCCATTCTCTTCCGTCGTGCGTCCTCCGCCCACAATGTCCAAATACGAGCTAGCCCTCCAGCGCATCGACGCCGCACACAGCGACGACCCCAACACAATCACCATCAACGACACCACCCTCCCCTACGAGCTCCACTATGCCCAAAAAATGACCACCTACCTTGAGCGCCTCAACCCTTCCGCTTCAGACCTCCTCCGCCTCGCCATCCGCGCCCAACACCTGCGCCGCTGGGAGATCCCCCGCACCTCGTACCCAGCTACCAAAATCGGGTATCACTCGTGGCGCGCCGAGCTACAGCGGCGCCAAGCTGCGCTGGCCGAGCAGATCTGCGTGGAGAGCGGGTATACCGCCGAAGAGGCGGCGAGGGTGGGTGCCATGGTGCGCAAGGCGGATTTAAAGAAGGGGGACCCGGAAACGCAGACGCTGGAGGATGTGGCTTGTTTGGTGTTTTTGGATGATCAGTTCGACAAGTTTGAGAGCCAGTTGGCAGATGAGGAGAAGATGGTGGATATTTTGAGGAAGAGTTGGGGGAAGATGAGTGAGGCTGGGAGGGCGGAGGCTTTGAAGATTCAGTTGTCGGACAAGGGGAAGGAGTTGGTCACGAAGGCGTTGGCTGGGTAAATAATCATATGAACATACTCTAGGGGAATGCATTTTGGCATATCTATGGTTTACGGGTATATCCGAGAGTCATGGTAATGCTTGTAATTAGTTTTGATTGTTCTTCTGTTCTTAAAGAACGGAGACAAATGTCTCCTTGGTATCTAAAGAAACGCCCGCTGATGCGTCTCGATGACGGATGATGGATAATAGACCGTCAGATCGTAAAAGTGCTCTGTAAAGACCAGAGTAAAGCAAAAGTACCCCAAACTCCACCCATGCTTTTTTTGTTGCGCCGGCGTAAATGATCATCTTCTCCCTCGCAGTCCCCGCGATGTGTACTGCTTCATGTACTGCCAGTGTCAATCAAGCGCACCAGCGCAATGGCTGCGCCGGCTGCAATACCACCGACACAGACCATCTGCATACCACCCCAGATGCCTGCAACCACATTATCATGCCCAGACCAGCCACGGACAACACATGTTTTCACGTATCCAAACACGAGCAGAGTGACACCCATAACGCCGATACTCCAATACAGTGCGGTCATCACTTGAGACACGATGAAGTATGGGATCAGGGGAATGAAGCCGCCGACAAAGTACCCAATGGCAAGAGTGAGAGCACTGATCCAGGCCTGATTACAGTCTGGTGCGGACTCGCGGTGGTGGAAGGCAAGTAGGAACTCGAGTAGTCGCTCGTGAGAAGCATGCAAGTCTCGGGTAATGTCATCAATGGCAGCAGGGGAGAGTCCATAGGGCGCAAAGGTTTCGCGGACGATGTTGCTGGTCTCGGAGGAGTCACTCTCAATCAGCTCTCTTGTCTCGCGGACTGTAGCTTCATATGATTCACTAAAAAAGTGTTAGCTAAGAGGCTGTTCGTCATTTAGGGCAGGTTCAAAGCCGCTTACGCTTCACTCTTGGCTCCAACGTATCCACCCAGGCCCATAGAGATGGCACCTGCGGCGAGTTCGGCCAGACCACCCAGAACGACCACTTTGGTGTTGCCCAGAGCAGACAAGCCCGCGGACAATGCGAAGGGCACAGTAAGTCCATCTGACAGGCCGAGGATAGCATCAGAGATTATCCGCGGGTTGATGCGAGCGCGTGTCGTGCTGCTGCTGCTGATTGACCCGTCGTGGCTTTCACAGCGGCCAAAGGTATTGTAGGAGCCTTGCGACTCAAGGTCTTGGTCCGAGTCTCCGCGGATGGTTTCTTCGTCGTCGATACGAGCGAGAAGGGGCTTGCCTAATCAAGACATGTCAGTATACACCATCACCAATCCAATGGACTTGCAGAACTTGTCGTGATCGGATTACTCACTGTGCATTTTGGTCTCCTGCCCAGGGAAAAGCTTCTTCTTGAGGAAGAGAAGAGCCATGGTTATTGTTGTGTGGTTGGTTCCGTGTGTAACTGGCCCAGACGATTTTGCAATGTGGGAGCCTTGTATGAACCTTCCACCAGGATTTTTCCGGAGATACCACTCGGTTTTAAACCCCGTAAGAGTCGGAGATGAGGAGGACACCGACCGCCACGCTACGGGCTGGAGTAGCTCCGATGATCTGAGCAGTGGCAAGGACGAGGCTGACGTCAGGGCGATGCACGTCAGCACGAGGAGATTCACGGCGCAAGCGATGAAGAAGCAAAAGAAAATCCGCGAGAGTGGCACTCTTCGGTGATGAGAAGAGCAAAAGGTTGAAATTGTCTGGGAAAATTTAGACACCAAGGGGGAGTGAGAGGGTCTTTCGGTTCTAATATAGGGTCACGAAAGGCGTCGTCAAGCAGGAGAGTGAAAGAGTCAAAGGATTGTCAGGCAAAGGAATTCAATTGAAGTTTTGAAGTCAAAGAATAAGACGCGCTCCCACCCCTCCACTGGCACCCTCAAACCTTTTAACTTCTACCACCAGCTTACCGGTCACCGCTATCCTACCACCACCATGGCGTTCCCCATAACCTAGCGCAGGCGGAAACTACCATGGCCGAATCGAATTATGGAGATGTCCTTTGTCAGAGAGTGTCCATATCCAATCAGAAGGGATACAAAGGTCAGCGTCAGGACTTTGACCGAATAATGGGGCCAAAGGAAGTTCTGGCTTCCAAAGCAGACGCGGCGAGATGCACCTTGCTTGAACAAATCCAACGATGGTGATTGGAGGAGCGGCTTATGCTGACCATTGGATCGATGGTGATTGGACCGATGGAGAGATCGACGAGGGTGGGGTCCACCACGATGCGTTCGAGATTGAATTTGGGTTGATGTCATTGGGGGAGATCGGGAAGATGGAGACTGAAAACTGAAAAAAAAAGCGGAACTCCGTAGGGCGGAGCTTAACTAGAGTCGACTAGGCTATTCCCGAGCTCTTGGCATTACTCACGCTTGATACATAGTCCAGTTTTGCTGAAGCAATTGCTTCTCGAGGTGATTGCCCGATTCATTATCTCCGAGAGGCCAGATTCATGTCACTCCAGTAAGCAGCCCGTAAATGGGCCCTGTTTCCCGGTCGGAGCCGACAGCCAGGGCGTGAGATTCGTTACACAGCAGGTCTCGGCCGAAATTAACAGTTTAGGACAGAAGCTGTATAGAGCGGATACCCGCTCTAGTCAGGATCGTGGGTCCTGATTTGGGGCCTAAAATCCTCAGTCTTTGGAAATCTCTACAATGCGAAATATTCTGCAGTAGCTACTGATATCTTTCTTAATGGTCCCAGCGTGGATTTTTCGCAATCCTAAGCGCCATCCCTACGCCGGTGGTTTGGTGGGTCTATACCACCATCTTCTCCTTACGCCTGCTACTGGAAAAGCAAGATAACAGACCCCTGCATGGCACTTATATAAAGGAAGCTATACAGGTCTAAGAATGTTGATTAAGGGATTTGCCCCATCCAAGCCATCCATCGTACCTATTCCCTTTGTGTTCCTATTTTACAGTCCGTGAGCTACAACCCCGCAACCGTATACACAGCTGGAAGCCAACTGGTAGCCTTGTTTCTATTCCCGATGATGGTTGAAATGATGAACCTGTAGCTGCAAAATCCTGATCGGATGAGGTGCCGTCGGTAAGTTTCCTGGCGAGACGCGAGGGTTACATGTGTGAAGAGTTTCGATAATCATATACGAGAGTTGAAAGTCTACTATCGTTTGGCTGGTGGGCATCATATTCACAGCGAAAGACACAAATATCTATAGGCTTTAAATTCTGAAACCTGATTTTTTGTCTTTCTTTTCATGGCTGCTTTTGTTTGACAGAGCGCCACTCGATCAATAGGCTACCCACAAGCGTCGTACAAGCTAAAGCGACGGGGAGATACCAAGTGAGCGTCAAGCCCCGATCAATACCTCTCAACACATCAGCCCGTTGCTGAGCAGAAACCCCGTTCAAAATATCGCCAAGTCCATGTTGTTCGATATACGCAGGGGACAACCCAGGTATTACATTTCTCAAACTTGACGATAATTCATTGGTGAATATCACCTGTGCAATAGCAATGAACACGGCCGGACCCATGCTTTGACCGAACAAGATAACCCCGATCCCAAGGTTGATGTCTGCGGAATCTAAAGTTGTTTGCATAGCCGCTTGGGGACCTTGAAAGCCGATGCCTCCACTGAAGCCTACAAATCCCGAAAATAATATGATCTTTGCTAGAGACGAGTGCAGATCGTACGTTGTCATCAAGCCCGCCGCAATAGGCATGCACACGGAAGCGAAGATCATGAATGGGGCGTAGTAGCCGAATGTCGTGGTGCCAATACCCTGAAGGAAGAGGCCGAGCATCATTCCAACGAGAATGGGGATCATTAGGTAGCCGCTCTCGCTTGGAGTCTAATATTTTGCATGTTGTCAACGAGTGTACTGTGTTCAACCACTGCCAAGAAATCATACATGAGATCGAACGACCTGATAGTACGTTGGTAAATACCACTCCAAAACGTTCGTCATCGAATTGGTGCACGTTGTGAAGACGAAACCAGCAATGACATTCCTGTTCTTAACAATGCGGAAAGGAAGTGCTGCCGAGTCTCCACGTCGGTATTGATTGAGGGCAAAAGCGACGAAAAGGACAGCAAAAACAACGAACAATGCAATTACTTGTGCGTCTGACCAAGGGTATTTGGTTCCAGCCCATGATAGGGCAAGGAAGAGTGCTGTCAAAGAAGGGATAAATAAGAAATTGCTGAGCAGATCGATCTCTCTGATCTTTTGAGCAAACGTGAGTTCATCCTCTTCCCTGACTCTTGGATCTGAGAAAAGCAAAAGCAGAGTCGCCAGCGATAATACACCAAGAGGGAGGTTGATCCTGCAAAAGGAAAGTTCAGTTATAAGCTTCCTTGATCATGGCTATAACGAGACTGGCCTACCAGAAGCACCATCTCCATCCTAAAGATTGCGTCAATGCCCCTCCTACTATGGGCGCCGAAATGATTGCAAGCGATTCCACACACGCCATTAGACCCGCAAACACTGGCCGCTTGTTGAGCGGTAGAATATGCGTTATGACGGCAAAACATCCAGCCAACCCTCCCGAGAATCCTAGACCCGTAACCGCTCTCCCTGCAATGAACATAGTCGATGAAGCAGCGGTGGCACAGAGCAAGGAGCCGATGAGGAAGATGACATTGGTCAACAAGAAGATTATCTTGATGGAGAAATGTTTATACAGCTTCGCAAACCCAAATTGGAACGCGCAGGTACAGAGTCGAAATGCAGATGAGTACCATCCCACATCAGCAACAGTATGGAAGTGGTTGGTGATGCTCGGCACCGCTGTAGCGACAATATTGGCATCTAGGCCTCCTGAGATCATGACAACACATATTGCAAGGACGGTGCACCAGAATTTAGAGCCTGTTGGATATTGGGATTCTGTAGAAGGGTCAGGTTGCATGTTAAGGGGCTCGTTTATTGGTTTCGAGGTTGCCGTCTCATCTGATGGTTGCTCTTGCTGGCTCTGCGAGCTAGAAAAAACGGCATGAGTTTCGTGCTGGCTAGAAGGCCCATCTGTCCTTGTCATAGTCTCCATTGGTACGGGATCTGTATGAATAGATGAGAAGGATGATGAGGGAGGAGACATCGGACGGCCGCTTTCTCGGCCGCTTCGCCGGCAAAGTGGGGGTTAGTCGGTAAATCCTCTAAGCTTTAGCGTAACCCCTTTGTACTGTATAGGTATCTCGTGAGGTCTTTCTTCTTCGGTCCTCGGCCAAGGCTAAAGTATGAACATGTACCTAGTTGCAAAAGTCTGCTCGTGATGGGATGCTGTTGATAAATTTCTTTGTGAGATGCGGGGTTCCACAGTATATATCTGACAAGCCTCGGCACTCCACTCCTCTCCTCTGTGATGGTTGCTGAAGAATGGAAGGGGGTATATTGTGTTTTTAACATCGCTGAGCATATCTATTACAGCCAAGTGTATCTGTTTGCGGCTACAAATAGACTAACGTCCCTCAGCACGCTCGACCAAAGAATCCTCTAGACCCATTGGTTCCCAGACATCCTTGGCTTTCTTGTTTTGTACCCATACAACCTCGCCATGTAGGTATGCCACCACGCCACCTTTGCCTGTTGCGCTGGCCGTGATGCGGAAAAGAGGGTACCCATTCTTTGGGTGTGCTTCGCGCAAAGGAAGGATAATAAGACCTTGTTCCAAACACCAGTTCTCGACAATATCCTTGAATGCAATTTCTTCCACGATTCCAGGCTTGGCTTGGGGCACGGGAGCTGCTTTGCTTGCGGCTGCTACTGCCTCCGCCACAGCATCGTCCCGAGTAGGAAGTGCGGTCCGGCCAGTTGTAGCTGGGCGTGGAAGTTCTGCAGCAGCGCGATCTCCAAGTTCAGCAGCGAGGTTCATGGTATGTAGACCCTTGTTCCATTCGTCCTGGACAATGGCCAGTTCATTGACCTCCTTCGGAATCTGAGCTTGCCACCAGGTGAACCAGGTAGCGACTTCTTCATAATTTGGATCGTTGGTGAGCCAGATATAAAGGATTTCATGCCACTTGGGGAAAAAGTCGGAGACTAGTAACAGACCCATCACGTTGGGTTTGAAGAAATCTTTCCAGCGCAGCACATCCTCGAGTGCAGTCAAATCTTGCTCCTGAGGATTCACAGTGAAGTCTTCACGTAGATGACGAGCTAGACGGGGTAACAAGTGATTGCGCAGGCAGACGTCAAATTCGCTGCCGAGAGCGTCCCGCCAAAGCTCAATGCCATTAATGAGACCCCGACGCAGGCTCCACGAGTCTAGAACAACGCGGAATTTCCTCTTTGTATCCGACATCAACCCCGTGGGCTGCTTGGGGTTAGTATGCCGTTCACCCAGGTACTGTAGCCATGTGAACAACCACCAGGGAAACTTCCCATCCTGCTGAGATGGATGACGTCGGCTGCTTCGGGGTTTCCACTTTTTCAAAGCTCCGCTAAGCTTTGGAACAACCACTTGGTCAATAAGGTTGGCGTACACGAAAGCTGGAACGATAGGCTTCCAAGCAACTATTAGCGAGGTTGCAACATTCGGATCGTAAACGTCCCAGTCGTTGAGAAGCGCGGAGCGCACTCGTGGTAGCCACAGGGTGTATATCATCGTTTCATAGGGAGATGTAGATGATCGTTGTTGGACTCCATTCTCAATTTGGTGGGAAAGAATAGGTTGGAGGCGGGCGAGGTTGGACACAAGGAAATTTGGGTCTTGAAGAGGTTCCCATTCTTCCATGGCCTGCCGGAAGAGTGGATGTATGGCCGCGACGACCGTTTCTGCTAGTTTGTATTCGTCACCGATGTCCCGATACTTGGACTCCATGGCTTCGACTTTTTCGGTCATCTCATTGAACTTGGACGCAGTGCTTTCCTCGTGCTCGAAGATATCCAGCTCTTCCACGGCAGCGATAAGCCCAGTAAGATGATTTAGTCGAGCTTGATATGCATCCAACTCGTCGACCACCTGGGCCTCTTCTAGCTCAATGAACTTCTTCCTCTCGGTCAATCCTTTCCATTCATCTGCAAAGGCCTCAAGGTCGGTCCGAGCACGTCGCGCGATCTTCATCGCCTCTCCTTCACCCTGGCTGACAAAATCTTGTGATGCCATCAAGCCAGCCGTTGAAGTCAAAACCCGTTGTTCCTTTCCGGTAGCATCGATGAGTGACTTGAGCACATTTGGTACTTCGAGACCTTCCATAGCATCTTCGATTTCTCGTGCGGTTCGGAATTTGGGCTTGGGTCGGGGCACCGGCGTGCCAGTGCCGCTGCGGCTCTCTGTCTTGCGCTCCTGCTTCTTCTTTCGTCGTCGCCGTTTCTCTTCATCAGAGCTGTCTTCGATCGACTCGCCGCGGCGCGCGGCCTCTCGTTTCTCTTCATCGCGTGCCTGCTTGGTCTTCTCCCGCACAGCACCGAGACCCGCGCCCTGTGGTCGCGCCTGAGCTTCGATCGGGTTGACAATACCCTGGCCGCTAGAACCCAGTCCTTGTCCCTCCACGTAGCCCATCTTGGCCATCATGCGCGCGGCGAACGAATTTCCTCCCGAGCCTTGTGCTCCACGGGAGGCACCGCCGCCTCGAGGGGGTGCTGCGGTCGCTGCGTTGGCCATATTGTTCCAAGGATTGCGGGCAGCGCTACCCAAGCCACCCATCGTGGGAGGTGATTCGGAGCGCTCGCGGGCTCTGGCGAAGCCACGGAAACCGGTGGTTGGGCGCGTCTCTTCTTCGTCTGATGAACTCATATCATCGACCTTGCGCTTTTGGCCAGCATAGGACGAGGGAGATTCCATGGTGTTCACACTGTCACCACGACCTCGAGTCCCTGTCCAAAAAAGTCTCCCCTTCGTAGCTTACAAGCTTCAACTTGCGACGAGTAAAGCTCAGTGAAATTCACGTGGGGATATCGGCGCGGAACAACCCGCATCCGGGCGGACGAAAACAAGATGACGTTAAGCTCGGTTACTTCATAGCTCCGAGTTCCTTTTCTCCTTCTTTCTCCTTTGCTAGGTTTAATTGATATTCCTTTCTTCTTGGATCCAGCTCCAACGCTAAAAACCATATACTCACAATGGCCGCTCTCCTCTCCACCTCTGCCCGCGTCGCCCTGCGCTCTGGAGCTTCGGCTTCCTTCAAGGCCGGAGCTGCGGGTTTGACTTTCGCCCGCGGCAAGGCCACTCTTCCTGACTTGTCCTGTAAGCGATGGCGTCTCGGTGGCTTCGGGATTTCACTGTTCGAATACAATTTACAAGATTCTTCTTGACTAATCGCAACTACAGACGACTATGGCGCCCTTGAGCCCTCCATTTCTGGAAAGATCATGGAGATCCACCACAAGAACCACCACAACACCTATGTCACCAACTACAACAACGCCATTGAGCAGCTCCAGGAGGCCCAGGCCAAAGGTGACATCTCTGCCCAGATTGCCCTGAAGCCCGCGATCAACTTCAACGGTGGTGGTCACCTGAACCACTCCCTCTTCTGGGAGAATCTGGCTCCCAAGAGCGCAGGCGGTGGTGAGCCCCCCTCCGGCTCCCTCAGCCAGGCCATCGACAGCACCTACGGTAGCTTCGATGAGTTCAAGAACAAGTTCAACACCGCGTTGGCCGGCATTCAGGGCAGCGGCTGGGCCTGGCTCGTCAAGGACACGCAGACCGGCCAGATTGGTATCCGCACCTACGCCAACCAGGATCCCGTTGTTGGCCAGTTCCAGCCCCTTCTCGGTGTTGACGCCTGGGAGCACGCCTACTAGTAAGTGCATCGACGATAGTGTTGGGATGCGACCCCTGCTGACCCGCTTTTAGCCTCCAATACCAGAACCGCAAGGTCGAGTACTTCAAGGCCATCTGGGAGGTCATCAACTGGAAGGCTGTTGAGAAGCGCTTCTCTTAAATGGCTTCTCGTACACTGACGTATCAAAACCACCACTTGAGAGTACCACTGTGTGTTAACGTGCCAATCTGAATTCAGACATCTACCATGTATCATAAATTTACATAGCTATCTAAAATTAATGATGGTAGCCTGGCCACTAAAGTGCTGAAAATACCAAACATGTATATAGTAGAAATGGCATATTTTGGCCCCTAACTCAGCTATGCACATAAGCCTCTTTATCTAAGGCGGAGATCTTCTTTAACCACCTATTTACCAGGAAATTTAACACTAGCATAGTGACTCCTGTCTTGCAAAGCATAATGTCTTCTGAGAACGACTAATCATAAAGCTCATTAGCCAGCTTGAAACTGAAAATGGCCAGTGGATAAAGACAGCGTCGAAGCATGCCAAACGTCTGCACAGGTTACGCCATCTATAAGTACTTATAAGTGGGATTAAGTCAGTTGAAAATGTCCCCTTAGTATAAAAACATTATAAAGTCTTAAAAGTAGATATTAAAATGGCTTATTTTCAAAGAGGCCTCGTCGGAGACGGCTCTTATCTGCACCGTTATATTTTATATCTTTAAGTATCTCGTCGGCGATATTCAAGGGTGAGGTTAATGGCACCACATGAGCGTTACTCGCACTACAAACTAAACCATCTTGGGATTAGCGCCAACGCCCCCCCACCAAAAGGTACACTCGACACTCACATGAATACCGCCAAGTCTTTGCATGTAGTCATTTTCCACTATTAAATAGCCATAATAGCTATCGAATGGCAGGTACACATATAGTCACGTGCTATAAGTAAATACGGATACTATGAGCGACCGGGAAAAAAGGGCTTGCTGTTCTTAGAAATATATGAACATAAAGCGTTGGTGGTATTGGTGTAGGTGTCGAAAGTACCTTGTAGTGGTGACAAAGTGCTTGGGCGGGCACTAACCTCAAAGCGGTTTAGTTTGTAGTTCGAGTGACGTTCATGTAGTGCCATAAACCTCGCCCTAATATTTACAAGTTTTCACTATCCTCACCATCGGTAGTCTAGATACCAGGCTAGCCTTCAGTTTGAGGGTTTGCAGCGCGCTGGAAAGTCCGCGTTGAAACCCTCTGCTCGAACCGTGCATCAAGCTCCTCCACCCCCATTCCTTTCATCTCGGGGATCTCAAAGAAAATTACCACGAGTACAAGGGCCGAGAGCCCAGCAAAGATGAACCCTACCTTGCCTCCCAAATTGCCTTCATCAGTGCTATACATATAAGGCACCACGTACTGAAACACCCAGCTGACAAGGAATTGTAAAGCGAATCCCGTAGCCTGGGTCTTGGCTCGCAAGTGCAGATTCGACGTCTCTGAAGCCACTACTGGATAGACGCTGCCCACGCTTAGACCGTACACGAAGTTGGTCACTACTATGGCGCAGCCCACAAACCTGTTTCCATATAATCATTAGTTCAAAAGCACGAGCGAGTGGGCGAAAAAGACAAGAGGATAGGGGAGAACGGACCAGAAAGCAGTCATATTGTCAAAACAGCCTGCGATACCAATCGCTAGCCATAGAACCGTGATCGCGCTGGTACCCCATAGCAAGATTGTACGGCGTCCTACCCGAGCCATCAAATACCATGAAATGAAGACAGCAGGAACCAGAAGGCACAAAGAGGCGGTCGTCACGTTCAAGGCATTCTGGGCACTCATCCCGCCCAGTTCCAGAAAGTAGGTCGCGTTTTGGATCATGGCTATACCCACGAAACTTTGCAACATGTTGGCATACCAGACGATGCGCGTGCGTCGCCAGTTCGCACCGCGGAAACATTCCTGGAACGTGGGAGCTTCAGCACTTCCTGGGATATCGCGTTCGTGCTCGAGGGCACACGTAAGACTATACACTGCAGGCTGGGCTTCCTCTTTTGACAAGAGACGGGTGTAGGCGGCAGTCGCTTTGGTCAGGTCCCCCTTCTTGACAAAGTAGTGGGGGCTTTCTGGGATGAAGAAAGGAGTAAGAGCAGCGACACCGGTTGGAACTGCTTCGATGGCGAGTAAGAGCTACATCGGCATCGAGTATGGTTAGGATGGGATCTCGAGATAGGCACATGGGAGAGAAAACAGCACTTACACGATAGCCGATCCGGGTAAAAATCATAATGCGAGCGTTGATCCCAGCAACGGCAATGATTTGTCCGCAAACCTAATACTCTATATTAGCACAAATGCTGAATGGGAAGTATATCTCGCTGAGCGCACCATTGAAAGGAGATATGCGCCCAGCAGCGGGCCTTTCAGCTCAGCAGGAGCCACCTCAGAGATATACGTTTGTGATGCCGGAAGCATGAACCCTAGACCACAGCCGATGATGATCTTTCCGAAGAGAAACAGAACTCGCCGGTGTTGGAGCACATCAAGCTCATCGGCAAATGTACAAATCATGCTCCCAGTCACTGCAGTAAGGCCTCCAATCATGACGGCCACCCTACAGCCCCAGCGGTCAGACACCAGACCGGCCAACATGGCTCCGACCACGACACCAACGGCCACCATCGAGGTCCATAGGGAGAGCCATAGAGCGGGAATCACACCAGAGCTGTCACCATATGTCGATCTATGGGCAGTGCATGTTAGACTGAGCGGTTACTCGGGGCATTGGGGGAACATGGGGATGCGTACTGAAATGCGGGCATGGCAGTCATCAGACCGATAATAAGATTATCAAATCCGGTGACGAAAGGACTCAAAGACATGACAACGCAGCATAGAATAACCTTTGGGCTTTGTTTGGCAGCTTCCCAAGGTGAACGCTGCACTTGGTGGCCCTCCTCATATTTCTGCCCAGGTGAGACCTGCTCAAGGTGCTCCAGGCCACCTTGCCCACCCTTGTCGACGTTGTCGGCTTCGCCCATACTGTGGAACTACCGCCAACAGAATTGAACAGAGTGCTATTAGCCACCGATATCGTCTCTAGATTCTTGTCACGGGTGTGAGGAACGGAGTTCAGAAGATGGTTCCGGATAAGTATGCCCACCCTGGGCTGGCTGGGGACTTTAAATAATGAAATAAGCGAAGTTCACAGATCGAATTCAACGCATGATCGATCACGATAATTCAATGACGGCTCAAACGAGAATTTGCGGGGCCATGCCCTCTCGCTTTGTGGGGGAAGGATTCCGGGGCATTATGTGTTTAGGATTTGATGCGTTGAATCCGTGGATGTGGCTTTCCTTCTAAATTTCTCCTCGGCGAAATTGTCATTCTCGTTTTTTATGGGTTTCCCGGAGTTGAAATTCGCCGGACCCGTACCATCAGTGGGTCAAATGGAGTACAGTAGCAGTGACTGGTCTTTGCTGCCGATCTCCGATTTCCCCAAAATATATTCCCTGGGGAAATATTTCAGCCGAAGTGGACCCGGAGCATGTTCTTGGGCTCTACTTATATACCTGGTATAGCGCCAATTACCAACCTTCTCTCGGGAAGAGACCAACAACACAAAAAACTTCAAGATGTCAAACTCAAGTGACACCCCACCCTATCAAAATGCCGGTCTCTCAATTGAGGACCGTGTGAACGATCTTCTCGATCGGATGACGGTAGACGAGAAGGCTGCCCTCCTCTTCCAGGACATGGTCTTTATGGGAAAAGACGGAGCCCTAGCGCCTGCAGTCCCAGCATTCGACATGCCCAGCAGCGTTGATCTCATCCATAAGAAGCAAATGACGCATTTCAATCTCTTGGGCCCTATCAAAGATGCTCGAGCCGCTGCTCGGTGGCATAACAACCTGCAGCGCGAAGCCCGCGAGACGCGACTGGGCATTCCAGTCACAATCTCGACCGATCCGCGTAACCACTTCACCGATAATGTGGGCACCGGGTTCGAGGCGGGTATCTTCTCACAGTGGCCCGAGTCACTCGGATTAGCGGCTTTACGGTCTGCCGAACTCGTCGAAAAGTTCGCCGACATCGCTCGGCAAGAGTATCTGGCGGTCGGGTTGCGAGTGGCCCTGCATCCCCAAGTTGATCTAGCTACGGAGCCTCGCTGGGCGCGCCTGAACGCTGCTTTTGGGGAAGATGCAGACCTGACCTCGGAGTTGGTCGCCGCTTATATTCGTGGCTTCCAAGGGGGAGCTATCTTGGGACCCCAGTCCGTGTCGACGATGACGAAGCATTTCCCTGGGGGTGGACCTCAGAAGGACGGGGAAGACCCGCATTTTACGTACGGCCGTGAACAGGTGTATCCGGGCAACCAGTTCGACTATCATTTGAAGCCGTTCAAGGCCGCGATTGCGGCGGGTGCGGCGCAGATGATGCCTTACTATGGGATGCCGGTCGGCACGTCGTACGAGGAAGTGGGCTTTGCATTCAACAAAGCTCTTATTACGGGGCTGTTGCGCGAAGAGCTAGGATTTCAAGGCATCATCTGTACGGATTGGGGGCTGGTCACCGACAAGGCAATCATGGGTCAGCCGATGCCAGCGAGAGCATGGGGCTTAGAGCATCTGTCTCGACCGGCTCGTATCCAGCGCATCATGGAAGCTGGATGCGATCAGCTTGGCGGCGAGTCGTGCCCAGAGTTACTTAGCGAGCTGGTTACAAGCGGCCAGGTTTCGGAGCAGCGGCTCGACCAGTCGGTTCGTCGTCTCCTACGGGCAAAATTCCAGCTAGGCTTGTTCGATAATCCTTTCGTGGACGAGGACGCAGCCGAGCAAATCGTCGGCAATGAGGAGTTCTGCAAGTTGGGTGCCGAGGTGCAGCGGCGCAGCTATAATTTGTTGACCAACAAAGACAATTGCCTGCCGCTGCCTCACACTCGTCTTCAAACGGCCAAGCTATACCTCGAGGGTATTCCCGCGGAAACCGTGCAAAAGTTTGGTCTCCAGGTTGTGGAAGACCCGGCTGACGCCGACGTTGCTTTGCTACGTCTGAAAACTCCTTATGAACCACGCCCTGGCAGGTTCGAGGCACTGTTTCACACAGGCTCTCTCGAGTTCAGTGAAGAGAAGAAAGCCCATCATACCAAGATTTTCGATGCGGTCCCCATTGTCATTGTGGACATTCAGGCCGACCGTCCTCCAGTGGTACCTGAGATCATTGAGCGGGCTTCTGCGGTCTTTTTGTCCTATGGAAGCCATGCTGACGCCTTCCTGGATGTTGTTCTTGGGAAGTTTGAGCCAGAGGGTAGATTGCCTTATGATCTCCCTTCGTCCATGGAAGCAGTTCAGCAGTCGAGATCGGATACTCCTTATGATACTCGCGACCCTTTGTTCCGATTTGGTCACGGCCTTCGGTATAGTGCTTGACCTTACCTCTTCTGCTGAGACCCGATAGTGGTTTTAATAACGTCGCTATGAATATCGACTAGAGGCCGAGTGGCAAACGAGATAGGCACGACATACCATTCGCACAATTTAGGCATTAAGATAGACTTTTTAAAATATTTCCTCGTCATTCAATGACAGGCACGCTGCTATCATTACCCTTTCCATCTTCAATCTTAGCACTTCCGACTGATGATAAATCCCTTCACTTTCTATGATATGTTAAAATGGTGTCATGTCACCAATCCCAAGTCCTTGAAATTCAATATCATTGCACCAATTCAAATCATCCAAGACTTCCTCCTTCTCATGCCAGGCATCATTGTACGCTGCGCTGAGAGTCAATCTTCCTTTCCAGGTGTCCAAGAATAACCCAAGTCCAGTTCCCAGCTCCTCACCGGTGCCCCAAGGATTATCGAAACTGAAACTACCGTACTTATGACGAATGACCTTGTCTCGCACGCCCATACTGGAATAAGATGCTGAAGGAGTCTCATTCCGTGCTAGGATTGCAGGAGTATCGGGCCCAGGATAAGGTGAGATGGACATCGCCCAGAAAGCTAGAATGAGCTTCATATAATCCTCATCAACAAGGCAGTAGCTGATGTATCGTACCATGCGCTCGCTTTCTTGGCGTTCCTGGAAGTCCCTAACAGGCAGCGCAATTGCGGCATTCGGGACGCTTCCCCGCAACAGGGTGGATTCACCCGAAGTTCAGCCGGTCGACGCTGATAGGAGGAGGTTCATGGGCTAATTGATCAGGTGGGGAGCAATATGTGATGTTGGCAACTCCTCCAAATTGGGCACGGAGGTTGTTGTCACGTCTTTACTTCCTAGATACTAGTCGCCTGCTGAAACGCTTGAAGCAGTGCGAGACTACGGGATATTTTGCCGACCAAGGCCCCATCTTACAAAGATTGGAAAGGAGAACAAACGAGAGAAAACTACATAGAATACATGAGATTAGATACACACTTTGACTTGAATAGGGTAGCTTGATTGGTATCTCCTGTTGTCATAGTTCATGCTACTACAGTCGAGTTCCATAAGCTTGATTAGATGCAGACTCAATCAATGGGCAGTTTTATCTACCTAAAAGAACCTTCAGCCTCAATGCCGTTCCAATTACCGACCCTGCGCCTGTCTGCCACCACCCTCGCTGATCGGCTGCGAAGCGCGTGACACAATCAAAGACAAACACTTCCAACTGTGTCGTATCCACAAACCGGTGATACGAATCTTGAATACTCTGAGAATGTTGCTTGAAGAACTCTTCTGCTGCCACGCGCGACTCGAAGACAAATTCCTCGTACCCTCCCCGGGTCACCGCAATTCGAGGATCGAATTGCGTCTGGTCGAATATCTGCTCTAGTCGAAGTGAGGAGACATTTAAGCTCCGATGGCGGACGTACCCCGCACTTATCGAGCGTATACAAGTCGCATGCTCATCCCACCGTTTCTCAAAATCGGTTTCAGTGTCGGCGGCGTCAACGGGGCTGGGCTGAATTGGGACGATCAAACGGATCGTGCTCCCCTCACTACTGCCACGATCTTTCGCAATTTGCCCTATTCCACCGTTTCCCAATGGCTCGGTCAGAAATATCCGAAATGGCTCTGCAAAGATATGCTCTCCAGCTGACCGACGGTAATCCTCCGTTGAAAAGGATCCCTGCATGACCTCCAGACTGGGCCAGGTCAATCGGGCGAAGGCTTGGTAGTCGGGTGCTTCTTCCATGGGGGAGAGAGCGGATTGCTCTAGTCTCGATTGATCGAGGGTTGATAGAACTAGACCTTGCTCATACTGGTGGATAATGCCCATGTTCTGGGCGATAGCCGTGGTCTTCTCAGAGTGGACGACCTGGAATTCATGGCGGAATTGAGCGTTTGTCAAGGTGGGTAACTTTCGGGATAGAATGGTGAGGTGCATGTTGGATTTCACTGGTGATGAAGGTAGTCTTTCGTTCTATCTCGTGTTAAAGATAGGATATAGCGACATGGAAACAACGATGTGAACTAACGATGTGGCCAGCCGAACCGAGGGGCAACTGGCGACCAGCAAAGGGCTGGCAATGGAACTCGGCGAAACTCCGTCCTGCTCGATAATTCCTCCGAGTGGACATCAGAGGTCCGCCACTTTGCCACTTTGTCCGGTCCTCTTCGTAAAGTAGCTAGATAATCTCCTCGGGGAAATTCTATCATTCAGATCACAATGAGTTCGCGAGCATGCGATGCCTGCAGAAGTCGCAAGGTCCGAGTGAGTACCCGCGACCGGCCCTTCGCCTGTTCATCGTCAACCTCTAACCCGGTTTTGTTCTTCCCCGCAAGTGTGACGGCGTCCCTGCTTCTCCGGAAAACAACCCCTGCTTTCACTGCCGCACATCTGGATCGGTATGTCAATATGAACATACGCCGAAGAAGCGCGGGCCCAAGTCCAAGCGTTCAGTGGCCAGTAGTCGCGCCCGACGAATGAGGCCACCACCACTGGGCGATCATGATGATGCGTCAGTGCTATCAACATCAGCCTCGCCCATATCTTTGGCTGATACTCCTGCCTATGAGAGGCAGGTTGTAACCCGGGGGCCAAGATCACCGCCCAACGCCAATGACTCTGTGCCCTTATCCTCCGGCGCAACGGACCTCAATCACAAGATCGAGAATATCCATCAAGACCTTGTAAGGTCCATATCCGGGATTCCCGACAGCTATTGGTCACTAGATGCAATTGTCGAACGGTGTGCCTTGATATACATGGATGTTCTTTTTGGCATCCGTCCCGTCGTGAGCGAGGCCCGAATTAGAGCGAACATCTGCCTCAAGCCTCCACGTTTGGGCGCGAATTTAGGCGTTCTCAGTTGTTCTTCCCGGCCGTTGATTTCTTCTGCAAAACCGGAAGACTTAGAGGAAATTCGATCATATACCCTCGTCACTGCCCTCTGTGCAGCGACCGCATACATGCTATCAACCGAGAACGACCCCAAAGGAGCCGTGGTCGGACCAATCTTTCTACGCGCTTCCCATGAGATGCTGCACATTTACGAAGATCTGGATGTGGAATACCCAGATTCCACATCCCTCATCATCCGCGCGTTCCAAGCAGGCGCTCTACATACAGACGGCAAACTACGCCTCTCGTGGCATCTCTTCAGTGCCGCACTCCGGCTCGGCGAACAGATGCAGCTGCAGGATCCGCGCTCTTTTCAAGGTCTAGACCCTCTCGAAGCTCGTCTTCGCGTAATGACTTTTCGGATCATCCGCATTTCCGCAAGATACCACCGAATGCTTGAGAACCATCCCCTGGGAATATGCGATCCTGCCTGGTCAGCACTTCCGTACTTAGATGCCGGACCAGAGACCACACTGATGGTGAACCCATCGCCACGGAATTTTCCACAAGGATATGAATCACAACTTTTAATAGCCTTCAATCTATTTGAGGAGCTCTGGGTAGCGGCATCTGACATTCTAACGGACCTCGAGTGTTTCGTCCGGCTGGGCCTACGCGGTGCACCTATAATCGCCACGCTGGCAGAGTCACTTCAGAACCACTTTCTTGATCCTTATTCATCATTCATTGGTCTGCTAGATCATTTACCTCCGTTTCTGCACTCACCCGATTCGGTCAAGCACCCAGATCAAGCCATCACCGAGATCATGCGCCGTCAGTTCTGGGTCCAGCGCGCTAATCTGTTCGTCAGCTATCACTGCCTACGCATGCTGATCCTAAATCGGTTCGCGCAGCACGGGCTCGCGACGATGATCGGCGTGCAGAGCACGAAAACTATGATCGCGTTGCGAAAAACCGAGATTGCGCATGACATGAATGTCTTTGTAATAAATGTGCCGATTGATTCGTTGCTTGTGAATGGAGAAGCATGTGTAAGTTGCGTTCATCTCTCGCAAGACCAAGGACTCTGCCCTCTTGAGGTTTCCATTTGCTTTTCTTCTAGTGAAACACAGTTCTCCGCATCTACAAATGACTTACTGTGAACACAGGTCACTAAAATTCGTTACATGGGTGCCACGCTTCTCGAAGTGATCCATCAGGTTCAAGCTCCGCAGGTTGTCAAGCGAGCCAACTCGTTATTTTCCTCCTTGTTGGATGTTTTAACAAAATTGGACTCCCGGGCGTCTGATGAACTCGTCAGCGAGGGTCACGCAGTGACTGCGCCTATTTTCTAATTTTCCGGGATGTGGACAGCGTCAGGCAAATAGTGTCAAGAGGAAAGTGGTTATTTTCGAAACCATGAGAACTCCCATACTAGGTAGCCATCGAGTAGGAAGATCCTCGTGTTGCACTCCTGCTACATGCCAGTGAGAGGAAGGAAGACAGTACAATCATTGATAGCCTTGTCAGTATGGAATGTACAACATTATTACTAGTGTCGGCCCCAAGCGCTACTTTTAAAGTACCAGTAGTGTACTAGGTCTTGCATGGTCGAATATAGCTGATGCGATGCTAATTTAATGATCCGGGGAAAACTCAACGGAAAAGCGTGAGTATTGGATATGAGAGAGAAGGACGAAATAATTATCGATGTCTTTAGTATGACTCGAGATAAACTGCCCGAGTAACTTGAACAGTGCAAATAATATCTCTGTTCACGAAATAAAAATCATAAGTGCAAAACAGGCCGTCAATCCTTATGTGAACGCTTTTTAGGTTGGACTCAAGCTACAACGATAGAGTCTCGTGTAAGACCATGAATCGCATTAAGTTTTGTAGAAGATGTGAGCACTATTCGTATTAAATTTCATCACGGTCAAAGAGCGATCTGCGCTGCACAGATAGCATCTGGTGCCTGATCCCCCAGGAAAGGTGGCAGCATTGGAACGTCTTTGCGTAACTTCTCAGCGAAGCGATAGCACCACTCTGATTTATCTCGCCCCTATTGATGAGAAACATAAAAATACTGCTAATCGGGCGCGATGGGTGAAATTCGCTATCCTATTATACAACCACGATATCGAGACTGGCGACTTTCTACTCGATGCTTATATGCCGACGGAGGCGATCCTTAACCTGGAAACCACTACCGATCCTTAGTAGAGAATTATCTACCCTAGGCGGGTCTTAAGACCCTTAAATTTCGGTTCTATATCTCTTATATAGACTAGCACGGTGCTTGTAGATACCGAAATCCACCGTAAGTATTCTAAGACCTATTATATCAGACTAACAAACTAAACATATCAGACTGACAAACTAATGAATAATAAAAGACTTAATGTAGACCTACCGATCATCAATATCCTCTCTCAAGCTAAGGATAACCGACTTACAAACTTAATGGTCATATATGACCGAGAGCAGTGGACAAATGATGTTGAGCTTTATGCCCCGGGCTACTTAGCTCTCGAGGTCGAAGGACGCGGAGGAGAGCACCCCCTAGCCAGTCTTACTGTACCAGCCTCTATCTTGTCAATTTAGAAGTAGGTTATGATCAAGGTGCAGGGCCCCAGTTTCACACACCCCTACTTCTCATTATTCCTCTGGATCGATTTCCGTGAAGCTACTACATAGGTTTAAGTCAAAAGATTCGTGATCATACTTTCTAAGATTAGGATTACATGATCCTAATTGAATGTGTTGTGGACTAATATCGATGAGGCCTTCGTTGAATTTACCTAGTCTTTCAATATACCTCTGAGAATGTGACTTATCTGTTTCTGACCGCTGGCCCACAATCGGCCGCTCCTGAACGAGGGGTGAATCAAGGCACAGGTTCAACTGTAAATGATCCCTTGACTGGATAGAAATTCAAGCATTTGGCGGGCTTTAAAACGAAGTCATAGTCGAACAAAGATTCAACGAGCTTACATAGAAGGGCCAATGTTCAATTGCACGGATCGAGCAAGGAGCAGTGGAAGATCAAAGGAATTTGTGGCTGTCACCAGCAATCGTTCGATTATTGATGAGCTTCATAGCTTATTACCCATGCTGCCTGTCAATCCTCGTGGTACTGGGATGATCCACGAGGGTACCCAAGGGGATGGCGACAACCCGGCCTACCGTGTCATAAATCGTACCAATACGCCCCTGATTGTGCAGATCTGCAGTATCGGTTCTCGCGGACGGCTCTCGGTGACCCTTGAATAGTGCGTTGCACCGCTATCTTTTCAGCCCTGTTCCACACTATCGATAGTAACCCTAATATATAGACAGCACGCAGTACGTGGCTTCTGTGGACGTACGAGCCAGTGGAATCACTCGATAGGCGAGTCGTTCCTGGTCCCAAGCCAGAAATAATGCTTGTCCACACTAAGATGCAGCTCAGCCCCATTGCTCACCCCTGTTTAATCAGCTAATGCCCGGGGGGGAACGGCTGTCGGCATTCGAAACACGACTTGATTGACCAGAGCTGAGGAAATGATCGAAAGGAGACATCAAATCATTGTACGGGCCGGCATAGTCGGGATCAAGTGTCTACTGCAGTGGCTCCAGAGGGCCCAGGGCCGGGCGAGCGGGGCCGCTAGTCGAAGAGGACGGATGATGAGTGGCTGGTGCGTGTATGTACGTAGAATGCCTTCGCTTCGAGTGGGGAGACCCCGGCCAAATAGCGTTCTGTCTTGTGGGGGCAACATCTCGATTACCCAAATAGGTAGGTATCGGCACTGCACTGACGTCTTCCCAGGCTGCAGAGATAAAGGTTCAGGACTTTCGTATTGGGGATCCGAACCTTAAGTGTCGATCTTCGGAGTGGAACAGTGGGCACTACGTGTAGCTTGGTAAATAAAAAACAATACAATCGAATCAATCACCATGTATGTTTTTTAGGTCAAGGTCGGTGCAAAGGCTGAATTCAAGTGCTCGAAGTCGGGACTGTTGTGAACACAACCGCAATTGAACTTCAATAAGTCAGTAGCCCGTTCGTGGGAGCTATGTGCTCGCATAGTGACTGGCAAACGCCAACGCTAAGAATAATCCCGAAGCGAGAACCACGGCGATCTGGGTGGTTGAGGTGGGGGCGACACTAAGCCCAAATAGTAGAAAGGGCGTGAAGCCGACCTGCATCTTCCTGATGAAACATCATGCAAGCAGTAGAACGGCGGCCAGCCCCCATGTAGATCCAGTTTAGTCGGTCAATTCAGAGGTGTAACTCTGAGTATATATGTACCTCTGGCATCTGCCTGCCGCATAATCTTTTCTTTATTTTCCAGATCGGTATCTCAACTTCGTTTGAGCTTGCAAGTATAGAGTGTTTTTTATACCCCAGTCCGAACGCAATGGGTGGAAGACCTTGGCAATCAAAAGGCTGCCGTGCCTGTAGACGGCGCAAAATCAGGGTCCGTCAACGAGACATAAACCAACCTTTCATTCGAAGTTTTTGCTGATAGCTCAGGGAACAGTGTGATGGACAGCAGCCAGCATGTGGAAGGTGCATTAAGCGTGGCATTGAGTGCCCTGGATATCAAAAGACCCACATCTTCAACGTCCACCAGGAGACATTTCGGCAAGGAAAAAAGATGTCACCACACGAGTTGATCCGTCACAATAACCAGGAAATGGATTCATTGATACTCCGTCGCCCGTCACGTGCGGTTACACCTATAATAGCTATTGATGCTGCTTCAATAAACCGAGATCAGATCCTCTCTCTATTTCTCGATAACTATTTTCCAGCCTTTCACTCTGAATCGCCCCACGGAGTTGAACTTTGGCATTCTCTTTTTGAGGGCTTCTTCATGCTTCCCAAGAAGACTCATATGCTGGACACGGCTATCACTGCTATTTCATGCGTCTATCTCGGGAAGATCAAGAATGACGGTCGGGTCTTCGGGCACGGTCTGCAATTATACAATCGAGCCATTCAGGACATGTCGAGCATGATATGCCAGAATATCCATACGGATGATATTATATACACTTCGGTCATCTTTCAGGAAATCGAGGTAATAATCCGCTCTAAAAGGAAACCCCCCGTCGAGAATTATGCGCTGATTTGCCTTCGGGTCTACCGTACAGAACTGCCACTGTCCACAGGGCTTTCAGACATGGCTGGCCCACATAGCAGGAACGAATGCAATCATGAAGCATTATCAATACATAAAATCAAGGAATCCGATTGTCGATGCTATCTATGACCAGTGGCAGAAGTTTCGAATAGTACGTTTTCAAGCTTTACAGCTACTGACATTGCTGAACTGTCATTCTGACTGGGACTCATTCATTCAGATCTGTTTAACAATGGGCAGGGGCTTAAGTGAAGAAGAATACAGATACTGTTGCGAGCCAAGCGAGGGCAGGCCCTTGGTGGAAATAATCAACATATTCGTGGAGTTCACTCCTCTCGGTGCAGACATCGAGTCGGTCGATCAATCTAATCAGGAAGCATGTGAAAAGCTTCTTAGCGCATGCCTCGCACAGAAACAAAGCGTTTTGGAATGGTACGCGCGACGAAAAAAGACATTTGGTGGGGGCCCACTCGTTTTGACCGACGAATTGCTCCGCTGCATCGACATAGAGCCGGTAGATGTCACATTCGGAAAGCCGTACAGCTTTGCCTCGCTTGATGATGCCCTACTACACGTTCTTTACTGTATGGCGATGGCCATGGTTTCGCCTATGGTCGCTCGAGCGCGGACCTTGGTTCAATCGCTGCGGCAAGGCGACCAGCGTGTTAATGACCACACGATCGATGAAGAGTATTCCACGATGCAGATCTATGCAGATCAGATCATCAGGTCGGTTCCATTCTTTGTTCAGGAAAAACATAAGCTACTGGGCCCTCATATGGTGATGTTCGGAGTTGTGACGGCTTGTAAAGCCTACATTAAACTCGGAATGTTCGAAAAGTTCGACTGGTGCCAGAAGACTTTAGGCAGCTTTGGAGACCGGGGCTTCGAATCATGCCACAACTATCGCCAGGATGCATGGTGTCATTGGAATTCGGGGAATTCACACACTGCGAATCCATTTCGTCCAATGTCTGTCAGAGGGGACGAGTTGATGTCTGTATCTCCGTCTCTTTCTTCAGAGGATCAGCCCAGTGACACATCCGATTGCGGGCAATGTCCTTCTTCGAGCTGTGTTGAATGGAAATATATAGGGAAAGAAGCTGGGAGTTTCATGCTGGAGCCTTCGCTGCTCGATGATCCCTGGCAAGAATGGGCTATGTGCTGTGTGTCTACCCAATAACTAAATATATATCTATGAACGTCTCTGCATAAGCCAAGCCTCAAGGAGTTCTGGTCGTGGTATTAGTGGTATTTCTCGAATCTTTCAACCACCTCCTGTCGAATTCAACAAATAAAAAATCATCGTGCTCTCCAAATCGAGTCAGGTCTGGTCAGCCTTGCCGACAGACGCAGAGATAAGGCATATTTTCTCTCCTCATACCTCCGAATAAGAGATTCAACTAATATAGGAAACATTAAGCGACACCGTTAGCCTCGAAAGCCAGAACCGACTCTTAAAATTTTCATTCGATTGATCTGCTAATCTCTTTGAAAATAGTCGATAAATTTCATATAGCTATTCTCTTGAAGGAGGTCTACCTAAGCCCTACATGATGACAAGGATTTTGACCTGTCATCGGAGTAATCCCTTATACATTCGCAATCAGTGTGTCATCACGGGCTACAATCCCAGTATGTCATAATTACTTCGTGTTGGCCAGTACTGGGCTCTTTCCTGGGCTATAAACTGTGAATCTTGTGCGCGAAACCGGATCGGAGATTTACAGCAGTGTTTGAGGATCTTATAGTTTCGTTCTGCTTGGGGGTCTCGTTCACTCCAACGCTTCCCCTGATCACCAGGATCCTAAAGGGGAAGGTCCAATTCGAGATGGTCGTGAGAGGTCCCCGGGACACGCTCTGAAATGGCCTAGCATTCGCTGAGAACTTGTCAATCACAAATGCGAGCCCTCTCTATCTTTGGTCCATTTACTTGATGATTGTGCCACAATCTCACCATGATGAGGGATGTTGTTTTTGCTTATTCCATACACCAAGCTCCAGCCACACGCTGTGGCCCCACAGCGGGTCGAGTTTAGCGTATGTAAGCGCGTCACCGAAACGATCCCGCGGAACGGGTCCTTCGGGAGAGCTTCAAAAGTGAACCTGGACGTCGAAACCACCTCTTCCCTCTACCCATCCTCCGAAGCCGTTGTCCACAATGTCCGCCGAAAGTCCTGGCCACAAGCCAGGTATCCGGTCATTCTTCTCCAATGCCTTGCGATCGAAGAAATCGCGCCAAACCCTCCGCAAGAATAGCCTGAGCCGTTCGATGACCGACCTGCGGCAAGCCGCGCAACCCAGCGCTGATGAGCCCCCGCCGCCAATGCCCGACTTGGCACCTTTGCAGGCCCACCGGCTGAAGTATATGCAAGCACATGCACAGCTGGACTCGCAATTGGGCGAGCGTCTCGACTATACGGCCATGATACACTCGCTGGGACTGTTAGAGCTGGATGAGAGCTATGGGCCGGCGCAGATTGGCAATGAACGTCGCGAGCCCGGGGAAGGGGATATTGCAAAATTGCCTTCAGGGGCATGGAGGTATATCGCGACTTTCTTGAATCCAGCTGATGCAGCGAGCCTGGCGTTCGCAAGCACCACGCTATTCCGTCGACTTGGGACGCGGCCGTTTAGGGAATTGGCAAGGCCGGAGAACTCGGACCACCGTCTCAATTTCCTCATTGGACTTGACCAGTCCCTACCTCATCACCTACTATGCTTCCCATGCGAGCGATACCACCGCCGAATGCAAGAAGGCCAAGAGCGCCTCAAACCAGCCCACGTCATCAATCCACTCTTCAATTGTCCCAACGCACAAAACCCGCTCAATCCGCAACCAAAAAGCCGCATCACCCATGGCCGCATGATGCCCTTCTCCTTCGTCCAACTCACTATGCGTGCATATCGCTTCGGCCCTCGATACGGTATCCAGCCCGAAGACCTGGGCCGCCGCTGGCACCGCGACGACTGGTCCTTTACATCACGCTTCTATATCCACGAAGGCCGACTACTCATGCGCGTTGCTAGCCAAACCTTCGCCGCACCAGCCCTTACACCCTCCGCCCAACGCCTCCTCCTCTACTCGCGCGAAGACTACTGGCCCTACTTCTCTGCGTGTGCGCACTGGCGCGACGGCGAGCTGATGCCTGCCTGCAAATGCGCGCTCGAGCACATCCCCAAACCCCGCGACAACGCTGGGCTCCAGGGCCTCGAACACAAAGTCAAAGACCGATTGCATGGCAACCGGTTCGACCCTAACGCACTGACCTTACTATGCGGATTCTGTCGACCCATGCGTCGCTGCCCCGAATGTCCCTCCGAATACCTGATCGAGGTAAAACTCACCGAGGACAAAAGTGACCCTCACCAAATGGCTTTCAGGCAGGCGATCGTCGTAACCCGCTGGACGGATCTGGGTGATGGTACCTCACCGGCTGGACTGGAATGGGGTGCCATCAATGGGAAGAGGGATGATTATGATTCCTTTGCCCATGCGCATTATGCGAAGCGCGGCATTGCGAGTATCTTTGAGGCGGCATTCACGGCGGATACGTTGCCTGGGCAGAGGGTTATTTCGATGAATCCGAAGAACGAGAAGAAAGGGGAGCGTGGGCATGGTTGGTATTAATCTGTTGGTGCCTTGGTTTGGTGCTTGTTGTAGGTTCTATGTACGATATTTCAAGATCTTGGTGGTTTTATTTTTTTCTCGATGCGGTGCGGCGTTTGGTCGATTCAACCCAGATTGGAATGACTGCTTATGGTGACATGGGCCTCAGAGGTGGGAGAATTCTGGTGATATTACGAAAACATGCAGGCATGAAAAAGATTGAGAATCTGGCGCAAATTAGATGGGGCTAGCGGTTTTCTTTTCTTTTCTTTTTTTTTTTTTTCAATGGTGATAGGTCTAGGTATAAGAAAAAAGAATCTTACTCACCTCGCCTCCAAAAAGCAAAGAAAGATGCCATATAAAGAGGGCATTCAATATTTAACTACAGGGGCCTGACCGATCTTCGGAGGGGGCATTAGAGGATCAGTGCCATTAAGGAATGTAGTATACTACGATCTATCTTAAATCATGGTACCTACTCTGAAGATTAGTCGACCCCCTCTGTACGATAACACTGTACGATATAAAGAACCACGATCCGTTCAATGTCATTTATGCTGATCATTAGATACTCGCTTTTGCTATTTCAAAATAGTCCATAAAGTCTAATATTACCTATCCCGAACCAGCGGGACAGGCAGACCTTTCTCAATTGCAATTCCAAAGCACAAAGTCCAACAACGTATCAGCGTAACAAAATGAACGAGCATATCAAGGCATCACCTCGATTCTTGCAGAGGGTAAAGAGTGATAATTAGTTGGAAATATTGAATCAGCACGCAGTTTCGGGAAACCTGTCCCGGGCGCTGTGTTATACAAGTGTGTAGGGGTATCCATAAGTACATCGTAAGAAGGTGTTGTTCACATCAGAGTGTTTTTGGGTACGCAAGCCAGTCCGGCTGTTCAGCATCTCAGACTCTTCGCGAGTGTCGACCAACGTATCGTGGCCGGCGACCCTGGTCATCCGAGTACATGGTCATCTCTGAGGGTGGGCGGACAACGGGTGCACTGAATGACTCTGGGGTCGCTGAACGCGGCAGATCGTCTTCCGCGGCCCAGTTGGGGTCGTTCTCTTTGGCTCTGGGCCGTTCTGCCTTCACGGGTGTTGCAGGCTCAGAGCGCTTCCCAGTCATGCCCTTCACCCAGCCGAAGATACCCAGTGAGCTGCGGCGCTTATGAGTCTCCGTGCTGTGTGAGGTGCTTGGACGGCCCGAGATGGTAGCTGCGCCGTTCATGGCGATGGCAGTGCTTCGAGACTCCATCAGGGATTGGTGCAGTGATTTATGTTCGAACGGGGTATCGAGACCATGGGCCGTTGGTAGGCTGGAGGAGTAGGTGTCTGCGGAGCTGGCGATTATTTGGGATACGGGGCGGCGGCGCGCATTACCCGCAGCCCTGGTCTTTGGAATTATGGGTGATGGGGCGCCATCTTCGTCATCATCTTCGGTAGCGTGGAACTCATTCGCGATTGGGGAGGATTGGACGTGTTTAGTGTTGTTATTACGGTGGAAGAAGCGGGGCTTAAAGCTCATACGGCGTCGAGTTTCCGGGGCTGGCTCGGGCTCGGGCTCGGGCTTGGAGCATTCTGCCAAGGGCATTTCTGCAAAGTCCTGTTCGAGGACATCGAGTGTGTTCATGTCCAGGGTTGGAATCCGTGAGTTATCGGATTCGGTTGGGAAAGAGGCGGTGCTCTGGTTGTCGTGGAAGGCTGCCTGGCTGATAGGCCGGGGCGGATTGCGCTCTTTGCGAGAGCGAGGTCCCTGCTTTGCCGCCGCAACCCAGTCTGTGGGGGTCAGAGGAGGGGAGGGCGAATCCCATCCGTCAGATCTTCCAAATTCAGGGCTGACAGAACATGGGCGAGGTCTGGTCGGAGTTTCCTGGCGTGTCATTGTCAATGGCACCGCATCGTCGTTGTTGATCTTTTGGAAGGGATCGCTCAAATAGTGCGAAGATGGATGGCTAGGGCTACCAGGTCCGAGAAGCGCACTTGCTTTGTTGGCAACATTGATGTATGGGAGAAAAGTTGGAGAAAATGGACTCGTTTTACCAAGACGAGGCGTGTCACTGCAGTTCGTCTGAAGACTATCACTGCCATTGAAGCTGCGTCTGGAGGCAAGTTCATCTGCAGAACGATGACGCTCAACGGGCCGTCCTGCAAACCACTGGTCTTGCCTCTGCTGGGGGCTTCGCTGGGCTGCAATGCTGCCATTGGAACCGTTGTTGGCTGGCGCGCATGCCGTACTCATTGTGTCGGGAGTTGGAGGCAGCCTTGCGCCCCCGAAAAGCGCGTCCAATGGAGGACGGCCGCGTGCAGACCTCTTGGAATAGAGTTCACCCCCAAACGTCGGGCCTACGCTGTGTGATAAGACCCGATTTTGTCGTCGTCGGATGATCGTATCAGACGCATCTGCTTGTGAGCCCATCCAGCGATCAATCTGGTAATTCTTGCTCTCTTGCCGCGCAATTGGGGGAATATAACTATCCAAGCTGCTAGTTGCGGATGAAGCTCGACGGACTGGAATGTCCAACTTGTCGTATCCATCCAATTCCGACGAGGAACCAATTGGGTCCAGCTCGCTGCATTCACTCAGAACGCTGAGCCGCGGCGATTCGGGAGAGCGGTCCAGAGTATTAAAGCTTTCTGACTTGGTCAGAGCACTCACGGCCGAGTGAGATACGTTATTCTCCGGGGCATAGAGACTGCGCAAAGTTGCAGTGCTCTGGTTTTCATCTCGTAAGAAAGACGGGGCCTTGGTCAGCTTGTGTAGTTCGGCAGACCTCGATTGGAGAGATCGGGTGAAAGCAGCCGAATTTCGCTTAGACGAGGTCCTTTCAGGAATTTCGAAGGTAGTTTGTCCTTTGGGAGTCGTAACGTTTGGGCCATCAAGTACCAACCGGCTCATCGACATCTGCGACGTCCGTCCGCCCGACTCGAGCTCATCAATCTTAGCCTCGAGCTGGCAAATAAGCTGAACCGCCTCGGTGACGGCTACATTCCGCTTCTCGAGCTCCTGAGACAGCAGTTGATTCTCCTCACGCAAGCGTTGATTCTTTTTCTCCACACTGCGTAGCTCCATGACCTCCTCTTCCAGCTTGTGCATACGCTGAAGCTCGACCTCCATCTCCTCCATGCGCTGGACCTTCTCCCGCAACTGCTTCATCTGCTCCGAGCGGTGATGAATCTCGAGCTTCAAGTCAAAATTCAATTTGTTCATTTTTGAAACATACTGGGACGAGGGGTCAGTTTTGTGCCCAGATCTTGGTTCAACCGAGGGAAGGACCCACCTGATCCATCTCTCGCATGCCCATCTCCTTTGGTTGCCGCTGCCCAGTAGCGATAGCTTCGCTCACTTTCCTCGCTTTCTCCGACGCAGAGTCGTCTTGTACTCGCGAACCATCCGGTGTTCGTGGACCAAGGTCTTCCCAATCATCGGGCAAATTTCCACGGGAGATGCGGTGTGCACGTTGTTCCTTGAGAAGATCTTGTAGGAGCGTAGAGGCGGGATTGACCAATGTCGGGGTGCCGATATCCGGTGTTTCTAGAAAAGTGACATTCATTACCCCCTGTCGAGATTCTCTTGCAGCTCAGGCAGCACCGGGTGAGGAGACATACTGCACTGTTGAGGGGGTGTCCTAGTTCCGGCATGAACTGGCGATTGATCCCTCAACCACGAGACCTCACTTGCAAGCCGCGGCGGTGTGTACATATTGCTTCTGCCTTTCACACGGGAAAGCGACGGGTGTTGTGGACGCTCGGTGGTATTCTCGGTCTTGTCTGTATCAAGGAGGAAAAACGGTCAGTCCAATCAGCGGAGATGCAGGTCAAGGAGAGGTGGACAAGATGGGACGGCCAACATACGGCTTGAGCGACGTGTGGAGGAGGCGCTGCGGGCAGAGGGCACTGCGTCGGTATGATATACCGGGTCATGCGAGCCTTTTGATCGAGCAGCGGCCGCCGGGGCAGCCGAACTGCGCCTTTGAGTTTTGGCATCCTTCATAGCTGCATCCATAGCCGATTGATGTGCATGCTCAATGCAGCGAAAATCACCGACACCAGTCGTTGCGCTGGGCAAATCAGAGCAGGACGAATGCAATCGATTGCAGCGGTTCCCCCACCAGCATCGGAAGATTAATTGACGGAGTCGCGCACCCGGGGACCGCAATTGGACGGGGGGTCAGACAATGTATTGGATGATCGGAGTGATCGAGGGGGGAGGTGGAGAGGTTGCCCCGTCACCGCGGGCGTCGAAGGTTGACTGCGCGAAGCGAGGGATGCACAATCGAAGGGGGAAAAGGGCAGCAATGCCGTCACGGTCGATAGCGGCGAACCTGAAGTGGAGACGATTCAAGGTTTAGGCTCACTAGTGTTTCCAAGACGAGAGAAGAGAAAATTAAAATGAGATGAGACCCTCTTTCATCCACACGGGCGAGACCAGTCATGCAGTGGGACTTGCAGATGCCTTTGCGGATGGATTGGAGGAGAGACGCAAAGGTAAATGGATAGGGATGGGCGACGTGAGGGGATCGTCAACTGCGGGAATGGTGAATTGTGACGAGTCAAGCTGATGGTTGTACCACACCGGATAGCCCCGATTGTGGTTGATTGATGAGAGCAAAAGGAAGGCACGATATGGAGGTGTATTGAGGACTCCCTTCTGCTTCAGCCAGTCGATCGTGGTTGCTATGAGGCCGTGCGGAATGAGAAAAAAGGGAGAATGGAGGGAGATTGGCTCTGCTTGTTCGGGGTATTGTACGGAGCACAATACTCAGAAGAGCCGTACAGATCTCCTCGCTACACGCACTGATACAGCAGATCGAATCACCAGGCGAGGAATCAAACCATGATGAAATCATGATCCAAAACTGCAAAGTAAGACCAGCCTCTGGCCGACCGGAGGCCTGGATCTCCCCCTTCGGACTGTTCGGTGGCTGTTCCTGGCATCAGCATACTACCAATCGGATGATCCCCCGATAAGACCGTCTCAGCTTCCCTTGCTCTTGCGAATTGCCGGGCAGGGCCCCATTATTATCATTGGACTCTTAGACGGGGGAGCTGAAAATTTGGGACATTTGAAACACTCTCTCCATTCCGTGCAAATTTCAGGAGAATTGGAACGTTAACGAGAAACGCATCGTGAAACCCATCATGATGATTTTCTGTGGAATCGTACAAAAGGTCGCGAAGATCCTCAAGTACCGTCTGGGAGTCCACGTCCTAAGAACCGAACCACTCTCCAACTCGTCAACTTTCCACCCTCTTTGCTTTTCTGGCTATTCCAACTATCCCACTTTTTCGCGGTAAAACTCTACAGTAGTCCCCTGTAAGCCTCCACCATTCCCGTCCTTCCACGCCCGTCCGACCCATGGATGCCGCGAACCGTTCATCGGACACATGAAAAAGCAACCGTCGGGGCAGTGCGTCGCATGGCTACAGGCTCTCGCAGTTATTTCTGCAAGAATTGTGACAACTTATTTCCCATCGTGCCTAAGAAGGACTAGAACCTATCCACCACATAGGCTAGATGTAATAGCCTCCAATCGTTATACTCTAGTTTAGAATTTAAAAGTGGACGTATCGTGTGCTTGGACCCCTATGCGGCGGCTGTCAAATCGGTCCGCTTCTTCCACGTCAGATCGGACACGCGAGGCTGCGATAACGGCGGAGCATTGAGATCGGGACTGTCTGATAATCTGCGACAATATGATAATGCCACTCAGTCTCGGGATGTGGCTGAATTGCTTTAAACCGGGATACTGATATCCTCCAGTATAGCATTTGCCGACCGGAAACAGGCATTTATGGTAGGTCATGTCATTGATTCTCTATCCCGTTCCCCGCACGATAGATCTCATTATCAGCCACCGGGTCACAACTCAAATGGACGAGCACAGCTCAGCCCGAGTTGACCAGTCCCATCCTTGGATACGATGTCACTTCTCCGTACTTCGTACAGCCCGTACGGCATATTCCAGTATCATTTTTTCTTTGCTTCTCCAGCCCAAATTCGCACCTCCTTCGCCCGATCATGGGCTGCACGGAATACTATAGTTTGTCAGTCATAACGACTATCAATCGTAGGATATACTCAAGCCACTTACACTGCCTTTCACTCTCATCAAGGCCACGCAGAAAATCCACGCCTTCACCGACCGCACCTCGTGGATTGTGGGCGTGGTCGGAAATTTCGGCTGCCCGCTTCTTAAAGGTCTGGATTTGACGGTCAGTAATGAGGCAATCATCCCACGACGTCTACGGATAGCAAATACATCAATCAAGACATCAACCATCTCCTCCTCTTCAAAAATCTCCAAGATCCGCTCGCTCAACGTATAAAAATGCGGCGCCAACGCACGCAAATCAACCGTCCGAGGATCGGCCTTGAGCGCATTGATTACCCGCTCCGCCAGCGCGTCCGGCATATCGAGCGTAACCAGGCGGGACGTCCCTAGTCGCGCGCTGATGGATACCTCAACAGTCAGAACAGAGATCTTGAAAAGAACCTTCTTCTCGAAGGATCATAGAAATCGAAATCTCACCCGATCGAAAGCATTTCACCCAGCCATAATGGCAGATCGATGCGGGTCCCTGCTTTGATCTGGAATACATCAGCAATCGAATTCAAGTAGACACTGTTAAATTCAAAGGACATACATCTTCACCTGGATTTCCCTCTAGGATTCCCAGTCCGGGGACTTCCAACTCAAACGTGCAGGGGAGTTTCTAGAGTAGACCGTCTTAGCAAGCCAGATGGTGGTCTGGGTGTGAAATCTCTGGACTGGGGTCCAATTCTCACCTGGGCATCCGTCAAAATGGAATCAATGTCATAGTAGGACATTTTGGCACATTGGTTGAATCGCGATCCCAGCGCTGGCCACTGTGAGCGAGGGGTGGTGGGCTGCTGGGCTGGAAACGCGTTTGTCGGCGCGTGGTCACGTGGAGCGTCCCAAGGGCTTGAGTTACTTCCACATCGGGATCAATGTGTTAATCACGTGATCGCCGTCACTATGTACGAACGTGGAAGTATTTCTTGAAATGAAGCTAGAACGGCGCTTCTACAAGAGTTCTCGCGGTTGTATAGCTAATATTTTTGATACCTCTGTCCGAATGTTTCTGGTAACGGATAATCAATGCTGACGAGGCAATACTTAAGTCTACACTACGTATCGGCAAATTGCGATGTATCTCAACTTGTCCGTCATCTCACCTGGCTCAGCAGCCTGGAGGTTATTCTTCGCCAAGCCAAAATTTACAAGTGATGAGGTGTCTCTATTTATATGGTTCGGTTGAGTTGATCAGGTGAAGAGAGCTTTTGACATCGAAATAACAGCGGACAGGATGAGATCGGTTCGACATATATACACGGGAAGCTCAACGGCCTACCTCCGCTACTTTTGGGAAAATCTTTGTGGTATTCCGCTTCACCAGACTCGACGGGAAAGAGTTAAGGATGATGAGAAATTAATCTATCAGGCCAATTTATTTCTGCAGTATGCAATCAACCTACCAGTTGAGAAATGAACATGTGCGAAAACGATGGACGGTTACGATTTCACCATCAACATGACAAGTACACGGTCTCTAATGGCGCCCGGGCATGGAGGGGACACCAACAAGGGCGGAACGTAGCGCTACATCATAAGCACGGAGGAGTCTACCTAGGTAGGCTAGATTATTAGTGCGATACGGATAATAGATAGGATTTCTACATTTCATTAATTATACGCGCAATCTTTTGAGGTTGTACGCTCTTCAGCGCCGATGAGATAAAGTCTGTCACCGTTACAGTCCCTTCGGATCTTTTTAACGATCATCAAATTGAGAAGAAAACAGATTTCTCCATATTACTTAATCAGAAGTCAGCAACCAAAAGCTTGTCCACCTGTTAGACTAGTTCCTAATGGCACTCTCATATCGCACGCTCTCTTAGTGGCATATACTTTGATGATGGAATGGCTTAACCACCCAGCCCGTCCACTTCATTCGCTCCCCTACAAAAGCAAGGCATTCGTGGCTTACATGAATAAATTGAAAAATGCTTGTGACCATGCTTCTGCAGCCGATGCAGAACACTAAGCGGGGATTTTAAACGGTTCGGTTAGCCGGCGATAACGCGTTTCATCAAAAGGGGCAAATTCCCCGTGGGTACCTGGTCCCATCTATATTCTTCACGGTATAGATTGTCGTTTAGCGTCCAGCTAGTGCAACTCCCGGCAAAATGACCGGTGTATTCGGAGAATCTAGAGGAGAACTAAGACCTTCTGCCCTACCATCTATCCCCTGACGATCCAATCACTACTAAAGGATTTTCGACTAGCGTTCGGGACAAGTGACGTTATGAAGCCGTCAACTCCGCTTCGGTTCGGAGTAGTCAATCATTGCTTAAAAGGAAGAAACGTGCCTTGACGCGAGATAATTTTATCTCTAGTGGCTCTGGCTTCAAGGTTAGGCGACGGAAAAATTATCTCGCTCTCTGAGTTTGCCATGGAAGGTCTGATACAGATCACCCAAAGATCCATCTGTATCCCGACATAAAAGCCCGTCGATCAGTTCTTTAACTTGAACAGCTGCTATAGAGCATCCCTACCGGAATAAGTGCTAGCCACCATGTTTCTTCTGCGGTGGGTTTACCTTGCAGGCCTACTTGGAGGAGCCCTTGCATCTCCAGCCAAATTGCTTGCTAGGAGAAGCACCACCATCAGTGAAATCTTGACTGATATTGAAGATGCCGTCACCTGTACAGCATGCGAGGTAGGTGCAACATTGCTCAAAATATGCCAAATGCCAGTAATTTTGGATAACTTACAGAGGATGCTGACTCCGGCAAATAGGCCCTTCTCGTTGTGCTGCAGGCTCTGGCCCATTTGGGAAATGACGACTTTGTCGATGTTATCACCGGAGTCTGCATTCTGGCAGAAGTAAGTCGATCGATGTGCCTCTACAGCAGCGAGTGCTAACAATCTCCATAGGTTGAAGATAGTGATGTCTGCGAGGGTGCTATCTCTCGTGAAGGACCCATCCTCGCCCATGACCTTCGCAACTTGGACATTCCTTCCACAACCGCTCAGCTATTTTGTTCTACCGTTTTTGGGTTATGTGACTACCCCGCTATTACGGAATATGCAGTAGACTTTCCATCTACCAAGCCAGCCAATGCCTCGCGTCCAGCTTCCAGTGGAGAGAGTCCTATCCGAGTCGTTCACATCAGCGATATCCACGTCGACCTTTCTTATGAGACGGGTGCCAAGTAAGTTTTTCTTACGGCGACGTCTTACAACTCTTTACTGACGAGCGATAGTTATAATTGCACCAAGAACATTTGCTGTCGTCCATACACCTCTGCTGATGCGCCCGGAAATACTAGCTACCCAGCTGGCGAGTATGGCAATCACCAGTGCGATAGTCCTCTTACTCTCGAGGAGAGCATGTACGAAGCAATTGCGAGCCTTGTGCCCGACGCGTCTTTCACCATATTCACGGGAGATGTTGTCGAGGGTGCAGTCTGGCTTGTCAACGAGACTGAAGTGACCAATGATCTGAACGATGCGTACAACACTCGCATGGCCTCTTACCTTGACTTGGTCTACAGTGTTATTGGCAATCATGATGTCGCGCCTGTTAACTCTTTCCCTCCTTCCGACATTGATACCACCATCTCCAGCCAATGGGCCTACGATACCCTCTCTTCTGACTGGACCCAGTGGATTGGGTCAACAGCCGCAACTACTGCCGATGACTATGGTTCCTACTCTGTCAAGTACCCGAATGGTAATCTCCGCATCATCTCGTTCAACACCAACTTCTACTACAAGGAGAATTTCTGGCTCTATGAGAAGACCATGCAGTCGGATCCCAATGGCCAGCTAGCTTGGCTCGTCACCGAGCTCGACGCTGCCGAGACTGCGGGTGAGCGCGTCTGGCTTCTTGGCCACATGCCCATGGGAGCAAGCGATGCATTCCACGATGGGTCCAACTACTTCAATCAGATCATCCAACGCTATGACGCCACCATTGCGGCAGTCTTCTATGGTCACACCCATAAGGATGAGTTTGAAATTGCCTACTCGAACTATTCCGATCCGTCTGCCAGTACTGCCACCATGATGTCCTATATTGCGCCGGCCTTGACTCCATCTTCCGGCAACCCGACTTTCCGTGTCTACTCTGTCGACCCGGTGACTTTCGGTGTACTAGACTATACCGTCTACATTACCAACATGTCTAGCTCTACCTACCAGACAAAGCCAACCTGGGAGAAGTACTACTCTGTTAAGGAAACTTACGGCTCGCTCCTCAGCCCCGCCGTCACTGATAGCGCCGCAGAGCTAACGCCTGCATTCTGGCATAATGTCACCGCATTGTTTGAGAGTGACGATTCCGTCTTTCAAGATTACATTGCTCGCAAGTCCCGTGGATGGGATGTGAGCTCTTGCACGGGTGATTGTAAAACGGACGAAATTTGTCAACTTCGAGCAGCCGAGTCGCAGTACAACTGTGTGACTATCTCACCGGGTATCAACTTCAAAAAGCGTGATGATAGCAGTTCCGTGACACAGGAAAGCTCATGCGGCGAATCCGTCATTGGTGCTATATTCTCTAACTTTGGAGAGACCGTCCTAGCTTTCAAGACATCCGTGTCTTCAAAACTAGGCCAGAGTTTCCTTAACACTACGGTGAACTCCACTGCTGTGTAGGCCGTCAGATATTTTCTCTGGATACGATATTATATCGATACAAGAATCCGCCACGCGGTCAACAAGTCATATAAGCGATAGTATCGTCGAAAGTTCCATCAAAACACGTTCCTGGCCCCGAATCAAGCAATTGGCCCGTAGTTTGCCTGTAATCGCAGTAGGGCCAGACTAGCGCCAAAATGTCATGTAGCCACGCGCGCAAAAGAACTTCTAGATAGTATATTTCTCCGTGCCACGCTCGACTTCATCTCGGTTAAATGTCGCCGATTGACACGTGGGCCGGCAATAGGTCCGAAGACCTCACGGCAGCCCCGCTAACACTAAATGCGGCTAACTGAGCGACTAGCGCAGGTTCCGGGCATCTCGGTGTTTTGCAAGAGTATATAGGAGGTACGGATCGCCGTGGAAAAGGCCGAATTCGACTTGATATCAAAAATTTGTTTCCTTTGGAAGGATCGTTGATAGCTATGGCGAACTCCTTCTCCAAGACTGTCGTTACCTCTTTGTTGTTGGCGGCCACTAGTGGCCATGCCGCGGTGTTGGCCCCGGTCAACGATATCGTGTTCCCATCGAGCGAGACCGCTCAGAACCCGCTGCAGTATGCCGGAGGAAACACTCCGTATTTTGCTGGGCCTAATGTCAATGGTGTGGAGAATACCGTGCCTAACAAGTGTACTGTGCAGCAGGCTGCTTACGTTGTGAGACATGGAAGCCGGTAAGAAATAGCTTCAAATGGCATGATTATGACAGACAATTGATCTTTCGGCATCAGATTCCCCGATACTGGATCTTACAACTCGTGGGTTTCCATCCAGGATAAGGTAGGCTTCCGCTATTTTATATGCCTAACTAAGGTCTTTGATGATATGGCCACGACATGAGAAAATAACATGTATAGATCCAAACTGCCGTCAATGGTAAAGGCTTTGATGCCCGCGGCTCGCTATCTTTCATCAAGGACTGGAGCCCTGTGTTGACCAACCCTACCCTGCAAATTGCGCAGGAGTCCATGACCGGATGGAAGGAGGTATGAAATTTGGTCAGCGATCGTTCTCACTTTATCTTTGAGAGCTAATGATATCCAGGCTACCGACCTTGGCTACCAACTCCGTGGTCGCTGTAAGCAGTGTATCCCACCATACTTTCTTCCTACAAGTCCTGACCATCACTGATAGACCCCGATTTCTACGAGGACGGCAACCCGTTCTATGTCTGGGCCAACCAGTACAAGAACCCGATCAACGAGTCCCGCGTCGTTCAGACTGCCCGTGCTTTCGTCAACGGCTACCTGTACGAGTTCGCCGACACGTACGGCACGGTGGTCAGTGTCAACTCTACTGGCTCGGTCAATGCCATCGGCAACTCGCTCGGCCCCTCTGACACCTGCCCGGAATTCTCTGCCACCTCGAGCGGCGGCAACAATGTCACCGATTGTGAGTCGCTCGCCCTCAACTGCGGTAAATCTCACGAGCTAACTTTCAATTCGAAGTCGATGCCACCTGGGCACCCAAAGCTCTGAAGCGTATCAACGCTCTGGTCAGCGGCAACCTCACCTTCACTCAGACGGACATCCTGTTCTTCCCTTACCTGTGCGGATATGAGAGCCAGATCACCGGTCGTCTGAGTGACTGGTGTGGTGTGTTCACCGAAGATGAGCTGCGCAACTACGCCTACTCCCAGGACTTGAGCTACTACTACAGCGTAGGACCGGGTGCTGACGGTCCCGCGCCCAAGCTGTTCCTGCCCTTCCTCGAGAGCCTCTTGACCCTCCTGAGCAAGGGACCCGGTCAAAAGGGCACCGCTGCGGATGGAAGCAGCTTTGATATCCCCAGTTTGATCATGGCTTTTCTGAACGACAATCAGATTGCCGAGATGACCTCGGCCATGGGAATCTTTGATAAAGAGGCTCCTCTGTCCGATACTCACATCCCTGCGAACCACCTGTACAACGTGGCTCATTTCATCACCATGCGCGGGACCGTGGCCCTTGAGACTCTGAACTGCCAGGTTAGTTCTGGACGAAAGTCGACCAACGAGACTTATATTCGGGTGTTGTTCAACGATGCGGGTTACCCGATTGCCAACTGCCACGGTGGTCCCGGCAAGAGCTGTCTGCTATCGGACTACCTCGCACTCATTCAGAAGAAGAGCAAGGCAGCTGGTGACTGGATTGACTACTGCAACGTGACTGCCTCTGGACACCCCGAGACCGTAGCTGGAGCCAGTTTCTTCAGTGACCTGTCACTCGACTTTTTGACCTTTGTCAAGCCCTGAGAAAGTGGGGTCATACGATGAGAATGATGCAGGGGCTAACCCCCCTTCTAATTTTACTCGACATGGGTTTGAGTCCGTTCGTTTCACCCTTTTCATTTTCTTTGTGATAATAATACCTTTTGAGTGTACTGTACTATCGTTTTAACAATTTCCATTTCTTGTGTTGTGTCCTGTGGCCTGGTAGGGGTTGAATCTTTAGAGTAGGTAACGCTTCGATCCAAACTTAACCCAAATTTTGCCTTGCCAAGCATTACTTATCTCTAAGGGGCATGCCATTGCAAGAAACGTGGTGTATCTCGCCGCTATTTAATGTAGGCGGCCGTGATATGCCGGGGCTGACCCACTAATATAAGCCGGAAGCCACCAATTGTTGAGGTGACTTTAGAAGGAATCTAATGTTCAATACCCCGCTTTTCCGACCACTTCCTAGAAAGGTGGCTATATTTTACCATAACATTTTACCATAACGAAAGGATCGTCGTCAGAAATGCCTTCGTGCTGGGATCATTCAATCTAGACCTCATAGACCTTCCGAACCTTCAGCCTCCGCCCTCCTCCACCATCTGGTCAATATGATTACATTAATGAGCCATAGAAGGGGGAGGGGGGGGGGGCAAACACCTGGCATACCTCTGGTGGCAGCCATACTTACTCGCATGTATATGAGTTGTTGATAACTTTCCCCACACATTGACAATTAAAACCTTATTCTTGGGTGGAGCTCCCCACTTACCGAGTATACACGCGACTAGAGTGGAGGTCTTGGCTCAACTTCACTCAACCAGGGCCACCTACAAACGGGAGAGGCGGTCACAAGTCGTGTTAGCAAAATCATAGGGACGAATAGAGGGATAAATTCCTCACCTCTCCACCTAAAATTCTAAAAGAAGTTGCCGATTATTTCCTCTGGATTTCTTTCGATGACTCTTTCTCCATAATAGCAACGAGATACTGGTGTCTCAGCTGTGCAGTAAATGCTCTTTCTCGCTACACTCCATTTCGATTATGGGTGACTCCAGGTTTTGCTAATTAAATATATCAAATTCATGGATCATCCTTAAGTAAATTTCTTTCGGCTGTGATAAAGTTCTGATATCCATATTTGGACTTTGGGACGAATTATAGAAACCGTACACTCAGTCTGTTCGGAAATCAATTTGACCTTGACCACTGTGCGGACTTCCGCGCTTTCCACAGGTACACCGGGACTCCCAGGACTGCGATTGCAAGATAAATCCCCATAAGCTGAAGCAATTCGTTGTTAGATCCTCGATTTAGATTACACATTGAATGGAAAATTAAACTTACAATCAAATAGGCGTCTCTGTAACCAAAGCGAGTCACCATCGGAGTCAGGCCGTAGGCAGCTCCGAAAGAGACCACGTTCTTCGCTCCGACTACTAGAATTAATGCAGCACCTGGTCCAGCAAATCAGTCAAGCAAATGTAATGGTACTGCTACCCGATCAACATATGTACGAACCTGGATTGGATGGCATTACTTCGGAGGCATAAGAAGTGGTGACAATGATCGTTGAAATAAAGGCAAAATTATACAGAGTCCATCCTAAAAAGAGTTCGAGGTCAATATAAGTGGTCTCCAAGAAAATTATTTCAACGGCCATACCCATAATGATACCCCATGAGGAACTGGACTGTGGTGACTCGGCAGTAAACCCATAAAGAATAAGTCCAGCCACTCCGACAATGGTTGGCACGATGAGAGGCACAAGTTGTTGCTCGGCAAAATGCACCCCGTCCTTTCGCTTAGCCATCCAAATAGCAAACTTTTCGCCCCCCCATCCAGCGTATAAGATTGCGGCGATGGCAGCCGGGATGACACCAATCTGGGTTGCATGAGTACTTCGAAAGCTGTGATCTTATATTGGGCACAGCAACTTACATTCATTAATCCAATAGAGCCTGGCGACCAATGGAATTCTTGGATCAGAACAGTGCTGTAGGTTAACGAGAGTGCAATGCCAATTCCTGGGAGAATGCATGTGTAAGCATAGACGCACTGGGAAAAAGAAAGGACTCCTGAACAGATAGATCTTACCGAGGACAATAGACGAAAGCAAAATTGCAAACACGACACCGGGGGAGAGCAGGGCCTTTGCGATTTGCACATAAGTATCCAAGAAAACCTTTCCGGCATCGGGAGTAAGGCCATGCCAAGGCTTCAGTCGCTGAGCATAAGAATCCGGTTGGTCTTGTACCCCCCTTTCTTCTGCAAGCACATCAGGGACTTCGTCACCATGCTCCGTGGCTTCAACGACATGGGTGACACCAAAATGATCCGTATAGACTCTTCGGCCACCGACAGTCACGATACCTCTGTGGAAGCGAGTCTCGGGGGCTGCGAAAAAGGCAAAAATCAGGCCGATCCCTGCCATGATTCCAAACAAGCCATAAAACCACCTAGAGTCTTCTTTGAGCTGCGAGTAGGCTATTGATGAGCAGAGTCACTGACCTCCATGAAGTTGCCGCAACGAGATAAGAATTCGAAATTAAGAACACCGCATTAAAGGTACTCTGGGAGCCCCAGTAGATGCCTGCTAGCGGTTAATTTAGTCCTGAGAACATCCATACCAAGTCACTTCGACGAGAACTTCCCAGCTTACCAAACCAAAATTCTCGTTCATGCAAGAATGTGATTTCAGTAATCATTAGAGGCAAGAGCTTTGAAAGGCTACGTTAGTGCTCGGCTTTTCATAGTGTTCGATTTTGCGACGAACCGATTCGGTGGCTCCCGTTGCGATACCCTCTAGGATGCGACAAGCAAGATGAGCCTCGAAGGTCGAACTCACTGCTGCGCCTATGGTTGACCCCAGAAGCAGCACAGTGCAGAACAAGAACACGGGTCGACGACCGAGTGCCAGAGCCGCCGGAAGAATCAGCAGGTTTCCTGTGAAGGAATGATTGATCAGCCTTGCAAGTCGTCGTCGGGGGACGGGGGGAACCTTTCTTCTCTTACCGAGCGCCATAACCAGGCTGGGGTATGTGCTCAAGCCCACCACTTCCGCCACGGATTTTGTTGCCGCATATTGAACGATGAGTGTCTCGAGAAAGGGTCCAGTGCCACCAACAAGCACCAGGGAAAACAGAGCTATGAGAAAAAGTCAGAGCGAATCCAGAGGGCAACCAAGGAGAGTCAAGTTATTTACAAAACCAGCAACAAACAAAGATGAGACCCCGTTTGCGCCAGACGGGCCAGTTGAGAGGATCATTCGGGCTGTCACTGGGATGGGGGATCCGCTGGACCTCGCCGTTGGTTGCGGTCAAGATGACCGGCCCTGAGGCGTATTCGTCATGCCCGAACTCCTCTTTCACATCCATTGCTCTTGCAAGCTGTAACTTAGTCTCGGCACTGGGCTTCATGTCGATGGTTGATGCAGCTGTACGGGGCAGGGATTGATCATGCTTTTAAAGGGAGAGCTTCGCTTCGCTTCCCCGGACTATAGACGCATGGTCCCTCGCATGGACACGAACGCCTCCACCAATTCCCCCGCAACCGAGTGGAGAACCATTTACCGACCCTATCGGTACTTCGTACAACCCCGGTCAGAGCTTGCGGGCGAGATCGCTTCCCCCGTCTCGCCCACATTTTGATATACGCCTCGCCCACCTTGCCTCACGTCCATTTGCCGACGATGACGAGCCGCGATAGACTGGCGGATTAGGTTTTACTATATACAGGTGGATAGGTCACCAAAGTGAAGCTACTCAAACCCGACTGCCCGTATTCCTTCCTTTTCCGACCAAAACGACTGTAGACAAGTTAACCGAGCTGATGACCATGACCGAGTCCAATGGCGCCGTCCCCAACGGCTGCCCGTTCCAAGACTCGCGCCGCCTCTTCCGAGATCTCAAGGAGCACCGCTCGATCCACCAAATCCAATTTAGTGATATTCTTGGTGGCTATGTCGTGACTCGATATGATGATATCGTCTACGCCCTGGATCATCCCGAACTTTTCGCTTCCAAGGGAGTCACGGTTCCCGAATTCCCAGAACCCGTCCAACCAATCTTTGCCAATCGAGTCCCCCCAGGTGGCACCCTTTTAGGTTGGGACAACCCGGACCATGATCGCTTGCGAACCAGCGTAAATGGCTTCTTTTTGCCTCGGAGACTGGCCGGATTCCAACCACTGATGCGATCATTGGCGAATGAGCTGATCGACCAATTCATCATGAAGGGCGAGATGGAACTGAAGTCGACCTTTGCGATGCCGCTCCCATTGAAGACGATCATCACCATGGCCGGGTTAGATCCCGCACGAATGGAGTGGATCGGTCGATCTCTTGCCTTATTTGGAGGTATCGTAGGAGGGAGTATGTCCGTTGAGCAGCAAGTCAAAGACGTCTTGGATTTGCACGACTATGTCGCCCAGGTGATACGGGAGCGCAAAACTGATCGCCGCAACGACCTGATCAGCCATATCTGGGACCAAAGAGACGCCAACGTGGTGGAGATGACCGATCTCGAGCACCTGGCCATGATTCCTGGCTTGCTACTCGCAGGACACGAGACAACGACCAGCGTTCTTTCCATGGGACTGTCTCATCTATTACACAATGGACTGTGGCACGCCGCAAATGAGAGTGATAAATCTCGCATAGACACCATTGAGGAGCTGCTCCGCTACGAATCAGCCATCACGGGGATGTTCCGTTTGGTCACAAAGAAAGTCACACTTGGATCCAGGGATCTCGAACCGGGAGATAAGGTTTTCTTAGCCTACAACTCGGCCAGCAGAGACGGCTCTGTCTTTGAGTGTCCTGCTCAGCTTCAACCAAAGAGAACTTTCACTCGGCAACATCTTGGCTTTGGCCGTGGAATCCATGCCTGTCTCGGGGCTCCTCTTGCTCGGCTCTTACTGAGGACGGAATTTGAGATTCTATATGAGCGTCTTCCTAATTTGAGACTCGTGACACCATACGAGAAGATCCACTACGAAAAGGTTGGACCCTCTCGTAGTATTGAAGGCGTGGTTGTTGCATGGGACCCGCCCCTGACCTCCCCCCCGCGGCCTTTGCCCCAGGGATCCAGTACCGAAATGGCCAGCAGTATCACGCAGAATATTTCGGCTAAGGTGCAGCGGCTCTTACCCCTGACGTCCGAAGTTTTAGAGGTGACCATACGCTCGGACGTACCAGACAAGCTGCCTGAATGGACGCCCGGTTCGCATATCGATATCCTGAGTCAATACGGGTATCGACAATACTCTCTGTGCTCCGATTCAGCCGACAATTCTTCATGGAAGATTGCAATCCTGAAAGAAGAGGATGGGTCTGGTGGATCAAAATGGCTTCATGAGAACCTTCGCGAAGGAATGGACGTGACCGTTCGTCGCCCCAAAAATCACTTCCGCCTTACCAAGGGTCCGCGTTATATCTTCCTCGCAGGAGAATTGGTATCACGCCACTGAAGCCAATGCTTGCTGAAGCTAAGCGCAATGGAGCCGATTATCGTTTGGTTTACCTCGGACGCTCCCGAGAAACCATGGTATATGTCGAGGAACTTTGCAGAGAACACCCGACGGAGGTTTGGACAAGCCGAGACGGTAAAAGATTTGATATGGAGAGGTTTGTGAAGGCACAGGAAAAGAAAGTTCAACTGTACTGTTGCGGACCGGACCGACTCCTCAACGCGCTTGAAGATGCCTGCAGGGGGAACCCCGTGGTCGAACTCAAAGTCGAAAGATTCCAAGGAGCTTCGCCTCAAAACTTCTTGCCAAACAAAAGCTTCCACGTCACTTTGGGGCGCAGTGGAAGGAAATTGACGGTTTCGCCAGAGCAAACACTGCTGGAGGTCTTAAATCAGCATGGTTGCGGAATCATGTCAACCTGCTCCAAAGGCACATGCGGTACCTGTGAAGTATCTGTGCTCGACGGAAGACCCGAGCACCACGACACGGTCCTTTCTCTAGAAGAGAAGGGCGAGAACAAGGTCATGATGCCTTGTGTCTCTCGTTGTTTGGAAGAGAAGCTGGTCCTTGATCTCTGGTGATTAGATCTGAATCTCAACTCAAATCGACACTGTTTATAGTAAATAAGAATCTTGGAGCAAAGTTGACGGGTCGGCCAACGGTCGCATAGTTTGCTTAATTGAGGTTGCATGCTTCTAGTCGTCCAGGCTGGGGGTTCTTAACCTTGGTGTCCATACTTACGTAGGGTTTTAGTACCATGTGTATACAAAACTGGGAATTTACGCCAATCCACATTTTGAGCTGCTGTATCATGTGACTAGGGTTTGAAAGATTATTGATAACTTCTGTTCTTGGGTATGGAAGTCAATAACGGGGGGTACTGTACCCTTCCAACGATCAGGAATGTTTAAATACTAGCCTTCGGTGAAGGAGACTCTGATCTAGAAAAGGTGTGCCCGGAACATATATATTCGAAGGACGCAAAGCTTCGGACTGCGGTGCTGTCCCGTCACAAAACATCGATTACAAGCTTGGAACAGGACATGATGTTGGGAATTCAAGAAAGATCGACACGGTTTGATGAACGGACGATGGCTGCCGTAGTTGCATGTATTGCGAACTAAAGGACATCAGTAGGACGGTATTCCGAAGGCAACCACACGAGTACAGGTTTACCCAAGAACGGTCATTACTTAGTCCGTATCGACCTTGATCAAACCATTGGACGAAATTGCCAGAACGAGGTGTTATAGGTGCCACTGACCTTGCGTCAAATGGACCAACACTGGTGTACACATAATTCGAGTTAGCTGGATCAAACATAAGGAAGCTGGTGAGGCCAGTGACAGGCTTCCTGATTCGGTCTCTATTATCCCTTTGACCCTAATGCAAGTCGGCTTGCATCGGGCGACCAGGCAATTGAGCTGACCCTTTTTACTATGCCCCTCTAGAATTGGAAGACGAGCCCAAGGCTACCGAGACGATAAGCTAGATCAGATTCTGGCTACAGATTGACCATGATCTATGATTGTTGCAGTGTTTCTTATGTCTTCTCTCCCTAAGAGATGCGGGTACTGTTTGATTGTGCACCTGCACCAGCCCAATGCAAAGAGAAACCCATGCAACCCCAAAACGCGGAAACTTGAATGTATACGACTCATGTATATACTCTCCATCTAGCGGAGGTGTAAGCTTATCACCAGATGGACGAACCGGTGCAGACCGTGCGTATCTCCACTCTCTCCGAGGAGTGTCTCGACTGGTCCAAGACATGGACTCTGCGCTAAAAGAGTTCGACGTGTGGCTTGGCCTTCTCCAGTGCCTTGTTTTCTTGCTCGTTCTTGTCCTCGATGGGCCTGTTTACTCTGGTGACGAGCAGGCTTTTTTGGGAAAGCAGATTCCCATCCCAAAAGGGAGGGGCATTTTTTCGACTCACGAGTCAGGCCTCGCTGCTTGAACTAAAGCCAAAAGGTAAAAGTTCGAGACCAAAGCCACCAGCCAAGGCTGAAGTAAAACAAATTGAAGAACTTAGTACTGCCTATCGACTGGTGTCTGTCCCTTGTCTTAACTTATCGTAGCTCAACCCAAATTTAGCAGTGGAACCCCCCTCCAGGGAAATTGTTTTCCATGGGACTGTGACACAATTGAAACCACCTCCCACGCCCTGTTCCACCGTGGTTCCTGACTTTCTTTTCTTTCTGGTTCCTGGCCTCACTCTTGCGATCGCTCCTACTTTTTCCTCGTATGACTTACATTTCACTCTTGTCTGTCTCGACCGATCTCTTGCCAACCCGACCGAGTCGGTCCTGCGACGGGTGAATTATCGTTGTCGATCATGGCGTACAACGCCGTCGCTCAGGTCGACGAGGTCGCCTCCAGTTCCGACTCCAACTCGGACGTCTCGCGCTCTGCTTCACCTGCCTTTCAGCCACTTCATGATGCCGACCCTCTCCAAGGAACTCAACTAGAATCCGCTCGAAGCGACGTCCATCAAGGCCTCGGCCACCTTCGCTCGATGATCCGCTCCATGACGACCGCTAGCTACGATATTGTCGAGGCCGATGACTACGACGCCGATCCTTCCCTGGCCGAGCCATCCAACAGATCAAACAGTCTACGCCGCATTCCTCCGCTGAATACGGCCGTCGCGCGACATTCCTTCTCTCCCGAACCCCCTTTGCGCAGCGCTTCGAGCGACCTCCCCATCACTCACCCGATTCCCGATCTACAATCATCTCAGGGGGCCTACGTGGGCAATGTAGCGCGCCTGGAGCAAAGTGCCGAGCAGCTCAGCTCCAGTTCAGCGGACATCGCTAGTGAAATCCGCAGAATGGATCAGGAGCAGAAGCGACGCTCTTGCAGCTCTGCATCCAATTCCGTGAATCTCCGGAATGGAGCATTCTCGCCGGCGACGATTGCCTCCCACGGATCGACCTTCTCCACGCGCCAGCGCTCCGTCTCGGGCGCATCCCGACTCGCCCAACTACCCGAGCCCGACCACGACGAAGACGGCCACTCTTTGGGTCGCATGCCGGTCCCGTCGGCCATTGCTCCGATTCACCAAGCCCCGATCTATACCCAACCGCACGACCCTTACTATGACCAGTACGATGGACATCGCGAGGTCCAGGAGGATCTCGAGCGGCCAGCGTCGGCCGCCTCGGGGGATACCTTCCAACAAGCGCGGACGCTCTTCACCGATTTCGATGGCGTCCATTTTGCGCCCTTGGACCGCGCGAATTCCGGGCGCCAGCTGTCCCTGAGCCAACCGCCCCTTGCGAGCAAGCCGGAATCGTACAGGGAGCCGCAGACGGGCGAGAACATGGTGTACTACCCTGCCCCAGTCCCCCGCATGTTGAACCTCCCACCCAAACTGTCTCGCAAGCCAATCTCCGATCGCGAAAAGCGCCGGACCGAGCTCTTGACCAATATTGTGGCCGAGGACAGAAAGTCCGCACTCTGGGCGGCCGGATCGGAGCAGAACAAATTAGGTGAGAGAGACCGGCGTCAATCCAAGATACCACCTCAACTTCGCGCCAGTCTGTTCTTTGATAAACCGAGTACCACCCTCGAGGTGGACGTGAAGCAGGAGTCGGCCGTTGCGACGCTTGATAGTATTCTTGACGCCTCAGCGCACGCACCCGTATCGGCATTTACAGATCACCCCTACGCTGGCCAGGTTGGCTCGTACGTCTTTCAACAGTCGAAGCGCAAAACGCTCTACAAAGATTCGGCAAGACCAAAGGCAGACCGTAATTCGCATATTCCAATGGGTCAGCGCCACAGTACTCGTCGTGGTAGTGATGGAGAAGAAGGGTCGGCGAGTTCGCGCGACGGACACGGAGATCGCTCTCATGACGAACATGACTCCGATCGATCCAGTAGTAGCGACACCGAAGGCGATGAGCATTCACCAGAGAGCGGCGAGGAGGGAGAGGAAGAAGAAGATGAAGGATTCGTGGATTACGTGGGACCACCGAACACGTTACTGGCTGAACTCGACCTGCGAAAGCAGGAATTGAAGCAGCGCCAACGAGCTTTCCTTCCTACTGCCTCGCAGGCCCAGGGCATGCATGCTACTCTATTGGAGCTGGACGCAATGGCCCAGAAACAGAGTGATAAGCGAAGGCGGCGACCGGTCACTCTGGCATGGGGTGGCAATCATGATACTGCAGATGATGACGATGTTCCGCTAGCCATGTTGTATCCCGATCAAGTTCAGAATGATGAAGAAGGCCGACCTCTTGGTCTGATGGAGAGGCGACAGCTAGAAGAAAACGAACCATTGAGCACTCGTCGGGCCAGGCTACGCGGCGAACCAGTTCCGGAGAAGCACACCGTCACGGTACACGAGACGGAAATTCTTCAACCCGACGCTGACAGCGGCGACGAAGGCGAGACACTTGCCGAACGTATGAAACGGCTCCGTGGACAGGATCCCGCAGACAGCGAATTCGCCAGTGAACTCCTCGCGGAAATCGACACCCGGACTGGAGTCGCGCCCAAACAACCGGAGCCTGCACCGGCCGCTGACGCCCTCGAAAACGAAACTCTCGCTCAAAGGCGCAGTCGCCTGCAGAAAGAGAATGGCCCGCCGCGCGGGAATGCAAAGAATCTGCATATGAGACGAAGCATGGCGGCGCTCCCGCAGACTCGTCCCGCACAACACATCACCCGCCAATCATCACACGACGTCCTTCCTTATGGGAACGCGATGTCTGGACAATATGCCAACCGCATGTCCATGCTCTCTCTCCCCCTCAACCCGGGCCAACAAGCTTCCATGGCCTACCCGATGGGTGCTCAACAGCCCTATGGATACGGAGGCATGGGTTACCCCGCTGCACAAGCCTATAATAGCATGATGATGGGCGTACCGGGTGGTATGGCTTATGCCATGCCCGCTGGCTGTGGGCCAAATATGACCCGACAGCCCGTTGACCCGGCGCAGCAGGAGTTCATCGATCGGTGGAGACAGAGCATTCGCTAATCACCTTCTTTGATGTTTCAATTCTGCATAACTTCCATTCCCTTGTCAATTTTTTTTTCCCTTGTTTTTGCTTGGAATAGTTTTCTGGGCATCATCTCAGCGCTCTCGTTTAGGCGTCCCTCTCCCTCTTTTCATCTCTTTTGTCATTTTCTTGGCGTGGCTGGTTGGGGGCTTCCATGTAGATTAGCGATCTTGTGTTTGATTTCTTTACAGACCCTCAGTGTCTCTCAATCGAGTCCATCATCTTTGCTATTTTCTCTCCTCTTGATCTACCTTTCCGTCATAGATTTCATCATTCCCTCCACTTGTGTCCGAGCAGGGTTGATGCTCGTAGGAGTCATGGGATGGAAAGCATTTATCTCTTTTATGCAGGTTTGGTAAACTTGTCATTCATTGTCGTCTAAGATGTCATATAAAACGCCCCCGCTGTATAAAACCGTAGGAAAGACAATGTTAGGTATCTATCCCACTTGAAAAGAATCGAGAAATTTTTGTTTCGTAAAGCTCAATTCGGCAACACACGTTGAGCAAATTTACATCTGCTCAAAATACTTCTCCCAGCCAAGCTCGCGCATCTTGGTGCCCTTCTTCTCCATGTTCTCGGCACGGGCCTCCTCGGCGTAGGCCTCAACCTTGCGCTGGATGGCAGGATCGAAGGCTCCCAGAATGCGGGCAGCCAGGAGAGCGGCGTTGATGCTGTTGTTGATTCCGACGGTTGCGACAGGGACACCTGACAGATGAGTTAATCTACTTATTTCGGAAGATCCAAGATGTACTGTGTATAAACTTACCACGAGGCATCTGGACAATGCTGTACAGACTGTCGACGCCATCGAGCGAGCTACCCTTGACGGGAACACCGATAACAGGCAGAGCAGTGTGGGCAGCTGCCATGCCGGGCAAATGAGCGGCACCACCGGCAGCGGCGATAATCACCTTGATACCGCGGGAAGCAGCCTCGGCAGCATACTCGGCCATGTAGTCGGGCGTGCGGTGAGCAGAGGTAATCTCAACGGCAGGCTCAATGCCAAAGTAGTTCTCCAGCAGCTTGAGACCGGGAACCAAAGTCTTCAGATCGCTGTCGGAACCCATGACAACGGCCACCTGAGGTGCAGGCTTAGAGGGTCCGGATGGCTGAGCCTTGGTTTTGATATCGGTGCGCTGGGCGCGGATGTCGTCAACGACGTCGATCAACGGCTGGATCATGGTTTCCGCCTCATGCATTGTCGCGGCAGTCACAGTGATATGGCCCATCTTGCGGCCAGGCTTGGCGGCACCCTTGCTGTACAGGTGGATTGCCGCATTAGGAATCGAAAGAGCGGCCTCGGCAGCCTTGAGGTGAGTGTCAGGAGCGGAGCCACCAATAATGTTAAGCATGATAGATGGCTGACGAATCTCGAGGCTTTTGGCGGGGATGGGGAGGTCCAGGATGGCACGAATGTGACTATCGAACTGGGACAAAGCGCAGCCCTCGATGGTGTAGTGACCAGAGTTGTGGATGCGGCTGGCAAGTTCGCACAGCATGAGGCTGTTGTCCTCGAGCAGGAACATCTCGACACCGAAAGCACCTTTGCCTTCAAACGCAGCAACGGCCTTCCGGGCGAGAGCCTGAGCCTCCTCGTTGATCTTATCGGACACATTTCGCGCTGGCGCGTAGACCAGCTTGCATATTGAGTCCTCCTGAACAGTCTCCACGGTGGGGTATGAGAGGACCTCGTCCTTGGTCTTGATGACCATCACAGCGAGCTCCTATAGCATCAAGAAGTCAGACATCATTCTATCCTGAGTGCAACAAATTTCGGTGTTCTGATCTAGCACGAACCATCTTGAAGTAGGCCCACTTCTCCGCATACAGCGGCCGGTCCTTGAGAGCCTCAAGAGCCTCGGGAATGTCTTCCTTTGAGTTCACACGGAAATTGCCTGGAACAACTCAGTATATCGCCCACAATTTCACATTTCTCCCGAAACAATGCACTCACCCCGTCCATCATACGCCATAGTCTTGGACTTCAACATCATCGGGTAACCCAATTGTTCTCCAATCTCCGCCAATTCCTCGGGTGTGTTCTTGACCAACTCGCGATGATCGGCCATGGGAATTCCGTACTTGCGCAAGTGCTCCTTCTGGTTGAACTTGTTCTGAATGGTCCGAATGGCTTGCCAGCTTGGCTCAACCTGAACCTCGGAGGCGACCTCTTCGAGGGCATAGGTGTCGACGTGCTCGATCTCGGCGGTCATGACGTCGCAGGACTTGGCCAATTTTCGCACTGCCTCGCGCTCCTTGAAAGAGCCTGTAACGTGCCCATCGTGGAAGCTGATCTGCTTGGCTGGCGAGTTTTCGGCGTCCAGAATATTGGCTTGGATGTTCAGACGGTTGCAAGACTCAACCAGCATACGGCCCAGCTGGCCACCACCGAGAATTCCAACCTTGCGTGAGTTCCACATGGTGATCGGCAAATAGAATCGCAATTGTGAACTGTGAACTGTAAAAAGTTACGGAAAGAGTCATTCGCTGCCCCGCCGAAAATTCGCGGAGAATCACATGACCCTATCGATAAGCTATGCGGCCGCCCAATCAGCAGCACGTGTCATCACCGCCCCAAGCTCGTAACTTGATCGCCATCTTATGCAGCTTGCAACACCTCGACAATGTCGCTAGGTAGGAAGCTCCCCTAGAGATCAGACAAGGCTTAGCTGACTGACCAATTATTCCAGATGAAGAAGCCCTTGAGGCAGTCGCCAATGGCGGCTCGATCGACCTGTATGTGTGAATCTGATAGCAAAGCCACCCTGGATCACGCGAGGCTGATAGGTGCTCCGATAATAGCGAGAAATGGGCAGGAATAGTCGTTCCGCTGCTGGAACGGTTGGAATATGTGAGTTTCATAAATGCGACTTGCATCTGCCTGTCTCTGATATCCTTTCCCAGAATGTCTACAACGTTTTCCCCATGCCAAAGGTGCCACCAAGCTCCTACAACCCACAGCCGCGTCCCCCACCCTCCGAGTCCAACGCAGTTCCAGAGAGTAGCAATAAGGAGAATACTGCCCCTGGAGACCTACAATCTCCCCAACAGCCACAGCAGACCAGTGGTTCGCCGCCTTCAAACGAGCTCGTACCGGATTCTCAGCCCCAGCCTTCTTCTCCACGGACAAATGACGTTCTCCCCCCGCCGCTCGCGCTTCTCCTAGGATCTATTCGCTCGTCCGTCCAATCCTTCTTCGTGGCAAAGCCGCCGCACACGATCCAGAGACTTGCGGAGCTCATTCTCCGGCCAACAGCTCATTATAAAACACTTCCCGCGTATCTGCGAGCCGTGGACCGCGTTGTTTCCGTCACCAGTGGTGCCGACGTGTTCCCTTTCAGCGCTCCACCTAGCACCAGTGCGCAGTCGAATGGGCTGGTACATCCCACCAATAGCGCTGGGGCCTATCTGACACCGGACTATACCTCTGGTCTGGGAAGTGATGAGTCGCTAGGAGGAGCTCTCCTTACGCCAATTCCGTGGTTAACCAATGCTTCTTTCGAGGGTGGGGATGGCGGTATAGCGGATGCACGTATGTTGCCATACAATATCTTAGGAGGATACTGTCTTAGACCTCAGGCTGACTGATCTGCAGAAGGACTCACAACGATCCAGCCACAAGAGGTCGAAGCTGCAACGACAGCAACGGCCGAAGGCGATGATGAGGCCAAAGTTGCTTTCGGTTCCCCGCCAGCGGACACTTCAGAGGAAGTTCCTCATGCCCGGGGTCCACCAGTTGTTGGTGTAGAGGATTTAGGATTACAAGATGGGAAGGGCGTGGAGATGACCCTGAGTGAGCCCATTGCACAGGATGGCGCGTCGGATCCATCCTCGGTGACTTCCACCCTTGTCGATGGGGAGTCAGTCCCCGCCGATAAAGACGGAGATATCGTACTTGATGATAGCACGCCCAAGGAGGAAACCAAAGCGGACGACACGACAGCTGCAGTAACCAAGACGGGTGACGAACAATCCGAAGAAGCAGGAGATTCTGCGCCAGCTGCGCAGATCGGGAAGGAAGAGTGAAGGACCCGTACGCTATGTGTCTGTCTATCTGGGACTGTTTTCTGCCAATTATTGGCATGATGAGTTATGACCTGCAATCCTTTTTGGTACATTGATCAGAGAGTAATGAGATCCCTATTGTTAAAATTGATACTGAGTGTAGTCATGTCGAATGTCGGCGACTAGTCACAATAGATACTGTGCATGACCCCGTTGTACTCTGTCCAACTGTCTTCTTCACCAGATCTCCTTTTCTCTTTCCCGGAGTATCGTAGTGGTGGTTTGACCTTTATTAACCAAATGGCATTCTCCCGTCGCTCAACCTCTGCGTCCGTCTGTCATGGACGTGAACCCCGATGAATTCTCGAGCTCATCGACGAGAGTCCTTACGCCATGATTCAAGCACCCTGGGGGTCCCTGAATTCCCAGAGTCTACGCATTGCATAGGAAATATTGGAATACCACTTGCTCCCGTACGGATCAATTTCCTTGTCCATCATTCGACAGCGGACCAGTATCTGCCAGCAGTGTACAAGATATTCGTCTAACGCCTTTCGGTTCAATGGATGCAGCGGGTCGTGCGGTATAGTGAGACTTCTTTTAGCGTGATACCTCGCCCCCTCCATGACGAGCAGGACGAGCTCAAATGGTAGATATTGCAACAGGATGCCCTGAACGATAGTGACATCGGATGCATCGGGGATATGTTGAGGCCGTGGATTCTCCAGAGTGATGAAGTCGTCAAAGGGCAAGATTCCATAGTGCTTCTTTTTGATTGTTCCCCGCTGGCTGCAAAAGTCTAGTTTATTGCGCCAGCGCTCTTTGTCTGCTACGCTGGCCTCGAATGTGGGGAACAGGTCAGGAGCTATGTCGAAGAAGTTTCGATGGGGGTAGGTCACAACCTCGGAGGTCGTGCTAGGAGCGGTGCAATCTCTCAGCATTGCTTGGTATGTTCTTGTATCCCGGTAGTCTTTCTCGGGTTTCCCACCTGCTGCTGGATCCCAGAACTCGGGGAGGCAGTAGATTATATTAAGACTCAGGTACGCCGATAAGGCATGTCTGTGGAGCATGTCCCAGCCGGCGTCATAGGTTCCCGTCTGTACACCCATTGTTAGTATAGGATACTAGGAAGCTCAACAGAAGGTATGATGGCAAAATTTACTCTGCAATGACACCGGCCCACACGCTCCCACTTGCCGATTGTCGCATTTTCATGGGCGCATGCACGAAGCACTGGTTCCATCTCGCCATGGATGATCAAGAGCTTGATGATTTCAAGGTTGAAAAAGCCCTTCCCATTGACCTCCGTGAAATTGCCGCAATCATGTTCTCGTAGGTCATGTAAGAATGCAGACGTGAGCCTCATCTCTCGTGGAATCGGGGGACTCTTGTCTACCCCGGTTTCGATGGCATCGGGGCTCTCCCGCCACTGGAACACATCGTCTTCGATCTTTCTTATTATTCGATCATCAAGCAATACTTCATTGTCGGCTGGAGGGTCGTATCGTGCAGGGTATTTGGCCCTTGCAGATGCTACAGCCTCTTCTAGAAGATCGGAAACGATTCTGGAAAATTCGCTCAACTTCCGACGTGGGGTTCTGAATGGGCAAGAAGGTAAGCTTTTGGAATTGCGGACGTAGTCGCCGGAAGTGCCGTCTGACCAGCGTAACAGAGATGCTATCAGATCCCATGGAATTTTGTGTGGCTGGTGGGCCATTTGGTAGACTCGAGGGGCGGGGTTGATAATGAGACTGCTCACGAGGAGAGAACGTTGGTGGACACTCGATCAAGACAAGGGATGCCAGGCAAAGAGGCCCTATCAGTATTTGTCAGTCAAATCATATAGCAATCCAGAACCCTGGATGAGTAGTTATTGGGAGGATTCAAGAGACAAAGACCTGCAAGGCTGGGCAAGGTGACAGTCATCCATTGGTAAAATGACCACTAGTACCAATGTGCTCGTTGTACAGCGGCCATTAAGGTACAGTAGCAACACAAGCAACGGAACTGCTCATGAGCTTGGCTATTCTTGTCCATCCTATAGTTATTAAATCAGAGCTATTCGCTAGTCCGCTCTTCTGGTCATCTCGGATGACTCAGAGTCGACTCGAATCCGAGATTCGAGAAATCTCCCCATCAGGACCCTCGCTCGCATGAACCCCTCTCGTGATTCATAACTTGCATTGGCAACCTGACCGGGTCTTTGTACATCCCGAATCCCCAACCTCTTCATCACTCTCACTATGAGCGGCTACGAGCACTCAGACCCCTTCGACGAGGGCATGCTCGCCGTCAGTTCCATCCATCGACTTCACTATGAACAGTATGGAAGACCGGACGGAAAACCAGGTAAAACCATTCCTATCAAGCCAACCATGAAACAATTGCCCGTTCCTCTATTGATCCATCCACTCACTCACTCACTCACTCACCAATTACTCCTCTCCAGTCGTGTATCTCCACGGTGGTCCAGGAGGACACAGCCAAAAGAGCAATACATCCTACTTCAACCCATCCATCTACCGCGTCATCCTCTTCGACCAACGCGGCACGGGCAAATCCCAACCAGCCCCCGAAATCCGGGAAAATACGACCCCAAACCTCGTCACCGATATCGAGGCTCTTAGGGTACACCTCCAAATCCCAAAATGGCACCTCGTCTACGGCGGTTCCTGGGGATCGACCCTGGCTCTACTCTACGCACAAGCATATCCGGACGTCGTAGGCTCCCTCGTGGTCTGGGGGATATTCACAACCAGTAAATCCGAAATAGACTGGTTCCGCGGTCCCATCGGTGCAACGACTATCTTCCCGGAGGCATTTGAAGCTTTCGTTCACCACCTCCCGCCCGAGGAACAGGGTGATCTCACGGGGAATTACTACAAGAGGTTAACGTGCGACGACCACGCCATACGTGTTGCGGCTGCGAGAGAGTGGAATAGATGGGACTTGAGTATTGGTTCGTTGAAGACCGACGAGACGACATTCAAGCAGTTGGATGATGAGGGCTGGTCGGTTCCGCATGCGGTTCTGGAAGCGCATTACTCGGTGAATGATTTCTGGTTGGAGGATGGTCAGATCATGAAGGAGGGCAATTTGGCGAAGATACGTCATCTTCCGGGTATGTCGAACGCGCGCGTGAGTATGGAGAATTGCTGTTGACTCTGGTGGTTATAGTGACTATCATTCAGGGACGGTATGATATGGTCTGCCCTCCGCAGAAAGCATGGGAATTGCATAAAGCGCTGCCCAATTCGAAGCTGATCTGGATCCCCGATGCCGGCCATACGCCCAAGGTATGACATGAAAGACCGGTGTAGATACTTATACCTAGATCGACCGAGTTGACATTATTTAGGAACCCGGTACCCGAATCAAGTTGCTCGAGGCGTGTGACGAATATGCAAATCAAGACTTTGGGGCGTAACAAAATGCTCCCAAACTATTCATTGAATCTAGTCCTCAGTATCTGACATGACGGTGCTTCCAATGACCGCTTGACAAAACACTACGAAAATGAGACAGTTGGCCCAGTACATAAGGTTATGTCAGGTTTATGACGGAATAGCCTATATTGAATTATATAAAGTATCTGTACAAAGGAGGTATCGAGTATTTGGGAATGAAAAAGAACAATATAACCCAGATTTGCAACTCCACCAACAGAGAGAGACAGAGGGCCAGGAAGTGCAGCTCAAAGTAAGCCAAGACAGTCATGAAACACCACGTGAAAACCTATCCATATCCCATTTTCCAAACCCGAACATCTGTGGTATCATTTCCATACCCACCAGCCCAAGCCAGCATTCCACATTAAACGAGAGACTCAACAGTCTGTAGCGGGACGTAACCTTCGTCCCCGCGAACAACGGTCCGCCTTCCAGTTACCGTGGCCCATAGCGATGCCACACTATCACCGATCCAGCGTGTGATAGACCGAGGATGATCCGACAGAATAGTAGCGGGAGACCACCAGCCAGACTTACGCGAGACGCCATCGGCAGGAATAGCTCCCGAGCTCAGTTCCTTCTCCAACCGCTCGACCTTCATCCAGGAAGGACGATGCCAAAGTTTCAGAAGCAGGCTGCTCACCACGACCGAGACACTGGATGCTGCCATTGCAGCACCGGCAGCCATAGGAGGGAGCATAAAGCCTGTGAAGGGGAGGAAAAGACCCATGGCAAAGGGGAGACCGATGACATTGTAGAGGCATGCCCAAATGAGGTTGAGCTTGATGCGGTTGAAAACAGAGCGCGAGAGTGACAGACTGGCTGGTACAGAGAGCAGGTCGTCCGGGCGCATGAGAACAATGTCCGCAGCTTCCATGGCGACGTCGGTGCCGGAGGCTAGTGCGATACCAACACATGCAGTTGCCAGTGCAGGGGAGTCGTTGATACCATCACCGACCATGGCGATGCGCTCGCCTTTGAGCTGGAGTGAAGAGATGATGGCACGCTTATCGGATGGAGAGACAGATGCGTGGACGGCTGATGCTGGAATGCCCACGGCCGAGGCGATCGAGAGCGCGGTGGACAATGTGTCGCCTGTCACCATGGAGGTAAATATTCCCATGCGGTGGAGGGCCGCGACTGCAGCCACTGCAGTATCCTTGACGCTGTCGCGAAGGGAGATGGTTCCCGCGTAGCGATTATCGATGGCAACATGGATGCGCGTGACGCCAGAGGCAGCACTGGTTGTTTTAGGTGCCGCCTGTCCCGTCTCCTCTGCGGCTCCCAAAGAGTCAGGGTCAGCCGCCGCGGGCACGGGGACGTCTCTTGATCGTAGGAAGTCAGCATTGCCCAAAAGAACCTGGTAGCGAACACGCTCCACGCTGGACGTGGGCTCGACGACAGCCGAGATACCCTTCCCGACACATGCATCAAAATCACCGACACTTCCGGGCAACCCAAATTCCCCTGAATGACCAGATTCAGACTTGGCTTCGGAAAGAATGGCACGGCCAATTGGGTGTTCACTGCCCATCTCTGCGAGCCCGACAATCAGCCACCACAGTTGGCGGCGCCAGTCATTTGCCGTCCAGTGAGGCTCCATCCGAACGTGATCCACACTCATCTTACCCGTAGTAAGGGTGCCAGTCTTATCGAAGACAACGTGATTGATTTTGGTGGCGGCTTCGAGAACAGCGCCGCCCTTCACGAGGATACCGTGGTCAGCACCAACACCGGTTCCTACCATGACGGCGGTCGGGGTGCTGAGACCCAGGGCGCAGGGACAGGCGAAGACGATGACCGAAATGCAGAGCTTGAGACAGACCATCACTCGGCCACCGCTGTCCTCCGACTGGAAGATTTGGGGCGGGTTGGACAAGATATGGCTGAGGAACATCCAGCCGAAGAAGGTAATCAGGCCAAGACCGATGATTGTCGGGACGAAATAACCAGCCACAATGTCAGCCATGCGCTGAATCGGGGCGCGACTCGTCTGTGCATCCTGGACGAGCTTGACGATCTGGCTCAACTGGGTGTCTCTGCCAGCCCGAATGACCTTGAAGTCGATTGAGCCTGTTCCATTCACGGTACCAGCGATCACATGGCTACCCTTCTTCTTGTGGATGGGTAGGGCTTCACCAGTGATCATGCTCTCATCGACGTAACTTTCACCACGAATAACAATGCCGTCCGCGGAGACCTTATCACCGGGACGCAAGATGACGATGTCGCCCACTTGGATCAATTCAGTATCAATGAGTTTCTGCTTTACCGTGGTATCGTCTGCTAACGTGGGCCTAGACTCATTGGATGTACCTTGCGAGGTCCACCCGTCGGCCAGCTTCTCGGCGGCAATAGGGTCTTCGTAAATGGTTGTCATCGACGGAGCCAAAGACATGAGACGGGAGAGGGCCGCGGATGTCTGGCCCTTCGCCCGATTCTCTAGCCATCTTCCCAGCGTGATGAATGTGATGAGCATGGTACTGGTATCAAAAACAGTGCTTGGTCGTGTGTGTTGATCACTGAAGATAGCCATGAACATGGTGAAGCAGCTATAGAAGAAAGCTGCGGATGTTCCCAACATGACGAGGACGTCCATGGTCGGGGATTTATGTTTGAGTGATTTATAGCTGGTGACGTAGAACCGTCGACCAATGCCAAATTGTACAGGTATCGTCAGACCGAAACAGATCAAGTCACCCAGATAAAGACCTGGGATCAGCTGGAATCTGCCAAAGTCAATTGGGCGCAGATACATGGGGAAGACCATGTTGATGAGGAACACTGGAACAGCGAAAGAGACCGACGTTATGAAAGCGCGCCGCCATTCCTGAATTTCTTTCGTTTTGGACAAGGACTCCAACTGCGCATTTGTGTCATCATGATCAGAAATCAGTGCATTGTAACCAGCACCCTCGATGATTTCAAATACAGATCGGATGCCGATAACGGATGTGTCGAAAGCAACAAGTAGGTGGGAAGTTGCTAGTTTGACAGACGCAGACTGAATGCCTGGTCGGCTGAGAAGCTCTTCTTCGAGTGCTGAAGCAGAGGTTGCGTCCCTTAGACCGTGAATGCTCATACTGAGCTGCTGGGTTTTCCGTGATAGCGGCTCTTGGGTTTCAGATGAGACGATAGACGCATCAAAGCCGGCATCCTCTACCATGGTGACTATATTTTGTGCAGGCAGTACAGACGGATCATGTACGATCACCGCGCGTTCAGCTAGCAGGCTGATGTTGAGCTGGATCACGCCGTCCACATTGGCAACGGCGTTTTCGACACTGGACGTACACGCCCCACAGGTCATACCACCGATGGCAACCGTCGTCACCAGATGCCCTGACTTGTTTTCCGTCCGGTTGGCGAGTCCAGATGAATCCTCTTGGCCGGCAGGCGATTCTCTTGTTTCGACCACGCGAGCACCAAAGCCACGGTCCTCGATCAACTCTGCGATTTGCTCCGGCGTGATGGTCTGGGCATCGTGCTCCACTACCGCGCGCTCGGAGAGTAGCGATACGGTGACCGAGTTCACCCCGGCGACGTCTTTGAGTCCACTTTCCACCGCAGATGTGCATGCGCCGCAGGTCATCCCTTCAATGGCGAGCGTGGTCGTTGATCTCGTCTCCGAACCACCCAGCGCATCGAGGTCCGCTGATCTGACATGTTCCTCAGTGGAGAGGACTGCGGCATCGAATCCGCAATCTTCAATCATTTCTGCAACTTTGGCGGGCGAAAGTATAGACGGATCGTGTTGAACGGCGGCGCGGCCCATGATCAGACTAACTGATACATCGCCCGCCCCTTCCACCCCCTTAAACGCACCCTCAACGGCAGAGGTGCAGGCACCGCAGGTCATTCCATCCACTTTAATCGTTGTTGTGGCCATGGTGGGCAGTCGATCGGCGGGGAACGTATTGTCCGCACCACGAAATTCTTCAGACATGGCGATACGATAAACCCAGACGGTCGGGGGAAAGCGTGGCTATTGCATGGAGGACGGAGATGCGCTCAGGAATACGTTCGGGGATGTGATCGGGGATGAGCACAGCTTGTGCGCAATGAGTAGAGAGGATAGCGTGATGCACGACGGATGCTCTCGGATCGACAGAAACAGGTCAGATCATTCCCCGATTAAGGCTAACAAGAAGTTAAAAGAAGCAAAGAAGCACCAAGGAAGTAGGAAGAGGAGACTGATGAGCCCGAAAGGCCACGTCGAGGAAAGGCATCTGAGAAGAAGAAGCGATGAGGAATGCAATTAGTTTCAAAGCAGGCGGGAAGTGGATGGGAGATTCGCCGGGAGTGGAGCGAGCCACGCTGAGGAATGCGCAGAAAGGCCGCGACCCCTCTCCACCCTATGTGGCTTCCTTCCACCTGGTGATAACGCAGGCAATTTCCCAACAATCACACGCCCTATCAGGTGCCCTGTCATCAACAAATTTTTATGACGGAGTATAGTAGACGACTCTGAAACGCCGAATGAAGTGTCAGAAAGCTGTCAGCGGTAGTCATCGTTTCAGATCGCCCGCGATGCTGGGTGGCCTGTACAACAACCAGGATTGAATAATATCGAGGGCTTTTACTTGGATACAAAGTGGTGCAAGGGTGGACCATATCGAGAAGGGACTATATTGATATCTAGTCATAATATCCATATGATATTTGGCTATCATTCAAGAAGTATACAGACCAGACTCCAGTCTCTGGTCGCCAACTGATTTACTCGAGACTGCTCCATAGTACAAGGCAGTCCTGCCAAGGCGGCCCGCACTTTTAACTGACGCCATCCTTCTCCGTCTGGGTCACCGCCCGATCTACCGCCCTTTTATCCGCAGGCCGAACCAGCGGCTGTTTGTGTTGGATGACATTAACGACACGACAAAAAAGTTCATGGCACGACAAGGCTAGTCCTAATGAGGAACCCCCCCCTTTTCAATACAGAATGCGATATTCGAAATACACATAAGTTACCTACGGAGTCCTTCTGTATAATTCACATTAATACTTCTCGCTAATAACGTTAGCGACTGTATATGCGACCTCTATGGATTTACCCCTATAATAGACTAAGTTAATATTCTTCTCCCCCTCCTACTATATCGCCCTCTTTTACGGTCTTTTCTACAGTCTTTTTAATAGTCTTTTCTAAGGTCTTTTCTAAGACAAGGCTATACATCCATATAGACTCTACTGGTATTCTCTAAGTCTCAAATGTAGCATTCTGCATTGAAGAGGTAGCGCTCCTCATTAGGACTAGCCTCGTTATGCCATGAACTTTTCTGTCATGTCGTTAATGCCACCCTTTGTGTTTGCATTATCTGCAAACCAGCTCCATCCACTCCATCCAGATCCATACTATCACCTATCAGCATCATTGCTATTACCTCCCGATCTCGACTTTCTTCCTGCCTCTACGATCCTTAGCTGGAGCTCATATTTTACCGACATCGCTCTCCGTCACTTAATCCTTCCGCCCACCCCATCCTCCAACAGAAGACTCCTCTGGTTCCTCCCCATTGACCGCAACTATCTAAATGGACCAAACACACGCTCGTGCCCTGGAGGCTCTACAGCCCTTCGTCGCCCTAGCTACATCAAACAGTGCAACATCACCTCGATTCGTGGCCAACATTGTCACAAATGCCACCTCTGCACCCCAAACATACGTCTTCGCCGAGCTGCTTGAGACCCCAACGATCCAGACTCTAGCGGGCCCCAATACCCCCGCCGAGTATCAGGGCTACTTCAAGCTGCTCGAGATCTTTGCATGGGGTACATGGCAGGATTACCAAGGTCAGCAACGAACACGCAGCTCCAAATGTCCGCTACATATCGACTCCACGAACAACAAGCTAACAACAACACCAGAAACCCCCAATCTCCCAAAACTAAGCGCCGAACAAACCCTCAAACTCCGCCTTCTCTCCCTCCTCACCCTCGCCTCAACCACAAAGCCCCTCACCTATCAAGCCCTCATGAAGTCCCTCTCCCTCTCCACATCCGCCGACCTCGAATCCCTCGTCACAACCGCCATCTACGCAAACCTAATCACCGCCCGTGTCTCCCCAGCATCAACCCCACCTACCATAAACGTGACCTCCGTGGCACCGCTCCGCGACGTACCACCCCAATCCCTGCCTAAAATGGTCACTCTCCTCACGGATTGGGAGTCCCGCTGCGGTGAGGTCGTGGCGGATCTGGAAACCGAAATCGCCCGGGTCAAGGCGAATGCCCAGAAACGCTATGCCAAGGAACAGGCGTACCGGGAGCGGTTGGAGGATGCGGTGCAGCGGCGACAGGCTGAGACGGCGCGGGATGGTGGGAATAGTGAGGATGGACGTGCCGGTAAGTCCGGGTTTGGGCGGGGAGTTGATCGTATGGCTTTTGGATTGGGGCGCAATAAGCGGGAAGCTGATGATTTTGATGAGGATGATGGCTTTGTGTCTGGTGACAATGGGGAGTCTTCCTCGCGTATGGATATTGACGAAGGCTCTGGTGTGGGCCGGGGAGGGAGCAGGCAGACGAAGCGAGTTGTCGGACGGAAGACTTAGGGGTGGGGGATGCTCATGAATATCACGATCCTATCATGTTGCTTAGACAGTTACACGAAGCGAATGCACGCGCTTTTGGCCCAGATCCAGGAAGTTTTGCAAGAGGTGGTTACAAGGTGATGTACACGAAAAAAGTAGCACCTAAGCAGGTTGCATTCGTCAAGCCCTAATGGCAACACTCATGGAGAACATAAGTACAATACAATTGACCAGAATCAAACGGGGTATTGGTAGAAAAGAAGAAAGCGCAAACAAGATGAAGAGGTCAACAAGGAGAAATATGGACACGACAAAGAGAAGGAAAAGATGGCAGAACTGCGAGTGAGATGGATGGGAAATAGTGGAAAGAAGAATGAAATTGGAAGGGATCGGACCGAGCGCATCGGGGATTAAGGGGTCACGATTCTGCCCCTCTTTTCCAGGGTTTCGAAGGATTATGCTTCGCAGAAGCAGGAGAGAACAGAACGGAGAAAGGTACTCGCTGGCAGGACATGGCAGATAGCGCGAAATTACCAGCATGGCAAGGACGGCTAGGGAGGTCTAGGGTTTTTGGGCGCGGCAGAAGTAGACAAAACATTTACAGCATGGTGCCAGGCACGAAGATGAACAAGATGCTGAGAGCTGCTGCGGTCAGGAACGCAACCAAAGCAGTGACCACGGCGCGTTTGTTCAAGAGCTTGCGAACATAGGGCTCGCGGATCAGGCCCCAGTTCATGAAAGTGTATTCACTGTAGCCGAGGAATGCCATGACGGGATCAATCCGATATTGATAGGAGACGATAAAGTACGCCGCAACCACGAACGGGAGAATGACCCAGCAGCGGATGTGGCGAGGCTTGTTGCGCAGAACGACGTAGAAAGCACCCCAGAACCCTCCGCCGAAGCTGATTAGGGCAAAGGCAAGACGGGCGAGGATGCTCAGTGGCACCAGGTTACCCAGAGCCTTGGCCTGCAAGAACCCGGGGAAGGCATCACGCTCCATGGCCTGGAACACATAGTCTTTTGCCGGGTCAAACACCTCGGGGTCATCGCGACCGTCATCTTCAATCAAGTTGATACATGTTGAAACCATGGTCTCTGGCAAAATTATCTCTCGCTCGGAGCCGGGGAGCAGGTAGGTATAGAGAATCTTCTCAGCGCTGGCGCGAATGTCATGGCGGCCCACCGTGTGTCCAGGGGAGTTGGAATCGCCGCCGTTTCCGTTACCAGTGCTGGGTCGGTAATCATTGGATGGGGTGCGCTGGGCAGACTGCTGAGAGCCGATACTGTTTTGAGGAGAATGCGAAGAAGTGTGCCCATCAGAGCGCAGGAAAGCAGACAAGCGGTGGTCGGCATCGCGGTTCTTTTCATTATGGTGCAGACGGGAAGGACCAGCCTCCACGAGCGGGATATCGCCCAAGTTCTCCAGGTTTTCTAGCATGGCGGAGGAGCGCTTGCTGTCAGCTCTCTCCATGTCCGGTGTCGCGACAAGGACGGAACGGCGAAGCTCTCGGACATAGTGGCGGCAGAGGGACATGTGTTGGGAGACATCGAGCCTGGTCGGATGAAACATACGTTAGACGCTAGTCAAAGGAGTACTGCTCACGTACGAGTCAAGATCACTTACCAAAAATCCAGGTAGTCCACAGAGCGTTGCTGGTCGCGCATGTAAATGTAGAACGAGAAGAGATCGACCGGAGCCAGGGTACGGCGGCTGAGGACCTCAAAAAGCGTTGGAAGACGATTCCGCTGCTCCACGTCCAGGAATGAATCGGGTGACGCCATTATGTGCGTATTTTTGTGATTTTTCTTAACCGGTGAATTATCCAGCACCGCAAGAGGTTGGGGTCGAAAAGAAGGAGGGGTGATAAAGGGGTAGCGAGCGTGACGAGTCGCGTAGGTTCAAGCAGGATATTTCAAGAAGCCTGAGGCAAAGAGGCAGATGACAAGTGAGGCCTGAAGGAGTGAATTGCACTTGGTGCGGTACCGGAAAGGAATATTTTGTTCAAGCAGTCGAAAATATCGTCGCAGGACGGACGATGATGGTTGCTGGGAACAGATGACCCCCTAGCGACCACAGTAACGGATCAACGAATCAGCATACAGCTGCACCGCAGCAACTGTGATAACCCAGGGAGTACAGAACAAAAAGACCAGAGCGGAATTGAAACGAACGAGGGCCGACGCGAAGGTAAGGGTTGAAGCAAATACGTAGGGGAGAGGAGGCCAGCCTCTGCATATTCGAAGGCCTGAAACAACACCGCATTAACATTTATCCGACCAGTGGACCCACCTGTCATTTCCCCAAAAACCCAAAAGTTGCCATTGCATCATATTCTGTTTTTAAAGTTATGTGATTAACAGAAGAATTTTGAAGCGGAATTGATGAGGATATTTTAACATAATTTGATTGTCGAATGCCATCAGCTCATATTTTCATGCAAAAGAGGTTCTTGTACTCCCGCTAAAAGTAATTATCCACAGGGTATTGGTAAATCCAGTCACCTCCATAACGCCGTCCCGTGTAAACACCCGCCCAATAAAGCATGCTCAATGTCCGTCGGCAAGATGCTAGCAAATGTGAATTAGCAAGATGGTAAATAGCAAAATAACCAAATATGGTGACATAAAACTCACCGACCACTCGGGAATATTCCGAATCTGTTGGAACATAAACTTCTCGAGCTTATTAGCACTCTTGGCGTACGGAGTGTTCTCGTTGTTGTATCGCCGACAATTGTCAAAGATCAACATCGCATCCTTGATGAAGTCCTGTGGAGTCGGATACATGTCCTTCTCGTGCTTCTCTTCCATAGTCGACAGATCCATTGGTTCCATAATCACCTCGTAGTAGTCGGGCACTTCATCACGGTTCACGGGTTGGGTAAATGGCCATGCGGCACTGTGGTTTTGCATATCATTCAGCAGGTGCAATAATTGGTTATAGTTGGGCCCATGGCGAGGTTGACGAGCCAGCTCATCCATATCAGGCGACCATCCAGATTCCTTGACTGCGGGAATGGTGAGAGGATCGATCTTGGTGACTCCGTTCTTCCACTCCTTCGGGGGAGGATGGATAATATGAGACCGACTGAATGCACGAATCTTGGCCTGGACGGCCTCTTTCTGCTTCAAGAGCATCCGGCCCATTTCGAGATACCGAATCTTGGGTAGCATAGTGCACTGCATAATGGTACCACCTTCGTAATCCTTAATGTAGCCCATCCAGATCGACTTATCAAGGGTAATTTCTTTTGTAAAGCCTTGCTTTTTGAAGTATCCAATGGCGTAGTTGTCGGCGTAGGTGAGGAAATGCATAATGGGGGATGTGGCTTTCACGTAGTCCTGTTGCGAAACGGATTAGACCCGATGGTAGGAAACTTATGAGGCCCTTGGCTTGCTTACCTTGAGATGGGACATCAGATGTGCACCATATCCTTTTACTTGCTGGTCGGAGGAAATGGCACAGAACACAATTTCAGCAAAGGTACGGCTGTTGAAAGGTCGGTAGGTGATCCCTCTGTTCGTGCTTAGTTAGTGGCCGTCGAAAACCACGCTGCCAGTCTGTTTACTAACCCCACAACCTCCAGAGGATGCTTCACAATAGCGATGGATAAATGCGATCGGTCATAGACGAGTCGAGCAATATAATCCTTGGGCATTTTCGGAAGTTGTTTCTGGAAGATGCACTTCAGGCCCGTCAGGACGATGAAGCTGTCGTGCGATCCGTCATTATTCACGACTCGGAACTCAATATCACCTCGGCGCTCTTCTAAAACCGCGGGCTATACGTTCATGTCAGTCTTTTCCTGCGTCCAGAGTAAAGAGAGGGGCAAGTCAAGAAGGGTGGAATCTCACCTTCTCGGGGAATGGCACAATGCGCAGCGGGGGCTTTCGTAATGGGCCATCGTCCTAGATTGCGTCGGTCAATACACTGGCGTGCGGTCAGTCGAATGAGACAAACCTCTTTCTCTGGGGAATCAGTTCGCGCTTTCTTGCTGGCTTGCTGTTGAGAATCCGGGGAAGCTGCCTCCTCCGACGCTTTCCGTTTGGTACCTAAATATCATCAGTGCCTGTTTATCAATGGCCATAGCAGTTAGGACTTTTAAAAAACTTACTCTGAGGTGTTTCGACCGCCATGGTTGCGTAGTTGAAGCTTGTGGTGACCCGTTCTAGGCGCGTTCTTGAGATGAGATAACGCCTCCCCGGGAATCGGATCGGGACAACATTTCCCCGTATGGGCCAGATCGACCAGTCGCGCATTTGCTGTATACTTCTCGAGTCCCGCATCTCTCCTGTTCATCACAGGCCCATTATCTCAACCGATTCCTCCGTTATTCACAGATCTTCCACTCATGTCTCTGAACGAGGTCTGGGAGGCAGCCTCCGCAACCCCTTTCCACCCTCTTGTGTCTAAAGACAGTCAATTCTCCGTCGGCTTCACCTTGCTCCTTATTGGTAAGGATAGCTTGCTGTGGCAGCTTCGACTTGCGCACCGCTGACAGTGTACAATATAGCTATCATCTTCACGGGACTCTTTGGCTTGAGTGAGTGCTGTTCGATCGTATTTTCATTAATAATGGCTAACATCTGCTATCAGACCGGTCGTTCCTGAGCCTTGCTTCCCTCGGCCTCCCAGCTTCATTACTTTTTGGGTGAGTGGAAACAGTGTTGTGGCTACCTACAATGAGCAAGATGCTGATAAGATTCTGCGGTTAGTTTCGGAGCCGTATTCACAATCTGCGCGGTCGGAGTCTATGTTTAAAGCGATACCCACACTCTGTCCCCTCCATGTACCATAAGTGGGGAATTCAAAGGGACCTGTACTGCTAGAAGCTCCCAAATCATCACACACACCTCAAATCCTTGCCTCCTACCTGATCGAACTATATACTACCCTTCTTAAAGGCTGGGTCTAGCAACCCCTCCCGCAACAATGGAGCCGCTATTCACTGGTGTCTCGAATAATGCTCGACACCTCTACACTCTGCTCTCCTGCATTGGCTTTGCATCAAAAGCCACGGTTCAGATCACCCCCGACGGTCTGCGTTTCTCAGCGGAGGAAGGCCGCGTCATCCAAGGACTAGCCTTCCTCGACAAATCTCTCTTCACCAGCTACACCTTTAAGCCATCAAGTGAGCACAGAGAGTCCAGCCAAAATGAAGACTCCTCCGTTGAAATGGAATTCCCCCATTTTGTCGTGTCGCTATCCGCTCTCCTTGAGACACTGAAGATCTTTGGAATCAACGACTTGGCCGAACCCAATGGCTCCCGAGACACCAACATCCCTCAGACCAATCCAGCTTCAAGCGCATTCAGTGCACCAGCCCTGCTCATGGACCGCTCATGCACCCTTCAATACGCGCAACATGGCGCTCCCCTCAGCATCGCCATCACCGAAGCAGGTGTGAAAACGACTTGCGAGCTGGTGACGTACGAGCCAGAAGGTGCTGAAACCGACATTCCACTGCAACGCGATGCTATCATCATGAAAATCATCATGCGTTCCGCCTGGTTGCACAATGCCATTGCCGAACTCGACTCGTCAACTCCTACCGTTCTCAAACTATCAGCCTGTGCCAACCGGGAACCGTACTTTGCTCTAACGGGTGCTGGCGGTCCCTTCAGCGAATCCACGGTCGAGTTCTCCATTGACCAGCATAATGAAATTACTGGCGGTGCTACTCAGGGAGGCGATGCGTCACAAACCCACAAAATATTGACAGATGATGGAACTTCGCGCCCCCGCGCTACCAGAGCCAAGGCAGCGCCAACGGTCACTGAGACCTTCCAAGTATCACCCCCATCATCTATGGGTGAGCGGATCCGACAGAGCTATCGGTTTGCACTCATCAGAAAGGCAGCCCGGGCTATGGCTGTCGCTAACAAAGTTAGTATTCGTGGCGATCGGCAGGGAGTACTAAGTTTCCAATTTATGGTTGACCTTGATGACAATACACCAACTGGAAGATCCGTTGGTGCAGGTGTCAAGGCGCTGGCGGGTCCAAGATGTTTTGTGGATTTTCGATTTGTACCGCTTCTCGATGAAGAGGCTGAGATGGATGTACTAGACGAGGAGGAATAGTAGGAATTTATTGATTCATTGTTACATGTTGCATACGTATTCGCCTATGCTAATATCCGCTGAACAAATTTTCCCATGTGTATTGGAAGTATTAGTAAAGAAATCTTGAAAAGAGATCTGCTCCTAAACGCCTAGAATGAAATGCTAAGAATGCAATCGGGAGGCTTTTGGTATCCGTCAAGGAAACCTGCCACGGTTCGGCGTGAGGATTACATGACCTAGAAAGGTGTTAGAAGCACTGTTTGGCCTTTTCCTTTTCAAGCAGGCACATACCTCAGCAATTGACTGCCTCTCAATGATCGACTTCTGCCTCTCATTTCGCGAGACACGATAGTAATAATCGCTAAAGTCACCGCACTGCATGTGGCGCAAAAACTCTTCGTCGTGGGTAATAACAATCAACTGGAAATTGGCCTGTTGCTGTCGAGCTCGAATGATATCATGCAACGACTCTGCTAGAGAGCGAATATTATCACGATCCAAGTTGGTCGTGGGCTCGTCGAGAGCGATGAGACCACAATTCACGCCGAAACATTCCGCTAGAGCCAGACGAATGATGATACTGGCCAGTACCTTCTGACCAGCACTGCAGCGACCACGCATGTCCATCTCTGCACCTGATTTGACCATGCAAACGCGGTAATTGTAGGATCGATTGCCCTTGGCATTTTCGTTGTCGGAACGGATGAGGATCGTGTCAACGTCTGTTCCACGGTACGTCTTTTGCCAGAGTTCGCCAATGATAGAATTGATTTCTTCCATCTTCAGTCCGTGGTATCGCATGATAGCTTTGTCTAGGGCGCCGCCGTAGCGAGCGAGATCCTCAACTGCGGCCTTTGTGGTTTCCACCTTGATGTGTGCTTCCTTGTACTTGGAAGCTGCGTCCTTGTAATCCGTGTTCCAGTCGGCTAACAGTTGCATCAATTGATCATCCTTGGACTTCATTTCACCCATTTTGCTGGCTTGTTTAGCAGCCAGGGCATTGTGCTCGCGAGTCCACCGCTCTGACTCCTGTTTGAAGCGGCTGCGGTCGACTTCGGCGTTCTGCGACTCCAGCTCTTCGACTTCTTGAATGACTTTGTCCAACGTTCGTGTAGCTTGACGGTACGTCAAGTTGTCTGAATATTGCCGCTTCGTATTTTCACTATCCTTGAGCTGAGCGGAGATTTTGTTGATCTCCCTTGTGATCTCGCCTTGTTCAGTCTCAAATTGGCTAATCTCGCTCTCGATGCCGACAATCTCTTTTTCACTCCGCTCGAGTTGACCGGGACCTCCTCGTTCGATATATGAATTAATGTCCTCGTTGGCAAGATCGAGCTGGTGGATACTGTCGGACAACCTGTTGATCTCGTGCTGCAAGTCCCGTTCGCGGCTTTCGGTCTTTTGGCTGATATCGTCGTATTTGGATTGGGCTTGGAGCAATTCAGGTGTGAGGTTTTCGATGTCTTGGTCTGCTTTTTGGATCGCCTCCCTCTGCTGGGTATTGAGTTTCTTGTACTCCTCCATCCGCACGAGCAGGTCGGCTTTCTTTTCCAGCTGGAACTTGGCATTGTTGAGGTTGTCCCGTACATCTCTGAGCTGAAGCTCTAGCTTGTTCATCTCGCTTCGTGCCTGCTCCTTCTCGTTGGTGAGCTTTACAAGAGTCTTCTTCAGATCCCGAGACTTTTCATTACAAGCCGAAATTTCTTCCTGGATGTCCTCCAGGGTGCGGCCCAGGGAGGAATCCTGCTGCTTTGCAGAAAGCTCCTGGATTTGAGACGTGATATTCTTGATTTCAGCATCGTATCGTGAGATAGTAGTCACTGTCTTTGCAAGTGTCTCCACATCTCTCTTGCTTTCCAACTTATCGCTGACTGTTTGATCGTAAGTCTCGAGCTTGTCCAGAAGCTCGTCACGTTGAGATTCGCAGACTTGCTCTTCCTTCTCCAGCTCAGGAATATCAGTCTCAGAAAGGCGCATCCACTGTTCGTAGAATCCATTGGCCGCGCGAGCGGTTGCGAGATCACTTTCAAGGACTTGCAAAGCTTCATCTTCCGCATCCAAGCCAGCCTTCTTCACCAAAGCCTCGAGTTTCCTGGTAAAAGTCTGAAGCTCGGTTTCATTCCTGAATGATCGCTGGCAAGTGCGACACATTTTGGTCCGTTTTGCTGCGTCAAGACACTTGTTGAGGTACTCCCCCATGCCAGCGTATTGATCAGCATCCTTGCGAGCCAGCTCATACTGAGCCTGACGATCCTTGACCACTTCAGGGTAATCGGCTGGCTCAGCATTGGTCGCTTGACGAATCTCCTCTTTGCAATCATTGAGCTCGTTGCGCCGCTGCTTCAAGTTCTTCTTTGCATTCTTCAGCTTGAATTCCACTTGCTCGAGTTCTCGGTGGACACCATCGCGGACCCGCTCGGCATCAGCAACTTGCTTGGATTCGGCGTCCACGGCTCCTTGGAAATCCTTCTCCAGGCTTTCTGGTTGCCAGTCGGAGCCGACAACTTTCACCAGGCGATCTCCATGCGCACTCTTCATAGTCTGCAGACCCCGTTCCCTGTCCTTGAGCTCCTTCTTGAGATGGTCCAAGCGAGCCAAATCGCCTGCTTTTTTTGTAGATTCAATAAGCTCGGCATTGAGTTTCGAGTTCTCATCCTCAAGGTGTTGGATCTGCGAGTTGACGTCTTGGATCTCTCGGTCCCAGGAGGCAGCCTTGGCCCGCTCTTTAGCTTGATCAAGACTCGAAGCGATGTCCTCAATCTTAGCCTCCAGAGCAGCCTGGACACCCTCGTCGACGTCGATTTCATTCAGCTTCCCGTGATACGCTGCCGCTTCCTTTTCATTCGCCGCAATCTGTCTCTTTGCTGCATTTTTGGTTTCCTGCAAGGCGGACTTTCGCTGACCGATCTCGTTTAAAGTGTCCTGCACCTCACGGAGTTCACGCTGAGCCTCACGTTTCACACGGTCAAGAGACTGATTTTGCTCCCGTAAAAGGCGCCGGATCTTCTGCATGAAGTCGTCAATCTCTGACTGGTCCATGTTGTCGTCGACTCCACGGATATTGTTGTTGCGAGCAGCCTCGTTAATCATGTTTTGACGTCTTTGAACCTGGCGTTCAAAGTTGGCTTTGTCATTTTCATATTTGCCATTTTCGGCTTGCTTTAGACCCAGTCTGTGTCGAGCGGTCTCAATTCTCTCCTTGAGTTCCATGTAGTTCTCCTTCTGCGACTCTTCCTGCTGCTGATATTCGATCTGCTTCGTCTCAAACTGCTCGAGATTTGATTGCAGCCACTCATCCGAATCGTCGAGCTCGACAAGGTGCCTCTTGAGGTTCTCAATGGTATTCTCGATACTTTTAGCTTCGATGCGCTTTCCCTCTAGAGCACCGAGCACCTGGGCGTAACTTTCAGATTCCTTCCATGCTTTGTCAGCTAGTTCGGCGACGCGTCGTAGCTCCTTAGACATCTGCTGTGTTTCCTCGCGCAACGCCTCAATCTCATCTTGTAGTTTGACAGACCGTTTCTCTGCACGATCAGCCTTGTCTTTATCCTCCTTAGCATGTTGTTCCATAATCTTGAATTTGCCGAGATCTTCATTCTGCTTTTTCCGCAAAGCCTTGATGTTGTCGATGGCCTTTGTGTATTTCATGGCTTCGAAGATTTCATCAAATCGCTTTTTCAACACCGAAGGCTCGCTCATTGGCCATAAGCTTTCATCCTGATGGCAGAATATCACAGAGTCCAACACGGCTTTAGAAACACCCAGATACTGTGGCATGATCTGATCCAGTTCCGCCACTCTTGACGAAATAGACGCGCGCTCGCCATTTTTGACCATGACAAGTTGTCCTTCGAGGGTCTTCTGCTGCCTTGTCGTTTTCTTGACCGTAAGCTGCAGGCTGCGAGTAGCAACCATTTTGGCGCCCGATGTTCCATTGAACGAGAGCTTCACCTGGGCGAGCACCTCTTTCTCGCCGCATAGCTTGGGATCGTGGATGAATGCACCGCCTTTACTGTTCGGGGGAAGGTCACCGGTGGTCGCATATTTGAGACATTCGATAATTGTCTAGGATGGGTCAGTTTCTATCGTATGCCTTGCGGTGGCAGCTCCAGCTAGCTAAGCGCATACCGTTTTTCCAGACCCATTGTAACCGACGATCAAGGTGAGAGGCGTGTGAAATTGGATGGTCTCGCTACGCGTATTATCGAAGGAGCGAACCCTGAGATGACGACACGGTCAGCCAAGCACGGGGAAAGGGCACACCAGAAGTCGCGTCGGAAAATCTATCTTCACTTACCCCAGAATTGAGAGTTTATCGATCTTCGCTAGCCTCAGAGATGTACTCGTTAGATATTTTTTTGACAATTTAAGAATGGAGTCGCGAAAACTAACACCTATCAAATCATTAGCATAATCATCTCCAGGAGCGGAGTATCCGCGGCACTCACATTCTTGCGGTAGCGACCAGCAAAAGTCGTTTCTCCTCTTAGGGTCTTGTAAAGAAACTGATCGATTGTCTCTTCGATTTTTGAGTTTTCTGCACGGAATACGACGTTGAAGAAGCCTTTGCACCTTGTACAGTTATCGCCAAAGCGAGTGCTCAGATCGCCCGTTGCTTGTGATGCATCCTCTTTCTCCACTTCGCGCCGGAGTGACACGAAGTCACGTGGCTCTTAATGACCATGTGATGACATAAGCCACCCCACCTCGGCGAAAGATCGGCAGAAATGTGGTCTGTCCACCAGAGCAAGCCGGTTGATGTTTCCCTTATGACATTGACCCTTGTCTGGATGGAATCTTGGCCGAATGTGTGAGCAGGCGCAGGGGCTTTCCTTCCTGGCAGGTTTCCTCCAAACATACTTTGTGCCTGACACCAGGCCTAGATATGATCATTGTGAGATCCAGCCAAACTATACCGAGCGTACTGGGATCCGATTTCTGGGGAATGCGCCCGCCGGCCAGTCTGGACCCTTGACCCCCCGAATACGCATTGACTACCAAAGTACGGAGACGACCCCTCCAGCCGCTTGATCCTATTCTCTCTGCTGGTGATGCAGGGAGGGACAGTTTTCTTGGTATGGCCATGACTCAAATGTCCTATAACAATATGCACATGCCTTTGCAGCCACGATCTGGCTCGAACGAGGGGAACCGACCTACCGGGGCTGAGCAGTCGCAACAACCGAACATGACGGCATCTTTTGGACAACAATTTGCCATGCAGGGGCAGCAACAGGGGGGATATCAAAATGTGCAGAACGACCCAGGGTGGACCCAGCGAGTCTTGGAAGAGATGAAGGACTTGCTTCTCTTGCTAAACGCCCAGGGTCGGATCACCTACGCGTCGCCCTCCTCGAAGTCGGTCACCGGTCGTCCAGCCAAACAACTCGAGGGCAGTCTCTTTACTCAGTTTATCCACGAAGACGATGAGCCGATCTTCCTGAGAGACATGGACGATGCCGTGGCGACAAACAAACCGTTTCGAACGCATGTGCGATTACAAAAGTCGAACAGCACATACTCCCTGGTCGAAACATATGGCCACCCACACATTGCGAATGAAACCGGGTCACGGGGGAGGAATAGCACCAGTCAGGATCGCTGCACAGGCTTCTTTATCATGTGTCGACCCTACCCCACAAAGAACTCCCTACTTCTCGACTCGTTCCTCGAACACAAGATTGAGAATGCACGCTTGGTACAGCAGATTGCCAAGCTGAAGCAGGAAGAGGACGAAGACGCAAACCTGTCCCGTCTGTCCTATCCAAAGATTGAAGAGAAGTTACTCGAGGCTCAAGCTGCTGCCCAGGGAAGTGGCAGCGATCAGGAGTCGACCGAGACCGTCGCACCCAACTCCGATGAGTCTGACGGGGCAGTCGGGGATTACTTTTCCGAGAATGCCCCTCGCTCCGAGGGTTTGTCTCATATTGATGGCATCGAGGTGATGACCGGTCTATACTACGGGGATGGCGAGAGGTCTCAGGGACTCAGTACTGGTCTACGCCGAGGCCGACTGATTCACTGTGATATTGATATCACTACTACGGCCGACCAAGCCCGCAATGTCCAAGAGGGCGATAGGCGCAAGAGGCTGAAGGGACAGCACGTTTGCAGTGACTGTGGGACGGCCGACTCGCCGGAGTGGAGGAAGGGCCCGAGCGGTCCCAAGACGTTGTGCAATGCGTGCGGATGTAAGTTTGGATTTCAACCACGGCTATCTCATGAGCTTGCGCCCAGACTGACACTGTTAACTCATCTAGTGCGCTGGTCCAAGAAGGAGAAGAAGCGTCAGGAGTCTACTTGAATTCTTTTCGATCAAATTGGTGGTCTTCTTCGATCGATGGGAGAATTTTCTTATTTATCTCTTCTCCTCGGCTCAGCTATTATACCCCGTCAGCTTACTTTTCTAATCAGAGGTCAATTTGTTTCGCTTTCCCTCTCCTCTTCTCGACTTTCCGAAAATTGCGAGCGGCGTCTTTGCCTTGTTCTTACGAATCCCTGGTACATGTGTCAATATTCAACATGATTAATGAATTCATGACCAACTTGTCCAGGCCCCTTGGTGATCTAGGAAAATTTCTGCTGTACATATTTGACTATCTCTCGGGTCTCCCTCTCCTGATTTATGGGTGTTTTCCTTTGCGAGTTCCTGTCTAAGCCTATGGATTAATCGAATGAATCGCTCGTGCGTCTTGTCTTTTTGAGATTTTTGCATTTCTTTCAATATTAAGCCAGCGTAGCGGCTGGAAATAGAGTTCCATGTTCGAACGCCGTAGATGAAGGGGGTATGTACTTGGGCGGTGGATTTTGCTGATTCGCCAAACGGGCCAGGAAGGTCAGGGACGAGCAGGGTAGACGAAGAATCGAGGGCAAACGCCATCCTGAAAGCTCAAAGGAAAGTAACTGCACAAACAGTAATATGGTATCATGAGAGGTTGCGTAAAGGCTAGCAACGGATTGGGTATGATCTGGACTTTATTTCTTGGATGCCTTCTTAGGGGGAGGTGGGAAGTACATCGCTGATCCAGACCCTGGCCCTGTCTGTGGCTCTGCCGTCGGGACTGGTTGAGTTTGTATCTGGAGCGTAGGTGTGTTCATATGGTCCCGCAACGGAAGGTCTGAAGAAGGACTTGCACCACCGAGTCTATTGAAGCCAGGTGTACGTGCCGTGGTCCGGGGAGTAAATGGTGCATGGAGTATTCCTCCATGGGTTACGGGGCTTGTGGCGACCATCGGTGGGTATCCGGGAGTTCGGGGGATCATGCCGTGATCTTGGCCGACAAAGCCAGGTGTCATGGGAATCATACTGGGTGATTTCATGATTTCCTCCTCGAACTCCTTCTCGATGCGCTTTTCCTCTCTTTGCTCCAGGACATCCTCACGTTCTTCCTTGGTGATGAAGCAAGAGTGGACGATGACGACGAATTCCACAAAGTAGAGGAAACTATAGAGGTGGCTGTCAGTATAACAAAACGCACAGCATGGACATTGGGATTCTCGTACATTAAAACGATTGAGACCGCGAACAGCGATTTTGCTTGTTCACAGTATCCAATGTTTGACTTGTGTGCAGCAACATTGCAGTTCTTCGTGATATACCAAGGTGGTCCCGGTTGGGGGCGCTTCGAGTCTGACATGTCACTGCCTGCCTGGTAACGAGCGGAAACAATGTAAAGCACCATGATGGCACCATGGATGAAGGCTCCGAGAGGAGGGAAGAATAGATGCATGCAGTGAACGGGGAACTTGACGATCAACATGAAGACGCTGAGCACTCCGATGACCAGGTTATAATTGGTCATACTGTTGTCGTAAAGTCAGCCGCATTCTATCAGATCCTGGAGGAGTCTCGAGGAGCACGTACAATGAGGACCAAACCAAGGGAGCCGTGTATGGTCGGTAATTGGCAGCAGCGTACAGCGCCGCATTAGGCGCACTGTTGAACCCATTGTCCGCACCATCTTGCCATAGCAACGTCCGATAAGTATTGTGTGAAGCAATACCCGTCAGAGTCAGGATTACGACTGTAATCGGAAGCTCAGCTACCATCAACCAAAGGGTGAGCTTATAGTGACGGTGCCGCCTGGGGAAAATTAACGGCATCGTGACCGCGGTGTAAAAGCGGAATCAGGCAATACTGATGATTCCTCTTGTTGTTTGTTGGTGACCCCCAAGATCGCCGCTTAGCTGAAGCCAAAATGCAACAGCGAATTTAATGGAAAACAATGCGATTCGGCCAGGCCGGCTGGCTGCGACATCCAGTGCTTCGCATGCAAAAGCCAGAAACTAAAGAGCTTCAAGGGGAAGTAAGAGGATAAGAAAGGCATCAAGTCTGGGCGATCCGGCGGGAGGGCATTAGATATGAGCTCGCAACACCACCCCCGGGCCGCCGACATTCCAGGTTGCCCATCGCCGGGTTGCAGAGAGGGGCACGAATCAGCAGGGGAGTTTGAGCGCAGCACGCCCTGGAGTGTTTCTTGGAGGTGCATCTGGCCAATACTCGTGGACGGCAAAGCGCCAGAGCAAGCACCAGTCCAGCGCTGTTGCACCAATGACATGCTGTAGACCGGGGTTGGCCTGTCGGGTCGTCACACGCTAGCGAATGTGATGGGAGAGCGGATCTGCACGAGGGGAAGAGCGCTCCACATCACGGTGAGCTCTCAGCACGAAGACTTGGCCTTGCGGCCTGCAAGGCTAGCTTAGTGGGAAATGGATGGCGAAACGCTGTGGTGGAGAGAGTATGTGGCCATCCCGGTACAGAGTAGTTGGTGGTATATTGCTTTGCAATGTTGCTCGAGGCTTCGTTGTATACACTCCGAACTCCGCAGTACATGCGCATCCATACCTCATTCTCACACTCGATGACAAGCATTGTGGTTTTTAGCGTCGAACCGGTCAGTCGCCAAGCACATTAAACCATTCCTAGGTCATAGTAGAGGTGGTTGTGACGGCGTAATATGTAGTTGAAGTAATTGTAGTTTGGGGGTGTTCGAGTCAATCCGTGGAATCAAGCTGTCCAAGTCATGTGGTCCGACATTTCCAATCTTCTAGCCACAAACCTCTCCGGATTTCCATTACTCCATACTCGACTCTACAAAATATTCGGTCTAGACGTCCCGCCCAGCTGCATTCATCCCATTTGCTCCGCTATCTAATGAGGGGATTCCAACCGTTATCTCAGCCAATCCCACGACTTGCGCTTCCAACCCGAAGCTTGCGCCGGCCCCTGTCAACTATACTGCCCATCACCATCACCATCACACCCGGAACCTTGCGTGGCGTGATGAGTTCCCAGCGTGAAGACTCGATTCCGCATAAGCTCCGCACGGCGGCGGAACCTCGACAGAACAGGCTGTACCCCGTGCGTCTGTCGCATGTGGAGCAGGTTAACCCCTCTATCCGCTTGTTACAGTTTACCATTCCGGCAGAAGAGAGTAATGTATGTCCAACGTACTTGTTTGAAAATGAAATTACTCTTCTCATTTTCTGTGGTATCCTTGATTGGGAATCAGACATGATATGTGTACATGTCTTCGATCAAGCATGCCGCTCGATAACCCAGCTGGACCTCGAAAAAATACATAAAGACTATCACAGTAACGCGAGCCTTAAATCCTCAGCTGCTGACTCCTTCCGCAGGATGACAAGGATGGGCAACAACCATTCAGTTTCCTCCCAGGCCAATGGCTAGATGTCCACATCCCATCTATTAGCACTGCCGGCGGGTTCACCATAACTTCCACCCCTGCCGATGCCCAGGCACTGCCGTCACCAGAGGCACCGGGTGCGGAACCGCTTCTGGGCGAGGAAGCTGGCTCATCTATCCCGCTACGAGGACGAGAGCCCTACGTAGAATTGGCCATTCAAGACTCCCCCGCAAACCCACCAGCTGCATGGCTTTGGAAACCAAAGGGTGAGATTGTCGGCAAAGAATTGAATATTCGTGTTGGAGGGAGCTTTGTCTGGCCCCCCACGGGTGTTGATGTACGAAAAGTGAAGAATGTGGTCTTTATCGCAGGAGGCGTGGGTATCAAGTATGTGAAGCAGATATAGAACCACGTCGACATCCTAGAGAACTGGAGCTGACATTGTAACAGTCCACTAATCTCTATCCTCTCACACCTCAATAATCAAGTTGAAAGCACTCGGCCCTTGAATGTACATTTCCTATACTCGAGTCGACTCCCACAAGGCCATGAAACGGCATCACCAGAAGAATCACTCAATCAGATCCTCTTCCTCCCACGAATCCGCCAAATCATCCGTTCTCAACGACAATCCCACCGTCTCCGCATCTCCCTCGATCTCTTCCTCACGGATTGGAAGTCTTCTCGTCTGACACCTGCTAACTCCCCGACGGATCTCACGATTCACTCCAAGAGAATCGAAAAGCATGATCTGCAATCAGCCGTTATCGGCGGAGATGGCAAGCTAGACCCTCGAGAAAGCGTAGCCTATGTCTGTGGACCACCGCAGATGACGGACGAAATGGTGGCGATGTTGAAAGATATTCTTGGAGAAGGTGGGGAGCAACGAGTATTTTTTGAGAAATGGTGGTAAAGAGACAGTGTCAATTCAACGCTAGATAATCAAGAAGTATAGTGATATTTGCTGATGACTGGGGTAAAGAAGTAAAAGAACAATGATGAGATATTCAGGTGAGAGACAGACACCCTATGGACGCCGGATCTTTTGCGGGTAAGGAGACTGGGAGAGGAGAAGTATATGTACAGAAGTGTAGAAACTCGAAAGAAAAATGGAGTCGCCAACGACGGAAATGACGGTAAAACAGAGCAGACGTATGCGCTCTCATGATGGTCAGGTATAAAAAAAAAGAATCTGGAATGAAAAAGAATCATAAGATGAAAGAGATAGGCGAGGCCGCTCTCGAGAGGTCTATTCGCCTGGGCCCTTGACAGAGCCACCATCGACAATCATCATCTCATCGAGCTTAGCTTCTGTTTGTCCCCATTCGAGACGTTTGTAAGTCGTCACCCGGCCGGGACCCATATCGAACTCAAAGAAACGGACGCGGCGGACGTAGTCGTTGTAGCCTCCGTATCCGCCCAGACCGACACCGCCTCCATAGCACATCCATAATGAGGGTTTCTCTTTGGAGTCTTGCTCGAGCATACAGTAGTCGTTGACGTGATCGCTAGAAAATAATATAAGTGTCTGCATCACATATGGGATCGGGGCAATTGGGCAACCTACTGTCCGCAGCTTACAAACAAGACGCCCTCTTCTTCCAGGGCGTCTTTGAAGCCAGAGTTGAATCCAGGTGCTGTTGGTGGCTCCTGCCACTCGCCCTTCCAGTACTTGCCGTCACTCCGGTACTCGGGCAGCGGGATATGGATAAAGGCCATGTTCATATGGCTGTGGGAGTACTCTTGGTGTTTCCTCTTCAAGCTCTGGGCGGTATTTTTGAACCACCGGATTTGGCTCGGTTTGACCCAGTCGTAGCCCCGGAATTGCCGCTCATCGGGCGAGTAGGCGTGGGTGTCAAGGAGGTAGAAAGTAAGGGCCGAGTGAGTGCCACCGCCGCGGTCGAGGACCTCGACGATATAATTACCCACTCCATCGATGTCTTCCGGGCCGGCGGTTGAAAGGGAATACGGTAGATCCTCGTAGATGGACATGAGCTGTGCCCGGTTGAGGTCGCCTTCGTCGTCGTGGTTGCCAAAGATAACGGCATAGGGGATTTTTCGGTCTACTAGAAGCTTCACGCCCTTGAACACGGCGCTTTGGGCATCCGGGGCAGTTTCTCCGTTGACCTGGTCACCACTGAGAACGACCATATCCGGCTTCTCTTCGTCGAGAAGTCGCTCCACAAACTCCAACGTTCGGGGATCGGCTTCACACTTTTGTCCCGGTACTGATTCGGCGGGAACGGGGTCACGGCAGGCACCAAGACCAGTGCTCAGATGGAGATCAGCCAACTGCATGACTTTGAATTTTCCGTTGTCGTTGATCCGAGGGGTAGGCTTCTTGTTCTTTAAGGGGTTGCCACGTCGAATGCTGAGACGAGTCTCCAGCTTCTCCGTCCACCCGTCCAGCAACAAGGGTGTATCTTTGACCTCCCAATTGGGTCGAGGGTCAACGGCATCGGCACCGAAGAGCACGTCAATATATGTGACGGCCTTTTCGGAGTCGCTGGCGTGGCGCGAGGCGGTCCGCCTCAGCCAAATACCACCCGGCCGGGCCTCCCACGCCTCCTCCTCCCCCTTGGGAGTGTATTCGGTAGGTGGAGTCAGGCGACTAATCTTCAGGTCAATGAGCACCTTGTCATCCGGGCCCAACTCTTCTTCCTTCTTTCGCTGAAATTGGATATACGCAGTCGAGGTCCAGCCAGTGCGTAGATAGAGATCCTTTTCGATGCGGTACCAGGTCTCCGGGTCCAACTTGCAGCTCGAGAAGGGATTGAGTGAGGAGCATTGTGTGACGGTCACATCGGTAATCACATAGCCGGAGTAGTGCATGGGGAGGTGGCCATGGATCGATGCTGGCAGGACACGGAATTTGCTGTCGAGAAAGACGACTAAAAGGAGCGCAATCGTTACTAACAAGCCGAGCTGAACGCCCGTTCGGACCTAGGAATATAACCACATTAGTGGAATGATCTCCATGCGTTCGAAGCGGAAGAACGCAGACATACGAGCCGGCGAGCCATGATGAAGTCGAGATCACCCTGGCAAGGTCTTGGAGAAGAGCAAAGTGGTGCACAGGCGCATGATGCCACCTATGACAGTAGAGGGGAAAAAGAAGAGGCGCGATCAAGCCTGGAGAAGACCAACAAAATCAGGACCATTCACAAGGCCATATAGCCATAAGAAACCGACGGAGGGGGCAAAAGATGATTGTTCTCGAGGGAGACACTCGGACGCTTGGACCCTGACGGAAGGCGGTCACTTTGTCTCGACTCCTGATCTCCGCTCGGATCGGCAAGATGTTGGAAGAAATATGATCACATGTATTCATATCTATTTGTGCTTGCAAATTACAAGTAACCGGGGGATCTAAGAAAAACCAAAAAACTCATGAATGACGGTCGCAATGTTGAACCGTCCTCCGAAAACAAGAAAACCCAGTCCTCTATCTATATGTTCATCTGATTCAAGCGCTCTTCGCTTGGACGGCGACCTCGCTCGGCGACTTCTTGCCAGCGAGAATGTCTTGGGAAGTGGAGAGGATGGTGGACCAATCCTGGAAAGTGGTGTAGGGCATGCCACGGCGCTGGCAGAAAGTGACCAGATCTAGGAAATTGTCAGTCTCCAGACTCCAGTTGAACAGAACGGCGGTTCGGTGATTTACCTTTGCCCTCCTTTGCGAACAGGAGGTTGGTCTCAGCAGCAGCCGACAGGTCAGAGACACCGTCACCAGCGTACAGGAGAATGGGCCGCTCGCCGTCGGGCAGAGCCGCATACGGCTTGATCTCAAGGGACTTGTCATGGCCGAAGTGGCTAGAAAGCAGAAGAGCCGTCAGCACTCGTTCAACACCGAACGCCAGCTTCACCGAGCTACCAGGGACACATACCTCTCATCGTGATACTTGATCTGCCAACCACCCTCACTGTTGATATCCTTGCCATCCCGAGGAATCACCTCGTTGCAGACAATGGTGAGGTGGCTCTTGGGCTCGTGGCCAAGGAACTTCTCGAGCAGCGCACTAATGATCGGGCGCATACCGGAGGACAGAATGACGATAGGGACGTTGTTCTTCTCGGCCCAGTAGTAAAATTCCTCAAAATATGGGTCCAGCTTCATGTTCTTCTCCAGGATCTCGATGCACTCGTTGTAAGGGGTCTTGATGCTCTCAAGCATGAGGCGGAAGGCGTCACTAATGTGAGAATAGCATAGTCAGCCGGTGTGCTTATAAGGCAATAGCCATTGGATCGTTACCGGAAGCCCATGCGCTCCTCCAGAACCTCATCGTTCAACTTGCGGCGCTCCTCGCGACCGAAGCCAAGGTTGTCAATCTGCGACGGTCAGAGAGGGAATTGCGAACGGTGATCGGAATGGGACGGTGCGGACCATGAAGTCATTGCCTATCCTCCCTGTCAGCATTGGGCTAGACCAGTCAATGAATGGGTGGGAACTCACTGTCGTCGACGGTAATAGTACCATCGAAATCGGTGAAGAAGATCATCTTCGGCTTAGTCTCCATGTACGGGAGAACGGTGGACCCCATCTTGACAGGAATTGGAAAAAGAAAGAGACTGCGGTTGGTATTGACAGAGGGGATTCGTGTCGTATGTATGCAATATGAACAAAAGGGTAAGAACTTGTGTAGAGAGAGAGTCGTAGGGAGGAGCACTTGGAAGAACCCAAAAAAAGATCTTAAACCATGGAGGGGTCTTCTCCGGTGAACGGCGAGGGGAACCCGGGGAGAGATGGACCAAGTGGGTCTTTGCCAGGTGCCGCAAAGTGGGTTTGGGTTTGGGCGCTGATGGAGCAAATTATTTCTCCTAATAAATTTCCAAAGCTGCTTTGAACTCTAGCAGCCATGGCTCGTCTGCTGCATTCCTTGCGGCGAGTCTTAGGGCTGACCACCTCTTCGACGACTACCGCTTCTGCTGCTGGTAGTCTACGGGCTCGATCCATTGACACCGATTTCTCCGTCTTCCGAGGTGCGCCGTTCAACGAGGCCAGCTTCCAACGCGAGAGACAGCGCTGACACCACGCGCAGAGGGCGATAGGGCCGTGCTACAACAGAAACAGCCACAGTTGACGAAGCCATTGAAGAGCGGCGATAAGACGCATTTGCGGAGGGGACACGTTGCGCATGATAAAATCATTGGCAGCCGGGTCTGGGACGCGGTGCAGGCGCATAAAGGTTAGACATGATCAATGACCTCCCCTATAGCATCATAGCTAACCTCGAAATCTGTCGTGCAGGCCCGGATGTTCGATTGAGTCTCCCAACTTTGGAGGAATACGTCGCGTTGACTCCTCGTCTTGTCACGCCGGTATGCGCATTCGATTTTGAAACTACGCCCTCCGCCGCAGCTGCTCACTCCTGATAGATCTATTCGCATGATGCAAACTTGATCGTCTCCCTCCTTGATATTCATGTCCACCCCCCTGCCACGGGTGAGACACAACCTCCTTTAGAAATTCTCGAATCTGGCACCGGTCACGGCTCCTTGACTCTCCACCTTGCCCGCGCAATCCACGCCGCCAACACAACTGCGCCGCCTCGCCCGTCGCGATCGCAGATTCAGTACGTGAAGAACAGAGCCCAAAAGCCGGGTGAGGATGATACGAACAAGGTAGACGCCAACCAGACTGCAGGGAACGACGACACAGCCCAAATTGAGTGGGATTCATGGCGAGCGGAGCGCAATGCTCTCATCCATACCGTGGACGTCTCACACAAGTTCGCTGCTCTAGCCGAGCGAAATGTCAAGGGTTTCCGCCGTGGTATGTACGCAGGCGATGTTGATTTCTACGTCGGACCTGTCGAGAACTGGATCGCCGAGCAAACCAAGCGACGGACGAAGACTGGGCTATTGTCTTCGTTGACCGGGTCCTCCGCCGTGGATCCGTTCTTGTCCCATGCTATTCTGGACATGCCCTCGGCGCACTTGCGAATTCCACACGTTGCGCCCGTCTTGAGACGGGATGGCTACCTGGTCGTCTTTATGCCGAGCATCACTCAGATTGGCGACTGCGTGCAGATTATTCGCAAGCAGCGGCTGCCCTTCGTCCAGGAAAGAGTGATCGAGCTCGGACTTGGAATTACGAGTGGTCGCAACTGGGATGTTCGACTTGCGTTCAAGAAGTCTGGAGCTGATCCTTCGTCTTGGGCCCCGTCTGCCGAGGCCGACGGTGAAGGATCGGTCCTTGCAGCAGATGCTGAAGAGACAGGTTCCAATGCTGCCCATAATGTGGATGAGGTCACTGTGCCAGAAGAACCCGTCAAAGACGAAGAGCCAGTCATGGTCTGCCGGCCCAAGGTGGGAATCCGGACTATGGGTGGTGGTTTTGTTGGCATCTGGCGACGCATCGAAGATCCATCTGGACGGTGATCCATTGCTTTGGTTTTTTCATCTCGGACACGACGCTCTCGCGTCTCTGTACTATATATTTAACTTCCATCACCTTGTACAACAACTAACGGACAAAGATATCTCGAACATGTATCATAGGACCCAGTTTATAAGCATCATCTCACAACTATACCAACTGGGGCCAACCATTTCTGCCTCTCTTCAATGAAGACTCGTGCTCTCTACCCACGATCATGACTCTGCAGCACTCTCAGCAACGGGAGCTCTCTTCAACACCCAATCCGCAACATCCTTCACAAACCGCTCCCGGACTTCACCAGGATCCATATGCACCCGATGATAAGCCCCCTCGTAAGAAACAAAAGTAACATCCCCCTTCTTCCCCAGAACATCAGCCAACTTCTTCGTCGCCGCCCAACTAGTAATCCGATCCTCATCTCCATGCCCAAACCACACCGGCAAAAGCTTCACATCCCCCAAATCCCCACCCTCCAACTTCTCCAACCATAAGCCCCGATCCAACATCCCCGCCAACTGCTCCAACGTCCCGATATCATGACACAACTCGTCAGTCTTGTAATCCGCCACGACCGTCTCATCCCGACACACCAGTTTCGGGTCCAGCGGGGAATGCCGCTGCCAGCGCGGTAAGATACGGGCTACCAGCCTTCCCAGGATGACGGTTAAAGCCATGGGGCGGGTTGCTGGGTCCAGGGCGATAAGCGGAGAGTAGGCCATTACACCGGCGAGCTGGGGCCGTTGGTTGGATGGCGATTGGTTGTAGGGGGAGTCTGGGTGGAGGACATAGTTAAGGACTTCACCACCACCCATGCTGTGGCCCATTAGGACGAGGGGGGTGTTGGGGTGGGCGGTTAGACCGAGGAGGAAGGAGTGGATGTCGGAGAGGACGAGGGTGGTGCCGCCGCTATTGCCGCGGTCTCGAGGGTGTTTGAAGGTGCGGCCCCAGCCTCTGGATTTGAGGTGTTAGTATTTATTTGATAGACAATGGGAAGGCATCACAATGGTTGGGTGGGGGAGTTGTTATCAAAGGAGAGAGATATAGGCCTGGAGAATGCTTTATGCTTACCGTTGGTCAAATGCGCGAACCTCGATTCCGGAGGATGCGAGAGTCGGGAATAGCTCGTAGTAGGCATTGCCTGGCAGAAATGTGGTTAGTAAACCCTTTATCAAGAATATTCTCAGTTTGGATATTGAATTGGAGCTTACAGTGGTCACTGAATCCATGAACAAAGGCCAGGACCGCCCGAGGTAGTCCATCTGGCTATTGTTGTGGTCAGCGGAGTGAGCAACCCCCTTCCACGGTTCGATGCCGAACAGAAACCAACCTTCCATGTCTTGGTATACAACTCAGTCCCGTCAGGGAGAGTATGGGTGCCTTCTTCAACGCTCATGATGGATGCTTATGTGCACAAATTCAAAAGGTATGTGTACAAGTGAGTGTTGAAGAACGTGGAGGAGGTGTCGAAACCTCAGACCTGGGGCTAGCATGTGATTGCTGCGCCGCTGCCGAGAGTTTTCTTATCAAGAGTTCGGTTCGTCTTTGCAGTGCTCCCAGGTATCTCGGTAGGGATGGGCTATTGTACTTGAATTGTTTCCTTCCACAAGTATTGGTTCTTCAATTTATCAGTTCAGAGTTCTTTTTCCGATATTACCCACTTGAAAACAACATCAAAGAACACGCCTCTAGCTCTGATGGGGATTCTTAAAGCGGATAAGGCCGATAACCTTAAAAAGGTCCGATCTACTCCGGACGGATTTCTACAAGAGACTAGAACATTAAGGTCGAAATAGCCACGCTCTATTCATAAATTAATCTGAAGAAATGGCAGAACAAGTACATTGCTCAAAAAGAAAACTCCCATCGCCAGGCACAAAGCACAATAAAGCAACCTCATACGAAAGCCCTTCGACCACCTGGTCCACCATAACACCAACCCGCCCTGAATGTTGTGAGACCGTCTCAAATGACGTTTCGAGATTCAGGTGAGATGTGAAACCGAGATATATCAGGACACCCCCAACAAGAAGTGCATGGGGAAGGAAGGCAGAAAATGAGATAGAGAAACGGCGAGAAGCGGGGGAAAGGGGAAGGACCGCGAGCAGACGGTGAACGAGGAGAAACGCGAGACTGCCACGTCGTGGACTACATTCCAAAAACACCGCCGAAGCGAGAGCCACTGCGACCGAGAAAGACACGCGCTCCGAGTAGCGAGAGGGGGGGAGAGATAGAGGGAGATGGGGAAGATTGGAGGAGGAGGTAAAGCAAGATGGACAAGAGAGACGGAGAGAAGAAAATGGAGAGAAGCGTTCAAAATCACGGTGAGAGGAAGGTCAGAGAGACAGAGAACACGAACACACGAAGAAAAACTATGAGGAAAAGACATAACAGAGACAAAGGCAGACAGCAGGCTAGTTGAATCACCCACCACCCCGAAGATTCCGAGATAACAAGACACAAAAGGGAAAACGTCAATTGAAAAAAAGCAGACCCAACTACACAAACACCCATCTCAAAATATTCGAAATGCTCCGGATTCCATTCATCAGTGCCGTTGCGGTCCAAAGTCCGCCTCCACTACCTTACCCTTTTTACCCTTGACAGTAAACTCCGCGAACAATGCGATATGATCACTAGGAAAATGGAAATTGGGGAACCCGGGTACCCGTCGGAGATACTCCTTATCCACCTCGCCCAAAAGTGCCGAGACGTGCAGTGTGTTGGACGAGTACCACACGTAGTCCAAGATGTCAATGAAATCCGGCGTATAGTTGGTGAAGCTCAGTTCTCCGATAGAGCCATAGGCAGACTTCAGCTTGAAGGGATGGGTCATACCAATCCGGCTGAGGTTACCGTACAGACGCTTCTCCAGATCAGGGTGCGATTCGGGCAAGTGTCCGTTGGCAATCAAATTATATGCCGCGGAACCAGGGTTAGAGTTGAAATCACCACACATGAGGAGCGGGATCTGGTCACCACTGGCGTACTCCATGGATGGCGCAGGCTCGACCACGGGAGCGTTCTCAGAACCACTTTCGGCCTCTGAGAAGCGGAATGCCGTTTTGTCAGTGCACGCGGGCCACTTGGCATAGCCGTCCGAAAGCTTGGTGATCTCCTCCATCAGAATAGCGGTTTGAATGAGCTTGACATCCTTGAATGCCGGGTCCCAGTAGAGATGAGCATTCACAACCATAAAGCGCGCTCCAGTCTGTCGGTTCTCCAGGAAGACCACCACCGCAATGTGGTCTTTTTGCCAAAGACGGTTGTAGATATCGTCTTGACCCTTGGCATCGGGTCGGCGGACGGCAGTTTGACCAAAGTTGATGAGCTGCTTGTCGAGGAGAATGTACTTGCTGCCCTTAAAGAAGATCGCGCAACCATCAACGGATTTGGCGTCTTCTTCCTGCATGCCCATGGCTCGGCCTCGGGGCCAATAGACACCCTTGTAATCATTGTAGGCAAGTTGCTCACGGTAAAAGTTATTGTAGCTTCCTTGATCAACTTCCTGCAGACAGACAATGTCGGAGCTGTGGGATCGTAATTCGTTAAGAATGAGTTCGCGACGGAACTCCCAGGAGAGAACACGAGAGGGGGCGTAGCCGTAGTGTGACTGAGTGGCGGAGGAGTCGCACAGAGTGTTGTAGGAAAGGACGGTGATCTTCTCGGTGGGGCTGTTGGCGGAGCTTGCAGTTTCATCAAGGATGACCCAATCTCTGTCGGGAGGAGGCAGGTGAACTGTGCGACGAAGGAAAAAAGAGAAGTTAGCCAATTGGACACCCACATGCCATCGATGATGTTGAAACAGAGGAGCAGTGACTCACCCGGCATCTCTTCCTTCAAGTACTTGATCAGAGCTTTGGTCCCTTCCTTCATAATCTGAGACTTGAGAACTTCATTCAGCGGGCAGCCCTCGATGCCCAAAGTTTCCAGTCGGTAAAGATATCCCAATTCGTAGGGGAGTGTGCGAATGTTGTTATCGAAGAGGTAAAGCTTCTTGAGATTCGTGAGCATGCCGATCTCCTCAGGAAGCTCGTGGAGATCGTTGCCGGAAAGATCGAGGTGGGTTAGTTTCCGAAGCTGGCCGATTGCCGGAGGAAGAACTTTGAGCTTGTTGTGATTGAGGTACAACTTCTCGAGGAAGTTGTAGTTGAACAAGGAGGTCGCCATGACCCGAAGGCCCTGTCCGCCAAAGTCCAGCGCATTCCAACCTTGTCGGGAAGCTGCCTTGCTTGCGACAGTCCCATTCCGACCATCGGCCTTCTGGTCTGGTGTATCGGTTTGACTGGGCATGATCTGAATCCCCTTGGACTGTTGTGCCATGATGCGGGCATAGTGGTGAGGAGAAGTGGCCTGCCTCGACTCGGCGGCAAGCTGAAGTTGCTCTTGCCAGTGTTCATTCATTGATTCATCAATATCATCCTCCCCGGCGCCCGACGCTCCATTCTGTAGGTGATTTGAGGTAAAATGCGGAGTGGTGGTAGCAAGGGCACCGGCGGGGAAATGCTGCTGATGAGCGAGGCCATGTTGGTTATGAGGTTGGTGGGCATGATGGTGTGTGGGTTGCGGAGCATGGTGATGAGGGTGGTTTTGAGTCTGGAACTTTGGCATCTGCATGGCAAACCGCTGATGGGTCTGACCGCCATTCATCATGACATGCTGTCCTTGATGACTTTGGCCATACATGGTGAATGGATTCAGCGAGGCTGATTGGTTTACTGGAGGCGATCGAGAAGGGGAGGGAGCGTTGTTGTTGAATTTCAGTCGACCCGGCGAATTGGTCCCGTTTTGAATGGTGTTTCTTTGGTGTGAATGCTGTTGCTGCGGTTGTGTTTGGAAGTAGAACTGCCCGGCCCCAGGCTGCTGGAACCTGTAGGTACCATCTGCCATCTAACGGGGCAGACGAGACCGTGGCTTATTTCCCTGGCGGAACACCGAGGGGCAGGCGAGCAGTTGGCGATTCGGGGCGGAGAGAGAGGTGGAGGTGGTGGTGAGGAGAGGAGTTGAGGATTGATCACGGTCTCTTCTCTTCTTCCACATGAAGTCCTTCAGCAGAACCACCCCTTCGATATGAGCGAGTGTGGGGAGTTGGTTTTGGCCACAGAAGACCTCGTGCGACGAGCGATATTCGGTGGTGGGGTGGGGGTGGGAGGTGAAGGTGGCACTCTCCGTGGACTGGTTGGATTCGAGCGATACCTGAGGGCGGAGGCCGGGGCGGAAGAGTCACGAGCACTCTGAACGGCGATCTAGCTGGTCGCAGGACATCAAGTTAGAGAAGAGCCAATGGTTTCAAGACTCTGTCAGGATAGATCGCACAGTTTTCCAGTTCCAAGATTGATAGACAGCGGCTGGGGTTGAGATGACAGTCTTGATGGGTGGTTTGCATCGAAGGCGGGAATTCTGGTCACGTGGTATCACCCAACCGGATATGATTCACGCGCCAAGACCCCCGAACCCTTTCGCGGTTCCTCACGCTTCGATGAGTCCAGGGAAAAAATGACTGCACCAGTTTAGCCTCTGGTTATCTGCTTGACCAAGATGTTGAAGTGACAAGAGTTATTTCAAGTGTCAAACTGACATTCAAGGCCAATTTTGTGTATTCTCCTGGGGCGGTCCCCTCATCGTATGGTCGCTGCTGGTCCCTTCTTTAGGGTCAAACACTCGCCAGCAATGAGCTGTTGAGAGGGCCCTTGGTTTTCCTATTGACGGTTATAGTTTTGTATTAACTAGTGGTCAATCATAGTGGGAGGGTGAAGATGGAGCTCTCAACCGTGGACCACCGTCCTGAACCCGTAGCTCTTGTTTTGACCATGTAGATTAGCCACGTTCTGCAGGCATGACCTCTTCACGATTATGAGGATCGAAAACCCCAAGTATTTACTGATAGGAGAGTAGTTGAAGGGTTGAAGTTCAGACATGGCCTTCAAGAGAGATATCATGAGAAGTGAAGCATTGATGAGCGAGACGCGCACTACGAAGAGCTACCTTCCTCGTTGTATAAGGAGACATCAACATGAATATCATTATAGGCGCCGACAATGAATCCAGATAATCACACAAGGAATCTTCCAGCCATTAATGCATTATGGCAGATGAATGCTGTACTTTGTAATGCGCCCTGTTGCATATAGAAACCCACTGGGCTCTGAAAGGATACCTCCTGCAGATTTGCCTTGTTGTCTTATATTCAATCTTTGATGTCTCTCAAAGAACATAGTATGAGCTATCGAAATGGATGCAGTCAAATCTTACTGTTCATGGTTTTATCATTGGAATCTGCACGGTCGAGGATTTCTCTTCCAGGTCGTTGAGGGACTTCACCTATGTCCGAACCTGAGATATATATTGAAGAAAGGTTTACATATAACACAATGCAGTACGTATCCACAAGTAATATAAGCATAAAGAACATACACAGAACTCCAGCCTGAGATAGGTACTGGACAATTTATTGATACCAACGGGTACCAATTCTTCCAAACGTAGCGTACTGATTGCTGTAAACGGTTGTTTACTTTTGCCAAGAGTTCCTCTGCCGCCTTGCGATGCCTCGCTAATATATACCCATCGGAGAAGATGGAGTTCAAGAGACCCGCAATATGTTCTGTATTCAGCTTTTTACCCATTAACTTGTGTCTCGGATTTTCAGCTTCAGCGGAGGAATCTACGGAGTAGGTATGGAGCCAACATCGTGATATCCTATCAACTAGCATCGGAGTCATCCGGTATTATTGAAAGGTGGCGAAGAGGTGGAAAGGCCAACAAGCCCACAAATCCACCGAATCGCAAGATCACGCGCTCACACTAACAGCGCTCCGCTGAAGCATAAACGCGAGCTACTAATAAATAATCGACACTATTGAGCTTACACCCCCTCCGAACTCAAATTTAGGTATACCACTACTGTACCTGTGCCAACCAGTCTGCCTGCACGACCACGTCGATCGTAAAGATGAGAGCCCCACCTAGACCATCGTTGCACAGCTGCATAGCTGAGGAGAAACCCAAATTATGCTTGTGACACCTGGCATAGTTGCCTCCACCTATTTTCAATGGCCAACGCGACAGACCACCAAGCCACTTTTTTGGATCGCTCTCAACTGGCATTGGTCAGCTGCCACCTGCAAGCAGAGACATCACGAAAGGGCTCGTATCTGACATGAGGTCGAGGCCCGGGAGCTCAAGAGTTCAAAGGACTCTAGAGAATCTGATGAGTCTCGAGCGTCCAGTGTGTTCAGGATGACCAGTGTTCTGAATAAAAATAAAATACTCTCTTGCCAAAGTACGTGGCAGGACGCTATGATGTCGATCATTGTATCGCCCATCAATGCTGCAGGTACCAAGTCGACCATGTTGGACAGGCAGGGGACACCTTGGGAATCCTTGGAATAACAAGTATTGAGTTGGACCTGAGCCACAACGAGAATGCCGTGCGCCCGCGTCAGAGCGCCTGGGTAAATACACTATACAGCGGGGAAAGTACAGTATTGATCGTTAGGGGGGCCAGGGCAAATGGGAAGAGCACGGGGCACGCCGGTATCAGATATAAAGCTAGAACGGCAAGGCGGGGACTAAAGTCTCAGCCGTCGCTAGTTAGGCCCCGAGTACCTGACGCTTGGGACGGTGGACATGGCGGGCAGGGATCTCCGGCTGTCCTGTACGACGGAAGTATGGAGTATGGAGTATTGAAGCTGTACTGTACGGGCCGTTAGGAAATACCGTTCTCTCGTCTTGGTACGGAGTACAGAATATGCGTAACACATAACAGCTACACGTACCTATACTGTCAACATAACTTCTAAATTAGACCTCCTATTAGGTCAACGTGAGTAGACAGTACTTTTGTCCGGTGGATGCACCGTGAATCCTGCTGCAGGAATCCGGATTCTCCGAAGGGCGCCGGTGGAAAGGCGCGCCTCCAAGCGCTAAGAATCATATTCGGTCCTCTCCGTTCTTAGCGGGGAGCAAAGACGCGATCCTGATCAAGGCGAATGGCGCATGCAATGCTACTCCGTATGGGGGGACTACGGAGAAACCGCATTACATATTGCGTCCCCTTGCCCCCTTGTCAAGCGAGCCCATCTGCACGTGTGTTACGCACGCGCCAGTTAGAGGACCCCCCACTCCCTCCTGGTGGAGGAGGAATTTTACTTTTTAGACGGTGTCAAGTGTCAAAGTATCTAGTGTCTGGGATCACGGAGTGGCCCCTCCGGAGGAGCCGTGACGAGGAAAAAGAAATGAAGATAGGTCTCTCTTTCTACGACAGTATATACGGAGTACCGTAGTTGAGTCGATGTATGTAGAAAATGGCAGCCTTAACCGAGCAAGAACTATGGACCTTTTCAACCCTAATTAGGATCTATAAATGAGTAGTAGTTCGTGACAAAACTAATCAGCCTTTTTCCTGATCTGGCGATCGAGTACGCAGTAGTCGCTGATAAATAGCCAACTGCATTGAATGGTTCGAGTGGTCCAGCGGCCCGTGGTACCAAACCACTCATGATGTCAACAACTACGGAGTCGTTCGAATCAACACTTTCACGATTAGTCTGTAACGAAACGGCACTGCCATAATTTCAGATAATAGTTGTTGTGAATTTGAAGTTCTAGGTATAGCTATTTGCATTTCTATGATGCTACCGGCCACTAGCAGGAAATTACTCCGTCGCCTCTGAAGGAATCCACCTGTTCCCTCCTAGGGCCCCGGTAATACTGAGGCACCTGCCCCAGCCGGTTAGCAAGCCCCGTCGGGTCTCCATTCTGATTTTGTATGTACAATTGGTCCGTTCGCGCCATGAGAATGGGGAAGCAAGCCCTGCCACGGGCGAGCCCAGCGTCGCGTGCCCCGAGAAGGATTCTCTGCCTAGTTACTTGTACTAAATACCACCGTCTTAAGTTAATACAATGACGACCGCCCACATTCTTCATGTATAGTCGCTAACGAAATAGCCGAACCATGAGCGATGCTTACCATTGGCGGGGAAGCTTTTGACCCCAACTGCAGCTCACACAAAGACAATAGTGAACGTTAGTCTGTTCGGATTCCTCCAGTCAAAAGTTGAGTCGCCTCCGCCGTAATAGTGAATGTGTATTCCACTGTACCCCGTAATTTCCGTATCCGATAACCGCAGTAAATACTGCGGTTATTCGTTACGTGAACTAGCTCTCTCCCTTCTGGACTCGAGTGGAGCCATTGAAGTTGAGTTCAATGCCACTTCGATCCAGGGGTCGGGACCAGGCCGCGGCCTTCTTCCCATGCCCTTTCTCTCCTCGACCTTCCCCTCCTCCCACCTTCATAAAGATTTGTCTCGTGAAACCTCTAGTGCGATCAGGGGGTTTGCTACGAACCGAACGATCCCGTGAATGATATCAATTACTTTTGTGGATATGGTCTAGATCAATCGTCATCGAAAATTCTTCAACCCTGCGCCCGACATACACTAAAAACGAATATTTTCCGAGCCGCTAAGATTTGGGTCCCTCCGGCTTTTCTACTTGCGTGCTCCTTCTTGCTTTCTTTTCTTTTTTCTTTGGGTCAATTCCTCTTTCCCTACCTTTGAAATATCTACCCTATACGCCGTTCGACACTCGAGCTTGAACTGGAAGATATACATTTATACCTCGAACACCTCAATTACGATCCTTTTCTCAACCAGACCGGACACAGGCATGTCTCCCAGCTCATGAACGAAACGATTTGCGCGCCGAGAATGCGACCAACCCGCAAACCCCATTAAGAACAACAGCTCGGGATCGATGCGCTTGAAGTAATGGACATGATGTCGGCAGGCACGGCTTCATTCGCGGCCGCCACGGCGTCCGGCTCGGACATTCACTCCAATCTCAGCTCGACCTTTGCCGCAACTTCCTCCTCTTCTCTAGGATCCCTCACCGACTACAACAACTACCCGCTCGCGCGATATGGCGACCGTACCTACCTCCGCGACCCTGAAAACCTCTATCCGCTTCCATGCGACTTGCCCGAGATCCACCGTCAGAGCTTGCGCACGACGATGCTGCTGCGCGTGTTTGGCGGCCCGTTTTGCAACCCCCACCTTGCCAATCGCCCCCCGAAACGCGTCCTGGAGATCGCCTGCGGGTCGGGGTTGTGGTCCGGCTTGTGTCACGAGTACTTTGTCCGTCGTGGACAGCCCAACGTTGCCTTTGTCGGCATCGATTTTGTCTCGCTGGCGCCGGACATGCGCAAGCAAGGAATGAACTGGCAATTTAAACGACACGATTTGCGGAGACCCCGCTTACCTTTCCCCGATGACTACTTCGATCTAGTCTTTATCAAGGACGCCGGCATGTGCCCGTCCAGCCCGGCACAGCACGCCTCGGGCTTGGAAGAACCGCTTCGAGTTCTCAAATCGGGTGGCGTATTGGAAGTCTGGGATTCGGACTGGGTATTCCGCTCACTGCTCCCCAATCCGGCGCCGGCTCGAAAGTCCTCGGTGCATGCCCAAGAGACGGCTGATTCAACCGCCACCTATACATTCTCACCTGCCACGCCATTCACCCAAGCACAAAACAAGTATCTGGTCGATTACAACTCCTGGGTTGAGAAGTCATTCGACCGGCGCAAACTCACAGCTCTACCATGCGCCACCATCGGCCTCGCTTTCAACTCCGAGGTGGATCTGTTGGAGAATGTTGAAAGCCGCCGCATCGCAATTCCACTTGGGGATCTGCGCTGGGAGCGAGAAGGCCAAGGCAACGACTCCAAAGGCCGTGCCCGGAAGGCTTTGACTCCAGAACAAATAGCCATTCGGCGAACGGCCCTTCTCACCGTAGTCCAAATGATCGAGGGCATGGAGCCCATGCTCATGGAGGCTAGTGGGAAGGGTCGCGACGAGTGGGACCGATGGTGGGCAGCGATGACCACCGACTTTTTCCAAAAGGGAGGTCTCGCCAGCGGCGAGTGTCTCGAAGTGAGTGCCTGGTGGGGTCAAAAGAGATAAAAAAAAAACAGACCCCTCCTTCCCTCTCAGCCAGGTCCAGGAGTCAATTCCGGTGTTTTTTGGTGGGCGCATAGGAAACAGTGATCCTTGAGTGCGCTTCATATATTGGTGATACCCCCGAATTTGTGGATTTCTCTTTATCTTTTTGTTTCATGTTATATTCGTTTGATTTTCTTTCTGGAAGTCTTTCTTCCCGGATCTTTTCTTTTCTAGGATGCATATGGACTGGGAAATTTCGTGTGCAGAGGTTTTGTGCTTGAGATCCATGGCAGCTTGGACTTCAGCTACTCTCATACCGCTTTTTAAGCGTTCGGTACCGCTTCAAGTAGTACCTGGAGTTTGGTTATTTTCTTCGTTAGTCTCCATGTTAAAAATCTGTCTGTGTCGAGGGAAGGGAAGGGGGTGTTCGCATGATGCTATGATGTATGACAATATGTGTGAATTGGGGATGTGCATTGAAACTCAGCGCTGCCCATGGGGGATATATAGAAAGGAAAAATGACATATGACCCTCGACGAATGATCGTTGGCCTGTTTTTTGTTTTGAAGTAAAGAGTTTGGCAGTGTGGAGGTGATATGCTTCCAGGGTTCATAGGAAGAGGGAGTATTGTTCTTACAGTGTTTCAACCTCTAAGATAATACTCAGTCATTATACGTAGTATGAATCAAGGTGTATACTCCTGAAGAACTCACCTTTCTTCACAAACTCAGCTCGAGCAATCCCCTTTCGAATTTGGTCCTCGTCCGTAAGATGCGCTTGGCCCGTAAATGCACGATGAAGACGGTCCCTGAAGTACTGATAACCCAGGGGATATTCGCGTCCTAGCCACAGCAGCTCTGTAGCTCGTTAGTTCGTGGATTGAGAATCTGCCGATGCGGATTGTTGTGCGTTGTACCTTTGTAGACGTTGATGACCTGCCGACGCAGCTCGACGTTGACCATGATCGGCGCATCCGTGGATGGTGTTGAGTTTTAATTGTTGATGGAGACTATTCTAGTAGTCTGGGGTGTCTTTGGGAGGCAAGTGTCGCGACGAGAAGGACAAAGGGAGTTGGTCAATAGCTCCGCGGTTGTCGGTGACGTCGGGGAGTGCGGAGATCCCGGCCCGTTGTTTATCGGCTGTAAGACCAGCCCCAACACGAAGGACAGTCAGGAATGTACGACTAAGTAGCTGACCAGCATGAGAATCCGTAATGATTTTGTAGTTCGCATATATGCCTGAGACGAAATATAGCTTCCTGAGTATGGAGATATAACAAAAGACTATCCTAGTGGTTCTAAGCACGCCACGGCTACTCGCGGGGTTCTACCCGAGCCATCTGGCCCAAGCTTCACCAATGCGCCTGGCATCAACTTGCGATTCCCGAGTCAAGTTTCCTCTCCGTACCACCCACCATGATACCTCGATCAGCAGCCCTACGGAGGCCACTGGCTGACTCAATCACTTACATTCATGCCTCACGCCCCCTTTCCACAACCGTCCCCGTACAGAATGCTCGTACCTCGGCCCAGGAGAAACCCCCGACTCGACCCCAGGGAATTGACCCGCGATGGCTCACCATGATGAAGCGACGAATCGGGCGGTGCATGATGTTTGGACTCAAGCCAGCCCAGATTGATGATGCGGGCAAGGTACTCCAGCAATTGGCTCGGGATTGGCGTGAACTCATTGCGGGGAGTGAGGGATTCTTGACCGATGAGAAGAGGCGGAGCTTGTATCAGCACAAAGTGGTGTGGGGAGAGATGGTATGCGCCCATAATATCTGGGCATCTGTCTTCGGATGTAGATGAGAGTGGCCGGTTGATATTCGTCTTTTCAGGATATAATGGGTCACGTCAACAATGTCACCTACGTCCGATACGCCGAGTCCGCTCGTGTGAACTGGACACGCAATATTGGCTTGCACATCGACCCTGCTAACAAGGATAAATGGACGAATCTGCTCAATTCAACGGGAATTGGCCTGATCTTGCGGAGTATTAAGGTTGATTACAAGTTTGTGAGTGACAATGCGACCGAGCTGCTCTCTGACCCTTGCAGGACTGACTTCACCGCAGCCCATGACTTGGCCAGACAAAATTACCGTATACCAGAAACTAGTCCATGACCCGTCATCAGCTCCACTTTCCCAGTCAGCCTTTCAACTACAAGTGATGATTCTGTCAGAGGCCCGTCAGCGCCCCGCAGCTCGCTGTCACGAGGACATTGTCACATATGATTATAAGAAGAATCGCAAGACCCCTGAACTGCCACCATTCCTCTTTGAGCAGTTCAAGGTTATTTGGGAACTACAAGAAAAAGCAAAGAAAGATTGGCAAGAGCGTATTTTGGAGATCGAGGATCGAGTGCGGACCCTTGAGGTTGAGAGTTGGGATCGTGCGGATGCGGTAGAGGATACAGGATCAGCATAGAAGTGTTGTTATTAAATTGAATATTTTGGACATATTTAGAGTCTATGTGTATATCAAACTTGTGCAATGCCCTCTATAAGGTAACTTGACACAAAATAGCTAGGTTGACCGGGTCAACTTCTCACATATCACACCACTGTCGCGGCTAGTTATTCGTAGCACGTTACATAAGATGACAACCACAAGAGCTAATATGAGATGCTGCACTCCACCGGCCGGAACCTAGACGTGGGAGGGCCTCGCTGCGGTACTTAAACTCGAAGTTGATCCCTACTTTCAAAATCGAGGCTCCTCCATAGATATCGACACTAACAAGAGCCCTGTCTTTCTGTCAGATGAAACGTTGAGGGTTCTATCTGATAATTTCAGTCATTGATCTTGGTATGTTGATTGGGGGAAGGTTCGAGTTAGCAATCACAGAATTCTAGTAGTTCCGGTTTTGATTCATGAGCTTCAAGATCTGGTGGCGTACTATTCAATGTAGCATTCGAACTCGAACCGTTGAAAGATGCCCTTCACCAGGGGCCTGGATGGACTCGAGTGACATGCTTACTTGTAAAATCCAAAGGAAGGTTTCAAGGAATCGTCTCGGTCGTACGGGGATTGAGATGCCGCCAGTTGGTACGAGAAAATCGCACCCCCTGCAATTGTCTCTGACTATTATTAGTATATTCAAATGAGCGAGTCATGTTCGGGTAGATCCTTACATCACTTCCACTCAACAAACCTTGGAGAGAGAGCCCCGTGATATGAGGTACTACCTGATACATACAGAGAAATCTCTGCTCCTGCTCAGTCTGCTTCCAGTCAACCAATCTGGAGCCGTGTGAACCTCAGTCCAAGAAATATGTAAGACTTCCTCTTCATGATGATGGATTTTCAGGATCGCGTACATTTCAGGGCGGCCTGATGGGGCTTTCCCGCCTCAAGGGTTTGTAATTTTTTTCCACGACGGCAACACCAAGATCATCTGCTTGTCGCTCTGGAGGCAGAAGGTCCTCTAGGATTGATCACTTGGCGGTCCACTTGAATGTAAGGCTACAAACAGTTCGCAGATCACGACCGGTTGGCTTTAGGGAAACCATGTTGTCGGTCTTTGCTTTATTATGAAATAAGTCAAACACAAGGGCAATGTTTTGAAAGAGAGTCTTTAGCAATTCAAAAAGACCAAATGCTGATTAGTGATGCCTGGCTAGTAGACCGAATTTCATACAGAGAAACTATAGTCCTCTTCAATTTGTGGTGCCTACGATTTTTTATGGCCGCCAGGGCAATCTTTTGCTAGATGGAACACACAGAAAGGCAAAGTTGAATGACAGTCAAAAATAGTAAGTTCCACCAAGAAAGGACTATCAGTTCATGACATGCATCATCTTTGAATGACCTCTATCTACCCCACATGCTTACCCCACATTCGGTCGGCTATATGGCATGGCCTCTACGCCCGTTAGCTCGCCCAAATTGAGCACTTCCAATGAATAGTGACCACTTTTGCCCCACCAAAGTCGCCTACTCGGCACTTGCCTCGGTCAGAAGGGGAGCTGGGATATTCTCGATCGTGTAACTGACCAACCTCGTTTTCACTCCTCATGCTGGGCGGAGCGGCACAAGCTTCATATATATCTTCAGTTATCGGCGACTTCAAACCGTGATAACAAACTGCGGACTATCAGATTGTCATTCTTATAATGGCTCAAACAACTACCTCGACGTTGTCGGGCGGAACACGAACTGAGAATTTGGCCAGCTGGGCCGCTAACCTCAAATTCTCCGATCTCTCGGAAGATGTCATCCAGAAGACTAAAGATTTCTTCGTGGATTGGCTGGGATGTACGATCGCAGGCCGTCATCATCCAGCCGTTTCGGCCATTGCAAGATTTGCGTCGCAGATGGGCCCTTCCAGTGGGAAGAGTGAATTGGTCGATGGCTCTTTGAATTTCACCACGAGTCCGGCTTTCGCTAGTTTGGTGAATGGCGCTTCATCTCACGTTGTGGAGCAAGATGATCTCCATAACCGAAGTATTATGCATCCTGTAAGTTTGATCGAGCTGTTTGAGCCCACACGTGTAAATACTCTGGATTCGCACTGAAGCTAATTGACCCGTAGGCAACCGTCATATACCCAGCTGCCCTTGCTGTAGCGCAAGATGTTGGTGCTACCGGCGAAGAATTTATCGCAGCCTGTGTTGTTGGCTATGAAGTAGGTTGTCGAGTGGGAGAATTCCTAGGCAAGAGTCATTATGAGGTATATCTATCCGGGGAACATACCTTGAACCGTTTGACTAAACTCTACGCAGCGCTTTCATTCTACCGCAACTGGCGGAGTTATTGGAGTCGCGGCTGCCACAGCGCATCTCTTAAAGCTTGACGCCGCTCAGACCTTGTCTGCCATTGGAACGGCTGGCACTCAAGCCGCAGGTCTTTGGCAATTCTTAATGGATGCAACACACTCAAAGCAAGTGCACACCGGCAAAGCCTGCTTTGATGGAATCTTCGCAGCATACACTGCTCGTGACGGGCTTCTTGGCACCAAAGATATTCTCGAGGGACCGCGGGCAATGGGAGTTGCATTGGTTCCGGGCACAACGAATCCCGAGGCTATTGATCAAAATCTCGGTACTGACTACGAAGTCCTTCGGTCCAGCTTTAAATGGCATGCATCTTGTAGGCACACCCATCCCAGTGCCGATGCACTGTTGAAACTCATGGACAAGAACGGGGTCGCTTTTGAAGATATTGAATCTGTGACCACTCGCACTTACCAGGCTGCCCTCAATGTACTTGGCATGACTGGCAGGGGAGAAACAGTCCATCAGAGCAAATTCTCGATGGGATTCGTTCTCGCCGTTGTCGCCAAAAAGGGCCAGGCTATGATCACCGACTTTACGGAAGATGACTTAGAGGATTCTTCGCTACGGGAGTTCCAGAAGCGTGTCAACATGGAGTTGGATCCTGAAATTGACCGGGCGTTTCCTGAAAAGTGGCAGGGTACTGTTATCGTGACTACGAAGTCTGGAAAGACGTTCACCGAGTCGGTTGAGTTTGCGAAGGGAGACCCTGAACTTCCCTTAACAAGGTATGTATAACAACGATTGGTGCTTGGTTGTTCTCGACTAATTGAGTCCACAGGGACGAGATCGAGAGGAAGGCGCATACTCTCGCCGCCTACGGTGGATTCACAGATACTGGCAAGGTCAACCAGCTGATCGAGAGAGCTTGGAATCTGGAAAAAGAGAAGAACGTCGATGGTTTCGTTTTCTAGCCGCTGGTAATCGTTTCAGAATGTCTGGCCATGAATAGAGAGTATATAGACGATATGTGCCAATACATCCGATATGCAATGCCATGCCTGTGGATGAGGCTCTCTTGCCGTTCTTCCGCATAGGGTGTCCTAGTGGTGAAGACTTGATATTGCAGTGTTGATGACCAATATTTACGAGGTAGTTGATAGAGCCTATTTCCCAGACCTCAGGTCGTGTCGATTCGGTACAGGAAGATTCGATACAGGAATGCAAATAGTTACCCACAGTCATTGGCTCAGAAATACGCTCTTTCAATAATGACTACCGGTATCTGGTTTATGATCCTCGAAATTCGCAAAGGAGAGAGTATATCTTTCAATTGTCAGCTTAGGAGCCTAAAAAAGAAATGGACAAACCCAAAAAAATTAGCCCAACAACAGAATAATATTGGGTCTGGTAAATAGCAGGGATGACAAGAGCGGCAAATACCTCAGGCGGGTGTGGCTTGTAAGGAAACTCAAATGAACGAGAATTACAAGCCACTGCTGCAGGTATGTTTCGATTCTCATTCGTTCATTTAAATGCTTAACTTACCTCTTGAGTTATCATAATAGTTCTGCACAGACCCAGGGCCGAGTTGATTGATTCACAAGTAATATTTCAAAGATGTGCTCTGCAAAACAGTTCTCTTCGCCAGTTCGACACTGTTCCCTATTTTGGTACCCTCAACTGGAGATACTGTGACTATTGCAAAATATTTGACACTTCCTCGGCGCTTTCAAATGAGTATATACTCCCTTCATATGCTAGGTGTTGCCATTGAAATTTCCACACCTATTTAACGCAGCAAAAAACATCCACAACATGTGTTAGGCGATGTTCAATCTGCCCTGGTCCTCCGGCCTCTCGATCAGGTTATACTAAGATTGAAGTATATTTTTAGCCAAAAAGCCTCGACCCACCGTACCAGTTATTTTGTCTTGTAAACCAAATCTTCAAATGGGTCCGTCGCCACCCGAGAAATTTATTCGGCTCCGTACCATTCTCTATATTTCCGATCAGGATTCCAAATGCCAAAGTCGAAAGTTGCAGGTCGCCATGGTCAAACACCTCAGCTGACGTGAGGAGTAAGTAGTCTGTAGCTTGTTCCGACAACTCACCGCCACGTCGGATTCAAGTCTGGCAGTGTGCATAGATAGGAATGTGGCTACTAGATGACTACGCCACGGAAAATGGAGTTTTTCCTTTTCCCCCTGAAATTGATCCGTACGGGCATTTTCCGTTCAGTGGAGCTTCCATACATATGGTTGTTCATACCCTCGGCGACCTTGCCGAACAGGGCCGGAGGAGAGGGTCGATTGGGGAACGGAACGAAAAGGACTTGCGAAAAGATCGGCGCCATAACCTTGTTGCACCGTTAATCGAACCCAAGGAAGATTCCGGCCTCTTATTCGGGACTGGGCGCGACCGAGGCAAGTATACCGTTCAAAATTACGAGGAAAGTTTCGCGGTAAGCACGAATGAACCTCAACATGGAAGATGCAGTTAAATTTGCACAACACGACCATTTTGCTCAAGGATTGCTCTACTATAGCTGATCGCCCATTGGAATAAAAAAGGCAAGGTCTGTCACCGCATGCAAAAGGAGTGGACGGAGATCCAACAACGCCAGCACTCTAGGCTGGTCGCGGGTGACGATCCTTACTAATTTGGTGGCTGATCTACGAGGAAACCTTGCGATGCCAAGTCGACTTAGCATCCGTTGACTGAAATGAGGAGAGGGGTTGCTGGGTCAATCGGCCAGCAGATGCTGACGCTGGTAAAGTAGAAAGATGATCCCCGTAGTTAACGATCTCTCCGCACTTGGTCATCGATAGATATTTGCTTTTGTGACTATCGGTCTCCTGGAGAACCGCGTCTCTCCATTAGTAATTGGTTGCACAGAGGGGTGGATCGCCCGTTGGTCATTGCTTAGCGGAGCCTCCAGGGTACGAGATAGCCGAGCATGTGAAGAATGGTCGCTAAAATATCCATCAAGCATGGCATGATTGAGCGATTCCGCATACGCGAGTATATGCAGTACAGTAATAGGCTAGGGCCTCCCATCAAGTCGGTATGGTTGTAGGGTCTCTGCAACCTATGCTCATCAGCGAAGAATACTTTCCCCGATTGGGTACAATGATCTGAGGGGACTCGTGTTGCCATGCATGCTCCAAGACTGGTGCTAGGATAACCCCGCAGCAGGTGGCCGAAAGAACGGTTTGATCGGCGGTGACTTGGCTTGATAGCAACTGGGCGATCATGAAAGATCATGTAATTAGATAGGGATCGCTGTCGAGTTAGGCAGATCTCGAGCTGTAGCGGGAGCCGATGTGGATGCGTATATATTAGTATTCCAAGATAGCAACGGAATGAAGTTCCTGGTCAGCATTGCGTTTCAAATGGTACATGAGAGCTCTGAATCAAGTATGTACATCCTTTCGGCCGCATCCCGTTTCTTCATTGAGGATTGGGCGAGCCGTTGTCGGGTATCCGAAAGAGTACGGCAGCCAGGTGACTGGGAGACGAATGGGGAAACTCCATGGCGACGGAGATCGACAAGGGACCTTTCTGCACACTCCGTATGGGGTAGACGGTTGGTGATTGGTGATCATGCAGAGATTGAGATGATAACGATTCTGATCGTAGTCCGTTTCATTCAAAGTAGGTACATAGAAACACATTTCAGGTGAGGCCATACGGCAAATACAGTACACCAATCCTGCAGCAAAGAGCGATACGGCACAAATACTCTTCCCAAGGCGGGCGGTACCGCCTGCCCAAAAGGGGGCATCCTGAATGATCGACGGCGGCGTTACGATACAATACGGCGATTCAGTTTCTGCTCTATTCCTCTTCCTGCCAGCAGTTCCACCACTTTTCCTTTCTTTCCCCTACTCGTATTACCATCTTCGACACTTCTCGCGCTCTCGCTTTTTTCCTTTCCTTTCCCCCCTCCTCCTTCTATTCCCCCCTCACCCACAACCATCCCCCAGTCCTTCTCATCGACACTCCTTCTGGACCTTTGGGGCATTATTCCATTTATTACCCCCCCCCCGTCTTCGCCTCTCATTCCTCTCCTTCCTCCTCCTTCGCCCCTTCCAGCCTGGTCCCAGTCCTTGGCCTTATCCCGCCAAGCTGACTCGGACCTGGGTTTCGGGCTCCCTCGTCCATGCCACGCTCATCCGCTGCGGGCAGGAAGAATCAGAGCAATCGTCACGAGAATGGCCTCGTCGGTCCCGGCAAGAAAGTAACCAAGCAGAAGTCCAGCGGCCATCTCAACGGCTCGCCCGGCAACGGCAACGCTACCAGCTCGGGCGCCTCCGCACCTGTCGACCTTTCCTCGTCTCGTTCCACCAGTGATTCCGCCGTCAACTCTTCGATTGCCGCGTGTAAGGGTGTGGACGGGTCCAAGATTGATGGCAATGGGCATGGGCTGGTGAACGGACATCGGAGTGTGGACATGGCCTGCGGCGAAGTCAACAGCGCCACGCCGCATAACAGCGGCATGGTGAGCTCGACTCCTCGCAATGGCACTGCGAAACGATCGGGCTCCAACGCATCAATCAATCCGCTTCAACTCGCGTCCACAATCCTCAAGTCGTGTCCCATGTACGACACGATTGCCATTTTGATTTTTCTGCTACAGCTCCCACCGATGGTCTTGACCTGTGTTCAATTCCTGTTCGCGTCCTTGACGTTCATGCCTCCGAGTGGCGGCGCTGCCGGTTCCCTGTCGTCCAACTTTGATATCTTTCAGGGTCCCGCTGGTACGCCTTCTATGGGTACAATGATCGCAATGGACGGGTTCTGCCTTCTTTTCTGGGGTCTCTTCATGTGGACGTGGGCTCAAAATTTCGCCATTGATCTTGCTCACGTTCAAGTCGCCATTACTCTAGGCGGCGGAGGCTCCGGGAAAAATGGTGGGGTCAACGCGCTCTGTGTCGGGATTGTTCTGCTTCTTCACATTGTTCGCAGCAAAGGCATACAAGAATTTGTGACAGGGCATCTTGTTTCTGCCAAACTCATTAGCCCTGATCTTCTCTCACAGTACTCGAATATTCTACCCGCCGAATTCCGTCGATCCGAGTCGCAATCCTCGCCGAGCTGGTTACGGAGTTTGCTCGCCGTACACATTCTAGCACAGGCCGGAACTGCGATGGCGAGACGGTCAATGGCCAAGAACCGATCACCGGCACCCTCACGGACCGGCAAGCGTGGTGATACAGAAGCGTCGGCGGGCTCACAAGGCCAAGCCGATTCTGCTCTGGAGTCTGCTGCGAGTCTTTCCTCGTCTTTTGTTGGGCCGGATGGTCAATTAGTCAAGGATGGTAAAGATCGTCTTACTTCAGCCAAGAAACGCAGGAGGCAAGCCAATCAAGTTAGAAGTCGTCAACCCTTTTGGGCCGCTCTTGCCAGTACAAAGGTTACGGTTATGCGAGAATATGAACATTCTCGGGTCTTATCGAAAACGGCACGTGGATTGACGGAGGACGACTTGCAGAGTGTCTCTCTCGACGAAGGATTGATATGGATAACGGATGTGGATGGTTCAACGATCAAGTTTGCCGCCGGCGACCTTGCTGATTACTCCGTGACCCCAAGCTCGTGCGATGCCGGCCGTATAGATTCGGAGGCTGAACCATTCTACGTTTGTGTCAATGGAGCGTTGTGGGCAACAGCGACGATTTGCAGGGTTCCTAATTCCTCCAAGGGAACCAGTATAGCTCACTGGAAGGGTGAGATCTCCGGTCTTGCACCCAATTGTGCTTATACCTGCTCTTTCGTCCGCAGCGATACCGATGAGGAGATCTGTGCCATGAGTGTCAAAACGCCCGCAACGACCGATATGGAACAAGGTAAGCTTTCCTCATATGCTAGAATGTGGCTCTCGCGTTCATGAAACTTACCCGTTCCGCAGCTGTTTCCTCGGTTCCGACACCCCCACAGCCAACTTATCGTCCCTCGTCTCCTACCACTACGCTGAAAAATTCCGTTGTCAATGCCGAGGCCAAGCTCAACGAAAAGCGCTCGCGATTGAAGAAAGCGAAGAATGATCACAAACTCCTCATCTCGAAAATTCGGAGAGAATTAGACAACTATAATCACCGACTTCAAAGTGGAACGGATGAGAATAGGCAAAAGCAGCGTTCGCTCCAGCTTGAGCGGAACATTCGGCAAACGGAGGAGGCAACAGCGGTGTTGGAAGAGCAACTCGACAACATGGAGAACGTGCCCGAGGAGGAGATGGAGGAATGGAGTGCACAAAAGGCTGATTTCGATCGGGAATTGGAGCTCTTCAATCAGACCAAGGAGGACGTTGCCGAAGCTCGCCTTGCTTCGGCCCAGCAAGTCGCAGCCTTGGAGCAAGAGTTGAACGTGGTAGTGCAGAAGCGGGAGCGACTGCAGAGCCGCCGTGTTCGTGTCAATGAGCAGTACGAGCGCATCATATCAGCCAATGCCCAAGGATTGAACGAAAGAGAGCGCCGTGCGGCTGAGCAGTTTGCCCGAGAGCAAGATCATGCCAAGCTGGAAGCCAATTTCCACGAGCAATTTGCCAGCATTAGCCAGTCTGTACAGGACTTCCAGCTACGCACGAGTCAACTCTGGCAGCAAGCTTCGGCGATCGAACAGGCCATTCAGCAGCAGCAACAGCAGATGCTCCTCGAGTCTGGCCCTCTGACTCCTGAGGGCAATCTCCCCGGCACTAATCCCATCATTGAAACTACAACGACCTCCGCCCCTACTGGACGAGCGTTGTTGGGGCTCAGCTTCCCTCCTCTCAAGTCTAGTCCACTTCAGACTTCATCATCGCCCGTTCATGCTTCGTCGTCGCATCCAACCAGCCCTGTGCAGGATTCCACCTTCATGCCTCAATTCCCGACGTCCCCGTTCGGCAACGCCGGCTCTTACTTTGGCACTGACCTCAACAGTCGGGACCGCTCCTTCTCCAACCGCTCCACTCGCAGTAGTCAATATGGCTCGGATTTCTTCGAATCACATCGCATCCCTGCGCTCCAGGTTGAACTGTCTGATATTCTTTCCGAGAAGCAGCAACGCTTCGGGTCAGACGGAAACGGCTTTCTACAGCACGGGGGCCGTCCTGTTCTGAGCCCTTTCCAGCGTGCGGCAAGTCGTGTCAGTGGAGCCGGTAGTGGTAGCGGAGGCAGTGGCAGCGGAACCGGCAGTCCAAGATCGACGCGTGAGTAGGATATCCCGGGGGTTTCATGTCTCACACGGAATCGTTCCCCCCGATCCCATCTTGAGCTTGATCTCGACGGTTGATATCTGGACTTGCGCGTTCTCCAAAGTGGTTTACCTGAGTTGTTTGTGCCTCTGCCTTGCATTCTGTTCGGCTGGATCATCTTTCGTTAGCCCCCTCAACTCCCATTCGTTCCTTCAAATTCAACTTTTATCCTTACCGGGTCGCATCGAGATGGTCTCTTGAATGAACATTCTTTGGCCATCGCGTGTCGACAAGTCCCTCGCGGTGAGTTGACGAGGCTGTATATGTCGGGTTGAAGTGAGATGAATCGCGGTTCTGTTCTTAGAGACCAAAAAGCTTGTTCTATACTATTTCGGTTGCCGTCCATCTTCCTCGTAGTCATTGTTATTGTAGATCTACGTGTAGTCTCGATTGAAACAGTGTGCAGATAGTGAAGACCGTCGTGTCATAAAAGAAAGCAACAAATGGCAATCATCACCTTTGAATATCTTTACAAAGTTCTAAATATATGTCCAGCAAACGCCAGCCCCGTGTATGGTATATGTACAGTTCAACACAGTCCACCCCTGGACTCTTCTCGATGTGGACCCCGGCTTAGATATCACGACCCATCTTCCAGAATTTAGTGTTGGCATAGGTGAGACACAAGCGTTCCGGCGAATGCTCATCCGAAGATTCTCCCGCACAGTTTTGGCCAGAGACTCCGTTCTTCCCCAAACCCTCAACCGCTCGCATGACTGTACCAAGCACAATCGAGTGATCATGCACATCAATCTTCTGTGGATGAAGCATGCACTCAAACACAAACGGGAAATCCAACCGACTATCCTCGTCTGACCCCCGTCGCCTCAAAATAGGAAGCGGCCTGTCGTCTTCTCCAGCCGAGCTGCGCTCAGTACTCAAAGCGCCAAACTCAAATTCTCCATGTCCGCTCAACATTGATACTAAGGTGGTATTGCCCTTGGAGAAATCTCTCGCCAGAGTTGCTGTTGCGGGACTCGGCGCAAGGAGATGTACGAGAAACCGGCCCGAGGCTAGTAGCGCGTTGAGTGTTTCGGAGGGTCGGCGCACGTTGAATGATATTACTGGCTCCGGTGTGAGTGTGACTGTGTTGAAAGAGGAGACGGTCATTCCACGGAAGGAAGTGGTATCTGCGGGACCGGTTGGATCGGTGGCTGTGATTATGGCGACGGGGTAGGGGACTCGGCGCATGAGGAGGCGGACTTGTTCTGATATTGATGAGGCGGGTGAGGGTTGAATTGGTTTTGAGGGCTCGCTGTTATTTGGGCTTTCTTGTTTGAGAGAAGCTGCGGGATGGCTGATATGTCGCCGTGAGCTTCGGAGGTGGTGTTGCGGGGAGTTTGGCCTGAAAGGGTATCGGATGGAGGAGTGGAAGGGTTTAGTAGAAGAAGCTCTGTGCGGCAAGGGTTCTAAACAGCGTCAATTACTATTGCAGGGCAGAGTATCTCGAAGGCATTTCGAAAGACTCACCTCCGAGGCCATGCCGGGCCGCAAGTCGCGGGAGTGATAGCTTCATGCTGCCGGTCTCGACAGGCCGGAGCTCGCGTTAGCACTCAAAAATTGGCGTAAATTAGTCGATTAGGAAGGGACAAGTCGTAATTCTCGTGATCTACACTCGAGACACGAGTCTGCGCAAATCGAGCGTGAGTTTACTTCTGAAAGTAGCCCGCCCCGAGAAAATCCCCGGCCGCTTACATAACCCGCGATAATTCCCAAAAGTTTCTCTGCGTCGGGAGTTTGTATAGCATCGACTCTGCACTCTACAACCTCCCACTCGCAGCCGGCCTGACATTCCCTCAAGGGCTACGGTCTTTCCTAAATCCTCGAGATATCCATTGCGCTTCCGCGCACATCCTTGCACAATGTCAATGCACACCTCTCTGCGTCGCTCCGCGGCCACGATATCCAGCTCAACATCCACGATCCTACCTACCCGGCTGCCAGCTTCTCAACTCAAGACTGCGACCTTCGTATGCTCGCAATGCCGTCACGCCACACTTCTCCGCCGTCCTAAGCGGCCCTACACCTTTACCCAGCTCGTCACCCTCTCTGACGGGAGCGCCTTCACCCAACGCACCACCTCACCCGCCCCCGTCTACCGTTCCACGCGTGACACTCGCAACTCCCTGCTCTGGAATCCGTCCAGCAGCAAGCTGATGAATGTCGAGGAGGACGAGGCCGGACGTCTGGCCGCTTTCCGTGCGCGCTTCGGTCGTAGCTGGGATGCCAATGCCCCAGTCGCCGAGTCTGCGCCCACCGGTGATGCGACGAAGGATGCCGCCACTCAGAAGGCTGAGCAAGAGGCTGCCCTGGCCCAGGCTAAGGCGGACCAGGAGGAGGAAGATAATCTGTTGGATTTGATTAGCTCATTTGGCCAGGATGAGCCTCAAACTCAAGTTTCGGGAAAGAAGAAGAAGTAAACGCCCGGATAAGAGCGTGGAGGTGATTGGATTGTCACCAGCGAGGGTACTTGCGTTACCTTCGTTGTACTTAAACCAGGAGTTAGGTTACTTTATTTTGATTTGTCTCATTTATCCTGTACAATATACATTGTTTTCTTTTCTACCGTGTACGGCGGACTATAGGGAGGAGAAGGCCATAACTCTGAATTTCTTCAAAGACCATTCACCGCTTTCTTCCGCCCTAAGTATATTTCATGCTTACTACATCAGTAGGAGATTAATGTAGAGATTAACTAAGAAACTGTCTATGAAACTTTGTAGGAAACCGTCTAGGGAACCGTCTAGGGAACCGTCTAGGGAACTACCCCTCTATGTTAGTTACGATCGCAATAATCAATAGGATTAAGTAAAGAAGTTAGACTCCATTTACCATCATAAACCTCATAGCGGTACTTGGTTCCGACATGATCGTCTCTCAATCGCTTTTGGCCAGAGCTATAGATCCTCTCGCGCATAGTCCCGCTTTCTCCTTCGGGTGCATAGATACCTCTTCGACGCAGTTCGGACACCAAGAGCTCCACGACATCCTCAAATGTCCCCGGAGTTTGGACGTATCCGATGTTGAAGCCATCCAGGTCGGCAACTCGAACCCATTCTTCAAGAAAGTCTGCAACGCGACTCGCAGTTCCAGCGGGGACGGGCCCGGAACCACCGATGTAAATGTGTTTCCCAATGTTTCGGGGTGTCCATTCCGGGACATCGGGACCCTGATACGAGAGCGTGTTGATGGTCGAATGAACCCGAGCATCAACGTGAACATCAGATGGCTTGATAGGCGTATCCAGATCAAACCGACTGAGATCAATGCCACTTCCCCCAGAGAAGAAGGCAAGTCCAGCCTCTTCACTGGCGTTGTCAAGTGCCTCGTGGTATTTTGCCTGGGCCTCTGCTTCTGTTCGGCCAATGATCGGAGTAAGAATGGCAAAGACCTTCACAGATCTCGGATCACGACCGGATTTGGCTGCTTCTTCACGAATAGCCTGGATACGAGGAGCGAGGATGTGCGGAGACGGGGCTGATACAAAAACACCCTCGGCATGTTTTGCACCGAATGCTACGCCGGCTGAAGAAGTGCCGGCTTGGAAGAGGAACGGAGTGCGTTGATGTGACGGGTCTAGGATATGGGGACAATCGACATGGAAGTGTTCACCGTGATGATGGACATATTTTATCCGACTGGGGTCTGTGTAGATGCCAGTCTCGACGTCTTCTTTGAGGGCGTCGTCCGCCCAACTTCCTTCCCAAAGTCTAGCCAAGGGAATTAGCAACCTTGATTAATATGGATTTACACGTTGACTTACTTGTATAGCACGGTCAGGTACTCATCAGCAATCTCATAGCGTTTGTCGTGGTTGATGAGGGGCAATCCAACCTAGACTCCTTAGTAAATGCGCGTTTCGTCTCGAGGTAAAGGAGAACTGACAGCTTTTGAAGCAGAAGCCTTCCATGAAGTCACAATATTCCATCCAAATCGACCATTTGTGAGGTGATCGAGAGTCGAGAATCTCTTTGTGACGACATATGGAGCTTCATACGATGTAGATGTAGTGATAGCGAACCCGAGGTTCTTGGTCACCGATGCCATTGCGGAGATTGGCTGGAAACAAGCAATTAGTATTCCACCTGAGTCAAGTACTGTTGCTCTGTGTCATGTTACTCGTCATACAATTGCAGGATCTCCCATCGGATATTGGGCGGCGTTACGAATAGCCGGCTCAGCACTGCCCTTATAAGTGTCATAAAGACCGAAAGTGTCGGCCAGAAACAATGCATTGAAATCACCCTTCTCCAGGATCTTGGCCAGGTCTGTCCAGTATGAGAGATCTCGTCGCTTTGTAGCCGATCGGTCTGCAGGGTTCTTCCATTGGCCGAATGATAGATGGCCAACTGTGAACATGTCGAAACCATTGAGATAGATGCGGCGTTTCTGCGCCGGATTCTCGGTAGACATATTGGTGGATTTGAAATGTACAACAAATTTAATCCGACAGAGCAAGGGTTTTCACTATCACCTTCGAGGCTGCATAGATATGTAGTAGCAAGGGCTTCTGGTTTATTTACTTCATCTCTACATAACCCCGCTCGACGACATGCTGCCATTGACAAGCAAAATCACGAATCTTGGCCCCCGCTGCTTATAGATCAAGAACGTGAGCTTGGAGGAGATTGAGATGATCTTGAGTATACCCCAATGTTTTTTGTTCGGAAGAAAGCCGAATAACGTGCACTGAAAGAAGATCGCGTCATACGCTGTCGGGGAACAGGCTGAATGATTGGGTTGAACTACACACGATAATTTACCATAACAGCTGCGGGCCATCTGAAAATGTGGCTGGAGGGAAGATATGGCTTAAGTAACGACTTTTGCCTGCTCGAGATCAAAAGATTCAATCGGATGCTCAAAGGAAGATTGGCCAGAAAATGAAGTTAGAATCTCATTTTATTGATTTAGGGCGACATTAACGACACGACAGAAGGGTTCATGGCACGACGAGGCTAGTCTTAATGAGAGACCCCCCTTCCAATACAAAATGCTACATTCGAAATTCACAAAATACCTATCGAGTCATTATGTATAGTTCATATTGATACTTCTCCTTAATATTTTTAGCAACTGTATACGCGACCTCTATCTATTTATCCCTATAATAGACTAAGTTATTATCCTACTCTCCCTCTTACTATCACCCTTTTTTACGGTCTTTTGAATGGTCCTTTCTAAGATATAGGCATATATATACATTCGGACTCTACTCGTATTTTGTACATCTCGAATGTAGCATTCTATATCCAAGTGGGGGCGCTCCTCATTAGAACTAGCCTTGTCGTGCCATGGACTTTTCTGTCGTGTCCTTAATGCCATCCTTGATTTATCTCAAAGGTTATGCATGTATCTACTCTAAATCTTGCTTTTTTGAAACTGGATCGCTCCCTCAATGGGGGGCTTTGGCTTGCCTTTGCCTCCCAGGCCTGATGTCTGTTCGGAATGGTCCTCGGCCTCAGACTCATTAACCACAGCCCTGAATGCAGCCTCAACGTCATGTTCTGATAACCACTCTGTGCTAGGACGCTTCTTCATCCTAGCAACGAGTGCCGCGTCTTCCTCTTCGAGAGATGTAGCCACCGACGCCCTCTGTTCAATCTGGCTATGAACGATACGCAGTAGACGTGCCGTGTGTGGCTGTCTCGTCTTGCTATACAGACTCAGTATCTTGTTGATACTCTCAATTGAGTGTTCCGGGCCTATCGAGGAGTTGAAAACATGGTTGAAAGCAAGTCCAAGAGCGAGGGAGTCATCTAGCGCCAAGGAGCCCCCGGCGGCGAAAGCACCGCCATGGGCGTGTGCTGCATCACCAACAAGAGTAACACGCGAGCCAAATACCCAGGTTGGAAGCGCATCTCCTGCAAAGTTTGGATATAGATTGGTCGAAGGAGTATGTTGAGTGAGGGCTCTAACGGTCGGGTTCCAGTTCTAAGAAACTTTAGTCCATCTGCTTCGGTCGTAGTAGAAATCAAGAGAGACATACTTTATATCGCTCTCTTAAAAACTCCACTTTACCCGTGGAGTTCCACGCAATGCTCTTTTCAATCTCTTCTGCAGTCCGTGGATCATCATACGCGCCGACGGTGGTATATTGATTCTTGCCTACAGATTGTTAGGTCATCGTGAGAAACGGAGATAAATATGTTCTCAACACACCAAGCCGAGATGCAAAGAAGTTGTCTCGTGGTCCCCACTATGTGTCTGTCAGTACGTCTGTTCAGCAATTACGCGAGAATGACATACCCAATGCATTGAATCGATGGGTAGGTCAGGGATCTTGCCCTCGACCAATGATGCATCAAAAGTTGCTCTCATGAACACCTTCCCACTGAATTTCAATTTGTAGTCGGGAATAAAGGACTGTCTCACTGGCTTTACTACCGATTAGCAATGTGAAAACAAATTTCGACCAGGTGCAACCCACCGACCGAATTCCATCTGCGCCGATCAGGACATGCCCGTGGGCACTAGTGCCGTCTTCAAAGTGCAGTGACACACCGTCTCGGGTAGCCTCTGCCCTTTTGACCTTTTTGTTTAAGTGGACAATGTTTCGTGGAACGTGCTCTAGGAGGGCAGTATGCAAATGGCCTCGGTGGAAGCGGGTAGTATGATGTCGCGGATCGGGAACGTCAGAGTGTGTGTCGACGGAGATGACTTGATTTGTCTTCCAGTGACTGGAATTTTATGGTGAGAATAAGCCCAGGTTCGCTAGGAATGAACATACCGGAAGATTTGTGGTATACCATTTGGTCCCCTGTATCCAACCTCATCCGTGAGCGCGCTGGTTACGCCGAGCTTCTCCAAGGTTCGCATGCCCTGCGTCGACAGTCAATTCGTTAGATGATACAGTATTAGGGCTCAAAGCAAGCCATACATTAGGACTGAGTGCAATACTGGCTCCAATTTCCTGAAGCTCCGGAGCCTGCTCATAAAGCTGCACATCTAGATTTGATAGCTCGGCAATGCGGCGTAACGAGATAGCGGTTGCCAACCCCGCAATACCAGCGCCAGCAATCAAAACTCGAAGGACGCGATCTTGCTCAGTCATTCTGAGAATACAATCTTGATGGGCTTTTGAATTAACAGAAGGTCAGGTCTATGAAAGGAAGTCAAATAAGTAATGACCTCTGTGCAAACAGATCAAACGATAACTCGTGATCACAACCAGGTAACTACAGAGCGCATGTCACGTCAGCAAGGGACTTCTGATACAACCCCGCAATGGCGACTTCAAGCGTGCTTCTGACATCGATTGACGCGTTCCCTAGTGTCAACGCATTAAGAGTCATGCAGGCTCGGTAGTTAACATGATACTGCCGATGACTATCCTTGCTAAGAGAGAAATCATGCAAGAACCTCGACTAGTAGACCTCTCAAAGGCTTGGCATATCAGCCATGTCGGGCAAGTTCCGGCACATACTGAAGACGATAATATATGGAGAAATCGCGTAATCAATATCATTTGCTAGAGACCGAAATACTTCGAAATTATAAGTATATGCTTCCTTCATCCAGTGTCAGCATATTTTGGTCCCAGCGGGTGATTCCATGAGCTAACCACCATGGCGGCTAACCTAACAAAGTCCGATATTGCAGCCACTGCTCAAGCTAGAAGTGATGAGGATGAAGTCGATTTCAGCAATGCGCCAAAAGTCCCTGATCAATTCGCAGACGAGAGTTTTAAGCTTTTTTCCAAGATCCAAGTCACTGACCCAACGCCCGAAGAAGCAAATCAGATAAGGAAGAAATGTCTTTGGCGGATCTTACCTTTCCTATGTATCGGATATCATCTGATGTATGTAGACAAGCAGACAGTATGTGGAAAACCTCAACCTTGTATGATCAGAACGATACAAAGCTTACAATTATTTAATTAGGAAGTTCTGCCATCCTTGGAATCATGAATGATGCCCATCTGAATTCAAATCAGTACAATTGGCTCTCCTCGATATTTTACTTTGGCTATCTTCTGGCAGAATGGCCTCAGAATTGGGCCTTGCAGAGGTTCCCGGTTGGAAAATGGTTGGCCGGAAATTTGATCATTTGGTACATCTATACATTCTTCTTCTGTTCAGCATTGACTAATAAAATCGATAGGGGTGGTATCACCCTCTTGCATATTCCGTGTAATAGCTTTGCCTCCCTTTTCGTGGTACGCTTCTTTCTCAGGCTAGCCGAGGCATCGATTGTCCCTGCATTCCTGCTCTCCATGTCGATGTTCTTCACCTACGGTGAGCAGGCCGTTATGATGCCTATTATGTGGTCCATCGGCAACGCAAGCCCTATCACGTCGGGCCTGCTATCGTACGGTGTTTTATGGATTAAGACTGGAAATTTTTCTCCATGGAAATGGTTTATGGGTCAGTGATATCCCTTTATAGGTTTCAGAGCAGTACACCGACATCTTATTAGTGATCACTGGCGTTCTCACGATCATCTTCGGTATCTTTGTGTACTGGCTTTTCCCTGATAGCCCTCTTCATGCCGATTTCTTGACGTACGAAGAGCGTGCAAAGGCCATTCTACGGATCAAAGAGAACCATTCTGGCATTGAGCAAAAGCTTTTCAAAAGATACCAGTAATATTATCTGCGTTGTCAACGAGTGAGAATCGTACTGATTCGGACATATAGATTCATTGAGGCTATTCAAATCCCGAAGACATGACTTTTCTTCCTTCATGCTTGGTCTCAAGAAATGGCTAATGGTATCACGAACCAGTACTCTCTGATCATCAATTCCTTCGGGTTCACCGTTCTTCAAACAACTTTGCTGGGCACGGTGACAGGAATCGTATCTTTCTTTTCCCTTGGATCCGCTGCGATTGCGCTATATCATACTAAGGTAAGCTACCGCGAGACGCACTGAAATGGATAATAACCAATGACGTAGAATTGCCGGGCATGGATCTCTCTCGTTGCATACGTCCCGGGTGCATTGTCCAGCATACTTCTGCTAGGTTTGTTTGAGATCAAACAAGAGTGAGCTAGGACTAACCTTCGTCTCAGCCCTACCCTGGACAAATCGATGGGGTCTCATCAGTGGAATCTGGATCTGTTCCACGGTTGGCATACCCTATGCCGTGGTCATGATTTGGGCTGCCAATGCCTCTGCGGGACACACAAAAAAGACCACCGTGATTGCTCTGTACCATATTGGTTATGGGCTGGGAAATATCATTTCGCCACAGCTTTTCCAACCTCGCTGGAAGGTAACTTTTCAACCAAGACGAATGGCTTGTGCCGCGTGCTGACAACTGACAAGCCTCGATATCGGCCTACATGGATAATTTTACTTGTGGTGAGGTTTGAACATCTGACTTTGAAAAGGACGTCACTGATCTTTCTCAGGTCGCCGCAATTCTTCCTTCGATTATCATTATAATCCTTCGAGTGTACCTGAGTCGAGAGAACAAACGCCGCGATAAACTCGAGGCAACAAACCGGGTGAACGGCACTGGAATAATCGAGACGACCGACTCAGATGGAGGTCTAGTAACACGAGTAGTGGATAATAGCCAGATGGATCTGACTGATAGAGAGAACTTGACTTTGTAAGTGATTCTGGCCAGTTAGAGAGTCTGTCACTAACTGTCCAACAGCCGTTATGTTCTCTAATTTCTCGCAATTTTGATCCAAGACCCATTGTCTAGAAGGGACATTTCTATTACTTTAGGACATCACCCCATACCATGGCTATGGTGATGTCCACAAGGACAGAGACGGACTTGATTTTCAAATATCAAAAAAGACACAATTGTGGTATCGATTACAATACGTGAACAGTGGTATGTGGACGGGGTTCTGAATCGACAATGACGAAGAGGCGGACGGTAAAATAGCTGGCTGAAGACAATAATTGGGGTTATACCTTATAAAGGCAGGGAGGAGGGGGCGAAGGAAGAGATTCTGTAGTGGATACAAGAATAGGACTGGATAATGTATGTTCCAGCTTGTCGGATTGATTTTGTATAAAAGCGTCCACGAGTGAAGACCCAGAATTATTATGCTTCATCTTCATCTTCGGGGACCGCTGCAGGCTCGTTCTGCGATTTTGTTGACTCGGACACGGGTGCCTCGCCAGTCTCACCGGTCTCAGACTGTGGCACATAATAGGGTAGGCCATCCTCCCCAGCGTCTAGACGGATGAGGAAGGTTTCCCAGAGCTCGATCAACTGGAGGATTTGGTCAGCGATAGAACCATCTTGTTGGGAAAAGAACCATCTTGTTGGGAAATTGCGATTATCTTACCTCCTTTTGAGCCTCTACCGCACTCTCAAGGAAAGTCTCCACGCCGGACTTGAAATCTTCCACCTTCTCCTTCTCGAACCTCTGCAGCTCATTCCGCATCAAGCGGCCCATATCTTCGAACAAGAGTCGGGTTTGGTGTACCTTGCGCTCCGCATCGGCAACATCGGCGTTGGCCTGGTTGAGGCGATCTTGCTGGGACTTGCCCTGACGAAGGAGCTTTTCCTGGGTGTTTTTGCGTTTCTGCAGATCCGACTCTGCGGCGTGCCAGCTATGGAAGGCCTTTTGTCGTTGGGAAAATGCAGTCTTGACACTGCCGATCAATCGAATGTATTCGTCAATTGTAATGCCCAGAGTCAAAACGTCCTGCTGAGCTTGGCGTTCGTAAAGCTCTTTAATTCGGAATTGAAGCTCCGATAGACCGTCCAAGGGAGATGCTAGTGCGGGGGAAAGCTCAACGGCAGCCAGGGCGTGAAGCGAGCTTGAGAAATCGCCCGCGGCCTCAGAAAGACCCTTGCGTTGCGCAACCACCGTGTCCATAGATTTCAGGAGTGCCTTGAGCTGGTTCTCAAGTGCGTCCAGGTAGACCTTGCGGTCGTGGAACCACTGCAAAGTAAAGGTGAGTAAGAACGGCCGGCAAGGTCATGGAAACCCACTTACATCGTCATGCTCTACAAACTTGCCGCCTCCGCCGACTGAAATACTGAAGCCACTAAACATGCCCTTGCTTTGTCCAAGGTCGGGCTCCCGGTTCTCCTTATTCTTAATGTCCACGTTGAAAGCCTCACTTTCGAGGAAGATCTTCAGGTCACCGTCATGCTGGAGAATGGGGTGAGCCGCGATCTTGTTCAGCATGCGCTCGAGCGCTGCTCTTCGCGACTCGACAAAGTTTGTATCAAAGCGGCCTACGGCTTGCTTCTCGGGAGGAGGAGCAACGACCACACCGGGATTGTTGTTGTGCAAGGAAGTGTATAGCCAAAGAAAGTCACGATACCGGCGGCTGACCGCGAACTCGGGTTGACGGTATGCCTTGGATGTAGTCTGATGGTTTGTTGCGGTCAGCTTTTCACTCTCAAAAGATCGCATTACAAGGCATGAATTCATACCTTCGTCCGCACTTGATAGACAATATGACTGCTCGTCAGGTCTCCCACTTTGTGAGGATCCCCAACACTGATGTCAAAGGTGGGCTTCGCAGCTTGCTCGATGCTCATGCTTGGTTGTGTCTGTCGTTTAGGCCCGTCGACATCGGCGGCAGGCTGTACAGGCGGAGGGCCTCGGAAACCGGCGCCGTCTTCTTCAAGATGCACCGAGTCGGCAAGGCCAGTGGCGCCGGGGATCTGGGCAAACGTCGAGGCCGGTTGAGGGCTTCGAGCGGCAAGCGATTCTTTCTGCGGGGGGGCCGGTGCCTCTTCTGTAGGAGTCGCGGTTACATCGGGCGTCGATTCCCCGAGCGGGCCAAGAGGATCAACGGTGTTGTCGACGGCTTCCAAACGTGTCGCTTGCGCGCTGATCTTCCTGGTTCCTCGCGGCACTCGTCTTCCGGGTGTCCGAACTTCGGGGCTTCCAGCTGTCGGCGTGGCCTGGGTGGGAGCTGCAAGAGACGACGTTGCCATTAGTGAGGGGTTAGTGAATATGTAGGGGTTTGAAAGGGTGAACACACCATTCTCCTGGGTATCCTGCTTCGATGCCGAATGGCTGCTCACCGAGCGCGACGGCTCATCTGTAGCCTATATTAGATCGCAAAGCCGAAGAGCTGTGGTATCATGACTGCCTACCGCCCCACGGGGAATCTCCAGTGTCGAGATCCATTGTTGCCAAGCAAGTACAATTGAGCAGAGTCAAAGAATTATCCAAGGACTGAATCAAATATCACGCGCCAACGATGGTCCAATCGAGGCTCTAAGGAGAGGGGGACTTGGGGAGCAGGAAGCTGGAAGCTGGTAGTCGAGGTGGAGTAGAGGATGATCCGCGCCTCTTAGTCACTCACGGGATCTCCAACAAACTCCCCCCAGGTCCGGGCTGACACCTTTTACCCGTTGCACACCCGTCACAGTAATTGGTTTTTTGGAGTCTCAGAATACTCCGGCGTGCTGCCAATATTTCAAGGTACATTCCATGATGCTCAAGATTCATGATCCGGATTTCGTTCCTGCGATAGAACAAGATGGGTGGGATGGGTTCAAAAGCATAGATACGTCACCGTCTCGATTGCACATTATATATCTAAACCGGAGACTATGAACACGGTGCAGTCAATCAGACTTCATCTTCCACTCCTCTGACAGGTTGCTCTAGGTATATTCTGAGTAGTTCCTCTTAATTGCTTAGACACACTCTCTTGATTTGTCGTTCAACTCGTGATTTATATGTGATTACAAAGTTTTTCAGGATTTCGAACCTATGAAACCTACTGTACTCTTCTAATCGGCTGACCAAAGGGCTTGGCAGACTCGATGGCAGTCCTGCGCCATTCCCTTGCATATCCGGGCGCTGGATCTGCCGTCTATTTGACCCAAGGGAGGCCCAGCTTGTGCATCTCTACGGCCAGTTGGAACAGATAGTCCAGACTCTCACACTGGGTCTTCGCCTTGGCAACGTTGTCACCCCAGACATAGCTATTATAATAATCAGCGACTCAAACTTATCACAAACAGCAATGGCGCAATTGCAGAGTCATCCTTACATTCCGTGTCTTCGCACAAGCACCGCGTAGGTGTCCGGGTACTTCTTCATGGACGCCTCCAGACCACTGGTCAGATCCTCCTCGAAGGCAGTATTCTCAATGATCGGGATGCTGAGAGTGTCGTAGTACCCCAGCATACCCTTGCCCTTGCCACGGGGAATGCCCTTGATCTGCTCGATGGTGCTGATCTCGAAGCTGGCATCGGGACCTTTCTCGCGCTCCACCAACAGGGTCACCAGGACGGCCCATTGGGAGTGAGTATGGATACAGCAGCCAGCACCGTTCTCAAAGGCCGTCAGGAAGAGCGGAGTGCAGGCAGAGGGATTCAGCTTGAGGGGACGGCGAATATAGTTGCGCTCCTCGGCTGGGTATTTCTTGGTGGGCCACTGGAGGACGAAGATGTTCTCAGACTTCATGAGCTCCTTCTGGACACCAGAGGGAGCAATGAAGATGTGGTCACCGTGACGAATGGAGGTCTGTTTTTCGTCAGCGGATATGGCACTTTGCGCATTTGCCCCGCACCGGCGCAATGGAGGGACTTACACCTCCACCAGTGCCAGTGACCCATCCCCAATTGTAGAATTTGCGGCACAGCTCCGGAATGAGGTTCGCAGGGTGCTCGGGGTCGTCCGACTGTACGAGGTGGTCGTTGTTGGTGGTGGTCGCAACGACCTGGTCTTCGGTGGAGGCCATGGTGGGCTGACGAAGCCTTCAGTCAGCACATGGTCATGATATAGAGCGTGTCGGCCTTTCGGGTGTGAAAAGACAAGACCATTGAGTCCATCGCGATTCGGCGACCCATTTTCACTTACTATGAGACTGTGAAAGCGTCAGTCAAGTGGTTGTTGGTGGTGTAACGGCCGCGATCCAATTAACTCAATAAATCCTTTCGAGGCGGGGTGGAATCTGCAGCTCCGCGAATCGACCCCATCAAAATCACGGAATTATCCTAGGGCAGCACGAAGTTGCGCAACTACGACACCGGCTGGAAGGGATAAGTGGAGAATAGTATGCCAATTTTGTTCATTAGATTGTATTGGCCTTGGATATATAGTCCCACTTCGATGCTGAATTCAATTATATAGATTCAGTAGTTACAGGTGGAGTATACTTCGTCAAGTCATAGCGTTCCCTCGCATCGAAGGAGATCGAAAGGGTCGCGGTACCTCACGGCCACGCTAGTCCCGATTGGGGAGCTGCCATGAAGAGGCCACCTGGACCTTCGCCAGTCCGCGTTGCTGTATATAACCTATGCTTCCTTCCTCTTCCTTAAGGCTGTCTTTTTTCCCCCCCCCCCCCCCAACTCCCTCCCTGAATTCTAGGCGCTGTGCGCTTCCCTTCTTTTCGTCCGTTCTTCACCATGCGCTTCAATACCGCCGTCACGGCTCTGGCCACCTCGGCTACCCTCATGGGCTATGCTCATGCCGAGGAAGTGGAAGCTGTGCCTGATGCCACCACTGCCATTGAGAAGCCCACTTTCACTGTACGTTTCAGACCCACCCTGGAATTGAACCTTCTTTGACCCTCCTAACACCTCTCTCTATCTAGCCCACCTCTCTTAAGGCTCCCTTCCTGGAGCAGTTCACTGATGACTGGGAGTCCCGGTGGAAGCTCTCTCACGCGAAGAAGGACGACCCCAAGTCCGAGGAGGACTGGGCCTTCGTTGGCGAGTGGGCTGTTGAGGAGCCCTCCGTCTTCAAGGGAATTGAGGGTGACAAGGGTTTGGTCGTGAAGAACGCGGCTGCTCACCACGCCATCTCGGCCAAGTTCCCCAAGAAGATTGACAACAAGGGCAAGACCCTGGTGGTCCAGTATGAGGTCAAGCCTCAAAACTCCCTGGTCTGCGGTGGTGCCTACCTGAAGCTCCTCCAGGAGAACAAGAAGCTCCACCAGGAGGAGTTCTCCAACGCCACTCCCTACGTGATCATGTTCGGTCCCGACAAGTGCGGTGCCACCAACAAGGTATGTGCTAATTGTCCTAGCTGTCACAATGGACCGTCAGTACTGACCAATCTTCTTTTCTCTCTCTAGGTTCACTTCATCTTCCGTCATAAGAACCCCAAGACCGGCGAGTACGAGGAGAAGCACCTCAAGTCTCCCCCCGTCGCCCGTACCTCCAAGGTCACCTCCCTCTACACTCTGATCATCAAGCCTGATCAGACCTTTGAGATCCTTATCAACGGCGAGTCTGTCAAGGCCGGCAGCCTCCTGGAGGACTTCACCCCTCCCGTCAACCCTGAGAAGGAGATTGACGACCCCAAGGACCGGAAGCCCGCCGACTGGGTTGACGAGGTCCAGATTCCCGACCCCGAGGCCACCAAGCCTGCTGATTGGGATGAGGAGGCTCCCTTCGAGATCGTCGATGAGGATGCCGAGAAGCCCGCTGACTGGCTGGATGACGAGCCCACTAGCGTTCCTGATCCCGAGGCCGAGAAGCCCGAGGACTGGGATGATGAGGAGGATGGTGACTGGCTCGCTCCCACCGTTCCCAACCCTAAGTGCGCCGATGTGTCTGGCTGCGGCGAGTGGACTCGCCCCTTGATCAAGAACCCCGAGTACAAGGGCAAGTGGTCCGCTCCCATGATTGACAACCCTGCCTACAAGGGTCTCTGGGCCCCCCGCAAGATTGCCAACCCCGGATACTACGAGGACAAGACCCCCTCCAACATGGAGCCCATGGGTGCCGTAAGTTTTCCCTTTTCCCGTTCAACCGTCATCGTAGCATTGGATCCTAACGTTGTCGCAGATTGGTTTCGAGATCTGGACTATGCAGAACGATATCCTGTTCGACAACATCTACATCGGTCACTCTGTTGATGAGGCTGAGCAGCTCCGCAAGGAGACCTTTGATGTCAAGTTCCCCATCGAGGAGGCCGAGGAGGAGGCTAGCAAGCCCAAGCCCGAGACTCCTGCCGCCGCCGGTACCACCGTCAACTTCAAGGAGGACCCCGTTACTTTCGTTCGCCAGAAGGTCGACTACTTCGTTGGCCTCGCCAAAGAGGACCCCGTCAACGCCGTCAAGACCGTTCCCGAAGTTGCTGGCGGTCTCGTTGCCCTCCTGCTCACTTCGATCCTGATCATTGTCGGTGCCATTGGCTCCAGCAGCCCGGCTCCTGCCCCGAAGAAGGGCAAGGCCCCCGCCGCTGGCTCCAAGGAGAAGACTGGCGAGGCTACCAGCTCCTCTGCCGACACCGGCAAGAGCGGTGCCACCAAGCGCACCACTCGCTCCTCTGCGGAGTAAAGGGCGAGAGGACCGGAAGGTCGAAAGGAAGCATTTTCCCCCATAAACCCAAACGATTGAGCCCGCATAGTGATTTTATCTTTTTCTCCGCGCGTTGTTTTCCTTATTCCCCCAAATTATCAACAGTGTGATATTGGCATGTGTAGTACTAGTACCTTTAGGTAGTGTGAGAGATCCACTCCACAATCGAGAACTCGGTATACTCTTTTCTCTTTCTTCTTCTGGAGTAATCCCTAGTTCCGTAGGGAAATGGTGGATCAAAAGTCTGATAACCCACTACCTAAACGGGTTGGTCTAGAATGGTCACCGTTTTCAGATCTTTGGTTATTCCAAGTACATACATAGTCGGATCTCCATGCTGCTTTTAAAGTACAAACCCCAGGTTATGGGCAGGTTATGGTTCCATTGGGTAGGTGGGTGAGGTTTCTAGATCAACCGGGCGGTCGCTTCCTCGGAACGGCCTTCCTGAAGAAGGCTATCCGATGAGCGGGCAGTCTCGGCGGTGGCGGAACTATCATTCAGGATGCTGATTGGTTCAAACGGCCGAGGAGAGCTTATCTGCCTTCCCCGTTTTACGGGGAAGCATCCGATTATAAAGGCGGTAGGGCAGAGCTGCGGTTGACCTCGGGCCTGGGGTAACCAAATCGCAACTGACTTTCCCTTGGAATAGCGCGACCCTTCTTATACCTCGCGTTCGCCACGTTACACTGCATCATTGGCCTGCGTCTTCTTTCACCTCCTTTTTCTCTTTCAATACTCGCCCTCATCCCCCTTCTTGTCTACTCATTTCCATCATGGCCGCCCGTCGGTCTTTGGCTCGAACCATCCCCGCTCTCCGCTCCGTTCCCCGCACGCCTCTTGTCGCCAGGGCTGTCTCCAGTGCCCGGTCTTTGACCACCGTTACCACTCCAATTGCCCATATATCCTCTCAACAGTCTGTTTCTACTCCCGGAGCCATGTCTGCTGCTCGCCGGTTGCACGCTACTGCGAAGCAGTTCACCCCCGCTACCACCTCGGCCGCTAGCACTGCTACCGAGTACCCGACGGATCACCAGCCGATTGCCAACCCTATCGACACCACCAACTTCATTGACAACGAGTTTGTCACTTCCAAGGCTACCACTTGGATTGACCTCCACGATCCAGCCACTAACAACCTCGTGACCCGTGTGCCCCAGAGCACCGATGAAGAGCTCAAGGCTGCCGTCCAGTCGGCCGAGAAGGCTTTCCCCGCCTGGCGCGCAACCAGCATCATGGCCAAGCAGCAGATTCTCTTCAAGTTCACCAACTTGATCCGTGAGCACTGGGACCGACTGGCTGCTTCCATCACTCTGGAGCAGGGCAAGACCTTTGCCGATGCCAGGGGTGATGTTCTCCGCGGTCTGCAGGTCGCTGAGACCGCCTGCGGTATCACTTCTCAGATGACCGGTGAGGTGCTCGAGGTGGCCAAGGATATGGAGACCCGCAGCTATCGCGAGCCTCTGGGTGTCGTGGCTGCTATCTGCCCCTTCAGTAAGTCTCCCTGAGCTTTTGTTTATCTTCCCTATCAGACCCACTAACGGGTGATAAGACTTCCCCGCAATGATTCCCTTGTGGTGCATCCCTATCGCCACCGTTACCGGTAACTGCTTGGTGATGAAGCCTTCCGAGCGTGACCCCGGTGCCGCTATGATTCTGGCCGAGCTGGCCCGGGAAGCGGGTTTCCCTCCCGGTGTCATCAACATCGTCCATGGTGCTGCCCGCACTGTCGACTTTATCATCGATGAGCCCGCTATCAAGGCTATCAGCTTCGTCGGCAGCAACCGCGCGGGCGAGTACATCTTCACCCGTGGTTCCGCCAACGGTAAGCGCGTCCAGGCCAACTTGGGTGCCAAGAACCACGCCGCCGTCCTGCCTGACTGCAACAAGAACCACGCTCTTAACGCCATTGTTGGTGCTGCCTTTGGTGCTGCTGGTCAGCGCTGCATGGCTCTGAGCACTGCTGTCATGGTTGGCGAGACTAAGGAGTGGCTCCCCGAGATCGCTGAGCGTGCTAAGGCTCTCAAGGTGGATGGAGGCTTTGAGGAGGGTGCCGATCTCGGTCCCGTCATTAGCCCCGAGAGCAAGAAGCGTATTGAGGATCTTATTGCCAGTGCTGAGGCTGAGGGTGCCACCATCTTGCTTGACGGCCGTAACTACAAGCCCGAGAAGTACCCCAACGGCAACTTTGTAAGAACATCCCCTTCTCCCTTGCTCCGGAACGGTTCTTTCTAATACTAATTTCATTTTATAGGTCGGCCCTACCATCATCACAAACGTCACCACCGACATGAAGTGTTATAAGGAAGAGATCTTCGGACCCGTTTTGGTCTGCCTGAACGTTGAAACTCTCGACGACGCCATCAACACGATCAACGCCAACGAGTACGGCAACGGCGCCGCCATCTTCACCCGCTCCGGCTCCACCGCCTCCCGCTTCCAGAAGGACATCGAGGCCGGCCAGCTGGGCATTAACGTTCCCATCCCCGTGCCACTGCCCATGTTCTCCTTCACCGGTAACAAGAAGAGTATCGCCGGTGGCGGTGCTAACACCTTCTACGGCAAGCCCGGTCTGCAATTCTATACCCAGCAGAAGACGGTGACTAGCTTGTGGAAGGCCGAGGATGCGGTTAGCACCAAGGCTAGTGTTGTCATGCCTACGCACTCGTAATCCGTGACTTTGACAATTTTATAAGGAGCCACTCTCTGGCATGTACTATACCTAAAGGAGGCCTATGGTAATCTAGAAGGGGCTACGCAGGACTGTTCTAGCTTAGCATAGTCCTAACTAGTTTAGTAGCGCGGGTTAAAAGCTCTAGTGTCCACGTTAGGCGGCGGCTAGCTAGGGTAGCAGAAGCTACGCTTTTCTAAAATGAATTCTATCTCTCTCCCTCTTTGAAATTCAGATTCCTATGAGACACCAAAATTTCTTCGCCTGATATAAATCGTTCAATCATCCTTGAAAATGTCTTTATCATCTATTGAAGGCCAGGAGTCAAAGACAGTCTCTTACTACTGTGATCACCCTCCACAATACAATACATCTCAACCAAGCGAAGATATACTCACCTCTATCCTTGAGAACGAGCGAACCTGCCGGAATATACGTCTTCGGCTCAATGAAATAGGTACAGAAATGTTTGACAAGATGGAGAGAAAAGAGGAAAGGCAGTCGCTACGGTCTAAAGGCTATATCGCTGCCGCGGATTTTTATCAGGATATAGGTCGATTAGCCACAGAGATGGGACAGTCACTTACGAAGCTAGCAAATATTGCTAAAGAACGCGCTGTGAAAAACCCTGATCTCTGTACCGTTATATCCAAACTCAGTCGGAATGAGTTTAACCGAATTTACGATTCCTCAAAGCGACACTCGTTAACCACCAAACAAGTAGAGAGGGCCGATAACTCCAGCACAAGCGACTTTTTGTTTTCTCGTGACCGGTTCTTCGCGCTATCAGCAGAGGTAGAGCCTAACCAAAGCCCTCCCTCCTATGATACGACCTATACATCGAAGATCAATGATGATGATGATGATGATGCTGCTGCTGCTGCTACCAAACCAAGCGTGCTCTTTTGGGTGAGTCTGAAGAAAATTGTACAGGGTCAGCTCGGCTCTAAGTGTCAAGTGGATTGAGGCTCTCTGATATGATCGGATCAAGATATGATAGCTTGAACTTTATGTTTACTTGAATTCCATCTTTGCTCAGTTATTTATCTCTTCGCTAAACTTTAGAAAGCGTCATGAGCACAAGCAAAGCGAAGCTCTTGCGGCAATCATATATCTTTCAAATAACATCTGACTCTTTAGTAACTACCCATATATCAAAGCAAGGCTAGGTAATGTATAGACTAGTATAAAATAGGAAGACGGAGAACTACCGGAACCATTAGATAAAACGATTAATTGATTAAAGAAGGCAAACTCTAAATATAAAATTAGAAAATGATAGATCTTAGTATATCTAATAGGGAAGGATCTATATAGGACGGCACTATATAAGATAGAAGTTCTACTAGCGAATAAGATTAAGAAGATACGATAGATAGTCCTCTAGTACATAAGATCTTATACTATCTAATAGCGAAGGGTAGTTAAAAGTGTGAAGGGCTGTAGCGGAATTGATTCAATTGTACTAGGCCAACATGCAGTCTACATCAATCTTGAGAAAAGAAAGAAAAAGGAACAGGAGTCAGTCGCGGTCCTGAAGAAACGTTTGTCCCGTCTCGATGGAATCCTCTAGAACCTCGTGATAGAATCTCTCCGAACCTTCTGCCAAGACGATGTCCAAAACGGCCATGATACATGGTTACCATCGGGCTCTAGCCCGTTACAGTACCCCCCTCCTTATCTTAACAGTCGATATAACGAGGTCCCCATCCCTAACGTTTTGGTGCCGATTCGCGGGCGAGATACGCCCGAAACGTCCTTTATACCTGTTAAGCGCCTCACTGTCTTTAACGGAATCTAACGGTTCCTATATGGTCTCTGCATAACCTGCCCACTTCACTAGAACCTCTGTTCTAGTCCCTCTACCGACTCTGCGCACCCTATGGTCTAGTATCTCCTCAATCTAGTACTCTAATTCGCCATCGATCACTAGGGGAGGAGGTTGCGAATCGTCAACGATTTACGAGGGAAGCGGGTCCGTGGCGGCAGGTCTTATAAGGTCCACATAAAACACTAGATACACACTAGTTAGCATATCTAGTCGTACTATATATGACGACGGCACTTCCTGCACGGTATACCTCCCGTGTAGCTAATCTAGCTTCTTCGAATAACGTTGCGATCGAATGTTCTTAAGGTTTAACCATACCTTGTCCCCTACCCGATATGTTAGTGCTACCTAGCGGGATCGGTTAGTATACTCTTGCTGCTTATCTTGTGTAGTCGTAATAGCAGCCTGCGCCTAATCGGTTACTTCTCGAAGGCGTTCCACGAATGCTTCGCCTACTCGCTAGGGGCTAGTTCTATTGGGTATAGATGGATTAGCTTCCTCGATGCCGATAGGGTCAACGTGATAACCGTGCGTGAAGAAGAATGGTGATATTCCGATAGATATAGTATCTCGATTATTAATCGCTATTGCAACGACTGGTAATAGTTCCGACTAGTTATTCTGCGCATAAGATATGAACACTCGTAGGATTCTTTTAACTTCTTAATTCGCACGCTTAGTGGATCCGTCTGTTTGCGGGTGGAAAGCGGTAGAGAGTCGGCGCCGAATCGATAGCCTTTCGCAGACGATTTCCTAGAATCTACTAACAAATTAGGGGCCCCGATCGCTCGTAATCGCTAGGGGTAGCCCGTGGTATATATAGAAATACGTCAGAAATACCGTGGCTACTCGCTCTACCGTCGTTTTAACCATCCCGACTAAGATAACCCCCTTTGTTAGCCGGTCGGTGATCACTAGGATATTTATGGCTTAGTCCTCTTTCGATAGGGGTAGGTCAGTGATAAAGTCCATTAAGATATCGGCCTAGATTCGCTCGGGAATCGGTAACGGTTTTAATAGTCTATGCTTTATATCACGCTATACTATGCTTCTGCCGTAGACTATATAGTTACGCAAGAATCTTCTTATATCCTTCGCCGCTCTAGGCTAGAAGAACCGTCGAGATAGTATCGAATAGGTGGCGTCTCGTCCTAGATAACCCGTGATATAAGAGTCATGAACTTTCTGAATAATCCCTGTGCGTAGCGGCTCGCTATTAGGGATCTAGACCCTCTATCTAAAGCATAATAACCCTCTCTCGTCTAAGTGGTATTCGGAAAGGCTAGTTTTCGTGCCCGTTTCGACTGTAAGTCGTCGTTCTCTATTCTTTAGTGCTTCCGAATATACTTAATATATAGGGTCTATTCGCCGAGCCTGTCGCCATTCTCGTTGTAACTCTTCCTCTTCGAATATCGGGATCTCTCGCTTAAAGTCTAGTGGGGCATCCTTATTAAAATTACTTATGCGGGGACGACCAGTTCGAATCGTGACCTTTTCGAATATCCTTCGGAACCGATTCGATAGCCTTTCGTCTTCGAAACTTTGTGGTATATCTTGATCACGCCGAGAGAGTGTATTAGGGCGAGATATATATCGCCCTGGCCGGTATTATAGCGTAAAGTCGAATTCGCTTATTAGGTCTATCTATCGTATCTGCCGCTTAGATAGATATCTTGCCTTATTAAAGTATCGAAGGTTTTTATGGTCCGTTACGATAGTGAATCGGGGGACCATCTTTAGCTTAGGCCTCTATTCTCGTAGTGCACGGATTATAGCTAAAAGCTCCTTGTTATGAATCTTATAGTTTAACTCGGCCGGTGAAAACTTTTGCGAGATGTATACGCATAGAGCTAATCTGCTATTATCCTATCGCTAGGATAACACGGCCCCGGTGGCCTATCCCGATGCGTCTGCTTCGAGTACCGTTTCCCTACCTTCTTCGAAGTGGGCTAGGATCGGTGCATCGATAAAGAGCTCCTTTAATTCATTAAAGGCCTGTTGGTATGACTTATCCTATTCGAACGTGACGTCTTTCTTTGTTAACCTTGTTAACGGTGCCGATAAGGTAGCGAAATAAGGGATAAACGACCGGTAAAAGTTGGCGAATCCTAAGAATCCTCGTACTTCACGAACTGTCTTTGGAGTCTCCTATACTCTAATAGCTTCGATCTTCTGAGGGTCGACGTGAATACCTTGTCCTGCGCGGATAATGAATCCTAGGTATTTGACTGTGTTCTGTTCAAACTCTGACTTCCTAATATCGCACTATAATCCCGCTTCTATAAGTTTCTGTAGGACTTTGCCTACTTTTCGGCGATGATCCGATAGGGATCCGTTCGAGTAAATAATGATATCGTCTATATATATAGACACAAAGTTATCGAGATATTGCTGTAGTATCTAGTTAATGAACCGCTGGAAGGTCGCTAGCGCTCTAGTAAGACTAAATGGGGTAACGTTCTACTTATAGAGACCGTATCGGGTTCGAAACGCCGTCTTCTACTCTTTACCTAGGGCGATTCGGACCTTATGAAATGCAGCAATCACGTTAAGCTTCGTGAACTATCTTACCTTTGCTATATTCCTAAGAGTCTTACGGATTAATAGCAGTGGATAACGATCTTTCACACTTAACTCGTTCAACCCTCGATAATCGATATAGAACCGTACGCCTCCACCCGGCTTACGTACGAGGAGGACTAGAGCCGCGGCCGGTAAGTTACTAACACGTATAAAATTCTTGCCTAGTAGGTCCGTTATCGTCTTACGTAAATATAGTAGCTCTTCCCTATTTATACTATACAGTGATCCATAAGGAGGTGTCTCTTCGTTGCTATTTCGGTTACGTTTTAGTAGGATCCTGTGGTCGATTCCTAGGCGATACGGTGGTAGCTTATCCGCTAGCTGTTAACTGAATACTCTGAGCTATTTCCAATAATATTTCGGCAATTTCTCCTTCGGATTAATACGCTTCTTCGGTTGCAGCGCCTTTTCGATATCGTCTAATGTAACTTTTCCAATCTGTAGTCGTTCCGGCTCCGAGACGCTATCGAATAGCTATCGAATCGATTACGCTGATATCTTATTTACCCGTAAGGCCTTCACTCCGGGTGGTCTAATTAAAGGGTCTCGCCTATTCTAATAGCGTATTCGGCGGCTATCCCTATCGAAGATATTAAGATATCCCTTTCTCGCCGAATATATCCCATCTATATCCTTCACCTATAGGTCTCTAAGTATTATCTCGTCTATCTGGTTCTCGATGATGTATACGAACACGCGGTTCTGTTGGTGACCATAGATATCGGCGTCGAAATACGTAACGTGGGTGATTCGTCCCTAATTCGCTACTACTCCGTTAAGCACACGTGTACGAATTCGAATGCGCGGGAGATCATAAGATTTAACGAGTGCACCGTTTATAGTTACATAACTCTGATAGCCTTAGTCGACTAGGGCTTTTGCAAACTGAATTCCATTCACTCTGACATCTAGGAGAAACGGCGGTAATTCGTTTTCTAATAGTCTCTTGACCCCCTCCTACTCCTGCTCGCGACTAAGAATAGGAGCTATTCGTTTTCTAACTCGTTCTCAGTGACCGTAGGGGATTCGGTCTCGTCTCCTATAGAATCACTCTCGCTATCCTTAATCGCTGGTTATGCTTTCTTTACTCGACTTCGTTTCGCCGTAGAATCGATACCTTTTCGGTCCTTCTTCGTCTGTCCGGCGGCGACGCGGCTAGAGCTCGGGCGTTCGGCGGGTCGATAGGAACATTCTACAATATAATAGTTATCACTTCCGCAACGGAGGCAAAGGTCTTCCTCACGACGTCGGGTCATCTCTTTATAACTAGCCTATTTCGCCCGCTTGTCGACACCTTTTCGGGAACGATTCTCTCGATAGTTAACGCGGTTAGCGCTAATAGCAGGGGTCCAATCTATTGTATCCGGGTCCGGGTCCTTCTGTCGGCGACGGGATGATTTATTGCTTCTATTCTTACTTAGGTTCAAAGCGTCCATATCGGTAGTGATTTCGTGTAGGCGGCTAACCAGCCCCGAATAGGTAGCGGGAATGCCGCGATTTATCAGCGCCGCGCTTATTTCTTCATTCAATGCACCCAGCAAGATCTGCCGCCGAGCCTCGTCTAGCTAGTTAATAGCTCTAGCGTCTGCGAATTCCTTCTCGAGCTTCGGTAGGAACCGGTTAAACGGCTAACCGTTCGTCTGCTTTATCTAGTGGAGCCTTCTTACGGCCCGTGATTACGCGTTCGGGTCTCCATACATACCTTCGAGATACGCAAGTAGGTCGTCCGGACCGGCGGTGTCTCTCGAGTGTTTCACGTATATTCCGGTGTTCTTCCATACGAGCTTCTCGAGGCGCGAGAAGACATACATAAACTGATCCTACCTCGATCTAATCGCTTCGCTATCGACGGCAAGCTTGTTTTCTATCGTGATCCGCTAAGTTAGCCAGTCGTTAACGCTCCTAGCAAAGAGTGGTGGATTAGGGAGTCTGGCCTTAGGCCTTCGGGTACTAGAGGCCACTATTTTAGTCGGGGTTTATAGGGTTTCCACCGTCGATTCGGTAACGTTTCCGTAAGTAGAAGTACTTGCTACTTATCGAAGCAGCATATCTTCGAGCTAGCGAATTCGCTCGTCTTGGGCGTCGGCGCGTCGTTCTATTTGTTACATCATGGCCTACACCCAGGGGGGTGGGGCCTACTGATCTTCGGAGTTCATGATGCCTTAATGTTTCGTTTGCTAACCGGTAGTGTTTCGGTGGCGTTCCAATGTTCCAATGTTCTAATGTGCCTAGGAATAGCTATCTTCTAGGGCTTTCCGTTGCGTCTCGAGCGCTAAGGACTTATGCGCGAGGGTTCCGTTCCGATATAAACAAACCGCTAAACCACAGCTAATTCAGGGGTTAAAACCAATGAGATTCCAATAATATTCCAATACGTTTTCCAATAAGGGTGCCTAGGTCAACTCCCCAGGGCTTTCCAATGACCAATGATACTTCTGAAAAATGTAGAAGGAAGATTGATGTATATGAAGGGCTGTAGCGGAATTGATTCAATTGTACTAGGCCAACATACAGTCTACATCAATCTTGAGAAAAGAAAGAAAAAGGAACAGGAGTCAGTCGCGGTCCTGAAGAAACGTTGGTCCCGTCTCGATGGAATCCTCTAGAACCTCGTGATAGAATCTCTCCGAACCTTCTGCCAAGACGATGTCCAAAACGGCCATGATACATGGTTACCATCGGGCTCTGGCCCGTCACAAAAAGAAGGTCTTAAGATTAATTAATATTGATTAAATTACTAGATACACTAGTAAGTCAAAGGGTATTTAAGTATATATTTAGGACGATTTAGGTGGTAGGAAATAGGCTAAATTAATAATTCTCATCTCGCGATCAGTAGAAGCCCACCCAAAAAGACCCTTACAACAATCCAACCAACAGTCTGATAGGTTGGATTGACGGAAGGTACATCAAGCAAATTCGTAAGATCGGCTGACAATGCCATGGACAATTAGAACACAGACTGGGGATATCATGGAAATGGTGGCCCGAGAGAAGGGTAGCGATAATCTTCATGCTTTGGGTATCTGACCAGGTCATTCCAAGATTGTTGGTACACCCCACTTACATAGTCGATCCACACGTTGACATATGCCTGGAGACTATAATCCAAATGGACCCGAGGCATTCAAACCCCCAATTGACCACGTTCGGAATGTAAATTGTATCAATGGCTGGCAATACTTTCACTACTTGTTGTTCTCAACGGAGCTACTCTTGACAGGTTCCATAGCATCTGGGGTTATTCTATTTCACCGGAAAGTATGGACTGACGATTGGGTCTCACGGAGCCCATGCAAGAATCATATCCTCTCAATTCATCCCACCCATTTACTCAGCCTTCGGTCCCTCAAAGCTGTAGACCAGGCGAGCCAGCTCAACCTGAGTACCCTTGGTCACTGCGACACGACGGCTGTGGCGGCGCTGACCGTCAATAACCTCGAAGCCCCAGATCTAAAAAAAAGTGGGGATTAGCACCCGCAATATCACATGCAAACCCATCACATGTAAACGGACGGAATCAGGGGGAACCAGGGAAAATCAGGGGAATCAAAGTTTCCTCCGAGTGAAGACGTACCTGCTCAGCAGTCCAGCCGTTCTGTTCATTGACTACGAAGCTCTGCAGCCAGAGACCCTCACCCTCACCAAACTCGGCACCCTCATCGTCAACAACGTAACCCTCCGCAGCAGAGCCATCGAGGAGGACCTCGCCGCGCAGGAAGCGCTGAACCTTGGCGTCCTTCTCGGCATCACCGACCTTGGTCTGGAAATCAACGGCGGGGCGAACCTTGCCATCATCAGCCTTGGAGCCGCGGAGGAAGCGTGACTTGCCCCGCAGGCTGCCGAAGATGTTGTCGACGTGCTCGCGCTCTTGCCAGTCAAGCGTGCGCGCCTCCTTGCTACCCGTGATGCCGCCGGTGATAACCTGGTCGACGTCGATGTGGTAGACTGACGGGTTTGCAGAGTCCGCGTACTCGTTCACGTGCAGGGTAACGGTGGCGTAGGGGAGGGCCTTGCGCAGGAACCAGCTCATGCCTTGCTGCAGAAAGTATTAGCTAAGGACATTCTCTCATGGTATGTCTCGTCAGGGGGCAGGACGGGTAGGGTTCATACCAGAGCCAGAATGGGGTCAGCAGGGTCGGACAGGGTTGCGTCCTGTTACACAAGGTGATTGTTAGTTCGAGAGGTTCAACTTCACTTCTTAGGGAAACGTCTTCCCCATAATATGAAGGAAACGTACCATCACCCATGATCCATTGAGGTTCTTGATCGTGGTATCGGCGGGGGCAGCCATTTTGATGTGGTAGACTTGAGATTGCGGGGAGGTGGGGGATAAGACGGTGTATATGTTATCAAGCTAAATGCAAAGCGATTTGTCCGGATTGAACGGCGAGTGGCGAGGATAGTCAAAATTAGCAGTGGCCACGAGAGTGAATGTCAGAAACTACGCAGACACCGGTCGATTGAGTCCCTTGTTATATACCCTGCCTGGTTGCTCTTGCGCATGTGTTTCTCCCGAGGCTGACACGTGCTAGATGATTCAGCAGAGCCAAATTGGGAAAGAACGATGATGTCGTTAGCGGGTCTGCATTCGTGGTGCCTGGATGCCTGAGTGCCTGAGGGTTGCCAAGACCGTCCAACTCGAGCGGGTATACTTCCCCGAAAGGTGAACTTATTGTTGACGGTCTCTATCTCCCCCACTCCTAGTCACCATGGCATTCAACAAGAAGTATGCCGGCCTGCCTGATCTGGTGTGTCTATATTATGACATTTTCTTCCGATCACTACTAACACCATCTTTCAGGACCCAGCTCCGGACATTTACGAAACCCCTGACCTGACCGACGAAGCCTCCACCGTCCCGGTGAGTCCCAGCATTACTTGCTACGAGACTGCATAAGCCCGAACTAATCCTTCCACTTCCGCAGGCGACAACTCTCCGCACCGATTCCGATCACGATGACACCGGATTCAATTCCGACATAGACCGCGAGGGCGTCAACGCCGACCAGGCGCGTTTGCATTTCATGGGTGCGGCGGTCGACGCGCGCGACGCCAATTTCTCCGACAGCATTTCCTCAAAGCGCCAAGCATATCGTAGCAAAGAGAAGAGCAACCGAAGACGGCGGAGACGCGAGGATGGAACCGAGGAGGTGGGCGATCTGAGTGACAGTGAGGACGAGTCGCTCGAGCGGCGGCTGGCACGCCTGCGGCGCGAGGTGGAGGACCTGAAAGTGGAAATGGAGAACCGGTCTAGCTCTGGACCAAACCAGGCCTTAGAGACTGACAAAAACCAGGCTGCACCTGCAGCTGAAAAGGCGGGAGACGACACGCTAGGCGATGGCGTTGCGGAGTTGAGCCGGGCGTTGGATAATCTACACAGCTCGTCACGCGGCGGTCAGGCTGCTTCATACTCAGCAGCGACGGCGCTCACGCAGAAGCTCAACACTGAATCCAAGATTACCACGGTGCACGGTGCAGACCCCCAGAAGAAACAATCCACTATCGGCGAAACGGCCGTCACACCCGTACCATCTCAGACCGCCGCACCATCTGCGGGACTCCTGTCTCATGCAGCTGCGTTTGAAGGACGCCTGGCTCTGCTGGAAGCATCGATGGGAATTTCAAGCTCTTCAAACCCATTTGTCAGCGATGGCCTCAGTGAACCCGCCTTGCAGCCCGTGCTTCCTTCGCTGAAACAGATGACCTCCCGCCTTTCAGCGCTTACCAGTCTTCTTGCGGGTGGCAACCCTGCCTCTGGCGGCCCCAGCACGGTCCCAGGGCTTACTACTCCCCACCTGGAAGCTTTGTCCACTCGTGTTCGCAAGTTGACCACTGATGCTGAGGCACTCGCCTCTGCTCGCAGGCGTGCAACCGACGCTGCCAAGGCTGCTCAGGCCGCACGAGTCGCTTCGAGCTCGGACGCAGACGCTCTTCCTGCGGGCGCCGGCTCTGGTGCTATCGATGATGAACAGATAGCGAAGATCCAAGCACTCTATGCCACCCTTCCCACAATTCAATCCCTGCATCCTCTACTACCGAGCGTGTTGGAGCGCCTCCGCTCCCTACGTGCCTGTCATGCAGGTGCTGCTCACGCTGCCGAATCCCTCAACGAGCTTGAAAAGCGACATGCCGAAATGGCGACTGAGATTGAGCAATGGCGCGAGGGCCTCGCAGCTGTCGAGAAGAAGATGAAACAAGGGGAGGCTGCCCTGCGTTCGAACGTTGAAACCGTTGAGCCCTGGGTGCGAGATCTGGAGTCTCGCATGGCCCGTCTGGAGGGCCCTCCTGGCGGGCTGTGAGAATGAATGATGGTGAGATTTGATGTTTGTTATTGGTCTATACCTAGTGAGGATGGAGGCGGATCTTGACGCATAATACCCTGTTGCATTTGTTTTTATCCGAATCTAAGTGCCTGGTGCCTTGATTGGAGTCGAGACGCGCTTAACTGTCGATATTTCTTATGAATCTGTGGCTAAATCGTCTATTCCCCACACAATGATTTTAGGATAGATCTTCAGGATATGATATCGAAAAGAATTGAATGGCATAAGCCCGCCTCTTATACCATTACCTCCTAAACAAACTACCTCAACACAACCTCCGTATCAACCGCCCCCTTCCCAAGCGCAAGCTTGAAAAATAGCATCGTATCTAAGATCAACACACTTCTGAACACCTCAAGATACCCTCTCAGGCGCTAGAGAGACTGACCCGTCGACATAGATTGCAGGACTCGGGTTCGCCCACTACCGAGCAACCACCCTCCATCATCTCATCAAGATGTTGGGATACTGCATGATCTCAAGCTAGAACAAAAATCAGTCAGTATGATCTCTTTTTTCCGAGCATATCCTCATCGTCCTTGATTTGCACGTTGCATATTGAAACTAACCTCCAACGGCTTTCCCCGCAGAATAGCACCCAGGAAGCACGGATACCCCATGCTCTGACCCCAGAAGAACTGATGAAGCTCCGAACCCATCGGACACTGCTGGCTGAATAGGACCTTTTCCAATTCATCTCGAAGAATCGACCAACCCTGACTGTTATCCAGGCCAAGACTACGTAGGAGAAACCCCGCATGGTTTTGGATAAGAGTTCGATGGGCCCTTTTCCACAAAGCTTCGAGACTGGCAGCTCTCGTTTCGGAGATTTGGGCTAGTCTTTCATCCACGGTGATTCCCTGGTCCAGGAGAGTGGGGACGTGAATTTTGACTCCATTCATGTCCCGGATGGCGAAGCCGGCTAGAGACTTACTGCGTCGGTCAACTCGGACAAGGACATTCTGGCTATGAGTTTCGAGGACAACGCCACGGCCTAGGAGTGGTATGACCAGCTGAAATAGAACTCCCATGTACCTATGAAATATGCTGTCAGTTTGATCTTGCTGAAAGGTAGAAAGGATTGGTCAACGCACTTTTGAAGCCAGGCGCATTTATCTTCCAGAGTTTCTAGGCCAAAAATTATCTCGGCGTACGTTTTAGTGCCTCCCGTAGGACAATGATAGAGTGCGGCTGCAATAATCAACGACTGGTCCTCCGCCAAAGCTCGAAGCTCCAGATCCTCGCGCAGAATACAGCACACGGTTCGTGCCGCCTGCACGTCCATGTTAACACCGGTGATTGTCGCAGTCTCCCTGTTCACCCATAGGTCAGGGTGTGCGAGGCGCTCGACGAGTTCCGTCATGTATGTGGCTTGGTACGCTTGCCATGGCTTGACGTTTCGGATAGCTCCCGTGATCTGGAATGGCAAAGACATTTTCAGGTGGTGATTGTAATCAAATTGCGGTTTGATGGATACAGAGCGCGCGGAGGCTTGGCCGTCGGCGATACCTTGGAAACTCTGCACCAAAGTGGCTTCTGGTAAGCGAGAAAGAACCAGTGGGAGATTCGAGGTAAAGCAGGGAATAATGGTTTGCCCTGGAATGAATTGAGATAGGCCTAGTCTTTCCAACAAAGGTTGCAGTGTTGGTGTAAATGGACCTGTGGTCTCAAGCTGTGTATCTGGAACGGAGATAAAAGATATCTCTGGTGTTATCAGGTCGCCTGTGCCAGTCAATGATGGTGACTCTGGGTACAGGCATCGATGAAGCTGAGTGTATTAGCATACCGATCTTTCTATGGGTCGAGAATTTGGATAGTCATACAGGATGCTCGGGATGGCCAAAGATGATCGCCCTCTCCCACTCAATTGCTGAACTATTCAGGTCACAAGGCTTTTGCTGATGATGGAATTGAAGCAATTTCTCTGGATAATGATCTTAGTCAGGCGGAATTGTGCTTCAAATGGAGATGCTAACCTTGATTTTCGGCAGAGTTCTGCAGCATTTGTTTCGTGGTCTCCAGAAGCGGAAGGTTTGGTATGGATTCAGGAATCCATTCATGGATCATTTGAAGAATCTTAGACGGGTTCGTCTCATGTACCGTATTGCCTTTGCTGATTTCTAACTTCACAGGTAGCTGAAGCTGTTCCGGTGCAATTGGACAGCAAACTCTTCCATTCTCATCAACAAGCGAATTCGGGTTGAGGCCCACTACAAGCTGGGAGACTGTTGATAGCTCGCTGCTATGACCCAGCGCTCGAAGACATAAGACCCTCTGTTTTGAGGAATCGAGCCTCTGGAGAATGAACTCGACAAGGCCCTCGTTGATCAAGCATGCCAAAAGCCTGCGTGTAGTCTCGAATTCGGCATGCTCTGTATACTGTGTTCTGGTCATGATTGTGCTGTCAACAGTAGAATCTAGCGGAATAGAGGGGATATCGAAATAGTCAATAAATCAAGGAATTAAAAGTCCTTCAAAGGAGAGTATCTAGCAAATACCTTTGCTGCCAAATATAGAGAGCCCGCCAAGCAGAGGTTCAATAGTTCCGGCTATGCATGAGATCAATTGAACTCAGTGGCTTGCCGTGGCGTTGATACGATCTGCGCTCCACAAAAAAGCAAGGCAAGTTGCGGTGAGTAATAAAGCACCACATGTAACCGTCAGGTCTTCTGTATGATCGAGCATTCGTTGTGACCGAGGATATCCGAAACTCTACATGTCCGTTATTGCATCGTGCGGCATTTTGAGGCTACGGACAGAAAAAGTAAAAACAAAAATTTCATCCTGCATATTCAGATACATTAAATTTTGATCAAGCCATATGACCTGCCGTTGTTGGGATCTAGCTTTTTAATTATGCTCAACAAAAGGTTTACTTCGTAGGGCACTTGGGTTGTAGTCATTGCATCATGGGGCATTTTGCACGAAGACCCAACTGGGACAAGGCAATACTCAACATGCCCTGTGACAGTTATTGTATTTTTGTTCATTACTAGCATCACAAATATCGTCTCAAAGCCACCTGGCTGGGCGAGACATTACTCTCAATTACACTTAATTCAAGATATCGAAGACAGAAGTATATATCAACCGAGTAGCACAGACTTTTAGATAATCATTCTACATACCTAGATGGAAAGCATTTCAATGGGGATGTCAGGAGAGCTGGAAAGTAAGCGAACACCAGTGACTATCTTCTCAGCAAGAGATTGAGCCATTGCACTGTTCATCATCGTACTTGACGTAAGAACCTGGATATCCAACCTGTCCTTCCCTGTAATACAACGGAAAAGCACTTGCTGGGACAAGGTGATGTAGGCGGTCTTTTTGAAGAATGTACATTGTGTACCATCTAGAGACAGTGGTGCTGGGCCCTCCTCAGGGCGAAGGTGATTCACAATGCAACCCAATTTGGTATCTGAGTCCCAATCGGTGCAGTTGGCAACGATGTTTGGCAAATCGCAGTAGGCATACCTTGTCACTTTGGCATATTGAGATTGGAGAGAGTGGCAGAGTTCCCTGAATGTCATGCTCCGATCGAATTGGGCACGAAGTGGGTTGATATTGATGCATGGTCCGAGAGTGGTCTCGATTCCAGGAAAGCCCAACGTCCGAGTGTCCATGACCGTTCCAAAAATGACGTCGTCACGCTTGACGAGATTCGCGAGGAGAAGACTGATTGCTGCATTGATCAACGTTGGTACGGTGAGTTCATCCAACGAATTTGGAAGGGGCCCAGACGCTGGTGCAATGATCCGCGCTTTGGGAGACGACTCGCCGCCGTTGAGCATAGAAGGGTCAAGCACAGTCATAGATGCGCCTTGAAAGTTTCTTCGCCAGAAATCAAAGACCTTGTCAGATGGGATCGTGGAGCGGGCGTAAAGATAATGACTGAACGGGGTTGCCGCAGAAAGGGGAGTTTCACTTTGGACATTATTGTACGCCGCAGAGATATCCCGGAAGAAGATGGGAGAGGTATTTCCATCGTACTGAGAGTGCGACACACGGACAAGCAAGGCATGTCTATGAGAATCTTCAGAGAGTAGGGTGAAGCCAACAATCGGTCGCGTGGAGATGGGGGCCGATTCAGCAATGATCTTCTCTACCGTAACTGGACAGGCAGTTTCCAAGTCGTTCTCGGACGTGTACTGATCAAATGGAGGATCAAAAGACTTCATCACCACCTGCATGAAGCGAGACCCTAATTGAGTGAAGAAAGTGCGGAGAATGCTATGCCTTGCGACTACTGCCCTACAGGCAGCCTGCAGCCGACTGACATCAATCTCCCCTTGCAGCATGCAAGTATAGCAGCTGACCGTCCACTGCGTCAGGAAGAAGTTCTGTGCTTCGGTCGTGGGCAGAATGTCGATGATGTTTTCGGGGTTTTCCTTCAGAATTTGTGATGACGTTGCGGGGTCAATGAGTGAGAATGGTTCGGCGTGCATGGCCGTGTGGCATATCTTTGGTCTTTCCAGTAGGCCGTCCACTAGATCGCCCAGCGTCTTGTGCTCCATCAGATCCGCGACTGACAGATCGAGGCCCTCTGATCGAGCTTGGGTTGCCACGCGAATTGCCATAATCGAGTCTCCTCCGAGGCCGAGGAAACTATCGTGGGATCTGATAGAAGAAGGGTTGAGCCCAAGCGCAGAAGCCCACAGACTCAACGTCATTTGACCGATTGGGCCTTTCAAGGTTCTCGAAAGAGCTTCAGTTGTATGAGGGATCTGCAACGGAGACATGAGTTCTTCGATGGTCAAAGATTCGCCTATTTGGCGCAGCCTTTGTCGATGTGTCTTGCCAGTTGCGGTCATTGGGATAGACTCCATTGGGTAATAGACTCTTGGAATCATATAATCAGGTAGATTCTGAGACAATGCATCGTTCATTCCAGAGGTTAAAGACCGTAAATTTGCCTGGATCTCTTGTAGATGGCCGCCCTGGGTGTCATTCGGTGCGAGGAAGACCACCAACAAGCCGGTATCACGCCCGAGAGGGGTAATAAACTCCACAACTGTCTTCAGTCCCATTTGAGGGGTTATGCACTTCTGAATCCAGTGCTCGATTTCGCCAAGATCAACCCTCTGGCCACGGATCTTGACTTGCGCATCTTTGCGACCTCGGAACAGAATGCTGCCATCCTTATCGTACTGTACCAAGTCCCCAGTCTTGTAAAGACGCACTCCCTGGTCTCCTCTGCGAAGTAGTGGAAGCCAGCTAGTTGTAGATAAAAAGGAAGACCTCGTCTCCGTGGGGCGATTGATATAACCCTTTCCCACACTGGGGCTCTCAATCACTAGTTCACCAATCGCACCGATAGGAGCTAGACGGTTGTGATCTGCTGGATCAACAATCCAAAGAACGCTACCAGAGCCCTTACCGATGTTTGTAGGGCAGGTCTTGGCCGCGCAGTTGGTCTGGATGGAACTGATAGTCGTAGCCTCTGATGGTCCGTAGGCATTAATTAGTTGGAGACTGCCGGCCCATTCTGCGATCATAGTCGAACTCATGGGCTCTCCACACGAGACCATGTGGCGAACAGTAGGAATAGCAGAAGGTTGCATTAGCTTAGCAACCGATGGGGTGATGCTGATCCAGTTGACCTCTTTCTCATTGATGAAACCGATAAGATCATTAGAACGCTGCGACTCGGATGGAATGCAAATGCAGCCCCCAAATAATAGCGTATACAAAATATCACGATTGGCCACATCGAAGACAAAGCTGGCAAATTGAAGGACTCGTGTTTCAGATGATAGTGAGAGTTCAGGCCCATTAGCCATCGCCCGCTGGAAGAAACCGCCGTGTTCAATAACAACTCCTTTCGGTCTGCCTGTCGAGCCTGAAGTAAACACGGCATATACCGGGTCTTCGACTTTGACTGATGGGAGCGCAGCTTTTGCGATATCCGTCATGGCAAGAGTATCTTGAATCACTTTTTCGACCGTTATAGCTTGCGAAACTAGCTTCTCGGCCTTGGACAACTGGGTAGGAGAGCAAAGCATCACCTGCGCATTGACGTCCTCGCAGATGGCAACTTTGCGAGCGTGGGGGGAGTCCGGATCAATGAAAACGTATGCTGCACCACTGCGAAGAGTTCCCAATAATGCCACAATTGCCCATTTGGACTTTTCGAAACACAAGGGTATGATTGTCCCTGGGGACAGATCCAGTGCCCGTAGATGTGCTGCGACGCTGGCCGATAGTTCACATAGATCATGATAGGTGAGGTCCCCATCCCAGGCGCTGATAGCAGGTCGATTCGAGTGGTTCGTGCAATTTTCAAGGATAGCATCGTGGACACAAGCTTTAGGAGAAATAGGGAGCGCCGAATTCCAGCTCCGCAGACAGGCTTTCTCCTTCTCTGTGAGAATGTCCAATTCGCCCAGGTGGGCGTGAGGATCCTTGATCACTTGTGGTAGGATATGATGGAGCGTTCTAGCCATGTTCACAGTCTGTGTAGCATCTGAATATGGTCTTTTCGTCGTATCTGCCAAGATGCATGTCGAAAATCCACCAGCCTCTACCTGGACGACCAATTGGAAATTCTACATACAGTCAGTTGAATTACATCAAAGAACGAAACCTTCACGACGGTACCTCTGTAACACCCTCCTTTTGCGAAAGTGCCTTCAGGTCCAACAGTGAGGGTGTCCCTGATTCTGTACTTTGTACAATGATTGTGTCCATTTCTTCAAGGCCGGACTCTTCACAAATCGAGATCTCCCGTTGGAACTGGGACACTGGCAGATCCCGTTCTATTGCCAAAGTACACGCACTCAGTTTTGGTTTGAAAGAACTGTGATTTGATACATCCAGATAGACCAGCCCGAATCGAGCGCGATCAACGGGCTCGTAGGCATTGATCACAACCCCCCAGGCGATTTGAATGGCCTTGGGAAATTCCCAGACGCCTTCATTGCACGGAGAATATGGAAGGTCTAATGAGAGAAATGCCTCGGTTCGATGCCGTTCAACAAGCGCCATGGTGTTGAAGATAGTGAGATATGATGTTCTCTGTGGATGTTTCGATTGAGGGACTTCTCGGAGTACACAGAGTCCTCTCGCAGGTAAGTAACAAAGTTGATGGCACTATTAAATTTCGAATTGACTTTTATTATCATTACACCTCTAATTATTTAATCCTTGTTTTGGTCATGAAAAGTAGACCTGAAAAAAAAAGAATGAAATGAAATGAAAGGAAAAAGAAACGAGAGCATAACATACCTATCAGCAAGCCACTAAGGTGCCTCGTGCAGAGTGCTCCAGGCTGCCACCAGACATCGCCAAGAAGATCGGCGATTTCGCTTGAATGCAAGGGGCAGCAACAGCGTGTCATGGGCACTGGTTGAGTGTACGGGTCGGTCCGAGTACCCTAAGCCGAGTCGGCTGGCGAAATTGCTGCATAATTGCTCCAGTATAGATGATAATTACTGGAGTGGGGAAGGTGATCTATCAATAAGGTTCCAATCCTTCCAGGAGATTGGTTAAGACACACCGCTATGATATAGTTCCCGATTTATGCTTTTTGGAAATTGATCACATCAACCCCCCCGCCATTTACATTCAACTATTAAAACAGCTGGGATGATCTTCACCGAAATTGTATTTTATATTCAGCTGCTGAATACGAGGTCTCCACTGCGGTCTTACTGTAGCCCTGCCCAATCCCACGCCTTCACAGGGCGATCTTTACCAGCCTGAAGTTTCGGACAGACCTGTACTCGATCCACCGCTGCACTGTCTCCAAAGAACTTGGTGGCGGTCTGTTTTCGCTGGATCTTGTATGAGACGGTTCGAGGCAGCATCTCGTCATCGTCGAGGACCCGCAATTTGGTGGGTAGAGTGTATGCAGGGAGTGACGGGGACAGGTCATTGCGCAACTTGTCCAGAGGCATCTGAGCCATTCCCTGTCTCAGCCTGATGACAGCGCCGATTTGGTTCGCGCATGCGGGATCGGGGACTGCGACAACTGCAGCCTCTGCCACGTATGGAAGCGCTATGACTGCGTTCTCGACCTCCAGAATGGGGACTCGATACGCATAAACCTGTACGACTATTGCAAGACTAGTAAGTATGGCTCGAGATGAGCGAATGAATGCGACTTACAGTCCGATGAGACTCGTCCGTCAAATATGAACTCGTCTCCATCCATGTGCGCCATATCACCAGTTCGGTAGAACCCATCTTCAGTGAATGCAGCCCGAGTCGCTTCGGGGTTGTTCAAGTAACTGCGGGAGATCGTTTGGTTGGCTGTGTCATATAGGAACGTTTCCGGAAGGATAAGCTCACCGTAACATGATTCGAGGACTTTTGACCAAGATCTCGCCGGTTTTCCCTTCAGAGAGTTTCATCTCGACGCCGGGAATCGGTTTCCCTATCGATGACGGCTGTTTGAAGCCACGGGTTACTGTTTAGTTCCAGCACCGATCGATTCCATGTCGAAAGCATACCTTTGCAGAGCCAACATTGAGTAGTGCACTCATCAGGCCGCCTGCCTCGGTAGCAGAATACCCCATTTGAAGCGGCTTCCCAACCATTTCCTGCCAGAAATCCAATAGAACAGGTGCGGGCATTGCCGATCCGGCCCTCAGCCCCTGAATCACTCGAGCACCTTGCAAGTATGGCTCAAGTTCTGCCTCGGGTAGCAGTCGAAGGTGATCCTCGTAGTACTGCTTCAGCTGTGAGAACATCATCGGCCCCCAAGTAACCCGAGTGACGCGCTGTTGTCGCAGAAGCTCCCAGTAGTCCACTGCAGGAGAGCCCGGTGGCAGGATCTCAATGCCGTGACCGCTGAGAAGAAGCGGAAACAACCCGACATAACCACCGATCCAGTGCGCTGGACGATCGCATAGCTTGATCAGGCGGTTTTCCGGAGTACATGGTTGCCGAGGATATAACGAGCAACGAGGCAGCACGGCACCTTTGGGTGGTCCAGTAGTTCCGGATGTGAACACAACTAGGCCAGGGCGATCCGAGGGAATGTCAATGCTGTCGTCCAAATGTATGATATCTACTTGATGCTCGCTTCGGTCGCGCCGTGTCACGGGTATACTTTGTATAGTGCGGTGCGAGACAACATGTCGATAAGCCTGTATTTTGAGCGCGACTTCCGGGTGTTTTGAGCCAACTATCATGAGCGTTGAATCGCATTGCTCGAAGAAGTGATCGGCTTCATCGGATAGAATCGCCTTTGCTAGAACATTGAGTCTTGTTAGATAGACCCTTTGCGTCTTGGGGTGGAATCTTACGCATTGGCATGATAGCACCTCCAATTGAGAGGATCACGAGACACCCAACCACGAATTCATACGAGGTTGGCACCAGAAGACCGACCCATGGTGAGCCTTTCAAAGTCCCTTGGCTGTCAAACAGCTCGGAAGACCAAGAATTGTATATCGCTTTCCGCGTAGAGACAATATCCCCGATCAATTGATTGTACGTCGCAGACACGCCATTTGCTGGATCATTGACTGCAATTGGATCCCCAGGAAACCGCTCTGCACAAGAGAGAAGGCTGCTGAAGAATTTGTCGTTTGGGAAGACTGCTTCAAGCGGCCTCTGGGCAACTGGAATGAGTTCTTCGATTGCCATAGTCGGGTTCAGTGACCTACCTCCGTCAGGTAGATCGATTTATTTTGATAATTTCTCTCTACTTCGTACCGACAGAGTTATATGCATTCAAAGGCGAACTCTTTCGGGCAGCCCTTCACCACAATATGATCAATGTGTTTCGCCATGCCGTTTTTCATGTGCACCGCGCGTGGAACCTAACATTGAGGATCGACGGCTTGGCCCCTTGCTTTTTCTGACACGCAACATCGTCACCAGCTCACGACCGTGCTTTATTGTAATCTAAAATACGATAGTCAGCCATTGACATGCAGATCCCTGTAGCTGCATACGGAATCCCCAACAGAATGCACATATCGCTAGATTGGTGGAACATACCGCTTCACGCATCGATTGGTCCGGTTGCTTGACAGTGATCGCTCTCTAAGGGTTTGTCGTCGCCGACATACCCTGACTTTATCAAAGCATTTACTTTTAGAGCAACACTGCGCAATTTTGACACCCAGGTACATCATGGCGGCACATTCAATCCCTACCATCGACTATTCACTGTCCACGTCGCCGGCGACCCGCCCCAAGTTCCTCTCGCAGCTGCGTGATGCACTTGTCAGAGTAGGCTTCTTCTATCTCCAGAATCATCCGATTCCAGAATGTCTGCAGGAAGACCTCCTTGCTCAGTCGCGCGAACTGTTTCAGCTCTCGCCGGAGAAGAAGCAGGAGATCGACATGGCTAGTAGCAAACATTTCATCGGCTACGTGGGCATGGAGGACACGGTAACAGTTGCGAAAAAGGACTATCGAGAGTCGTATACGGTATGAGCCATCATAGACTTAATCATTTGCTTCCTCCCAGCTCATTCACTTAGCTTGGATACGAATCACCTGCGCCAAGTCCTGATGAACCCATATACCGCAACCTGCGCGGTCCGAATCTCGTGCGTACTGTCTCGCTCCTCTGCTTCGGGATTCTGTGGACTTGCTGACCGTGTATGAACTCAGTGGCCAGACAGTTCTGATCTGCCGGAATTCAGGCCCGTCATGGAGCGATATATGACCGAAGTCAGAAAGCTAGCAGACGAGTTCAAAGTCTTCGTTGCGCAGGCATTAGATATGAAACCGACCGCATTAGCTCATCTATTTGATGGCATACCATTCGACCGTTTGATGCTGGCCAAATATTCACCAGCTGCTTCGCCCGAGCAAGCCGCCGACAAGCAGGGTGTTCAGGGTAAAGGGGTACATAAAGACGCCAGTCTCCTGACTTTCCTGCTTCCAGGGACATCGCATGGCGGACTTCAGGCGTTAAGTCCAGCCAATGAATGGATCCCAGTTCCTCCAGTTCCCGGGGCGATGATCATCAACGTGGGTATGCAGCTGGAGGCTTTGACCGACGGGGTCTGTTATGCGGCACTCCACAAAGTAGTTATGCGACCAGAGCACTACGTCGATAGCAACGGGAATGTTTTGGGACCCCGGTTCTCGTTCCCGTTGTTCCACACCATTAGCCTTGACGCAATACAGAAGGAGCCCCTGGACGTTCCCCCACATATCCTAGCACTGGTCAGAGACGACGAGGCAAGACGGAATGCACGAGTCAGCTTGCGACGGTTGTTTCAAGCTGGGAGCGCTGGGTATGGGGTTTTTGCCACACGTTTGAGGGTTTATCAAAAGGTTACGCAACGTTGGTTCCCTCAGTATCTCGATTTGTTGTCGCTTGACAAGATCCCACAACTTGGAGCAGCCTTGCACTCTGAATCGAAGAGCATATTGGCAGCCGTATAGATAGTTGTTGAAAGGTTCGCTACCTCGCTCCCAATCATTCATGGTTAGAAAGCTTTACATTGTATTTTGTATTTTGTCAGTAGGTGTTTTTGGAACGCTTTTCTGATGCCACATTAGAGATCTTCTTTCATACAAAGAGACGCAAAGAAGCCGGAGATACGAGCAAGTCGTCTTGTCTGCGCTTGAGGACCTTGAGCTTAGGTGTCATCTTCAGCTCCACCCACCATCCACGCAAGACAAACTTCCTTACGGAGTCTCTAACGTTGATGTATAGATTATATAGAGGCTCGCCTGCCACCTTTGACAGAATTCGTCGTTCTACCAGACCAATTGCAGGGGACCCCGGCCGTAGAACGGAAATGCCGGAAAAGCCATCAATGACTTCAGCCGTCTCCCAATGTGACGAAAGCAGTGCGCGGAGCAACTGGGTCTCGTCAGCATCCTTGACTTCAGGGTCTGCAGAGGCCTCGATGACAATGTAGTCGAATCGTTCCCAGAAGTTTGCGGTTGACTTGATATCCTCATCTTCAGTCTTGTCATAGTGCCAGCCTTGTTCAAACGGCCGCTGTAGGAACCGTGTAATCCCCGTTTGACAGGCGAGATTCCCAAGGTAGACGGACGCCCCGTTGCTGGACAAGGACTGCTGGTCATGATACTTGTGAAGTGCATCCAAGGCTTGGGCCCCAGGGTAATTTGCCGCGGATGCGGGCAACAGCACAAGATTCGACAAGAGGAAAGAGGCGGCAGTGGAGAGGATAAGTAGGTGAGATGCAATACGGGCAAAGGCCGATCGATCTCGCCGATTCCACAGATATCCTGCCCCCAGGGCAGCCGTGGCAGTGAGAACCGGGACAATGTAGATGATGAAACGCCACTCTTTATGAGGCTGGGCGCTGTACAAGATCACAAAACACATCGAAGGTGCAAGTAGCGGGAGAATCGGCCGCCAGAGTGCGGAATTGCGCAGTGCCACAGGGATGGCGATTAGGTAGAGTAGAGGATTCAACAGAAGCCTAGGTAAAGCATTCACAAAGTAGAATGTGAATGGTTCTGTACCCCAAGCTGAAGATTGTCCCTCAATCACGTTGAACAGAAACGCGTTCAACTCCGGCCAAACAAGCTCCTTCCAAAACATACTGTCAATGCCGACGGTAGTAATTAGGCCAATGGCAAGCCCCACGAGGCCGGCCATGACAATATCAGGGAAGACTCGCATACCCCGAGTTACGAGAAGGTATGCCGCAGTGAAGGCGACTAGAATTGCCAATTCTGCACGGAAGATGACACCTGCCATCGTGAGCAAGCTCAAGGGTAACCTCACGCCTCGAAAACCAACACGAACTCCCCGTGGGGAGGTCGAGTCGGGCAAAAGATACCTCATCGCAGTAGTAGTCAACCCAAAGGCAAACATGTTAGATAGAGGCCGTGATGCGTAATAAATGAGGTGGAATTGACTGCTCTGGAACAGCAGGTACCACACAGCTACAGTCTGGCCAAAGCTATTCCGCAACCCGTAGGCGAAGAATCCCAATGCAGCAGCATTGTGCAAGCCCAGGATAGCTCGAGCTATTGATAACGACCATCAGCTTGATTCATAGAAAATCAAAAAGCAGGTATATCAGCCGCAAGCTACATACCCAAAATTTGCCGGTTAACTCCCGCCCACGTCGCGGTTACAGACGGCGACAAGCCAGCGAGAATACTCGCCCCAACGGCAGTCCTAGGGACAGCGCCGGGAAACTCGAAATGATCATAATTACTACGATCGATATCTTCACCGAATGGAAATCCGTGTGCGAGAATATCGTGCGTAGCTTGGACATGGAACGACTCCTCCACCTTGGTATAAGGTGCAACGAAGAGGTGCAGCAGGATTAACCCCGCCAGCAAAAACACAAGTCCAATCCATGCTGTAAAAGCGTTAGCCGATAACTACTTAGTAATTCAAAAAATGGTCGCACGGACTGACCATGTCTCATGGTGGCTGCGTTTGGCGAGGGCAAGTGTGAGGGAGTGTGTTTAGTTGGGGTGGTGTTAATCCGGAGATCTGGCGCTTTCGCCGCACCTCAAGCTCCCTCGCCTTATCGAACTCCGTCACCTTGACACCCGACTCTACCCACCGCACCCATCACCGCGCGACAAGATGTTGCTCTTCGGCCTTGGAAACCTAGTCTACGGTGAGTTGTACTATCCGTCTATTTCTGCTTGGAACTAGAGAACTAACAACCACCCCAGTGGTTGTCCTCATCATCAACGCCATCGCCGTCCTCTCCGAGGACCGCTTCCTCGCTCGCAGTTCGTGCCCTCCTCCCCTGACACCGCGCCGAGCGCACACACCCGGTGACGATTGCGATACTTGAGCTGTACAGCTAATCAAATAGAAAACTATAGTTGGATGGGGTCGCACACAAGCTGAGCCAGGTTTCGGCGCAACCTACGATAGCACCAGCGTGAAGGCAAAGTCGGTCAACTTGATTGCCAGTGTACGGACGGTTATGCGAAGTATGTGTTCTTTCCCCAATTACCTGAGTATAATTTGCACCTCAATATCTATGCTCGACGCGGAAGGGCATACATTGCTGTGCTACTCTTCTGCCCGAGGAATAGACCAGGCAGGCTGCAAGACGGTCGAGGGCACATCCCAACTAACGCGCAATTGTCCACCACAGTACCGCTCATCGTCATCAATACCATTATCATCGTCTACGAGCTCATTCTCGGTTGAGTTCTTGGCCCGCCGTGCTTCTTTGCCATACCATCATACGAGAAGCCAGACAACCCCACCTATGGCCGACCTCTCCCCTTCTTCAGGATCGTGGGCACCTACTCCCCCCATAATCTCAGCGAATTCGGGCAACATCGATTCCAGTCTCTGCCACAAAGTCAATGCAAAACGAAGTATACGAGCGAAGAACAAATAAGACAAGGGGAAATTGGAAAAAAAGGACTATTTAGGTGTATCTGGTGGGATCGACAGGACGGTTTTCCGAGGCTCCTTTTTCTATGTCTTTCTACGTGAATTGGAATGCAGAGAGGGTGCAGTCCATGTCCTACTTTTATTTTTGATGCATTTTAAAGCCCTTAAGTCTACTTGTATATACCCACAAGCGAATCAACAGAGACACAAAAAGAACCATGTGATTAAAGCCTGTAGCGTCTTGTTTCTGTTAAAAGATACAGTAGGGTGTCGGCGAAAGCAAGACGATGATCACATCATTGAAAAAAAAAGAAAATCATAGGCTATGTGACCACACTTTGCAAGGGAATGGGGACTTCCAAAACGCGGCGTCAGTAGATACAGGCATGCAAATAAGACTAAAGAAACTCGCTGGTTGGATCGGAAGGAAAAGAATAAGACAGCAAGAATAAGGCAGAGAACGCCATTTGAGAGTCCTCCAAAAACAGAACAAAAACCAATCCGATGCTGACCAGCATTTGCAATCCCAGAAGAACAGTAAGAAATGGACAACGCCCCTTTTCACGCCAGCATGGGGATAGACGGATCCCGCCGGCACAGAAATTCATGCCGCCGTACATGTTACAGAAATCAGCAACGCAGCAGCAATAAGAGAAGAAGAAGAAGAAGAACAAGAAGAAAAAGCCATATTGGGGGGGGGGTTCCAAGAAATTCTAGGAAGACAAGTCTGTTGGAAGGGCCCAAGGGGACACCTCTCGGAGGTGTGACATGGTTACTGGGCCATTTCATCCAACAGGAGAATAGGATTGAAGGACGACAAAGGGCGCGTGTGGTGAGAATGGTGAGTAAAATGGTGGTGATACATCCACGGAAAGCTATGTGCAAGAAGCAAATTGCGCTGGTATGTGCATGATATGAGGAGGGGTTGATGGTGTTGAAATGGTCTGTGGGTATCTCCGGAATCGCGATCGGAAGCTGGCAGATGCAAGAAAAACGACGTGCTCCGGAAAATGAACGATGGTCGGATACTCATCATGCTGCCTTTTTGAAGCTGAGAGACCTCCACCTGTGAGTGTGCCCATTCTTTTCGTGTTTTACTTCCTTGGTATCCTTGGGAATTGGTGGAGGCCCCGGAACTCGGGAGGCCATCTTCGGATTAGAAATAGGAGACGGTTCCTTTGGCGACGCTAGTTGTTGTTCAGGTTCTGCCGCTTCTCCGACTGGCGTCTCGGGAACAGGCGTGGGGACCAAATCCGAAGTTGACACTCGGGGTTCTTTCTCCTTGCTGAGGCGGTGGCCCAGGCTGCGGCTACCGCGCCGCAGGAAATTGAAGCTGGACGACTTTCTGGGAGATCCGTTCTCGGGACCAAGGTCATTGGCATCCGCCTTGCTGGCCTCGATAGCTCGCCGAAGCTCCTCGGCTTCACGCCTGGCGTCCATCTGATGCTGCAGCTCGATCTCTCTGCGGCGGGCCTTTTCATTCTTTTCCCGTTCTTTCTCCGCTGCCCGACGCTCCTTCTCCTCTCGAGCCTTCTCCTTCTTAGACTGCACGTCACTCTTCTTTGCGCTCAAGACAGGGGGCTGCTCGTCGGGGATGGGTGGCAACGGTGGTTGAGGTTGAGCAGGCTGGACGGGCTGTTGTTGCGAAGACGAATCGGACTCGGGGTGTTCGTAATGAGGCTCGAGCTGAGGGGCCGTCGTCATTTTGCTGATGGGAGTGAACCGATGCGGTTCTTCGGAAGGAACGTAACCGGCGCTATGCACTTGGACCAAGTTATTCGGCGATGTCGAGAACCCGTTGGTCTTGCCCAGGTCACTGGCCTCGGCTGCGGCCGCGGTGGATGCTGCATCCTCCTGAGCCTGCTCTCGCATGACAGCCTCGAGCGTGGTCTCCTGGTAAAATAGAACGTATGCACAGGCCAAGCCGGGTCGATCACCGAAGAAATTTCGAACATAGTTCTTATCGACTGGTTCCACCAACTCGTCATCGAACAATAACCAGCCGCGGTCCTCGGTTTTGATAATTGCAACATAATGACCATGATACGGGCCACCTCCGATATGAACAACAACAGCGTACAACTCGTAGAGCCGGTCTGGGTCTTCGGCATCGTCTGTCGTATTGAACAGGCGGAGATGGTATGGGTAGACGACCCGATGGAAGAGCTTTTGTAGCCGCTGTAAATCCTCCGTGTACTTGAAGCGCTTGAGATGCAAGGCTAGGACTCTGGGCAGGCGCTTGATCTTCATACGCTTCTCTGCCTCCTGAAGGCCACCGCAGTTGTCACAGTGAAACTTATTCCGCTCGCAAAGCATCTCCTCAGCGGAAAACTTTCGAAGACAGGCGGTAACGGATGAATGCTGCTCCAAATCGACCGAGAGATCCAAGAATACTTCGTCGCGCTGGGACACCTTCTCGCAGGTCAGACACTTGGTCTCCGATGTCAGAATTCCTTCGAACAACTCGTGCACCCATCTGGTAGTGTTTGGAGACTTCGAGCCGGTGCTGTTGGTCAACATCCCCAAGGATTCTGCGCTCTCAGAGGGTGGCGAGGGGAGGCTCTTTTCGCTGAATGATTGCTTTGTCGCTTCCGCTTCGACATTGGATACCACCTCATTTAGCAGGAGATTCAAAAATTCATGGGCATCCTGATGCATGGCCGTTCGAAACATTTCGTGCTCCCGCCGCAACACATCCAAAAATTGATGTGGCCGGATCACTCCAATCCGGGACTGACTGCCCACCAGGGACTCGAAGATATCCTTTAAAGATGTGAAAAGAGATTCCGACATGCCGTAACTGCCAGCATTGTTCTTGGTCTCCAACAACGGAAGCGTCTGGAGCGCAACCTTCTTCTTGTATTCCGGTGAGTCCTTATCTTCTGGCTTCTGTGGTTGATTGGGAGGCACGCCTGCCTGGCGCGCTGATGGCGCAGGAGCAGTAGCCTTCTGCTTGGCTGCCTGGGCCTCGGCCTCCAAGTGCGCATTGGGGTTCTGGTATCGGAGATTCTGAGCTAGGGCAGCCTCGATGCTCTCGACGGGCGTGCGCTGCGGGTAATTGATCACGGCCTCACGAAAGGGAACGGAGTAGTAAAGACATTGTAGAATCGAATTGCAATAGCAAGTGTTTCCGTACTATTAAGCGCATCACTGGGTCAGCCTCGCAGTCATCAATCCGTCGGCCGCTTGCGCAAAGACGGCCGCGTGGGGGGTAGAAAGCCTCACGTTTTCCATGCCAAAGAACTTGTCACTACCGTCGCCACGGATTGGCCCCATATCCTTCAACCTTTTCTCGAGCGGGGATACTTGCGGCGTTTGGGGATCTTTCTTGGGTGGCGGCGCGGGCGAAGGGTTGGTTGGAGCCTGTGCGAGGGAACAGTCAGTGTCAGGACTCAATGAGATGGTCTCACGAGCAGCAACGGGCGACCGGGGGCCTTTCGGCTGCTGTACGACAGCCGGGAAAGGCTGATGATCGTTCAGATTGGATTGCTTACCCCATTGCTCCGGCGAGGGGAGAAGAGCCCCTTCATGATCGATGTGTGTTCTCGTCGGTCGCGCTTGGCTGCATGGGGAGGCGAAAACGGGATTTACCGGTCGCAGTCAAGGCGGGACATGGGCGAGGACGCCAGATGAGAGGAAGAGAGAGAAGGACAAGGTGCGAAGGAGGAGGAAAGCGTAGAAGAGAGAGCGAGGGTCGTCAAGGATTCAGGTTGGGGTAAATCGGGGAATGAGATCAGGAACGTTGAGTCGCGGAGAGAGCGGTCCGGGGAAAGCCACGGCGGAAACGGCCACAAGCCGAAACTGAACACGCAGGAACCACGATGACGCGGGAGCGGGGGAGAGACAATGGGGTGTTGGAAAGAGAGAACAGCCGGGGTGAGAAGAGTTCGGTAGGCTGATGGGCGCCGTTCCTGGGGAGAAGAAGAAAGAGAAGGATGAGGGGAGCCTAAGTGGACAGGACGAAGATGACGGCGGAGCGGAGTTAAAATGGACGGATAGTCAGAGAACCAGATAGTAGGCGTCGAATCGTCGGATGGCAGGCAGGATACTACGACTAGTCCAGTAGTCGAATCCAAGTCCAGGCAGTCGGTACACGCACCGACCTAGTTATCTGATGACTGCTAAGATCCATGCTAACTACGACGGATTAGTTATCTTGTACTCCGTCGACTTATAGATATACTATTAGTGAAAGTACTATGCAAAAGACGCGTACCGTAGCTATTGAAGGTACTGGAGGCCTAGTTTAATAGACTTGTACTCAAATCTAGGCATCCTTATTCCGTATACTCCTCTTGCTAGTATTGATGACCGATGGCCATCGTATTTCGCTCACGGAAACGTCCAGAAAAGCCCTCCGCAGACGGTTCGGGTTTTAGCCCGCGCTGTCACTCGACTAACTTTGCCGTGTCAAGCAGTCGACCGGGAGGAGCAACGCGATAGGTCTTAGGCTAAACTCCTTTCTTGCCTAGTTCCATTTAGCTCCGTCCAAGAGATTAGAGCAAGACCGTCCCAATTTGTCTTGTAGCTGATGCTAAGTTAGTGCTAACTGATTAAGTGCCGCGACACGCTCGAGCCACGTGGAGATTCTAAGGCAGGTACTGAGCCAATCGCCGATTTTTTCTTTCGTCTTTCCAAGTGATGCTAACCATTCGATCTCTGGCACCTACTGTCGAATATACCGGACGAACGTTATAGGAATTTGTAGGAAGAAGTGGGTTGCAAAGTGGAGGGAGGAAGTGCGGTTATGTCATAGGCCTATGAGGTTCTCCTCTTCGGCTCTTCGTTTCTGCCAGCCCTTTTTTTTCACCTTTCCCATTCTCTTTTCGTTTCCCCAGCGGAGCCCCCACGGCCATGGAAACACTCCTCTTTTGGCGCTGCCCGGTTCAATGAACACTGGAACCCCCTCTTGATTCCTTCTCTCTAATTGGCTCGTGCCCGTTGTTGGCTCACGGGCCATGTGTCCGCCCCTCGCATGGCGTGCCGTAACGGCCAATGATCGTCGTGACCGTGGGGAAGTGGCGGGGGTGCCGTCTCTTCGAAGTCCAGGGCCGTCATTCCTGACCGGACGCCCGGCCACGGCCACTGTCCTTCCAGGACGGAGCACCGAGTAGGGCATAACGCGGGGGCCAAAATCCAACATCGCCATCATCAGATCACTGCGACGCAAGGAGTGTATACATCGTCACGGAGGACAATCCTACCAACACGAGAATCGCCTCCAAATCCCTGCCGCCGCGCGGCCCGGGCACCTTTTATGCTCAGGTGCTACCCTCTTTCTCCAGTGAAGTGGGCGGCAACTTTCCGAGCACTAGGGCAAAGCATACAAGTACTATAGATGCGGCCACCTGCATCGACTGGGCGAGTCAATCATGACCTCCCTTGCGGGGCCCAGTGCGCCAAGCGCCCGAGGGGCCAAATGGCTGTGATCCCGTACCGCGATCCTCCCACGTCTCCGTTCACCAGGGTTAATGTATCAATCACCACATTACATGGACCCAGATACTTGAAATGGGCCCAAGGTATGTACATGCATACCTCTGAGAGTAGCTTACGATGGGAGAAAACCTTCTTTCAAGCTTCCCCTTGGGGGTCCAAACGCACCACAAGCCCCTCCTTCGGCACCGTTCCACCCATGGGTGAGAGGTACTCTACAAGGTTGCGGGATAAACAAGACGGTGGGCCAAAGCTGGTGGCTGGAGGCTGGCTGATGCAAACTCGGACTCGATACCACGAATGAAAGTGCAATCAAGCGTCCTCGTTGCCCGAGACCGCATGTTCAGTGGGGCTGGGCACTCTGCTGCTCAGAGTCGGACCAGGCTTGACCATTCAACCATAACCATACTCCGTACAAGTGATGGAGATATCTCCCGTTTCAGTACCATTGGGCAGGCGAGGTTGGACATATGCAAAACCAAGAACCAAGACCGTACCTTTCCGCCAAGCTGGTCTTCTTGGCAAGCCCGAAGGAATTACCCGAATCATTGCAGTAGTTGTGGCCTTGGCCTCCGCGAGCCTCGAGTTTAAAGCTTCACGGCTGATTCCAGTCAGCAAAGTTGCCCAAGCTTGCTAATTACCCTTCGATTGGACACGAAGTGGCTGTTTTTGTCGTCCCACAATTTGTATATCAGATGGACTTTTCGATCAGGTTGGCTTGGGACCGGCTATCGATTGATCTAATTGGTTGCAAAGGCCCATTTTTGCCTTTTTGCTTTGGTCGTTGCTTGAATGTCATTCGATGGCTACCCGATCCGATTCGTGGGACAGGTGGCCATTAATTTATTCGTGTGCTCACTACGCTGCCACGGTCTACCTACGGGGTACGGAGTAGATTAGTGACTATCGCGGCTGATTGCAAGTTTGCTTTGTAATCGGGCTCAGCATGTTCCATAACTAACTATCCGTCATGATCTGGTCAAGGGAGAAACAGTGTAAGTTAGTCTCAGACTACATATCAGCCACTTAGTAGTATGACGATGTGCTGAGAAGTTACTGCAAAGTTCATTACTGCTGGCCACCTCGTCACATTTTGACCCTTGCTTTAAGCCATGAATTCTATGACTGTGCCTGCTTGGCTGTCTATCTTCCCCGTCTCATACCTCCCAAAAATCCATACATGTGTATCTTCCTTGAATCTTTTCCCTCCCATAGCTTGATTGATCGGACAAATCTCACTAAAAACAATATCCCTTAAACCCCTCATAAAGAAGAGATCCCAGCTCATGCGACCAAAGAGCACGAGTCAGCTTTCTTCATTAACTTAGCTTCTAGATTATTCAACCAATGTCCTTGCGTTACGGATGGATCTTACGAGTCCTCTTCCCTCGTGATTCTTCATTGGTGGGCTAGTTGAGCAGTTGCAATTAGCTCGGGTACATGTTTGCAACTACCCCGAGGTTGACTTGATGTTCTCATTGAAAGAACAGTGTAAGATAAAGAGCTTGTGGAGCTGAATTGGGAGCACAGCTGATAGATTTCATCATCAGGAGCAGCTTAGACCAGCGTTCCTGGCTGCATTGGGTACCACCTGGAACGCAGTGAAGATAGGAATTCTTCATCTTGCTAGTAGATATCATTCTCATTGGAAGGCCGATTGATAACTCGGAGCTTATGGCCATTACTTGATATCAATAAATTTAGTTACATCCAAGGCATAAAAGAAAATATGGTAAGCGGTACCGATGCAGGTCAACTACTTCATTGCGCCACAGGAAGAGAGTCTCGATGCAGTATGAGTCGATCCGGCTGAACACAGTATCTTCGAGTCTCTTTTGTCCTAAGTCACTGCCAAAAACTCTTCTCTTCTAAGCTTTTGTTAAGCCACTATGGAATTTGCCTCTGTTGAGTTGAAATTGGCCGAGAGGACGCTATACTTCCCGACTGCGACTCGGAAAAACTCGCGGAAAAACTCCCCCGAAGCAGGAAGAAGGCCCGATAGAGCCCAATCTGGCAACCAAAATTAATCGCCCACAGTGTCGCGACGCTTTTATGACGTGCCTTCCTGCTTCAATACGCTCTACACGACGAGCAATTGTCGACTACTCCATTGCGGCCTCTCTCATTCGCGTGACTCATCTGCCAGCGCAACGGCAACGCGCCGCCGCCTCGAATCAAATTTGTCGCCGAGCCCCCACCATCCCCCACCACTCAACTCTCCCCCGCCGCACTCGTTCTTTTTCCTCAATCCCTCGTCTCGCCGCGAAGATTGATACAATGGGCAAGGATAAGGGTCCCACGTTTAACCTCAAGACCCCTAAGGGCACCAAGGACTGGTGCGGGTCCGACGCTATCCTCAGAGACCGCATCTTCACTACCATCGCCGACGTTTTCAAGCGCCACGGCGGCACTGCCCTCGATACCCCCGTCTTTGAGCTGCGCGAGATTCTGGCCGGAAAGTACGGTGAGGATTCTAAGCTCATCTACGACCTGCAGGATCAGGGTGGTGAGATCTGCTCGCTTCGTTATGACTTGACCGTCCCCTTTGCGCGTTGGCTGGCCATGAACCCGGATGTTCGCAGCATCAAGCGTTACCACATTGCGAAGGTGTACCGCCGAGATCAGCCCGCCGTCAGCAAGGGCCGCATGCGCGAGTTCTACCAGTGTGACTTTGATATTGCCGGTACTTTCGACGCTATGGTTCCCGATGCCGAGGTCATGCGCATTGTTAGCGAGGTGTTCGAGGAGCTGGGCTGGAATGGCCGGTATACTATTAAGATCAACCATCGTAAGATTCTGGACGGTGTGTTCCAGGTCTGCGGTGTCCCGGAGGACAAGATTCGTCCTATCTCTAGTGCCGTTGATAAGCTGGATAAGATGCCTTGGGCGGATGTGCGCAAGGAGATGGTCGAGCAGAAGGGCCTTGATGGTGCCGTGGCCGATCTTATTGAGACCTACGTGATGAACAAGGGTGGACGTGAGCTGTTGGAGAAGCTGCTCCAGGATGAGAAGCTCACTGCCAACGCCTCCGCCAAGGCTGGTCTCGACGACATGGCTCTGATGATGGACTACTTGGAGGCTTTCAACGTTCTGGATAAGATCTCGTTCGATATGTCTCTGGCCCGTGGCTTGGATTATTACACTGGTGTCATCTACGAGGTTGTCACCGAGGGCTCCGCCCCTGCTGTGCAATCTGATGCCCCCGAGGCTGAGAAGCTGAAGAAGGCCAGCAAGAAGGGCAAGTCCAAGAACTCCGAGGACGAGGACCGATCCGATGACCCCACTCTGGGCGTCGGCAGTGTTGCCGCTGGTGGTCGTTACGATAACTTGGTGGGCATGTTCCTGCCCAAGGCTCAGATTCCTTGCGTGGGTATCTCATTCGGTGTCGACCGTATTTTCTCCATCACCAAGGCACGTCTCGAGCGTGAGCAGAACGCGAAGACCCTGCGTAACAGCGAGGTTGACGTTCTCGTCATGGCCTTTGGCGGCAAGGGCTTCACCGGTATGCTCAAGGAGCGTATGGACATTTGCCAGAAGCTGTGGAGCGCCGGTATTAAGGTAAGACAGGCAGTATTCACTATTTCATTTCAAGTATATATACTAACGTCCATCTCCAGGCCGAGTTCTCCTACAAGGCCAAGCCCAAGCCTCAGCAGCAATTCAAGGCCGCTGAGGATGGCGGTATTCCCTTCGGTATCATCATTGGCGAAGACGAGCTTGCCGCCGGCAAGGTCAAGATCAAGGAGATGGGTCTGGACAAGGACCACCCCGAGAAGGAGGGTGTCGATGTCGAACTGGCCTCTCTTATCCCCGAGCTGCAGTCTCGCCTTGCAAAGAAACATGGCGGATCTGTCATTAGCTTGGCTCAACAGCTGCAGGGTGTGCAAGTCTGATTTATCTGCATTCCATTTACACAAAAAGTGAATGACCGGGGCGTTTAATTTCTTCTTATCTCTTTTTTGTTGTTTCTATGTTACCCCCTCCCTTCTCCGGAAGCTTAGCATCCCTCTCCTCCCACCCTTTTCTCCTCTAAAATATAGATTCCACCTTACCTGTCTTTGCATGTGCCCAAGCCATTGGCATTTCCTGTACCTTGAAAAGACTTGGGGGTGTTTGCATCACCATAACATACCTTGGGCATGACCGATACCCAATACAATATATGCTTGCAATTTTTAGCATCAACTGTTTATACACTCTCATGGTGTCTGCTTGCCAATTTGGAAGACGCTTGAAAGCGACCGAATATCAAGTACCTCGAACTCAGTACATTGAAGACAGAAGTGGAAGGAGAAAAATATTTCGGTATTGTAGAAAGGAAACTAGATATACATATAAACATACAGAAAGGACCGACATCGTCCTCTAGCACGCCTAGTACCCCTCAGCATTCTTCATCAGGAACGACTTCACAAACGGCAGCTTGTCAATCACATCCAGACCCAAGCTACGAGCCCAGGTAACGGGACCCTGACCAGGGATGTTATACATCTTATGCAACAGATCGCAAGCACCCCCAATCTTGGCATTAGTCAGGTACCGCTCCGACGAGTACCGTTCCAGGGTCAAAAGATCACCGATATCCATACCGTGCGAGACCGCGTACTCAATCGTTCGCGAGAGCGCGGCCACGTCTGCGAGACCGAGGTTCAAGCCCTGGCCGGCCAGAGGGTGAATGACGTGCGCGGCGTCACCGACGAGGGCGACACGCGGAGAGATATACTGCGCTGCGTGGCGGAAACGGAGCGGGAAAGATGCTACGGTGCCCGTTTGCACGCCCGTCGCGAAGGGTGGGATGTGTGCGGGGAGAGGGGTGTGCTGAATGCGCCAGGAGAGCTCGTCCTCGTGAGAGGTAGATTCTGACGCTGGCTGTGCCATGCCCATCATGTACTTGAGATCTGTCATGGACAGGCGGAAGGCTGCGTTGACCATGGCCAGGAAGGCCGGTGCGGGGAGGGATTTGAGGTATGCGGCGTTCTCGGGGGTCGTGGACCAGACAAGGGTGGCGTTGTTGTTGGGGAGAGGGAGGAGAGCAATCGGGCCACCGAGTGCTGGGAGGAAGCGCTGGTAGGCTGTGCGCATGTTGGCCGGGAATGGAGGAGTGTCGGGGTCGGCGAGGGAGAGTGTAGCCACGATGCCGTGTCGGTTATAGTCCCAGCCGTGGGTTGGGATATCGGCGAACGAGCGGACAGGGCTGTTGATTCCGTCCGCGCCGACTAGAAGTCTCGCCGCGATTCGAGAGGACGGTTGGGTCTCTGCGGCAGCTCCCGTTGGCTTGATAGAGAGAACAGGCCAAGCTGACAGATCCGGTCCCTGGGGTTGTAGATCGGTTCCATTCTCAATACCCGCAACGGTAGTGTTCGAAAAGAGCTTCAGATTCTCGTCTCCGGAGGCAGCAATTCTGCGCAACAGTCCGCGCACCAGGTTCGCATTCTCCGTCATCGTCGCCACGGTGCGCGGATCTTCGAATGCAGGCGTCTCCATCGACCAGTCAAATGATATTCGGGATCCGCTCTCGCCATCCCATACCTGCATCTCCTGATAGTCTTGCACACGCTGCGTATCCAGGTGCTCCCAAGCACCAATTTTCTGCAAGAAAGCCTTGGAGGATGGCGTCAAGCTGCTGACTCGGTTAGAGAACTGTGTCGAGTCCATATTCCAGGACCGCGCCTTATTGAGGTCTTGGCTTTCGATCAGGGCGACCTTCAGCTTCGATGTGACGGGGGAAGCTCCTAAAATAGCACAACATTAGCATATTGTTCATACTTCTTGTGTTTGGCAGTATTATCACTCACGAAGAGCAGCCAAAAGCCCTAGGCCCGCCGGACCACCTCCGACGCAGACCACATCGTAGATGTCGGTGGCCTGGTCAGTCTTGGTACCAAATTGTCGCTGGCCAGCGCCAATGCCATGTCGGCATGAAGGGCAGACGTATGGCCGCAATGCGGCTCGCGAAATCGGGCGCATTGTGTTCGGGGAATTGGATTTGCGCTTGGAATCGAATGATCACGAAACGCTCCACGCCGAGATGTCCGGTGCAAACAAGCCAAACAGCCATCCTTCCGCTTTTGGTATCATCTTACGATTTTATAATCACGATTATCACGCCGGTTCATATTACCAATTAGACTTTATTTTCTCCAGTCTCTTTTCTAGCTTCTAGCTAAGACGGCCAGAATATCCTCAAGCTCGTACATCTCTCTGCGGAAGGCTTCTTAGCACCATCTTCTAGCCCATTCATATTCATGTCTTCTCTCCGAGTAGTAAGCCCATTTCTTTTCCGACGGAGCTGGGACATCGGAGATTTTGCGTGCAGAAAATGAAAATCTTTGGCCCCAGGAAGGTAGACCAGGTTCTCCCACGAAGCTGGCTAGTCTTTGATCAGCAAATTGCAGAGTGTCATCCCTGGTCTCGGACTGGATCTCATTCTCGCCGGTCTCCCGACATCTTATCTTCAGTCGGTACTTGAGCGACTGGGCTGACCCTGGCTGGTGCTTCTTGGATCTCTTCATCTCTTGAGATCCTCGAACCCCCGATGCTTTTCTCTTGGAGCCTGACGCGAGAGTTCTTCCCTTTGATTCGGATTCCTCATCCTCTTCATACTCAGAGTCCTCCGAGAATTCAGCCTGACGGTCAGCTTCGAGGCAATACTCCTCAAGGACATCTGGCTGCAAGCAGATCATCATGATGCCTTCGAAGACCTCGAATTCAAAATTTGCTTGGAACACTCCGGGCGTATCGGTTTTGTGGATGTCAATGCGGAGATTGTCTGCACATACTTGGAAATTCTTCGCAAGGTATTCACTTTCGACGATATAGCTGCCCACAGGCGAGTATTCTGTCACATCCTTGGCATCCTTGCTTTTGCCCTTTTTCTGGGCGAGTGTGTCGAGGTAGTCCTGATGCATCTGCTCTCGCTCGCGCTCGCGCTTGCGAGCGTGCTCTTCTCTGCCGTCGTCGCCAAAATCCCAGAAAGACTTCTCCTCATTGGCTGCGTCTTCGCTGGCTGCCTTTTCCACTGCTGCTGCATCCCAACCCATGAATATGGTGTTAGTCTGGCATCCGTTGGCCCGCTTTTGGTGCAATCCCGGAATCTTGGTGACGGCCTCGATCATTTTCCGCCCACTTTCAATCTGAGCGACATCCTCAAAAACAAAATCAGACATACGATACACGACTATTCCGACGACAGATGTGGTTTTCGTAGGATCAGGGATACCAGAGGACAAGAAGTAATTATCCATGGCCCAGTCTGGATTGTCGGCGAGCTCTTTTGGGTCGCACTTGTCGAGGAATTTTGGGTACATTTTCTGTTGTAAATGGAGGATATGCATAGGGACGTAGTCGCAATTCCCAGCTTGAAGGTTTTTTCCAGGAGCGTGACTCCATTGCCTGAGAATTCACTCTCTTCAAATTGTACTCCATAGTGCATTAGCTGACAACGCGCGAAATGACGGTTCTCTGATAATGCCTTCGCTCCTTCGCGTGTGAGCTTCGGCAGGAACATTCTGCGCAGTGTCCGCGCTTCGATCCTCTCCATGTGGCCAGGCTCGACCAGAAAGCGTCCTTTGTCAATGACAAATCCGTATAAAGACATGCTGTTCAAGAGCCGTTGAAGCGTGTGAAGTGGTGTTTGATGGGAGATTTGATTGTTTGGTTGACGCGGAAGGAGAGTGGGGTGGCAGCAAACAAAAGCTCAACAAGCCAGGCGGGGGTCAAAATGAAATATCAATTGTGCAATGTGGTCAAGAAAATAGGAGGAAAAAGAAGAAGAAGAAGTAGAAACACTCAGGGTACTGGAATATCTATGGCTGGTCGACAGAGTAGTATATATTTCCCCGGTATATGCCTCGTCACCCCAGCCTCCCATATCATTCATTCCCACAAGTACACATTTTTTACAATAGGGACTTATGTACCTACACTCTTGATTGCACAATCTTCAATCACGTCCGCAGTTTGCTTTGTGTATCAGTCGACGAGCGCATCAAATATATATTTCGATGAGGATATGAAGCCTGATGTCATCGACACATTTCAGTGTTAAATTGAGGAAAGGAAACGGCCACCTCGTTCTCCTAATATCATTCCGCAAGTATAGAGATACCAACTCAAATTTATAGCCATCTTCCCTCAACTCCCACCTACCATGAGTGTCTTGAGTAAAATAGAGCATGTCTCTTAGCGGCTCTTCTTGGCTGATTGATCCTATTGGACAAGTGCAATATCAGCAAGATAGATAGCTTGGGGACAAACCATGGGCCTTACAGCCGAAAAAACCGACGAAGAATCCAATTTGATCTTTGCGCTTTTTCTGAGCTGGTCTACGAAGCCATGACTCTGATCCCCGACATATTTGAAGACCCGTGGAAGTTGCAAAATCGATATGGCTGTACCGGGGTGAACTCATCCCATTTAGGGCCTGACGGTCCCCGCAACGTCTTCCAGCAGCTCAGCGCGTCTTTTAATAATTTCCTAGTCAAGTCAACATCCAGTGATCGCGCAAAATCTTCACTTATCAAATAGACAGATTGAGCTATCCATGATTGCAAAGGATTAAAAAGCTCATATACGACGCCAAGAGCTACATTGATAGCTTGCACGATATCACCAAGAACCTACAGACTCATTCCATTCGGGACCAGAGAGATATCATAACACTGGGTATCCGCAGGATCAACGACACGAGAGCTTTGGAATGGCTATCGGAAGTGTGTGTAGCTGATTACTCGGAACTATCAGATGCTGCAACCCGATTCGAGGCGCGTCTAACTATGAAGTAGTAATGTACCAAACCTCACATAAAAAGATCCTCCATCCCATGAATCGAATCCTCAACCTTCACGTTCCGTATCTACTTCCCCAGGATGCTCCATCACCATCCTATAATGCCGAAGTACATGCTTTTCAGACTGGCCTGGGCCCAACCCGATATCACGACTAACCTATAGTACACCCTATCCACCAGCTAGAGTCTGTGATTATTAATATAGATTAAAAATTTTATTACAGAGGCTCTAAATATAAGAAAATATATTAAATAAAAAAGAAGACTAAAAAAGAAGAAGTTCCGCGAGTGAGGTGAACCACCTCACTCGCATCCCGCCCGCCCACTCTCCCCGCCTAGGGATGTGCCCGGTAACCCCTGGGGATCATGCTCGACACGGGAGACCGGTACTGTGATTTCCCCTCATGGGGCACACCCAAATGGTCCATCCACTGAAGGTATGTCCAACTAGGCCATGTGATGGGGGAGAGTGACTGGAAGAACTGGAAGTGGGTGATACACCTCAAGACATTTAGGGCTTGGACACGGAGGATGGTTTTGGTAGCGCTTATTCGCTTTTATACATGATTTTGATTGATCTGATGCCATGGACCCTACTCGCGGGTAGTTTGAAGACTACCCTTCCCAGAGTATATTGACTTCCCTGTTGTAACAACATCGTCGCACGGGCATTACGGAGAGAGCTTCACGGTAAAGCATAGACGAAATGTGATGCTATTACGGGTATGAAATGGTAGAAACGAGCTAGGCAAGAAAATCGGTCCATAATCAGCTATACCAGACCCATCCCAAAGTCATCGACAATCCCCACCATGTTCCTCCTCTTCCACCATGAGTACATCCAGAACTAGACTACCTCGACCCAGCAGCATGAGAATCGGCCTCGAGACCGGTCTCAGCATCGCCCTCCATCTCTGCGATGAAGCGCTCCCACGTAGAGAGGACGCCCTGGTAAAAGTCGATGTGGGCCTCAGCGAGTGCACCGAGGGAATCGCGGAACTCGACTGCCTTGATGCGCTCAAAGTCTGCTACTTCACGGACGACTTCTTCGTCGAACATCTCGGAAGTGGTCTTGGCAGACTCGACCTCGCGAGTCAGTTCGTCGATGCGCAGCTCGAGCTTGCGGACACGCTCGCGGCGGGACTGTTCGTGGTCGACGCCGCGCATGTCCTCCATCTTAGAGCGGATGAAAGAGGCTGGGGAAGAGGTAAGCGGGTTGGAGGCGTAGTAGGCGGCTGGGTTGGCAGCGAGTGAATCGCGCTCGGCGACAGCCTTGTTACGATAATCGACTAGAGCTTCAAAGTCGAGTTGCTTCTGCTCTCGTGTCTTCAACAGTGCTTTCACAGAAAGGATGTATGCCTCCATGTCGCGCAGCGAGCCGAGGTAATTTTGATCCGTATGATCTTTCAGATTATGCATGCCTCGTGCAGTCTCTTCCACGGAGGCTGCAAATACCTGTAATGGCATCTCAACTGCGGGTTCGAGTGGGACCAGTTTGCGGAACTGCGTTGCCAGGTCCGTATAATCCGTCTCCAGATCAGCCTCCCGCCTGGCAACCCGCGCCACGGTCTTTTCGACATGCGACAGATCCTCGTCCAGCTTATCCGACTTCTCTTTCACCTCAATGAAACGCCGATCGGGCTTGTGTACTTTGGTGAAGGCGTTAACAAATGTGTCTGTGAAATTATCAAAGATTCCAGCCCCCGCATTGTCAGAAGAGGTACTGGTCGACCCTCGGGTCGAGTGTAACCGCACATGTGCATTCCAGTCTGGCGACTCTAGGAAGATGATGAGGAGTGGTGCGCGCCGAAGGACTGGGTGGAGTGTCAGGCGCTTCAAAAACCGATGCAGGGACCATGATCGCCGCGTGGTGAACTCTGGTCCGAATCGGTCTCCTCGTACATACTCCATTTTGTGCTTGTCGGGAAGGGGCGGCACGGCGCATGCTGGGTATTCGCGATAGAGTGTCTTGTACAGGAAATAGAAGTCGGTGAATCGTCGCCGGACGCTGAACTCTGGTTTCTGGAATGACTTGAAGTCGGTCTAGACGGGTTGGGTGTACGTCAGCGACCTGGCCTTTCGAGGTGGAGGCAAGTACTCAGAGCTCTCGTGGCTACGGCAGGCAGCCATAGTAACGGAACAGCTTTGGCCTGGCAAGGTCTAAAGGGAATCGAGGAGACTCACATTCGTTGTAACAAGATAGGAGATATATGCATCTTTTGTACCGTCATTCTCTTTCAGAGGCGAGTCGACACGGCATTCCAGCACGCCGTCGCCGATACCTGCCAGGTCTACGGCATCGGCCAGCGGGCCAGCCTGGGGTTCCTCGTGCGCGGAGCTCATCCTCCGCTTGCCATTGGTATCTTGATCGTATTTATGAGGCTCCTCAGCATCTGTGCCCGAGGTAGTCGGTCGAGAAGCGTCACTCTCGGGGTCGTTCCTCCAGGAGACGCTATCGAAGTCGTCGTGTTCATCCATGGCGGGGAGGGGTGGTTGGTCTCAGCCGTGGTCTCCCGGCGGAACGGTACCTCGTTGGTAAAGCACAGTCGTGGAAGCTGAGAACTACCCGAAGATCAAACGAATCTGGTGCGACAAATATGAGCCCTGAAAAACAGTGAGAATAGCTGGAATGGGGTGGCTGAGGCGGGAGGAAGCTGGGCAGCTGAGAGAAGCTGGGCCAGTAGGATTCAGATGATCGTCCACTTCCCAAAGGCGGAGTTACCCCAAAAAGGCGGCCACGTCGTCATCGCTTTCTCCGGTGGGCGGAGGCCGCTTTCTTATTGATCTTAGATTTGACGCACTGGCTTAGCGTCGCTCTCGATGAGTAGACATTTCTTATCGAATTTCGTGAAAATTCTCAGATGGAATATGGTTTTACATCTTTGATCGTAAGAAAAAATTGGTAGATTTACAAAAACTCTTGGCAGCCTGGCCCTTCTATGCGTCAACGCAAATCCTGTCTCAAATGGACATATTCACCAACATAGTGAGTAGCGCGTACGATGATGACCGCACCCAATGCAAGTTCTATAAAAGCACAAACACACGCAAATCTCTTATACCATGGATCACCTCTTTTCAGACAACAAGCGGTCGTTAGGGGAGTCGTCCTCGCCGTCCTTCTCCGGGATGTTGCCCAGTCGATCCCGATATGGCCCCTCGTCGTCACTGAAGATCTCCTCGTCGCTTTCCCCCGCAAAGGCATTGTATAATTCACCGCCACGACGTTGAGTCCGACCACCTGCACCAGTCATGGGGTGCATCTCGTCTTCATCCTCGATCATCTCGAACTCGTAGTCATCGTTGGGGTTGGTGCGGCGGCGCTTCAGTCGCTGTATCTGGAAGTAGACACCCAAACCGATGAAGAAGACGATGATCATCGCCAAAGATGCATAGATCCAGACTTGAGTGCGCTTCGAAGCGCCGAAAGAGGGAAGGTAGCTAGACAAGTGGTCCGCACCAGAGGTTGAGCTAGGAGAAGCAGAGGTGGTGGGCGATGTGGTCATTGTGGCTTCCAATTCTTCAGAGGGAAGTCCGGTCGCGGACGAGTCGCCGGGCTTCTGGTTGACCGGCCGGTCATGGTGGTCGTCCGGTTTAGTAGGAGTAGGGGTCTTGGTGGGCCCAACGTCGACGGTAGTTGTGGCTACATGCGCTTCCTCGTACGGGTGATCATCATCGTTCTCCTCGGGAAGTGGGTGAAGTGGCTGCTTGGTTCCATCGATGGATTCACCCCATAGGTTGAGTCTCCAATCAATAAAGTCGCCGGTAAATTCGTTGACTTTGGTGTCTTTGACAATCACAGTCCATTCTCCCACGGGCGATTCACCCCTAGTTTGAAGTCAGCTACAATAGGTTCCGGAAAGAAGCATTTGGAAAATAACAACGATTTAAGACACATACCAGTGAGCAACGGACATAAACGTCCAATCAACATAGCCAGATTTTTCGTCATCGCTTTCGCGGGCGACACTCAAATGGCTGACGATACCCTTCGGACTGCGCAACTCCACACTAAGATCACCACGGCGAGTGTGATTGATATTCATCGTGACCGTGACATGCTCAAGCTTGGCAAAGTTTGCACCCTTCATATGCTCATCCTTCACCACATACCGGCTAAGAAGGCCTTGTGCGCCCTGAGGGATATTGTTGTGCACTCGCAGCCAGGGAGAATTGAACCACGCCTGGGGCTTCACCAAATCCCAAGACTGGGCCTTGTGAACCAAAGCATAAGTATCAACCTTGCCGTAACCCCAGTCGTGGCTGAACTTCTTGCCAGAAGGAAGATCCACCCAGCTTCCATCGTTCTCGTTTACCGGCACTGCCGTTTCAATCATCAAATACTGAATATCACGCCAGGTGAGTTCCGGCCGGGTGCTGAGCGCAAGGGCGATCGAACCAGCGGCGAGCGGGCCAGCCGCCGAAGTACCACCGTGCTGTGAATAGCACTTGTCCGTACCCACATCAGTCGTGTGAATGGCATCCCCGGACCCGCTACTGTATGCAACAACCAACTGTGCAGAGCAGGACTCGGAGTAGGTTGGGTGGTTCCCCTGTCGGTCAATAGCACCGACGGTGACGCTGTAGATACTGTTGGTGTATCCGTCGAAGTTACAGTTATCACCAAAGAGGGCACCGTTACCGGCGGCAAAAACGAAGATCGAGCCCTTTCCACCTCGTCCCTGCTGAACGCCGTTGACCATCGCCCGCTTGATCAACAGACCCGGCGCATCCATGGTCGCACCATCGTCGGGAGGACCCCATGAGCAGGAGTAAATATCGTTATCTTGAAACGCAAAGTTGATGGCAGCTGCTTCGTCGACGTCGTCAATCGCCTTTGACAAAATCCGAATACCCGACACTTTGCTGTCATAAGCAACACCCACACCACACACATCATTTTTGGCGGCTGCGATTTCGCCCGAGCACCGCGTACCATGCTTGTCGTCGTACAGCAGTGGGCGCGGCTCGGGTCCATGCTCGTTGAAATCCCAAGAGCCCTCGGCAAAGTAATTTGGTTTCAAGTCGTTGCTGTACATATCCAATCCATCGTCAACGACAGCCGTCGCCACTCCATGACCAGTTATCCCCTCCAGCCAGACGCCCGTGACATTGAGATCGTGACCCGGTTGCAAGACGTTATAAAGATGCCATTGGTCTTTGAAAATCGGATCGGTGATTCCCAGAGTTGACATCAGTGTGTTCAATTCTTTCATGGCCTTTACGTCTGCCCTTGGAAGAGCCCTTTCACCCAACTCCTTGGATGAAACGGGCGGCGCCCGCTTCTGTAGCCTTTGTCTAGGCGGCTCCAGCTTTTGTGACCAAAGGATTCCCTCTAGCGGATCGCCACTCCGAGTTGCGACATCATGCCCCGACCGGCGACGAAGCTTTCGTTTAGTTTTCAAGGTATCTAATACGTCATTCATGTCAGAGCTCAGCTCCCGCGGCAGCGAGAAGGTGTGATGGCCCGCGAGCTCTCCGATCTGACCCTCGTGTCGAGCACCTAGCATTCGTGCAACGTCGGCCGGAGGGGTGGCATCGTTGAGATGAAGGGCGAAGTAATCGCGAGATTCTTGGGATCGAGGATGGAGGGATGCGGAGGCTGCGCCTGCTAGACTGAGGGCGACAGCAATGCCGCCCGCGACACGCATGATGAATGAGGTGGTCGGTCGGCGGTTCGAGGCAAGATAGCGCGCTTGCTCTCAGGATGTAAAACGGACAATATATGGGGCTGCTGCCATGAAAGGTGCCAGACCTTGAATCTGAAGCAACAAAGAAATGAACTGCGGAAAGAGGTTGAAATTCAGGGACGAGGGAATTACTTGGGGGGGGGGAAAGGTGGCGAGGGAGTTCGTAGAATAGGAGGATCGTCGGGAGAAATAACACGGGATCTGATTGAGTACCGAATCCAGCAACCCACTCGGATATGTGGATTCTGGGCGGAGAGAGAGGGTCTGAGCAGTCTTTGAATGTGAGGCGAGGCAGTCTTCGCTTTTTGGCACCTTTTGATAGTTTTTCCTTTCATGAAAGACCACGGTTGCTTCTGCTAGTTTAAACGCGTCCGCGTTGGTTCAACGGCTGAGGCTTACGTACTGAAGACGGGGCCATTCCCGACTCTTGCACTTGATAGGACTAGGCTCCACCGTATTTACTACGACAATGAAAGAGATTGCAAAGGAGATGCAGATAATCTGTCTGCATTGTCTCCTGTTTCAACTAACTGGTTATCGGAATGACACAATCTGGACCAGAAACGACGTTGGGTGATATCTGTCAGCAGTACCTAACTAACTAACTAGTCCATCTCGTCGTCTCATAGTCCCTCAGATTCCTTGCATATGGTAGAGACGGGTCGGCTAGCAAGGATCAGATTGAATATTTAAAATACGTTTATCTTCACATATTGAACATATTCAGAGAAGATCCTGTATGTAAATATTTCCATTGGAATTTCTAGTCGTATTTATATGTTTCCAAGGAACTGGCCACGGAACCATCCTCGTGAATACTGCCCATATGTGCTTCTGGTGTAGCGAATACAGACAGCAATATACCGCTCCTGAATCCTAGTGGCTATCCAATCATGACAATGAGTACTGCCTTTTATTATTTTCAGTATCTAGAACAGAATGACTGGCCTCACGTAGCGAGCCGGTTACACAGTTAACCATAAATGAACCATGGGGTTGAACCCCACTTTATACTCCGTAGAGGTATTAAACACTGAACCCCCAAGAAAAATAATAAATCTTGGAAAATCAGTCCCAAATCAAGGAAAAATCGAATCAATTCTAATTGAGTACCTCTCACCCACGAGGGGAAACTTATTGGCTAATAAAGCCCTGCCCCCGCGCGAAGGCTGGGGGGGGGGGGGGAAAGACGAAATACCAGCCACCGGGATAATGGCGAAGTATAGACCAGGGCGCGCAAGCTTATCCTGCCCTGCTGCCTCCACCGAAATTTCTTCTCTTCCATTCCCATTCCTACCTCCTCTCGCCGTCCGATCACAATTTTCTGATCATTTTTCATTCCTGAGCACTTGCCGTCAAATCCCCGCAGGAACCTTCGTGCCACGCTCTACCCCTGTACCGCTCACCCCGCCAAAACAAGTACCTGACGGCCGGGGGCAACCTGATCCATTTCGGGCGAGGATGTGGTGAGCCCGAGTCAGGCATCAGAGATAGCTGGACTGTGAATACGTGAGGAATAACAAAATCTGGTACGTCTGTATTGAGTTTAGTCTCAAAAAACTCCCAATGAGCAACCATTGACTAGAATCCCTTCAGCGTGGGGCCGTACGACTGCATACTCCAATTCAGTTTCACAAGTAACAACACCCATTACCTGCGCTACTCATCCACGCATATCATCGCAAAACGGCCAAAAATGGCGACGGCAGCAATGCGCGCATCGCCTGATCTGGCGAACGGTAAGCACAATCCACAGATGGCCAAAGGAGTTCGCAGAGCCTCGGAGAGCCACAGGCATAGCACAACTGTCCCAAGTGTGGCCAGTTACGAAGAACCAGAATATGCATCTTCGGCCGCAGAGGGCGCCCATCCACAGTCCGCACCCAAGGTCTCTTCAGGGCCGAGAGCATCAGGGCCACCGAGTCGGTCCTTTTCAGCCAGAGCAGCGGCCAATCTGAATTATACCACTCGCAAGCCTGCACCAGTGGTTCCTCCAGGGCTGAACGAAGAATCTACTACTCCTCGCGGCCTTCCACCTGTAGAGTATATCCATGGCCCTAATGCAGTCATACCAGAGAGCGAAGAGGCGCGAGTTGCCCTCGAGGCTCCTGCTGCGCCCAGTGTGCCCTCTCCGCCCAGTCGATCGAACACCATGCGCTCGACAAGTGGAACGAGTACCAAACGAGACTGGGCTTCGGACCGATCGCCATTACAGAAACTCGAAGTAACCCTGAATGGAATCAGCAAGGAGGAGAAACGAGCGCGAGTACAAGAAGCTGAAATGCGATTGCGTGAACGCCTTGCTCGACAGAAGATCGAAAAGGAGCAGGCCGAAGCTGCTGCTGCTGCTGCTGCTGCTGCTGCCAGCACTACCAACGCTCCTCGACCCAATTCCAAGCAGAGCGCACACTCGGCAGATCGCGGAACTCCTGCCTCAACTAGGGTAGCTAAGCAGGGAGCTATCGTGGATGAAACTGCTCGGCCTGCACCGCCAATGGCCCGAACACCTGGAGGCACTGCTGTGCGTCACAGCAGAGCCGTCTCAATGAATAACCAATTTCCCGCCACTCGGCGGCCCGAAGATGCGCAGTACATCGGTGCTGAAAACGTCAAATCTCAACCAGCAAAGATGGGCAGTGTTCCTCGAAGATCGGTCACAGTGCGCGAATACGGTGCAAAGGAAGGACCGAACGAGAAACTTATGCACACCCGCTCGGTGTCTCAGCAAGGACCTCCTAAGATAACGCAACCTGTTGCTGCTATATCCAGTGCGGAAAGACTAGAAACCCCTCCTGCAGCAAAGTCACTATCCGGTGCATCCCTGCCGCGGTCAAAACCACGCCAAACCGTATCGTTCGATGTACCACCACCAACTCCTCCCCCCATCTTTGAGTGGAAGAACGCTCCCGTTGCTCGACTTGGAGCCGCTGACTTTGACTTCCAACACCTGGATATTGACCGAAGCAAGGCGTGGTGGGAAGGTGGTGCCTCGGCCGATCGTAGGAAGAGCAGGGCCCTTCCCAAGAACTACCAAACTGCGGCCCAGAAAGTGACAGGTAAGAATTACCAGGACTCGGAATTGAATCGGAAGTATCGGAATCTGACTCTTTTATAGGAGTCACTGAGCACAAGAACTTCCAGCCCAAGTTGTTCTTAAGATGCGGCCCCCTCCTTCGATACACTGGCATCAGGAAAGAAAATATCGATGGAGCCCATGGTTATGTTGAAAAGGAGTTTTGGAGGGGCTCTATCATGATTGTTACGAAAGATTCCCGCTCTTCTTACGAGGTCCCGCCTACATTGAGACTGTTCTCTCAACCGATGGATCTCTTACCCCCTCCACCTGCCGAGGTCAGTGGTGAGAACGGAGCCCTGGCACCTGAGTATGTTGATCCCACTGCAGGCCTTATGAAAGTTGGCCGTGACGGTCGTCCACTGTATGTCAAACCAGTGGACCACCTCGAAGAAGAGGTCGATCTGTCGGCCGTGGAAAATGATGATGGGATCTATGAACTATCTCCCAGCATGGTTGACTATAGCCCCGAGGCCTCAAAACAGCCGATCCCTTCGAACAGGATTCACCCCATAGATGGTGAGACTGCGGGGCTGCACCGAGATATTCCCGGTGTGCGTTTGTACGCCGATGCTGCCAGAGATGTGACGTTCTGGAGGTTCAGCCTTGAAATCGAACTCAGCGCAACGCAGCAGCGAATTGCATACCGCATTAACCAAGGACCCGCCTTGGGCTTCTGGGTCCCAGCTATGGGCAAACCTATGAACATCATGTTTCACAGCGGTAATGGATTCGGTCCCAATGTCGACCCCAACCCCATGTGCGGACCCGATCCACTCTGGCGAGATATTCTCAATGAACACCAGACACAACCTTTCCATGTGATGATTGGAGGAGGTGATCAAATATTCAACGACGGTGTTATCACAGACCTGGGTTTGTTCCAAGAATGGATCAAGATCAAGAATGCCGCTGTTCGATACGGTGCACCACTTTCTCCTGAGTTCCGTGCGGAACTGGAGAAGTTCTTCCTTGAACGCTACGCTTCGTGGTTCTCACAGGGACTCTTCTCTTTGGCTAATTCTCAGATTCCAATGGTGAACATCTGGAATGATCACGAGATATTTGAGGGATTCGGCTCTTACCATGACGGATTCATGCGAAGTGCTGTTATCTCCGGCCTGGGCAGGATCGCATTTAAGTATTACCTCCTGTTCCAGCACCACAGCGTTCCGGATGAAACAGAAATGGACGAGCCTAGCTGGCTTCTAGGGGCCAGACCTGGCCCGTACATTGAGCAGAGGAGTCGTAATATGTTCATGTCACTAGGCAGTGATGTGGTCTTCTTGGGTCTGGACTGCCGAACTGAACGACAGGTAAGAGTTCCGGGTGCTTTTGATACCCAACTATCGACATGCTAATTCGTCCGTACAGAGCAACGAGGTTATCAGCTCAGAAACATCCGAATTGATCTGGGATAGATGCCATCGTGAAATCGTCAAAGGAAAAACGAAGCATTTGATCGTCCTTTCTAGCATACCCATTGCATACCCGCGTGTGGTACGTAGCCCGCTCGACCCATCTCCCCATTCGAAGCTGACCCGGGCACCCCAAAAGGCCATGCTCAAGAACTATATGAACAGCCGCAAGTCGCTCGGCAAAGCCGGTATGATTGGTGGTCTCGTTAACCGATCCGGTGGTAACGTCGAGGTGTATGATGACCACTGGGCCGGAAGGCATCTCAAATCCGAACGTACCTGGCTGGTCGAAGACTTGCAAGATCTTGCGGCAGAGAAATCCGTCCGAGTTACGATTCTCAGGTAAGCAGCTCAATCCGTCGTGTGATAGTCAAACATTGACATACTGACTGTGGCTTCAGCGGCGATGTTAATCTGGCTGCAATTGGCCAATTCTACTCTAATCCCAAATTGGACATTGCCAAAGATCGAGATTACCGATACATGCCGAATGTGATTTCCTCTGCCATTGCCAACGTTCCCGAGACCGAGATAATTTCGGACATGCTCAACAAGCGCAACACAGTCCACCACATGGACTCGAACACCGACGAAGATGTCATTCCCATCTTCACACAGGATGTCGACGGCAAGCCCCGGAATAACAAGCGTCTCCTGCCCCGGCGCAACTGGTGCTCTATCAGGGAATACCGTCCGGGCTCTACACCCCTTACTACGCCCGAGTCTAAAATGACTCCAACCCCCGAACCCCGACCCGGAAAGTTGCAACGCACTTTGTCGCTCGGACGTGGAGACAAAGGTCCCGGAAGTAAACCTGGTGGCCTTTTGCGGCGCCTGTCTACACGAGGCGGACCACCCACCCGAACCATGAGTATCGGACGCGAAGGAGGAGCTCGACGAGCCAGCGCCGACGGACCCTTGTCTCGACCCAACGAAAGCGCAGACAGCTACTTCCCTCAGGACTCGCAAGATCCTCCTCGGCCGGGCCAATTCCATCGTCGGCCAACCAACCTCAGTCTGAAGGCTGCCAAAAGGGCAGCCAAAAAACAAGGCGACGACGGTGCCGGGGCTCTCGTCGACCTTGAAGGCGGCCTGGCCATTACCCTGAACCTGGAGATCAGCCCGCACGACCCCGCCGGTATTACCGTGCCCTACAAGCTCCTGGTACCGGTCCTCCGCTATGAAGGCACCGAGTACGACCCCGAACCTACCCCCGTGATCAAGGGCTGGCGCAAATGGTTGCGCATGCCGCGGCGTAAGAAGAATGAGGAAGATCCTGACGGCGCCGACTACGAAGACGAGGAGGGCGATGATTACGAAGATAATGATACTATCCATAATACCCGCGCAAATGCTGCTGCTACACACCCGCACTATGATGGATACCCTGGGAGTGATGAGGAGGAGGAGGGTGGAACCCCACCGCACCGAGTGCATCCCGTCGCTATGGCTGATGAGTCTCTCGAGGATGATGATGAAGAGGAGGATTATGAGGATGAAGAGCCTAGTCGGCCGCGGAAGAAGTGGTTTGGTGTGCTTTGATTTGATTTTGATTTTTGATGTATATTATGACGACTTATGCTGGTGTCATTTGGGATGTGTTCCTGGCTTTAATGATTATTTGATCTGGACGAGTTCGATGTGGATCATTTCTACCTATTCTCCTTTCTGAGGTAATCCTAATTCATGATTGACGTTTGTCAGACGGATGATGATCAATAGGGCCTAACTAGTACACCATCTGTGCTAGACTAGTTCGGCTCAAATAGTCCCGAGCCCTAGGAGGCTACGACTCCGGTTGACCGCCTTTCGGGAAACGTGAAATGGCGTGATCTGGCCGAGCCAATTCCGACGATAAGGGCGATAACAGAGTCTGCTTAGGTAAGGCCTGCTTAGGCGATAGGCCAGAATACGGGAAGTTATGCTTTGTACAAGTCTCATGGCTAGGCCTTGTTTGGCGTCATATCTGTACAAGTGTATCAAGCCCACTTATCAATCAGGTCAGTGATAGCTTAGCTTTAGTAAATCGGGAACCTCGGAGAACCGGGAATAGAGTAAATGAGTGATCTGATACCCCTGGGGATCATCGATGCTCTTCTCGCCACCAGGTCGAGACCGTGTCACGTGCCAGCATGCTTAGAAAGCGAGGGGCCTCGACGCGGGCAAATGATTAATTTGGTGGATTTTGCAGAAAGACGCGGAAATGTTCTGATCGCTATCTCATCATCAAGACCCCACTAGGCCTACCCCCCCTCTTCCAGAGCCGATTAAAAAACCCCGAATCCTACCTTTTTGAATCCCCTCTTCCCTTCCCGACCTTCAAGCTGTTTTCCTCCACGCTCCGCCGTTTTCCTTCCGCCCTCCGGTCTCTCGGGTTCACTGCCGCCGCGGCCTCAACTACCCTCCACCAACAATCTCCCCCTCCGGCTTCAGTCCTTAAACAGCCGTTATCGACGCCCGCGCGCGTCAATTCTCTTAATACCGCCAGAATGGTGCACTCCAAAGTTGTCAGTAAGTGTTTATGATGGTAATTGACCGGGCTTGGACCAAGTATATCGTTGCTAACCGGGGACCTTTTTTTTCTTTCACAGTTATCGGTTCGGGCCCTGGCGCCCACACTGCCGCTATCTATCTCTCGCGTGCTGAACTTGAGCCCGTTCTGTACGAGGGTATGCTCGCCAACGGTACTGCCGCCGGTGGCCAGCTGACCACCACTACCGATGTCGAGAACTTCCCCGGCTTCCCCGACGGTGTCGGCGGTGCCGAGTTGATGGACAAGATGCGCGCTCAGTCGGAGCGCTTCGGCACGAAGATCATCACCGAGACCATCTCCAAGCTGGACCTGTCCCAGCGCCCCTTCAAGATGTGGACTGAGTGGAACGACGGCCCTGACAGCGAGCCCGCTCACACCGCGGATGCCGTTATCATCGCTACCGGTGCCAATGCCCGCCGTCTGGACCTGCCCGGCGAGGAGAAGTTCTGGCAGAATGGTATCAGTGCCTGCGCTGTCTGCGACGGTGCTGTGCCCATCTTCCGCAACAAGCCCCTGTACGTCATTGGTGGCGGTGACTCTGCCGCCGAGGAGGCCATGTTCCTGGCCAAGTACGGCAGCCACGTCACCGTGCTGGTCCGCCGTGACAAGCTGCGTGCCTCCAAGGTGATGGCTGACCGCCTGCTCAACCACCCCAAGTGCACTGTCCGCTTCAACACCGTTGCCACCGAGGTTATCGGTGAGAGCAAGCCTAACGGCCTTATGACCCACCTCCGTGTCAAGAGCACCACCAGCGACCAGGAGGAGATCGTCGAGGCTAACGGTCTCTTCTATGCTGTTGGCCACGACCCCGCCAACGCCTTGGTCAAGGGCCAGCTTAAGCTTGATGAGGATGGCTACATCGTCACCCAGCCTGGTACCAGCTTCACCAGCGTCGAGGGTGTCTTTGCCTGCGGTGACGTTCAGGACAAGCGCTACCGCCAGGCTATCACCAGTGCCGGTAAGTCGACACGTTTTCTCCTATATCTCAACGAAAAATCCAACTAATAATACATATAGGCTCCGGCTGTGTCGCCGCCCTCGAGGCCGAGAAGTTCCTCGCCGAGTCCGAGCCCTCCACCCAGGAGGTTAACGGAGTCAAGGCCGCCCCCGTCCTCTAAATATTATAACACATCCACCCGCCAAATCTCCATACACGCCTCCACCATTCATCCTTACACCGCTTCTTTCCTCTCATGATCTTGATCATTTACGGCGCATAGCGTTTAGAATGGCTTGCGTGCATGCGCATTTCTAGACTTGTCTGTGTTCTGCGATCTGAAATGTTCTCTCAATTCCCCAATGCATAAATCGTTCTTTCCTCTTTACTCTCATGGTCGACGGGTTTCTTCTATGGTTCTTTTTTGATTTTGCTTTTTTTTTTTGGTCTGGGATTCTCGGTCTATCGTGCTTCTGGTCGGTAGATTGGGTTCGGGCTTGATTGCTTGGGATTGATCTTTACCGATAGAAATAGAAATAGACGATTCCCCCTTACACTTGGAATAATGTGTAACGAAATGCTGTATTGGACTGTACATCGTTGCCCTTTCCTGTAAGGTTGCGACATTGTGCATGGATTTCTCATCTGAGGACTACAAAGGCACCACCTACCGAGCTCCAAGGAACAGAAAGCGTGTATCAATTTGCATGTAGTAAAATTTAACATCTCCGTAGAGAAAAACATTCAAAGGGGGAATATTAACTACATACTGAAGCTCGTGTGTACACCGTAAATAATGCCCGTTGTATAATTCCCCTATCACTCACGCTATGAAAAGATTCATCAACTTTCCCCAGCGGTTCAATGAGTCTTCTCTTCTCTCTACCTGCCCAGAGATTACCCGTGTATGAAATCCCACGTTCTAAGTATCCCGCCATGGCAACCAGTTGCAAGTAACTGGCCATCAGGAGAAAACGCCAGCGCCTCCGCCTTCCTCCCATGGGCAGTTTCCCATGGGCAGTTGGTACGACAAGCAACTGTGTCCCGTCCAGAGCATTCCAAACGATTATCCGAGATCCCTTGTGTTCCCCGTTGTAAACGGTTGCTGCGATGAACCGATCGTTTGGCGAAATAGACATGCATAGAATCCTGTCGCGCGCAGTGTACTTGAAAGTTCGGAATACTTCCCCGTTGTCACTCAATCGAAAGTATAATTCGCGAGTTCTAGAAGGCCGATAGAAAAAGTATGATCCTTCGAGAGAGAAGTGGACTTATCTCGTGGTAAGCTCCGTGCGGAAATGGATTCGAGAAAGGAGTACTCCTGTGATAGGGTCCCAGGTTTGTATACCCTGAGCCTCGACTAACAATAGCTTTCCGCCTGGCAAGAATTTGAGTCCGAGTAGCTTCTTGAGAGACATCTCAAACAAGGTCATTCCAGGATCATTGATGGGCCAGACAAAGACACTGCCAGTAGAGTCGCCACTTGCAAGAAGGGTGCTGTCGGGGGAAAAGCACAAATGTTTGGTAATCTGCAGATACTTGGCACCGAATTCCGTGAGCTGGGCTTCTACTTTAAGTGCAGAGAGATCCCACATGTAGATAGAAGCGATTGAGGAGTAAAAGATGTTGTGAAAGCCGGCGGCGATATACTTGCCGTCCGGTGAAAAGGCAAGTTTATGGGTGGATCTGCCCCGCACTAGAATCTTCGTCTTTTTTTTGATGAGAGAATCGGTATTCCAAAGGCTGATCTCGTTGCCAGATCCGACTACGAGGGTTTTGCCGTCGGGAGAGAATGCGATATGGGATACCCAGCTCTTAAAGCCGTCCTGTATCTTGTCGCGCTGGCGAAGTTCACCGCGCCAGGAGCTGCTTGTGGCAGAACGCGAGTGACGTACTTGCCTATTTCTGATACTTGAATGAGCTTCAGAGCCGTTCCTCGTAGTATCACTCAGATCGACATCATTTGACTCGGTAGCACGGAAGCCGGTAGCATTGATGCCGGCAGCATCAAAGTCGGCAGCATTCGCCTCATTATCATGCACCAACAACGTTTTCATAGCAGAAACAACCTCTGAGGTGGGTTCCCTTCCTCCAGATATAGATGGCCTTGTTATCCGTGTGTTCATTGAGGCGAACTCTTCGCTCATCGAGGTAAAGACCCCTGGGTAGTGCTCTAGTCCAGTGTGATAAGTGCGGGAAGGCTTTGAATCCTGTAATTCCGATGGCTTCCTTTCAATCCAATCCCGCGAGATAGCTTCTAGAGCAGTCGGTCGACTTCATGGTAGAGGATGGAGAAGCGAGCGAATGAAGTCAATACCTAGCTGGGTAGTACCCGAATTCTTGAGTGCGTCGACCGGAAAATTGTCAAGACTCGATACGTAGGAGACAAGTAACGCTATATTTGAAAAGGCCGTCCGCTTGGTAAGTAGTTGGAATGTGGTTTCCCCGAGAGCCCAAATATCAGGTGCATACGGACTGCCTCGTGCTGTCAGCTTCCATAACTCAGGAGCTATGTACCCCAGAGTACCGTGTAGAGTCGAGCCCCCAGATGCTTCCTCGATCCGTTTGCTGATTCCAAAGTCGGCCAGCTTGACCCACCATTGACTAGGTGGATGCGATTGAATCAAGATATTCTGTAGCCATATAATTAACATTAATCGTCTGCGGGACTGGGAGAGTATACTCGCCTGGGGCTCGAGGTCACGATGAGCAAATTTATTTTGGTGCATCATGTCTAGACCTTCGAGGATCTGGAATGTAATCTCTTTTGTCTCGTTCTCTGAGAGAGGCGTTCTTGAATGATCTAGGTATTTCAAGAGGTCGCCTTTTTCGAGATACTCCATGGCAATGCAAATGTTGCCTGCGTTCTCATACCAGCCAAAGGATTTGACGAATCAGCGCGCATAATGACTTCATTAGTCTAGGTACCATGTATCGTTGCTCGGACCTAGGAGAATTACATTCGCTCTTGAGAATTTAGCAATAACTTCCAACTCGCGGGTATAGTCAACCGGGCCAGACCGACTATCGAGATGACTCTGTTTCACGGCTCGAACACGATTCCCATTTCGCTCGCCTTTGGTACAATTCTCCAGCCAAACACTTCCATAAGCTCCATTTCCAATCTTTTTGTGCCGCATCCAGTGTTCCGTTCTGGCAATGAGGCGGTTTCCTGAGGTCGTGTCTGACTCTTGATACGTATGAATCGTTTCTTCCCCGAGAAAATGTGTTGTAAGCTTGGACTCTCGAACTAGATCAGGTAGCGTCGCCATTTTGTGTCTCAGTCCACTCCGCAGTATAATTTACTGGGTGTGAAACTAGCTTTATTGATTTGAAAAATGTTGGTCTTGGTCTCTGAGCTTGCGGCTGGGCATCACCCCGCTTGGCCCCAATCTCGCAAATATCCCTGTTCGTCACCTGATTCGCCCTTGTCTGGTAAGCCTCACGAGGCTAACGTAGCCTAGAACAGCCCAAGCTGATCAGGAATATCAGACATGGTCAAACGACAATCTCAAAGTACTTATAAATAGTGGCGTATTTACGGTGTTGAAGGGGCAATGTATTATAGGTACATCGCTCAATATACATCCTAGAGAATGGCGGCAACGCTCCGACATGGCTTGGGCACGAGTTCGGAATCTAAAATAATGCTAAGAGAGGAATCCGTTTCATTTAGCCCATTGATGACCTTAGGACAGCGGCTCGAGCTCGATGTCGCTTCCCAGAATAGAGAGTGACATTTCAGTCAATTTCTCGTTACTTCATTTGCATAACTCAGTCTGTAGAGCTCTAATTGCGAAATAAGAATCTTTAGCCTACGTGGTTTATATCATTCTTACACCACACAAGACACATCTTGTATAGTTACTGGTTAAACCCTAAGATAAGATATGTTGCATGGTGCTACGGCCATATATTGTCCAAAATTCTAAATTCAATAGCAAAGAGATTCTAAATAAAATAGCTACTAGATAGGGGACTACGATCTCCTTCTGCTTTGCGTCGTGTTTTTTTTGGTGTTTACTTAACCCTAAAACTGAGAATAGAAGAACACTATCGTGACAGGATATTGATTGATCAGATGTCAAGCTGGATGATATACGCCCTTGAAATAATCCTTACTCCACAACCTCGCTGGACTTTCTGATAGGTGCCGGCGCGTTAGGCTTGGTCCGGATAAACGGATTGGCGGGATGAGGAGATCCACTCATGCGATGTACGGGAGAACTAATTTTGTGCAAACTGAGGTTTGCCTGCCGACTGAGTTCTTCCTGAATGAGATCTTGCTGAATGAGTTCTCGCTGTATGAGCTCTTGCTGAATAAGTTCTTGCAGAGGAAGTTCTTGCCGACTGAGATCGATAGTAGATGAGTTATAGACCGAAGGTGCATGGGAGCCTGCGGGAGTATCAGGATCATGTGTCGACGATATCATGTCCTTGTTGAGTCGACGTGACATCGACTGACACATCGTAGACCAGTCGAAGCCATGTATAGGGAGAGCAAATGAAATCGCGACCACGACAAGGAGGGCGATTAATGCCCCGAGGGGATACCAGGCCGCGGACAAGGAGAATTGTGTCATGCCAAATAAACTCTGGAGTTCCAATTAACCCTATTATCGACACGGGATAGGGTTGAACTTACGGCGACCCACGACAAAGGAAGAAATGCAAAGGCAAGAATATTCAATCGAGCTACTGCCTGGCCTTGAGCCATGGTCTCGATACTGAATACCTATTTGGGAGATTCATTAGTTGAAAATGTTCTACCTCTTGAGGAATTGGAGGGTAGGCTACCAAGCTCATAATATTTTCAAGCTGCCGTGTCAACACCTGAGATGTTTCCTCATGGTAGTTGATATCTTCGAGATGCTCTTGCAATCTGTCTATGACGTCTTGTGACGAAGTACACATGGGCAGACGAAGAAAGCGTGAAAGCGCAGCCGAGTGAATGCGAAGCTGCTCACGCACGGACAGTAAAATCGCGTTTTTGTCATGAAGTTGTCGTGCTAGATCGAGCAGCCGAGGCTTTTGAGAGTCTCTGATGTTCAGCAACCGGACCGGACGAGAAAGTTCATGAACGTAACGGTGATAAACACCCAGGTGTTGTTTTGTGATGTTCCAGACTTCCCACCAGCCGCCCAAAGCGTGTAGGATATCTGGAAATATCCAGGTGGGGCTTTTCTGTAATCGCATCCACCGTTTTTGATAGGCAGCACCATAATATGAGATAAGCGCACGGGAGACGTGGGAGTTGGTACAAATAAGCACAATGTTCGTTCTAGAACTACCTTGTTGGGAGGTCTTGATGAAAGAAGATGGGTAAAGCCAAATAGCCACTGGCAAGAAACTAATGCGGTTGTCGGTCTCTGTCTCGGAAGTGTACGAAGATGGCAAGACAAAGGGGAAATTTATAAGAGATCGGATGCCTACGATTGTCGGCATCATCTTTCATGCGCTAAAGGTATATGTATGGAATGCTTACCCGTGGATTCATCGTGGGTGCTTGGAATGACCGATATGTTTTGGCCATTGGCTGTGTTCAAAACAACATTTTCAAGAAGCTCCCGTGGAAATTCAGAGAAACAGCTCTCTAGGGTTGTGATAATTGCAGGGGTATATTTCTTGATTTGAATGATGCTGCAGAGATGTTGATCATACGGCCGTTTAGACGGAGACATTGTCGCTCACCAACCTCACGAGTGACTCTCCAAGAGCTTCAGCTTCGCCCATACGAGCAGCTAATTGAGAGCTCACGTCTGGAGGACGGACATCCTGGATTCTATGTGACGAGAAGAGACTAGGCTGCTCCTTGGATGAGGAGTTGAATGTTGAAGATGAATAGCTATTCCAGATGGTGAGATCGAAGTCGAAGTCTGAAGCCATTATTCAAGGTTTGTTTGAGTTGACTTGAGATGGCTGCCTGGGCCTAGGATGGGAGGCTGTCAAAACTTGTCAAGTCCTTCAACCAGCACAGCCCCTGATGTATCTGACGGATCTTGTTCGCTGCGCGACAAAAAAGGTCAGCTCGCACAACAAACTAGGCCGAATTCGCTTGGTTTCCTCTCTATCTATAGGAACTTGAATCTAGCGACCAGAGAAGAAAAAATCTAGGGTGGCACTAACGACACGACAGAAATGTTTGTGGCACGACAAGGCTAGTTCTAACAAGGAAAGCCCCCCTCATTCTACGTCCCTTCCTACCATCACCCGTTACTAAGGTCTTTTCTGAGGTCTTTTCTAAGATCTTTAATAGCTATCTACTTCACGCTTTGTCTGTTTCTTGTTGGTAGATATTGTAAATGGTCCCCTAGATAGCTGGAGAACACCGATTTGACAGTAGCAGCCGGTGAAGTGAATCGGTAGGCTTTAAGCTTATAACCTAATGGACGGTTTGTACCATCTTGAAAGCTTAGTTACTCTTGGCGCCTTGACGAACACTTGAACAGCTTCAAGACCAGTGGTGAAAGGAAAAGGTGTTCTTGGACAACAGCTCCCTCTCGGCAGAGAACATGACGTTCATTACTCCGGGCCAGATTGCTCCATTTAACCTCGATCTCGCGTCTACAAACTCTCAATCTAGCCTAGATCGCCCTCGGGCCCAGATACGATCCACCATCGCAGCAAAGTCAAAAGTGTGGATCGGCCATCGGTCTAAAACGGGTGGCCTGAATCGACCTAAGAGGCCAAGACCGTAAAGAGCCCCTCGTATTCGCCCTTTGCAACCGGATTTATTCTTCCTCTGACCCTCCCTCCCCGCAGTGTATCATCGGGGCACTTCTCTAGATGCGATCATCTCCGAAGAGTACATAGTATACTAAACCCAGTCGTACGATGGTGGGTGTCCCTCGAAGTACGGGCTGCCATACATGTATACGGCGGCGAGTCAAGGTACGCGCATTCCCAACCCGATTCTAATGCCACGCACAGCTTCCCAGTCGAGCGGGACTCTAATCGCGTCCATTCACTCCCAGTGCGACGAGACACACCCCGAATGCCTCCGTTGTCAAAGACGGGGGCTGTCATGCCCCGGTTACGTCAAGGACCGCAAGTTCTGCGCCTATTCCAAAACAGCCTCTATCGACCAGGATGAAAAAGAAACGAAATCTACCACTACTATTCGTTCTGCGCAATCCACACCGAAAGACCTTGTTGCCACTGGCGCTTCGTCAATGGACCAGGTCCTCGCGCCCACTCTAGCCGCTAAGAATATAGATCTACAATGTCGCGAAGGCTTCTGCACCTTCCTTGACACAAAGTACCGCTACCAGTACTACGGCCACAGCTGTCGTCTCGGCGTGACATGGTTCGACATGGTTCGCAGCAACCAGTATTCCGCCGCCGAGGCGTTTAATTGGGGTCTACGCAGTGTAGGTGCTTTGCAGATGGGACGTGCACTGCAAGATTACCGGCTCGTTCATGCTAGTCGCGAGATGTACGGTCGTGCTCTGTACCACTTAGCGCGAACATTGAATGACCCCGCCCTGGTCACCGCGGATACGACGCTGGCCGCGGCTATTCTTCTTGGCGGGTATGAAATGGCTAATGTCACGGGGAAAAAAGCTTGGATGCTTCATTCGAGGGGTATCTCGCATCTGTATCAGCTTCGTGGAGCTCAGGCTCATGCCGATGGGATGGGTCGGACGCTGTTGTTGTCGTTCAAAGGGTTTCTGGTATACGAGGCCCTTTTGAATGGGGAAAGGTGTTTCCTCGAGGATAAAGAATGGAAGCAGATTATCCCACAGATGATCGAGGACGAAAAGCGACGTGGAAAAGTGAGTCGTTTGGGGGCTTTGATCGATTATGCAGGCCACGAGGTAGCACGATGTCCGGGCTTTGTTAAACGAACACGGTCTCTCGTTGCAAATACTTCCACTAGCGACGACGAAAGAGAAGACTTGGTCGAATCTATCACAGGGTGTCAAAACACATTATACGAATATCAAACCGAACTGACAACTGGTGTCAAATCAAGTCGCCGGTCCCAAGAAGCAGATTTCGCCGGGGTCATTTCTGCGGATCTAGTGGGACCATTATGGGACTTCTCAATGCAAGGCGTGAATGCAGCGATCGCGATCCTGGAGCAGCTTTTGACAGTTTTGAAAGCAGATCGTTCACGGCGAAAGGTATCGACTGCGAGGCCAAGCCAGCAAGATTATAAGTTGGGGAAGAATGCGTGGGACGTTCTTGACTATTCGTCAATATCACGAGCTATTGCGGCGGGGAGACGTGCGAGACAGGCACCGGGGCCTGAACAACGAGGAGATTTTGAAACTTGGTTTGATCGTGTCTCTATGACTATGGGAATGTTAGAGGAAACTGCTCCGTTTATGTATTAGCATCATACCACCTATTGTGAAATATTAGTCCCAAAATTCCGATTCATCTCGGCTTTCATACTGGCTCTCTAAGTGCAGAAGAAGGTAAGACGGGGTACAAATGTGCGGCTAAGTAAGCCATCGTCTTTGACGATGTAAGATAGAAGTCTGCAATGAGTTTGACTGGAACCTCATGGGGTTTTGATACTTCATCGCACGACAGACAAAGCGAAAGTAAGCGCTGAATCTCTGGGACTCCGAGTCGGATTGCTTGACACTAATAAAACGAACACTATTGAAACATGTGTGGAAGCAACCTAACTCGCCACAGTAGAGCCCGACGGATCATGCCAATCCTCAAAGGGATTTTCCACACACCACTTGCCCTTGACCTCGAACGAGCGCCGATTCCACTCCGCAGCCACCTCCTTGAACTTCCCGAATGCCTCGTCATTGGCAATCCGATTGACCTCGACCTGGTCGATATATGGCTGCTTCTCCTCATGGGGAGCATTCCGCCACATCAGACCAAGCGCGGCCCGGATTTCATCTCGGGAGGCCTTGGAATTCGGATTATTGGACGCCACCCTTCGAGCCTCGTCGCACTGTTCCTTGCACTTGGCCCAGAAGTCCTTCTGGTACAAGAGGAACGGGTTGCGTCCCGCCTTGGCTGGAGGAGTGGGTGTCGGCCCCAGTTCCGCGTATATGGCTGTCCACATGGCCTGCTCGTAAGTGTCCCGGCGCTGTCTATCGGCGAAATTAGGACTTCGCGAGCTCGTCGCCGGTGCTGGTCGATTTGGCGTGTCTGTAACTGTGGCCACAGTATCAGCCGCTGGTGGCGTGACCACATTGGCAACTGGCTTATCAGGGACCAGGGGTATGGGAATCTCCATGGGGCCGACGGTAGCCTCTATGACTTCTGCTGCAGCGCGCAGACCGGAGAGATAGGCGCCATGGACGGTCGCTGGATGGGTTCCGCAGGTGGCTTCACCAGCAAAGTGGAGATTTCCAACCTGTCGCGCCATGAGATCGTAGTCTTCAGGCTGAGCACCCGCGGCTACAAAGGAGTAGCTGCCGCGCGTGAAAGGGTCTGACGCCCAGCGAGTGACGATAGTCTCGAGAGGATCAGGGATCACAGTGTGTTTAAAAACATTTCGCAGCTGTGTGGTGACTTCTGCGACGATCTCACCATCGGAAGTTTGCTCGGCCTGGTGCGCCGCATCTCCAGCCATGAGTCCAACCAACACGGGCAGACCGGTTGTCCGGATACAGTTCCAAAATAAGTAGAACCGACCGCGGTTCGCCGCATATTCCTCCTGAATCATACTATCAGGGTTATCAGGCGTGCGGAGAAGACCGAAGAAATCACGCTCGGTATCCCAGAATGGCTCATCGAAGACCAGAACAACTTTGTTCAGGAGACCAAAGCCCAATCGATTGATCGCACCCTGCTTCCAATCGGGAAGAGGGGGATCAAATTGGACAGTCCGGTGCTGAAGAGTGCCAAGAGAGCCAGTGTACACGACGTGATCGCCCACGAATTTCTCGCCATCCTCGCAGTGAACGACGACCTTGCGATTGCCCGTCCCATCTGCATCATATGCAATCCGCGTGGCGATCTTGTTGGTGTGAACGTCGAGTTTATCAGGCACCGAGTATAAGCCGTAGGGCAGCTGATTGTAACCTCCAACCACCATAGAGTGCAGTCCTTCGAATTCATTGCCAGAATCCTGATCCGCCAAGGTCAGACTGAGCTTCTTGGGATTTGCTGCAAAAGAATACTCGAGATTCGCAAAGTGCCAGTTCAGAAGTCGCATATCCCGCGGTGTCAGTGGAAGCATATTTCGGTATTGCTTGACTCCCTCATCCATCACGGCGCCCAGGGACTGTGCCTCCACTGCGTGCGCAACGCCGTCCAACTCCAAAGTGTCCGTGGCAGCATAGCCCACGCTCAACCTCCATCCCGCAGCTTGGGCTGCCAAGGCTGATGGGTGAACTTCTGTGTCGCCCTCAAATTTTGGTGCTGCAGCGTTGATTGCTTCGACGTCTCCAGTGTTGTGGCCAACTCCTCGGCGTCGGCGAACCCGCTTGGTTGGAACCAGGGAGTCGGTAGTGCCCTTCGCTCGAGCTTCTTCCCATTGTCGTACAGTAATACCATCGTCTACAGTGGATTCTCTTCCACTGTCGACCATCTCGCGGTCGCCTTCGGCTGTTTGTCTTACCAGCCTTTTGTGGCGATAATCAAAGGCTCGTTCTGAGACGTCTTCATAAAGTTTGTTGACCATTTCATCCTGGTTATTCGGAACGGGGGAGCCATCAAAGTCGTAAATCGTAGAAAGGTCGTGAAGCAGATGGTGGTGAAGTGCCAACTGACCGCGGACAATCTGGTCCAGAGGATTGCCATGATCGAAACCGATGATAATTTGAGCGCCCATTTCCGCTTTGGGAACAAGGCCCGGTGGCAACTCATCAGACTGAAGACTGTGGAGCGGGTGGGAGTAAACGCGTCCACCGATCCGTGGGCGTCCTTCGATGACGACGACTCGTGGTGCGGAGTCTGAATCGCGATAATGTTTGAAAAGACCCTCTAGCTGGCGGGCACAGCCAAGCCCTCCCACGCCGGCTCCAACCACGAGGATGACGGGCCCTTCTTTGCGGCGTCCTCTCCGGGGAGGCACCGGGGGAATGGGGACCTCGACACAACCGAAATTGATGTATCCGTTACGTGCCAGCCAGTCGTATGCGAAAGAAGCCAGGTTCATCCAACGATAGTCTTTAGCACATCCCAAAGCCTCTTCTCTGGTGACACTGACCATCGGGTTTCGAGTCCACAGACGTAGAATTCCATTGCGGATGTTCAGATACACGGTTACGTGCATATGGCAGAGATAATCCTGGAGTAAATCTTGCTCTTTCTCATGTAATGCATATGGGTCAAGCCGAGATGCATAGGCAGCTGCCACACATTGCTGACCATACTTGGATGGTGTCAGCTTAGGCGGGATGGACGACCGCGGCCGACATTTGGATAGATCAACCCTGTTGCTGTCCAGCACACTGATGCCGGATATAGCTGATGGTGTCGGTAAAGAGTGGGCAGGGGTAGATGGGGGAGTAGAAGACTTTCTCGGCTCGAGAGAGGATGTGATGGAGGTAGCGGTAGTTGAGACGTTAACGCTTCGTAGTTCTTCGCCAATGCAAGATCCAAAAGAGCTTTCCATCCCAGGAATGTTATTTGATACCATTGTCTCTGAGAATGCTTGATATCCCACGGGTTTGTGTTGATATTCCAGGGGAACCGAAGGCGGGGGATAAGCAAAGGCAGAACCAGGACCATTGTCTGTTCGGAGCCTCTTCGGGGACGGTTCAGATGACTCCAAACTCGAAGAATCTAGACTTTCACGTCCTGCTGTATTTGAAAGACCATTTGGAGCAGCTTGATGGATAAAGGGGTGTTGGTCCGGAGATATCCCCGCGAGGGGCGGAATAAGCATAGAGGATGTAGCGTGCATATTGAAAAGGAAGGAACACTGGGTGTCCGGGACTTCTTTTCCACAGTTTTCAAAACTAACCGAGGGTGATGAATGGTTCCCAAAGAGAGAATATGGAAGAGAAAGGGATAGTAGGCAACAGCGCCGTTGCGTGGAGACGAAGCCCTATTGTCCTTCACCTCGTTGTATCAGGATCGCTGGATCACTGGACCAAGTAGGTTCGACACATGATTACTCCGGTTGTAGATGGCATCGTTATCAAGGACGCAAGCTATGAGGGTAATAGCAAGACAAACGAGATGGATCGATCTGTTTTGCAGTTAGATAACATGCATATAAGGTGGTTTCTATGCTTTGAAAATTTTCCGTTGCAGAGGTAGTAAAATGTGGCTAAAGTACCGGGCGCGGGGGTTGGGGATGACCACATACATTCACATAATCCACCTCCCCACGAACCCAACCCGTATGATTTTGCAACTAGGCCGGCATCAATCGAGGAGCAATTGCGACGAGTATGCGTGGAAGGGAGGGGAGCGCCGCGGGACTCGAGGTCGAGTAGAAGACCCGTTGTGCCTTGATTCCTCCGGCGGAGCGTATTTCTCAGTCCGCCCAGCGATCGACTACGACATGCGCCGAACTATGAGACCTGGTGAAGACGGGCTGCCAAAGAATGGCAGGATTAATTGTTGTATACATAGCGGTGGTGATATTATGGGAAGAGAAAGTTCAAACGGCCAGGCAGCCATAGTATCATCACTATTCATCACTCTATAAAGCACGACGGCTACACGGTTTCACGGCTCGGGCTCTCACACATCTGCTTTACATGCCCCTCACGTCTCGTGTTGGACATGGCTATGCAGCCCATATGTCTCGTGCCCTTCACTGGGGAAGTCATCCGAGTCATTGTCCGTAAAGTCATCATGATATGACCGTCGGCCCGCCTTGGTCTTCCATCGACCCGCGGGATCATTGTCGCTATCGTTGTCCAGGTCCAGATCGACGTGATCATCGTCCAGATCATCGAAGCCGATGCGCTCCTCTTCATCCCGAGCGAGCATGGTGGCCGCCGCATTTACATCATTGTCGTCAGAGAATCTGCGGTGAGGTCGATGGGCGGCATGATCGGCCTGGAGAGATTGCCGGATTTCGGCGCGTTCCTTGGCCTCGAGTTCTTTCGCACGAGCCAAAGTTCTGAATGAAGGGTGAAAATTTATCGTTAGTAATCGATTTCTTGAAAAGTCGAGTCTGCTGCATGCAACGGTCAAGTAACTGGAAAGAAAGCGCCCACCTGTTGTAGATGTAATAACCCGTGAAAACTCCAACGCAGACCGTCACGATAATACTGATAATGTTGACAGCCTTGGAGCCTGCACTCATCTCCTCACCTTTCTCGGAGAGCAAGCGTATGCGACTGCCAATGAATGCTGGAACCAGCAATTTGGGGCATATAATCGCGGTGGCCAACCCATACATCAAGGGCTGTACTGTCGGGAACGTAGATACTGCACCATTGCAAATCGAATACGGCAATGGGCACAGACGAATCATGCAGAGGAGCTTCAGCCCATCATACTTTAGCGTTAGCGACAGCGCTGCAAAGCGCTTGTCATGTTCCATCAGGCGTTTGACGAATTTAGAGAGCACGGTGCGCGAAACATAGAATGAGGCGGTAGATCCGACGACGGTCGCAGTAGTGTATATGATCCATCTGGTTTCAAGGACTGTTAGTATAGTCCATTCTGGTCATTGAATGTCACCCGAGTAGGCTTCAGGCCGAAGCCGAAGCTGAAGAAGCCACTTACCCTTTCCACCAGCCAAAGATGAATCCGGCTATCGTTCCCAAGGTCGACCAGCCCACCAACGGCGGGAACGAGATGAAAAAAATAGATATCCATAAAATGAATGCGACCAGCCAAGACTTCTCCCACTTCTCTGCGACCGGGCCCAGCCAAATGAATACCTTGCCCGTCAAGACCATGAGCCCGATGCCCAACGCCGCCGCACCGAGGGACGCGGCATAGAATCCAATCTTCTGCCACAATGTCATCTGCTCATACCGATCGTTTGCCATCCGATACAGCTTCTTGGCCTTCTCGATCATCCGGTCGCGAAAACCGGTTGCCTGCTCGCTCGACCAGCGCGCCGACGAGTCGCGCCTCCCTGATCGGCTCCATATGGGCTGCTCCTCGTCGTCGTGAGAATCTGCTAGCGGCTCTGGCGGCGAGGTCGACAGCGCCAATGCCCGTGCCGTGGACTCGTAGTCCGCAGGCATTGTAGGCGGAGGACCAAGATGGGGGAGGAAAAGTGATCAGATCTGGGGCGAGCTCGTTAAGAGGGATCGGCACGGACGGTGGTAACGAAATAAAGGACCACGGAAGGTACTCTTTTCCCTCCGAGATTTGGTGAGGCAGTCAATTAGATCAAGGAGCTCATTCATGCGTTTGATAATCGTGTTGAAAGATGTGTCAGCGTGGAGAATTCGTCAATGATAGTTCCTGAAATCAGGGTTCGAAGATGGGGGGGGGGGCTGAGTAGCCAAGCCGCCTCGGTCGGCCAACGCTACCATCAGGTCTCAGCTTCGAAAGCGGATCCGCCGGAGCTTTCGGTGTTTACTTCCTTTAGGATCGACAACCCCAGATTGCTGGACCCTGGAAACTCTGTTGGGGGTTACTATTGAGTTTTGGAGAGATAAGAAGCCTAGTATTGATAGTTAGATAGACCGAATGAGGATATACTCTAGGAAAGAATCGGGGAAGTTATATGATCCAAGAGGTTTGTTGGTATACATTGCTGCCTATGGGTTTCATCCACCTTCAGGCACACAATTACCTTGGCCTGAACCAGAACATAGGGGAGACCGACGCTCGAAATAAGAATTATCCTATATAGTGCCATTCTATGCCAACTACTAAAACTCACTCCGTAGGGATTATTGGAAGCCACGATCGGAATAATTCCGAGCAAGTACTGCATTTAGTCTTATTGTAGCTGATAAAGGCCATATAGTAGTGGACGTCCACACTTCGGATGTTGATCTCCTTTCTCCGCCTTCTGCCCCCCCTCCTTTGTTTGCATCGGATTACTCCTCCACACCTTCACTTTTTTGGGCCCATTCACTCCCTCGGACTTTTGAAATACCTCTATTGCACAGCTCCTTCGACGCTAGCGATCCGATGTAACTACTGTTAGTGACTCCGCGACACGTTTCCTGAGTTATAGAGGGGAGTCCACCCCTTTATTACCCTCATTCGGCCCATTCGACTCGATCAGGGATCATGGATCGCGGCCTCTGACGCCCAGATCGATGAGTCTCAACTTTGACCCATCAAATCTCAGCTACAAACAGTACCACTATATTTTCTATCGATAAGAAGAGTCTTCGAGCCTCTCAGCCTCCGCTTCCTCTCGACACCTCGTCTCCTCACCCTCCTACCTAGCTTACTCCCCCTGCCGCCGCGCGTACACCTTCGCATCAAGATTTCGTCATGGTGTCCGAAGAACTCCTTGAGAAGTCGCTGGAGATCCTGCAGGACCAGGCCCTCGACGAAGAAGAGCAGGTAGAGAAGGTTGAAGAGTTTTTGCGCGCCAACTCCTCGCTGTCGGGTTCGTCCCTGGAGAACGCCGTCCTGGACATATTATGGCGGCATCGCAATCGCACCCTACCCGACTCCTCCCCTCCTCCGGCTCGCCATACGGTGATCCGCCGTTCATCGCCCGCACCATGGCAGATGGCTCGCGCTTCAACGCCGCTATCGCCTCAACCAACACTAGGAACCAGTCCGGGGAGTACCTCGTGGGTACAGAACTCGCGCGGGGCATTCTCCCGAGCTCCACGTTCCTCGGCTGGCTCCCCGTTTACCTCTCCACGACCATCGCCCCGCCTTGCTCTTGCGCAACCTATTCCACACTCTCCGAACTTGAATGCATATGAATTTTCTGATCAAAGCCAACTTTCCAATTTCTATGATGATTTGGGCAGTGATAGCAACGTGGATTGGTTGGTCGGTGACGATGCGAGAAGTACAACCTCGTCTATCGGGGGCCTCAGTGTCCCTGGGTCCTTGAGTGCGACTGCTGCAGAGTTTGTTCCGGACATGAGTCCACATGATATTTTGCGCACCGTATTGGGAGATAAAAGAACCAACGATGAAATTGAAACTGCCTTGGAAGCGAACAGTTATGACCTCGGCGCTACCATTGCCGCACTCTCGCAAGACTCGGAGGCCGATACCGTGTTGAAGCAAACCGAGGATGCACGCGTGCTGGTTGGAAAATCGATGGCCATGGAGCAAATTCGTCCTGTGACGCCCTTAGGCAACGGTCGCAGTCCAGTAGTTTGCAAGTACTGGCTGTCTACTGGCCAGTGCCTGAGGGCTGACTGTCGATTCAGCCATGACCTCACGAGCCATGTGTGCAAGTAAGTGTTTTCATTTCTACCTTAAGGCTTTGGTGTGGTTGAGCACACGACTGACCGTGTTTCTTGTAGATATTGGGTGATGGGTAACTGCCTAGCAGGAGATGGCTGCCCCTTCTCTCATGATCCCTCGGCCCTGATTTCAAACCTCAGCGTCTCAAGCAATAGCCGCCCGGTTTCTCCAGCACCCAGTTCTCTATTTCAGGTGGACAGTAACTCCGATGCATTCCCGCCGCTCTCATCAACTGGCATGGATGATCAGTGGGCAAATCAATACAATAACCGCTATCCTGGCCTTGGTTCGCAAGCCAAGATTATTCCCCCAGGACTTCACCCTGGGATGGGAAGACGCAATGGCAGTATGACCCACCTTGGACGGCCAAACTCTCGCCCAACCAGTCGCCACCAGAACCGGCCGGAGCTCAACTCTGCTGCTTTGTCTGTTGACGATCCAGATGCCTTCCCGACGCTTGCCGCTGTGAGTGCAAAGAATGCTGGAAAGAAGCACCACGGTAAACGGGGTGCTCATAATGGGGCCAAAGAGACTATCCCCTCTTCACTTGCGGATGTCGTTCGTATGTCCCCCTCGCCTGGCCCCAATAAAGGGAAAAATGCCCCGAAGAATCCCAAGGACACGAAGGGTCGTGAGAACAGTGCCGCAGCCATGGCCATTCCCCCGCCGCAAAACATTCCTTGGCTCGAGACGGGCGCGCGGGCAAACCAGCAATACATCAAGTATCGCACAGAGGCTATTCGCCATGGGACTGTGCGCAACAAGTTCCTGCAAAGGTTAGTCAATTCGAGAATACATGTGTTTGTCTTCCTCTGCCACGAGCAAAATTTGCTAACATTTCTCTGTAGTGCTGCCCAAGCTTGGAACCGAAGTGATGCACGAGCTGCCAAGGCGCTTTCCCTCCGTGGACAAGCAGAGAATGATGCCATGCGCCGCTGCCACCGAGAAGCGGCACGCCAATTGTACGAAGAGCGCAATCAACACTTGCTCCAGGCAGGCCTGGATGGGGCTTCGGAAGAGCTCTACGTTGATTTACACGGTCTGCATCCTGAAGAAGCGATCGAATACCTCGAGAAAATCCTGCTGAAGCATGCTCGGGAGGGTATACCCGTGGTATACGCTATCACCGGCACGGGACACCATTCCAAAAACGGCAAAGACAAAATCGGCAAGGCTGTCAAAGCCTGGCTTAACGAATGGCGCTACTTGTTCCGCGAATTCAGCGTGCCCGGTGAGCGGGGTGGTTACGTTGGTGGTATACTGGGCATCGACCCGTCCAGCTATGACAAGCTTCTGGCCAAGGCCCTGGCAGAGAGCGATGATGTACCGGCTGATGGAGGCCAGCCCACCCTCACGATGGGCAAGATCCAGTTGCTCAGACGGGAGGATTTAGAAACGAAGAACTGATGACCCCTTTTGGTGTAATCTGGGATTACATGATGTGGCAACGATACCCATCGCATTTGCATGATGAAGCTCTCCTATTACCCAGCCTGCTTAAGAAATAGATCTTTGGTCCTGGTTTTTCTTGTAATCCCTTCTTTCTTGGTCATGCTATGTAGTTTGAGAATGGGGAGAAATAGGCCTGTTATCAGTTGCAGGTGACAAAGATATAAGAAGCTAGGCCGGAGAATAACTAGGTGCTGCCATATCCAAGTGGACATGAAGTACATACTCCTCCAGACGAAACAATATCTACAGACCGCTCTGCTACATGACAAGTAATAATGAACACGGTTAATTGTAGCTTATACAGCCAGTTGAGCCTGACACAAGCTATATGTTAGCATTGCTTGTGAAACAATCTGAAGCCAAGCTGGAAATGGGGTGTGGCTTTACAGATGACGCTGCACGGTTGAGGGTGGAGATGCTGGTACACTCAACAGCCAATCAAGCTTAAGGGGCGCATATTCTGCCACGATCCACCGCCGGGGAGGTGTCTCGTTGCTAACGTGGACACTGGCTCAATTCAAACAATAACAAGCTCTCTTCTCGCGAAGATAGTTATTGGTTCACTGTTCAGCAGCTGCTCTATGAAAATATAGATCCATTGGTTCTTATTCTTTCATCATGGATCAAACAGGTCAAGGGGACCTGAACTGGCGCCTCAGCGCGCACCCGATCACGCTACTTGTCTTTTTGGGAATCCGCATCGGTAAGTGCTGTCCTACATGGTCTCGGACTACGGACGCATAGACTAACATATGTTGTCAATAGGTGCTTTACTGATGTACCTCTTTGGTGTTCTATTCATCGATAACTTGTAAGGGCCCTTGGAACCACTGTGGTCTCGCGCCGCTAGGCTGCAAAGCTTCACCCCGCTAACCAAGCTATCTAGCATTCTGGTCTTTATCTTGACCCTCCTCCTTCTCTCTGCCGACTTTTATTACCTCAAGAACATTGCTGGACGTCGACTTGTTGGTCTCCGGTGGTGGAATGAAGTCAACACAGCTTCTGGCGACTCGCACTGGGTCTTTGAATCCTCCGACCCCAATGTCCGCACAATCACCGCCACGGACAAGCGTTTCTTCTGGCTGAGCTTGTACTTGACACCGGCTCTTTGGGTTGGACTGGCCATTCTGGCTATTGTGCGGCTAGTCGGTGTGATCTGGCTGAGTCTCGTTGGTAAGTGCTTCTTGTGCCCGAACATGACAGCGATATATCCGCTCGGTTCCTTGTGCTGATTCATATCTTTCAGGAATTGCCCTTATCCTGACAATTACAAACACTGTCGCTTTCTCCCGGTGCGACAAGTTCAGTCAGGCCTCTACATTTGCCAATCGGGCTCTCGGAGGTGGAATCGTGAATAATCTTGCGGGTGGCCTGCTGGGCAGGTTCTTCCGATAGATTCGAAGAGCATGGATTCTGATTTGCATTTTGAAATTTAAGCTGGGTAATAGCGTTCCTCCATCGATCCACCCCCGACATGTGTTTTCTTACGGAAAGTATTTTGATTAGCCTCAATGTATCCATTTTAAATTTGATTGGTTACCTCGTTCAAGTCACTAGGTCTTCCCAGTGCCGAGTTTGACGTAGTTGCCTCGTTCGGCGCAGCGAATGCCCCGCCGCGTGCCGTTTATCATTTCGGTGTTTTCTTCCTCTTCTCTTTTTCTCTTTTCTCCTTCTCGCCCCTCTCCTTCATCTTTGTTTACGATCCTTCATTTCATTTCACACATCACTGTACTGAACTCCCGAAACTCCGGTAAGTACTGTTTATTCTTTGAAAGCCGCTGGCTCCGAGTATCTGGGGATTGTAGACATGTTTCCAGATGGTATTCGTGACACCAGACACGATTCCTGGATAGCTGACCCTCTCTGTCCATAACCTGTGTTCCCAACCCGCTATTCTACGTGTTTCTTGCGAAGAACGTCGAGGGACCGAGGAAACGAACTCTGGCGCTGCCCTCAGTGGATTTTACATGTTGTGGAAATGATGCTGATAGTGGGAATATAATAGACATCCCTCAGCCCTCGCGATGTCTTCCGTCTGGGATGCACCCGCTTCGGGGGACGCTGAGTGGGATAAGCAGGACGGTGACAGCCTGAAGACAGGCGACGCTGAGGCTTGGACTTCCACTTCCCCAGGTATGTTGCTTCTCCTTACTTGTACAACGTTACAGAACTCTGTCTTTAGTATCCTTTGCTTTCTTCGACATTTTCTTTTACTCCGGTAATTTCTCATAATGATAAACTGACTACTGATCAGGCAAAGACAGCAATGACGAGAACGTGAATCCTCACGCTTCTGAATACGAGGCTCCCGCCACTTATGGCGACTACGGTGACAACCAAGACCTCACCTGCCGCAAGTAAGTGCTTCTATCCCGTCCAGTCAAAATTACTGGATCGCTAACAAGAACTGAATAAGCTGTGGGGAGACTGGCCATTTCGCTCGTCGGTGCCCAAACGAGGATACTCAGAAGTGCTTGAACTGTGATGAGCCAGGGTAAATACAGACTCGAACATTGGGGATGGGAGCCTTCGCTAATTGTTACCGGGGACAGACATAGCAAGGCTGACTGCCCGAATCCCGCGAAGCCCCGAGCTTGCTTCAACTGTGGCGAAGAAGGGTGAGTAATGAAATGGCAGAGAAAGCTTTCAAGTATATCACGACTGCTTACACGTTGATCTAGACACAACAAGGTTGATTGTCCCAAGCCCCGTGTCTTCAAAGGAGCATGCCGTATTTGTGCGCAGGAAGGCCACCCAGCCTCTGCTTGCCCTGAGAAGCCAGCCGATATCTGCAACAACTGCGGCGGAGAAGGTCGGGAATTTTACAATCATCATCATCCAAGTCCAAGCAGAGCAAGAAAGGAACTAATTTAGCTGATCGATAGGTCACCTCGCCTTTGGTTGCACCGAAAATCGCAAATTTGACTTGAACCATATCGTCGACAAGGTTCCGGATGAGGCATGGGCCATGATGAAGCAGGCCAGCGACGAGAGAGATATGGATGACTTCCGCGAGGTAACATTTTGTGTGTATCGTAGATGGAATGTTTGCTAATGCCCGGTTCTCAAGGCGATCCAAATCTACACCAAGGCTATGCCGGAGGCCACCTACGTCGATATCGAGAAGAGAATGCGCGAGGAAGAATTCAAGATCTTCCTCATTGCTCTGGTACGTTGAAACCTGGATTTGAGGAGGAGAAGAAACGTATCGTGACTGAAATTACTGTCACCTGTAGGAGAAAGATCGTGAGGATACCATCAGCCTTATTGACCTCCAGGGCCGACTGGATCGTGAATTTGCTGTCGGTTACTACTTCTCTGACAAGGCAATGCGTGCCAACCTCGAACAGCGTTGGCCTCGCGATGCTGATGACAATCTTGAGCGCTTGGCCAATGCGGGTCTGCCTTACGATCGCAAGGTCATGAAGTGTCACAACTGCGGAGGTAAGTTGACCTAAGTTCCACTTTGAGTGCCGAATGGTCGCCTCATTCATACACAGAGTTGGGCCACGGTTCCCGCGCGTGCAAGCAGGAGCGTGTGGCGGTTGAACGACACGAGGTCAAGTGCAGCAACTGCGGTACCGTCGGTCATCGTCTTCGAGACTGCACTGAGGGGCGTCGCAGCAAGCCCGGCTGCCGCAAATGTGGGTAAGTTATAATCCTCCCTCCCGCTCTGGGACAGAGGCCTAACAGTACCTAGTGGTGAGGGACACGAGGCCCGCGGCTGTACTGAGCCCCGATCTGCAGAGGACATTGAGTGCCGTCGCTGCAATGGAGGTAATATGTCCAGCGTTAAAATTTCCAGTGATCAACGATGATATGCTAACATCTCTACAGCTGGTCATTTTGCGAAGGATTGCCCCAACCAGACTGAGCGTACCCCTCGTACCTGCCGGAACTGCGGGTAAGTATCTCTGAATTAAATGAACAAGATCCATGTCGTTAAAATGGTTGTAGTTCTGAGGACCACATTGCGCGTGATTGCGACCAGCCTACCAACCCCGATGCCATGGTCTGCCGCAACTGTGAGAACAGTAAGTAATGGCACAAAATTCCCGAAATTTGGCTGGAAGATGTTGAACCAAAATTCTGACAACATTGTCTACAGCTGGACATGTTGCTCGTGACTGCCCCGAGCCCAAGGACTGGTCTAAGGTCAAGTGCAACCGTTGCGGAGAAAGTGAGTTGTTACCTGACCTCTTAGAATAATCCAGCAGTTTGACTAATCGTGAAACAGTGGGCCACACCGTGAAGCGCTGTGACCAACCTGAAGAAGGTGGATTCGACGAAGTCAGTGGCGAGGATCCATTCTCCAGCCCGGCTGTTGATGCTAAGGCCGATAAAAGCCAGGACGATGAGGTCGAAAAAGTGCGTCAGCGCATGGACAACCAGTTCTGGTAATTGCAATACAATGGCGATGCCACAAAGAGAGAAGCTCTGATTCGGTGGATTGATTTTGGCCTGGCTTTCGGAGAGAAATTGCGCTTTTAGGTGTTGATCACGCTTTTACAGGAGACAGATTGGACAACGATCTTGTCGGGACGCTTCACAGAAGGAACCCGCGCGTTTATGATGCGTGCTTGTTATGTGTGACTGGCCCTGAGTGGTCTCTTCTATTACCAGGCTGGCAGTTTATCGGTGTCTTTCTTTCCCTTGCGTGGTTTTGCACTGTGAGATTATGATATGTATGAAAATAAGAGATCAACGGGCTAGTGCTACATCTGCTTTTGTAAACAATCTCCATTCAATTGAGATTTCCATTGTTGCAGATGTTCGCCAAGGCTCGTAATCCACTCGACTAGACATCCTAGTCTGATAGATCGATAACCGAGGGAAAGTCTTGAATGCAGGTCAATGATCGAGACCACCACCAACTACCTGGCTAGGAGATATGATCCCGACACGCGGTAGGCTGGTTGAGACCGAAAAGACGGCATCCTGAACGATGTTACCGCCATCCCGACATCATTAGTCTATTCCGCCAGCAGGCATCCCTAGTATCTGCGTCGCAGATTAGTCTTTCTCGGCTTTGTCGATCCAGCTGTGAATACGGTACATTCTTCGGGTTTAGACGCTCTCAACGTGCCTTCAATCCTGCGATATCGGATTTGGAGAAGGTCAAGGGCACACATATTGAGAATAACGGCAGCGTGTCGGATAGCAGCTAAACCCTGAGACTTTTTTGATGCCTGAAGAATAGGTAATTTTGTCTTACGAAGCTAGACTGCTCGCTCTAGCGCGCTAAGGTGGGTTCTTTGTCGATATTCTGATTCTCTCGTGATGACCTCTTCTATTGCTGCCTTATACCCATGTATATGGCTACCCATGTTCGTCATTTTGAATATTAATTCGACACATATGTTAGACTAAATTGTTTCATGCCGACGGCATCGACCTGAAGATCCCCACTACTCACTTGATATGTTCAATCTCATTTAACAAATTAATATAGTCCATTGCACATGTAGAACATTAAAATCGATCATAAGATGACAGTACCATTCAGGATCCCGCACATGAACACTCGCAAGCGGTTCGCCCACTGCGTGCCTGTTACAGCCCCAGAGCCAGCCCACCAACCACGGCCGCCAAGGCGGTACCAATCAAAATAACATTGATGTCAACAGGCACGTTGCTTGCAGCGTTGGCACCGGTCTGACCTCCTGAGATGGATGAAGAAGAGCCCGAGGTGGGGGCAGATACTCCGGTGTGAATGGTAACTGGGTTGGTCGAGCCCTTGAGAGAAGTGGCGGAGTAGGGAACATCCGAGCTCAGGGACCTGATTTTACTGGAGAAACTGAAGCTAGCTTCGGCGCTGTCGGTCACGTAGACGGACAGAATAGTTGTGGTCGTAGTTATTGTTGAGGTGACGGTCTGCACAGTGTAGGGGGCGAACGAGGTCCAGAAGTAGTAATAGAAAGTCCTAGCCACGAGTTAGTCGGGTGGTTCAAAGCTCTTCTCACAAAAGATCCCAACTCACCAGTAATAAGTCGTAGAGTAGTAGCTGTAGTCCGCATAGGTACGCTGGTAGGTAGATGTGGTCCTCGAAGTCGTCGTTGCAGTTACGGTAGCCACAGCTGTGACCGTACCTCCCAGACTCCCAGAATCCGACTCTCCTGAACAACCAGACGAAGGGCAGCACACCTTCTCGCCATTGTAGATGCGGCAATGCTTGCCAGCGCGACAGTAGTATCCACCATTGCAGCATTCTCCATCAACGGGGGAGCACGCATCGCCACAACAGTTCCATCCGCTAGGACAGGTGCCACCAGTAGTGCAGCAAGTATCGCCAGGGTCCGCGCAGTAGCCGGTTCCACAGCAGCTCGTGCCACTTGGGCAGCAGCGCGAAGTATCGTAGGCACACTCCGAGTATCCTGAACGGCATGTATAGGCTCTGGGCTCAAGGCCGAACAGATCACGAGTATTCAGGATGCCTTCTTGGGAGATGTGCAGTGATGTATTGTACAGCTGCTGAGGCTCGTCCGCGATTGTTTCCTCGGCCACAACGGCGGAGAAGAGGAGAAGGAGGGAAATCCCTAATTGCTTCGCGAACTTCACCATCTTGGCTAGTATTAGGATCGAGGCCTGGTATTGTCGTATAGGAGGTTTCTGCCACTTCAACGGTCCACCGCTGCGAGAACGAGACCCGCGTGGACTGAGGGATGACCATATCTTTAAATAGGACCCTTGAGGGGGTCTGCCTGATTCAAGCACACGAAAGATTGCGGCGAGGCCAAGAATTAGGTTGAGGCGCTAGCAATCGTACCGAGACTGGGCGCTGGTCAATTTCTTTCGTGGCGGGCAAGGGGAGTGCTGGGGAATACGAGATTTAGATGCTTGGCGCACTCTCGAGCCGCTTTTAGGTCCTGCAGGGTGGTCCCTCCAGGGTGGTGAGGCTAAATGCCGAGCAGTGAGGAACTGCAGTATAAGGGTGCTTGTTACTGAAGTTCTCTCGAGCATCTCTCTCTATTACCTTGTAACTGGAAGTTGAGTAGGAAACATAGCAATACAACAGCACAAGCACTCAAAAGAAGCACCTACTTCTTTGTACGAACCCGATTTCCCCTTGCGGGTGGGGCTGTTCCAACGCTCGATTGGGCAAATCCTAAATACGAGCTTTATGCACAATATTCCCTTATTCGGGCTCGGTCCTGACCAATCGCTGCATTGCTAGGCATGCGGACAACTCACCTTGAGCAACTAGTCTATCCCTCAAGAAGGATGTCGACCTTCCAAGTTAGACTCGTCCTCGGACTCTGAATCAGTTGCCGACACGAGGCTGACAATTTATTCTTGATTGGGAGTGCTTTGGCGAGGTTTATATTCAAGTCAGACATCGATTTGATCATTTGACAACTAGCTCCGCTAATTCTGGGTACGAAGCGGAATTGTGAATGCCGGATAATGCGTTTTCACATCCACTTGACCTATCCACTCACTTTAGTTCCTGTCCATTCCCCCGTAACATTTTGAGGCGCTGTTTGCAGAGTTCCACTTCCACAATGATGTTCACTCCACATCGAGGGCTTTCTGTTAGAGTTTAAAGGCTAGATTAGATCTTGAAAATTGAGGTAGATGCGCTGCTCAGGCACGGATAACGTACACACACGGCCACAACCCTCCTTTATCATTGTGTAGAACAAAGAAAGAGAATATCTCTGCCTCAGATACGTCATATATCACATCCCACAAGTAAACCAAGGCTTTGATCTGTTAAAACCTACTTATATGCATGATTAGCCGATGAGATTTTCCATTCTGACTCGGAGAGTGGGCCCTGCTGTGGCTTCTCTTTGGCAGCCATTCGTCAGGTACAAGCTCTGAGGCTGTCTCGGGTGGTGTTTGAATGAAGTCAATCGCATTTTGACCTGTAAAGCACAATCCAATTACAACAGGCGCTTTTTCGGCCCATAGTATATGGGGGTCGTCGACTGTAAATGAGACGGACCTCCGACTTGGGGATGGAGCCTTAAATCGTCTGATTATCTTTAATTCATGATATCCAAAGACTTCTGGGCCCAGAAAGCCTTGACAGGCGACGAAACAGTCTCTAAGTGGTGAGGTTTAGTAGTAAGGGCTAATTTACTTACCATAATCTATTTACTCATCTTATGAGACTTTGCTTGGAAGTAACTAACTAGGTATTTCTAGATAAACTATCTATAACCAAGATTTTCTATTTGCCTTGGTGAATTTTAGCTAGAAAATTTATATTACTTAGCTTTCAACCTACTAAAAATCGCTTCCCTAACTTCTACACTATAGGCCAGGGAATTTACCAGGGGTGGAGAAAATGCACAGCGGGCGCATCCCAGTTCGCATTAGGAAATAGGTGGACTTGTTAGATTCGTTTCCTCAATTGGACGATTTCCACAACAATGCAAACTAGATGGTAGTTTCAACAACCGCCCCTCCGCCCCCATACGTCTGTAGTGTAAACCTGCAAGAAACTCGCTCTATTCCCATCAACAGACAGAATGAGTGGGTGAACGGAGCTTGGCCACATGATTAATTCATTCAAGCTCTCTCTAGCTGAATCGATAGGTGTTGGTGAGATAACCGACTTTGAATTTTTCTAAGGGTGGTAGGTTCTTCACTCGCGCGGGTGTTTCATTCGGGCGGGAATCAGGTTAACTTTCATCCGGAAGTCAATCATCAAGTTCAACAGCTAGACAAACATGGATCCTAGGAACAGCTCTTATGGTTAACACAATGGTGTTTCACCAGTCTTCTGGTGATGACATAATATTCTGCCAGTCAGCCTATCTCTCCATTCCCCCCCCCCACCTTCTAGTCTCGAGAATTATGTTCTCGAGCTGCTAGATGGATTGAGATGTCAGAATTCGAACGAGAATCAACTTGGGATAATCTGAATATTCCCTTCTGCTCGACTCGAGACCAGTAGAGCTGAGAATAAGAGCCGAGGACTAGGCCGTAGAGCGAGGGTGGACGAGGCCATTGTGGAACACCCGCCATACAATCTGACTGGGTCATCCCGCAAACGCAAATCGGAAAGTACCCACGGCACCTCCGGATTTCTTGATGTCATTCAACTTATCGATAGCTCTGGGCGCGAATCATGCCATCCAACCAAGCGAGTTATAAAATGCGGGGATTTCGTCATAGAAATGATTGGCAAAGTTGCAGAATATATAAGATTCGGTTGAGTAGCCGCTGGAGTTTGTGTAGGTACCTTCCCGCAGATATATTCTTTGTTTCAGTATGCAGCCAGAAAGTATAGTTTCGCGCCCTGAGGTGAGTTCTCGTTGTGGCCTATGCTGCTATTGGGGGAGGAGCTAATCCCCTTATGTCCAGCCCATGTCTGAGGAGGAGAAGTCTTACTTCAGTAAGTACGAGAGGTTACCAACTGAAGGCTCACATAGTCCGAAGGTATGACTGCCATTAGTCCTCTACTTCAGTGCAGGAGACGGATGCTGATGTTAGAAGAATCGGGGCTCCTTTTCCTCTCGCGACCACTCTCATCGACGAACTGATTATGACTCAAAAAGGCCTTTCAAAGAACATTCCTCGCAAGGTACGATCTCACACCGTCCTTAGATCTCTCGGCATCTGTTGGATTTAACTGGAGAACAGAGTCACTAGGGCCCGATAATACTTCTCGATCTTTCAACTCCGACCGTTAGTGGTTTATATGGCGAACATTTCTGAGCGTGTCAAGATTGCTCCCAATTATTTCTGTTCTTGTATTTGCTCTGGCTTCAACAATTTTCCTTGCAAGCAAGCGTCGAATAATAGGCGTTCGGGAGACTGAATTGTGATACATACGCAGAGGCGAGTAGAAGAAGAGTCTACAATCAAGGGTGGACACAAACGATTACCTGCTTGATACTATTGAATTTCACAGTTAGTCCGACCGATGTGTCGGAGACTTGACTATTTGGTCTGAGTGGCTCCATAGGCGTCTTCTTCGTCTCTTAACACGCCATCAAACATAGTATTCAATTCAACCATACCCTCCTATAGTTTCTCGTATACCAGTTGGTTCCTTTGGCGTACTTTTGTTAGAGAAGCAGAGCTTCGCAAGTCTATCGGGTCCGGCAACTCCGGGGCCCCACCCCATGATGATGATGCATGCGGATGAGGCTCCCAGCCAATCACATGATGCAAGTTTGTATGCGAATATCCAATTACACGGAAGTTGAATTTCATAAGGTCCCTTCTCACACCCTCGGAATCCGGGTTTGGAGGGAGTTGAAGATATATGAAGAAATGATATTTCAAGAATCTTATCTAATCAACGAGTGTGGACTATTGTAGTCGTCGCATAAAAGGGGCCACTCCAGCACTGTCCCCGATCTTCATAGAGTGCTACTACTTGAAGTCACCAAACGTGCGGCCTTGATCAAGGCATGTTATGCATTGTAGCCGCCGGCGGTCGCATTGGCAGTCAGTCTCGGTAAATTGAAGTGAGTTATTTCTCTTTCCTTTGATGGTAGATCCTCCGCACGTTTCCATGGTGGGAATTGAGGTGGCTGACAGCGGTCGTATCTATCTAGCTTCCGTTGATGATTAAAAAAGGAAGTGGCCTCTCCCGCTAGAATGGTCTTACTTATGCTGTGGGATCATAGTGTAGACTCTAGCATTGATAAGCAATATTATGATCTTGAGAAGCCGATCAAGGCTCTAAGCAAAACCCCTGGGGATTCCTAGCACCGCCTGCCCTCCAGATTTACGGGTCTTAGGATGAATAGTAGAGCAAGCGTGTGGGGCTCATGCTGGCTTTATCAAGTGTATCACGGTGTGAAATGTCTCCTCAAAGCAAATTTTCAGGTCTATATGTTGTATCATCCCTCTAGACCCCACAAATGGAACTTTTCTGCGATCCTAAAGCTCGCGTGAGAGGTGGCGGTAGGGATTATCAGGGTCTCGTTCCTCCTCCTCTGCGGATTGGATAGTCTTCCTCACTCGACAAGGAGCGCCAATTGCAACTGAGAATGGAGGAATATCTTTGGTGACAATTGACCCGGCCCCAATTGTGCTTCCTATTCCGATACGAACCCCAGGTAAGATAACCACGTTGGCCCCAATCCAGCAATCGTCTTCAATGAAAATTGGGTGCCCGAACTCAACAAACTTCTGACGGGAAAGTATACTAGTATCATGTCCAGCAGTCAAAAGGCTTACGCCAGTGCCAATTTGAACTCTGTCTCCGATGACCACGAGGCTTGTATCTAGGACAGTCAAACTGGTTTTGCTATTAGCATACAAGCTTCTGTATCAGTAGGGTGGGAGGGGACACCCACTTCCAGTTGATAAAGCAATTACTTCCAATAATCACATTGCAGCCATAATCTGGTCTGAAGGGGGGCTCCACGAAGGTGCCATCTCCGACTTTTCCGCACAGCTTTCGGAGTAACTCGAGTCGCTTCTCAAAGACCTGGTCGTATGGAACCGTCTTCGTATCCAGGTCGTTGTAGTCGCGAGTCAAGCCGCGACAGTGGTGACGTGCCTCGAGCAACTTGGGCGTGTTGGGGTTATACCTTTATGCTATCAGTGCCAATATTCCACTTGATATGACATTAGCAGTCAATTGAGGTTTATACATACATCATCCCTGAAATCATACGCTCGTAATCCTCGCATTGCGGGACGCCACGCAGATCGCGGGACAGCTCAATGATCTCGGTACGCTTCCCGTTCGCAGCCATTGTGGTCGGGTTGGTGAAAACAATGCTTCCAAACTGTCGGCAGCTCGATATTTATGAGCCATCGAGGGCTAAATAAGTACTCCTCACATTCCAGGTAATCCCGCTCTTGCCTTGGTTTCAGCGATAATTTGCCGAACACTACGGCCGGCCATGTATGCTGTGGAATGAGCTTCCGAATCAGGTAGCATTGCCAACCCCGAAGTTTTCCCGCACGTTCGTGTGGAGAAGCGACTCCACCCTGCTGCCTTGCATTTCGACTTTAGTATAAAAGTGGAGCATTGCTAGTTGCCCAAGGTGGCAGTAGTGCGAGCTACCGAACAAGAAACTTCAACACAGTATCCGATTGATTTTCACCTATCACGAAATCCATACTGACTAGCTCCAGAGTAGACGCCTCAATTGACGATGTGCATCTCGCCGCTCCACATGTTGATTTCCACAGCACCATGGGCCGGGTATCTGGTAGGGACATACAAGGGTTAGTCAATTCGACAACTTGCTACTTTCCATGGTGCGATTAGAGCAGCATTTGATTACCTAGCCATCGGAGGCGAACAATTGGTTGTTCGTCGGTAAACGAGCCATCTTCATCTACGCTCTAGAATTAGTTCTCATCTCAATCAACCGAGTCCGTCCATTTAGATGTTCTTTGATACTTGTTATCGGGGTCTGAAAGCGTACGGCAGGCCGTGCGTCACTGCGTCCTGGAACATCCGAGTTGCAAACTCGAACTGCCCTTCTCCAAGTCTGAAAGTAGTCCAGATAGGGCCAAGATTGTTCGAGGTATAAGACATGAGAGCCTGTGAGCAAATCATCTCCCATAAACTGAGTTTTCCATGGTACTGAAGAGATATCTTGCATCACTATTTTATCATGGCTGAAGCAACGGCCGGCAGTTAAGCAGAGCAGCGTGGCATGCACAATGAGATTCGCTATTCTGAAGACTATTAAAGTGGGAAGCAATACGAACCGAGCGAGACATCAAGACCAGCAAAAGATGTTGCAGGATTATCTAGGTCTTGTCAAACGATTGGAGATCCACATCCATTCCAGGAAATGTATTGCCTGGACGGAACGAGCACAGTTTTACCGAAAAGTCTGTAACGTGAAATCAACACAAGTTCATCCTGTTTTGTCCCAGTGTTTCATCGACTATGAAGCGAGCTTACAGACATCAAAAGTCAACGGATGTATGAATTTCTCAAGTCAACACCCTTCTGGAAGTCCCACAACCTCCTAGCTTGGAGTAAGTCACTAAGTTCTTTCTTGTTCCTGCTAGAAAGGTGCTGATTTGGATATCAATCGCATTCGCCATGCACACCCTGAGGATCACCACTGCAATATTCTTGTCGAGATCCTCTCCTCGCTCAAGGTAATCCTTTTCATCCTATAACTGAGCGGTGTAAATTCAAATGACGTACCTCAATTCGTATCTTGTCATTGAAAAATAATCCAGGGAGTATCTAACAGTGGCACACCAGCAAGAATGGAAATTCTCGTGATCAACCGGGCCTTCGTATGCATTCTAGTCAAACCACGAACGTTCCGATCCCAAATTATGAGAGTTCCCAAAGGCAAGAAGATTCGGCCTGCCAGTCGGCCACTTTTGACTAGTGCAAGGTCATACATAGACTCCGTATTCCTCCGAGGATTCCAGAGGGTATAGTTATAGATATTCTTTCTTTAGTCATCTCCACGTTCTTCCAAAACTCACTAGGGCTTGCTAGCTGGCTCCACAAAGTATCTAGATGCATGTCAATTGCTTAGCAGATATCAAGAGTCATCCAAACAAGACATGGTAGTAGGCGAAGAAGGCAAGGTTAGATTATAGCAGCATTCTACCAGGGCTTACAATGGTTGGGATTGGATAGCAACGTACCAAGGCGAATCGACATTGGTACATACCAAAAATGGTCCGTGAGCCTTGACAAGCAGTTCCACCTCCACACTGCGGGCACATCGCCATACTCAAGCACGTGTGGGGTATAAAATCCTCGGCAGTGGCTGTTCCATTGCCGAGAACGGATTGACCGGCAGGAAGATTGATGTTGATTTAAGGTATAGGGTTACATCAAAGGGTGTCCAAAAAGATCCTCAAAGGTGGATACCTGTAGAAGTCTACAAGGAAGGTCATCTTTCAAAGCCACAGTGGAGACCAAAATAAAGTGTGATGCTCAAACGATGGTTTGATTTTCCATCCATGTAATGATTCTATGCTATTGTACGTCACACATAACCCACTTTAGTGGAAGGGGGG